GGTCTATAATTTTACAATTTGAATACTAAAAGTTACTACATAAGATGCATTACTTATGCCTCTCTGTATCACGGGTTTCTTGGCGGCCCGTGGGTATACCCGTGGGCGGGTAGGGGTAGGCAGGCCCGCCCACGGGTTTGAGGGTCCTACCCGTCGCCCGCCCACGGGCGGGTTTGGGCCTACCCGTACGGGTATACCCACGGGCATGTCAATGTCTAGTTGAATTGGAAGCTCTAGAAATCTGCAGTTATAAATGCAGACACCTAAAATCCTGACAATAAGTTATATCTTAGATTTGTCTTTTTAAATATTACCATAAAGTATGAAGTGACTTCTTTTCAGGCCGCAAATATACAACTCTGAATCACTCTACCTCTACATTTCCCTGGGTCCGTAACATAGCCCAGATATATATACCACAACGAACATAAAAAATATAAGAAGACTTTATGATAATAACCCATTGTTGAGATATAAGATTCTACAATATACCGGTTACTACGGCATTTTAGGAGCGGAGCTCATCTTCATGCGTAGCTCGCTTACCGAGTACGTGAAAAAAAGTGCCTTTTTATCGGTGATTTCCTTTATTTAATATTATATTTTTCTCTTACGTTGGCGATTCTGCCCTCCTTAACGCGTACCAGCGAACGTACGGATAAGTTCCGATTTGAGAAGGGGGATATAATAATAAATGCTTCTTATTATAGGTTTACGGCTACGTTAAAGGCCCTACCTGTTGCCCTCTTATACTGCCATTTAGCACCTATTTTATCCCCTCTATAGCTTTATTTACCAATACATATACTTTTGCCCTATAAATTTACTTACCATATAAAGAAAGTCCGAAACGAAACGAGCTAGAACCATGGGCGTTTCGTAAGGGACTCACTCCTGTGGACTTGGTGATACGTAACCAAAAGTTAAAGCCTACTGATTCTGTAAGACTCCGAGTCACCCAGTTTCAAAATCGGTACCTTTTTTAAGTAAGATGAATAGCCCCCGGTTCTGGACCTTCGGGAATCAGTCTTTGTATCAATTAGATCTGCATCTCTCCCGAGGGTCTCCAATGTGGATTCATCTGTGTTCCATGCCTGATCGACAGGCTTCTACCCTGCCTGAACTATAAAATCTATCCCCCTTTTCCCCCCCCCCTCTCGAGCATCAATTAGAGAATAGTAAGTGGAAGGTTGAGTTTTGAATTGTTCAACGATTCTCGTTATAACAATCTCCGATGGACCCGATAATTTCCGTATCTAACCGCGGTCACTGGACATGTGGTGATGTTGTCGAGTATCGCTTCAGAAATCCGGACGGAGATCACTCGGCTCTGTACTGGCACCGAATGAGCTAGGGCGCGCGTGTAGTGTCACGAGAGCCAAAAACAAGACCCCGCTTCCTATACTTCAACGGGAGGTGATAGACAATGATCACACTTGATTCAATTGACCTCCTAATTTGTGAGCGAAACCGAGTCAGAACGTGCCAATTACTCATGGAAACCCATGATTGAGAATTGGTCGTTTCCAACGTTATCCTGCGTAAGGGTGGCCTGCGATGGCATCGCAACGTCATCGGCGCATCGGAACCCGAGACGTCACGAGACATTTACAGTTACAAGTATCCCGGCGAGATCCATCGACACGATGGAGTCTGTACGGTCTAATCTTGCACAAGGCCTTGTTTCCGGGGCGTACGTACTTGGGGCGTGGTGCCTTGGAACTTGGAAATCCAGCGGGGAATATATATCACCCGATTCACCTCCCATCGGTGATTAGTCACGATGATGCCAACGTAAGATGAACCTTGCCTGATCGGGGCAAGTAGGCAGCAATCGGGCCAAGAAACAGGTGACAGGAGAAGGCAAAACCCAATTGACGGGAAATCAATGCAGATCCAGGGATGCAGAGATAGGGTAGATCAATGATCCATGATCCAAGGATCATGATCGATGATCATATCATCGCAAAGGCTAGACTCCAAGGAGGATAGTGAAAGTGACCGTACCCGGGTTGAGAGGGGCTGGAGGGGCTGAGGGGGGCTGAGGGTGCAGGTGCAGGGGTGGGGGGGCCGGAGCCCGCTTTGACTTGCTGGCGCGCGTGAGAGTACGAGTACGGAGTGCTTTGCCTTACGACGACTAGTAGAACTAGTACCACGGAGATACCAGCACCGCTACCACCACTACCACCACCACCACGAACATCGCTATCTACCGCTACCTATCGCTACCAACGATGACTACCTCAGTCGTGCAGATAACAATTGCGCCATGACGGCGAAAAGACCGAAAAACAGGACCGAGGCTAACCACGAGACCCCCCGGACACCCCGGCGCAAGCAGATTGGTCGGACGGGAGTCCACCGGTCGGGCACGATTGGTGATGAACGGAACCAGTGAGGAGAATGCCCGCATAGGATGTTGTCATGCGCCCGTCGGGAGGCCCAATTGAACCCAATCGCCGGCTGATCACCCTGCTCCCTGTGTCATCTCAGATGACTCCTGCTTGTGACTTTCTCGTTATCTTTGGCCCCTTGACCCTTTGACTCATCCTTCTTAAACTGCCCGAAGCCCCCCTTTCCTTCTCCCCCCCCCCCCCCCCCCCGCGGCTTTGCCTACCGTACTCTGCATTCTCGGATATCAGCGACAGGCTACCGGAATATCAGGCGACCAGGCTACCAGGCTACCAGGCGATGCCCAATTGCCCAATTATTCGGGCGTGACTCATCGCGGCCATTGGCGCTTAACTCCATTGCCACCGGAACACCTGACAAATCATCCCGTTTGGGCATTTCACTTCCATTGACTTCTACCCTCTCGCCTTCCTCTTGTACATGGTTTTCAATTAAATACTCTTCCTCCTGCTTCTTCCTCACCAACCCCCTTCTCCCTCCCCGGTCAATTCCGTTCTACGAATTTACTCAAACCTCAATTCATTGGAATCGACAAATCCCTCAACCCCTCTCCCTCAATTCCCCCCTCCCCCAACGTCATCTGGAATGACCTCTGGTTTACAGCCTCCGGGCAAACACCCGACCACAATGAATCGTCTTCCTGTGTCTAGCCTCATGTCACCCCCGGAGTCCAAGCCGTTGGAGAACTTTCACCCCTACCCCAAGCGCGACTCAACTGTCATGGGTGACATCAAATTGCCCCCGATCTCAGCTGATCGCAAACGAACACAGTCGGAGATGGATTTGCCCTCGCCACCCGTCACTCCCTACACGGGCAACAAGAAACGGCGATCTCACACCTCCGAACAGATCGAGCGGGATGCCAGCGCTGCCCGGGATCCCGTTCTTTTCCCTCGCCATGACTCCATGGCTGGCGCCTCGGATGAGCCGCTGTTCGGTCCCATCCCCCCTCCCGCTGCCGAGGCTCTCGTGGAGCATCACATGAACTCGCACATGGCCAGGTTTGAGAACAAGCGGAACAAACCCACGCGCGATGAATACCTTCTCGCGCTGTCATGTGTGCCCATCGTCTCGACCCAGTACAACCGCAACCCTGCGGCCTGGGCTCGAGAGGAGCGGGAGACGCTGGAGCGCCAGTTGGTTTTGATGAATCGATACCGCCCGGGTGACTTGGAGGCCAAGCTGAAGAAGATCGCCCCTGCCCCCGTGAAGAGAATGGGTGTGGCCCCGCCGCGTGTTCCACGAACCCGAGTCAAACGTACCCCCAAATCTACCCCCAAGCAGCACGCTCTGGACTCCTTTGACTCCCCACCCTCGGCATCCAAGCCCCGTACCCTGGGGACCAACCGGGATGATACAGACTTCCATGCCCTCGAGGATTTCTCGCCCCCGCTCGACACCCTCGGCAGCAATGCCAAGGCGTTGAAGGCCGATTGGAAGGGCCAGATGTTGGATTTGAGCAATGACCCGGACAGACATCTGCTCAGTCCCGCCGAGCTCAATCTCGCCTCCACGCTCCGTCTGTCCTGTGCCACCTATCTGTGCAGCAAGCGCCGCATATTTGAGGCTCGCGTGCGAGCCCTGGCTGTGGGCAAGGAGTTCCGCAAGACGGATGCCCAGCAGGCCTGCAAGATTGACGTCAACAAGGCTAGCAAGCTTTGGACTGCCTACGAGCGGGTGGGTTGGTTCAAGCCCGAATACTTTCAGCAATACCTCAGATGATCGTGACTCTCCCGCCTTCCCCTCCCCAATTCTGGGATGTACAACTGGCGTTGCAAGCAGCCTGACCCCCACTCCCTTGATATCTATTCTCTCCATTCCAACGGCTGGCCCGATAGAACCGGACCTTGATTTTTTCCACTCGGGGAAATATCCTGTCCCCGTCCACCCCCCGCCTGCTACTCTCAGGCGTCGAATAACTGACCGTGCTCGTCTCCCTTGGACCCGACCGACTTGGCAATATTAATCCCCAGTGACTCCAGCCTGGCTGTGCCTTCCCGAGACAGTTCGCGGTTCATTCTAGGATCCTTACTTCCAATTCCGTACCTCCTACCATGACATCTTTCCTCTTTTCATGATCGCCTTTCCATGTCCCATTATGCATGACGACACAGTCTTTCCTTTTGACTTTGATCTCTCCATTACATGGCACCGATTTCATTTTGCTTTACTCGACTTCATTTCATTGCCGTACCGCTTGCAATACGCGGTTTGCTATTGGCTTGATGCATGGCTTTCCTTTTTCTTGCACCGCAGGGACGATTGACATTGGCGTTTTGGTGTTTTTTCATTTTCCATTTTCCCATCTAGAATGGCAGGCTTGGGATACCGCGGTGTTTCATGTGACCTTTTACGTTTGTTTTGCTCCTTTGACCCGCCCGACATTGTTTCCTGTGACGCGAGCAACCGGGACGATATGATACCCTGACCCCATACAATTCTTTTGAATAATATTCCCATTGCAAAGATGATGATCCCAGTAAAGAAAATATCTATAATTATCACGTAGTACACGAAATCTTGACGTTGGAAAAGTTGGGGCCAGACCGCGCTTCCAATAGTTCTCCCGTGTGTGGGGGGGCGGTGCACGCCAATCCGGTGATCTGGCTCCGCCCGACGCCACCTTTTTCTGACGTCTCCCTTATTTCACCTTCTCCATCTACCATCCTTCACATTCAGAGACGTGAAACTCGCCGCAATGTCACAGGCTGAGGTGACCCGCGCCGAGTCTATCGAAGAGCAGGAGCGCGCCCGGGCCGATGGCGATAAGAAGCCCAAGTCCCGGAGACCAGCCAGTGGGCATCCCCTGCCCCGACTATTAATTCTCCCTGGAATCCTCAACCCACGCTGACCCGATTTTCTAGATACTGCGTTCCGTCAACAGCGACTGAAAGCCTGGCAGTGAGATATTTGATCCCGACCATTCCGCCCCCTGCCGCGTACTGACCGCGCTCCCTTAGACCGATCCTGACCCCAAAGAGTGTCCTACCGTTATTCTTCATCGTCGGCGTCCTCTTTGCACCCATCGGCGGTGTCCTCCTTTGGGCGAGTTCCCAAGTATGCATGGCTTGGCCTTTTGATTGATGGCTCGGGCTCTGCTAACAACCCGTGATAGGTTCAAGAGATCGTGATCGATTACACCAACTGTCCCACCGAGGCGCCCACCGGCTCATTCGGAGATTTGTCGAAATACGTGTCCACAACATGGAAAGCGAAGTCGGGTACGCCGCCTTCCTGGCAAAAGACATGGAACTCTACTGGCCAGAACTGGATCTGCACTCTCCAGTTTAACATCCCAGAGTCGATGGGACCCCCGGTCTTCATGTACTACCGTTTGACCAACTTTTACCAAAATCATCGCCGATATGTCCAGTCGCTTGATCTCGAACAGTTGAAGGGCACGCCGGTCAGCAACTCAACAATCGCGGGTAGCGTGTGTTCTCCTCTCGCGACCGGCGACTCTGGCAAGGCATACTATCCGTGTGGCCTGATCGCAAACTCCATGTTCAATGACACCATCGGTCAGCCGGTTCTCACGGGAGACAGCTCCGAACCATACAACATGACAAACAAGGGGATCGCCTGGCAAAGTGACAAAGAGCTGATCAAGAAGACACAGTACCAGCCCGGACAAGTCGTTCCTCCGCCCAACTGGGTCGATTACAACTACACCGAGAGTATTCCTGATCTCCATGAGAACGAGGAGTTCATGGTCTGGATGAGAACAGCTGGGTTGCCGTCTTTCAGCAAGCTTTCCCGCAGGAATGACACTCACGCGATGAAGCCTGGTCCCTATGAGTTGAGCATCAACTACAGTACGTCTATCGCCACCGTACCATGGCGGGAGATCGACTAACAATGTCTTAAGGGTTTAACGTGACCGAGTACGACGGAACGAAGTCTATCCTCCTCTCTACCAGGACGGCTCTTGGTGGCAAGAATCCTTTCATGGGAATCGCTTACGTCGTCGTCGGAGGAGTGTGTGTTCTCTTGGGCGCTTTGTTCACAATTGCCCATTTGATTCGACCCAGGTAAAATTGCTTCGACCATCACCGATATACAAAGGGCTAGGCTAATCCTTTTCTTCTTCTTTTTCTAAATAGAAAACTGGGTGACCACACCTATTTGACTTGGGATTCGACTAACCATCCCAGTACCGCGACGGCAACGGGAAGGGATGATCGCATGCGCCCCGGTGCGTAAAAGCGATCAGAACAAAACGGGAATCTTTTTTTTTTTTCTCCTTTTGGTGACTTCCTCTCTTCCCCACCTTGTACGTTTCACTTTTCTATTATTTTTGGGGGAAGGTCGTTACTGTGAATAAATGGACCGTTCCGGATCGGGTGTTAAACAAGGAGTTGCATGTATCTAACATTTCCACAACAACGCGCATTCTTTCTTACTTTTGCACTCGCCCTCGTCCACCCTGGGCTGACCTCATCCCGTCGGCCGAAGAATCGGCCGGACGTCTCTGGATGCCAATGATTTGTCTGATTTCCTCCGCCCCGCCGGTTTTTTCATGCTGATCCTCCTCTGTACGTCCTGTCCCTTGCGTGGGTCATGCATTCCACCGTGATGCAGCATTCCCCGGACTCATGGAATTGCAATGGGCTCGTAGGGCTTGGAGCGCCGGTAATATAGCCAAGTTAGCCGCGGAGATCGATCTCGTTGTTTTCGTTCATGGGCGTGACGGGGGAATCACGATACTAGGGCATCTTTACACCAGCCATCATGGTCCGTCACTCTTTTGCTCCGCTCGTGGTTCTTGTCACAGCCCTATACATCCTACAGGCTCAGTGTACCCCCGTTGTGATTCAGAAACGTGGTATCTGCGCCACCGAGGATCCAGATCCATCTTTCCTCAGCGCCCTTGATCAAGTACAGGTGGACGAGACCCGGCCCAAGTCTCCTGGCTCCGAGGCTCGTCGGGGGCCTATCGAGATAGAGACCTGGTTCCATATTGTGACCAGCAGGGCGGAGGTAGACCAGGTTACCAATGACATGATCAGTTCCCAGGTCGGTTTTAGTGTCCCGCCTACCCAGCAGTTCCGCGTTAACCGTCCAACCAGATCTCCATTTTGCAAGATGCGTACCAGGATGCTTCCATTCACTATAGATTGCAAGGTGTTACTCAGCACGTCAACGATATTTGGGCTCGTAACGAGGACGAGGTCGCCATGAAAACCGCACTCCGGAGAGGAAGCTATCGAACTCTGAACGTCTATTTTCAAACCGATCTTCAAGCCTCTCCAGAAGACACCGGCCGTGCTGATCACCGAGGGGCCCTTGTCCCCAGCGATCTCTCGTCCAGTGTCTTGGGCTTCTGTACTTTACCTGATCCAAATATCAATGCCACCAGTGTCCGTGCCGATTATATCAAGGACGGCTGCAATGTGCTAGCCAAGACGATGCCCGGAGGCTCATTGGATCTCTATAACCGGGGAGGAACCGCCATTCACGAGATCGGGCACTGGAATGGCCTCCTGCACACCTTTCAGGGAGAGTCCTGCTCTCCAGATAATCCCGGAGACTACATCACCGACACTCCACAGCAATCCACGCCCACCGACGGCTGCCCTGCCCGCAAGAATTCATGCCCCGATTCTCCTGGGTTCGATTTAGTCCACGACTTCATGGACTACTCATCCGATGTGTGCTACGATAGCTTCACACCTGGCCAGATGCAACGCATGCGGAATATGTGGGCGTCTATGCGGGAAGGGAAATAAGGATGGACGAAGTTTTGTACATCCAAGCTACGCGACTCTGCTGGGCGGAGAGTCATGAAGATTTTATTCTACTTGCTGGAGAATATAAGGATTGTTCAGCACCACGATTTAGATTCCAAAGAATTTGAGAAAATTATAAAAGGGTACACATCACATTTCCAGGGACTCGACTTAAGAGCTCGATCTTTCTTTCCCCAATCCCTGCGAACTTGAAAGAATTCAAAGAGAGAATAACAAAGGCATAAGAGTAACACGATTAAGTAGTAAACCGCCTGGCTTGAGAAGTCGATTAGCGCTTGCGCTTTGTGCCCCGGTCATCCTCATCCACCTTGTTCTCCTTGTCGTGGCGCTTCGCCTTCTTCTCCAGCTCGTCCCAATCCTCACCACTCTCCTCATCTCCACTGAAGTCCTCTTCACTGGCGTCCGCACTGGCGTCGTCGTCAAACTCACTGTCTTCCTCGGAGCTCTCGTCGGCTGCAGCCAGCTCAGAATCAGACAATTCGAAAGCCGACTCCTCTTCGTCTTCAGAACCCTCAGAGTCCGACTCGGCCGCCAAGAACGACCAACCACCGTCGGTAAAGAATCCGTACGGATCACTCACGACCGTCTTCATGATTGTGGACCAGTTCAGGTTGAGCGGGCCCTCGGTGAAGGCAATATCAACCGAGTCAAGCCAGTCTTTGACACCCTCCAGTGCCTCGACGGGAATTGTGTTGACGTGCACAGGGGGTCGGTGAAAGTCCTTGAAAACAAAGACCAGATCGAAGTTTTTGAGACCAAACTGTACTCGCTCCAGATGAGCAATTTCAATCTCGTTCAGGGTGATAACCATGAACGGGGGCTCAGTCAGTTGAACAAGAGCATCTGTGGTCGGCTGAATCAAGACATTGGAGCGGTTGGGAACACCGGTGAAACCAATCTCACGGAAGGGAATGTCGACATCCACGCCCTCGTCCTTGCCAGCATCCGCGATCTTTTCAGCAAACGCCTTGAACTCACGGTCAAGCGCAGCTCTCCGACGTCTTTCCTCTTGTTCGGCCTCGAATTCTTCCTCGTCGCCATACCGGTGCTTGCGACGGCGGTTGCCAGTCTCGTCAAACTGCATTTCGGTGGCTTCGCGGTAGAACTGCACGTCTCTTGTCTTTCTCTTTCCAATCATGATGGGAGTCTTCAGGTGCACATGGATGAGGACAATCAGCTCATGGGCACATGGTTGGAAAAAAAGATGCTTGACGTTACTAAAGAGCACATCGACATGCTCATTGCGGAAAGGAGACAAGTATCGAAGACCGTTTTGGTGGATTTCCACTTCCCCGGGGACACGCTTTCCATCCAGCGGAGGCCGAAGGTAGACATCTGGGAGCTTCACTGGTCGACGATCTATAGATTTATGTTAGCATCAACGAGGCCGCATTCCAAAGGTATTGAAAAACTGACTTCTGATTTCAACGAGTTTGTCTTGTTCAACCACATCCTCCATCTCCTTCTTCTCCTGTTCCCGGCGTAAGGCAGTCTTGCGTAGTTCGGTGATGTCCTGCGCGACCTGTGCCAGTCTGTCATTGTCCTTGGAGCGCAATGTCAGATTGCGAACAAAGTGAGCTGACGGATCTTCAAAGGGCTGGTCGTCCTTTCGGCCCACTCCTTGGCCAGGGGAGAGGAAATTGATGCGGAGATAGGCGTAGTCTCCTTCATCGCTCTTGCTGGCGTTCTTGATCGTGTTGATGTGGAACGGTACCGGTCTTCCCATAACGGGCACAATAACGGTGGAGGCTTTGTGATCAACGTAGACAATGAGGTCTTTGACCTTGGCGGGCAGCTGATTGTCTCGTTTATAAGATTCAAAACGCTTGAACTTCTTCTGTGCCACACCATTGTCGTCTCCAGTAGTTCCTGTAAATCTGTCCAGGCCTTCCTTGGTCTTCTTCGAGGCCAACTCTTTCTGATGCTCACGACGACGTGCCTCGGCACCTTCGTTAATTTGAGTTGGTCGTTCAGCACGGAGCTTCGTTCGTGTGACATTCCGGCTTGCCACTGCACTAGACTTTGACTCTTTCTTCTCCTTCACCGGCTTTTCTGGCTCCTCGTCATCTCCAAAGTAAAACGAGACAGAATCCATATCAATACCGGCATCTTTGGTGAAGATGTGAGGGCCATTGTCTCCAACACGGACGGTATCGGTGATGACCATGGAGTAGACGTTGTTTCCCTTCGCGTCAGAATCCTTTACGTCAGTCAGGCCGACAGTGATTGACAGTGTCATGCCGTTTTTCAGGACTCGGTTGTTCTTTGCGTTGAGGACCATGTTCGAGTCGCGTAACTCAATGCCAATCCCCGCACCGATGTTCTTAACCAGATGGTTTTCAAGTTCGGGCTTTTTCGACCGGACGAGATTAAGTGCCTTGTTGTACAGATCCTTAGCAACCACCCCGTCGCGAATCTCTTTCATGACCACTTCATGGAGATTCAGCAGGAATGCGTAGTTTGCTTCTTGGGACTTGCTGGGATCCACCAGATAGGTCCGTCCGATCAACGAGTTGTACGTCTTGTATCGGATACCAAAGCTCGAAAGAATAATGCCAGGTTCCAAGTTTTTGCCGTCCGATGTCGCAGTCAGCTTCAGGTCGTACGATCCTCCGCTCTGAACCACAGGGCCGTAGGCCCAATCGATCTGATCAGCATCAAACTCAGATGGCAGGCGCGCCAGCTTGTTGAAAAACTTTGCATCGTCAATCTTCGCATCAACCTTCGCAGCAAGAGCTTTGTGAGTCATCTGCTTTTCCTCATCGAGCAATCGCGACATCTCATCCACGAAATATTCGGACATGAGACCACTGCACGCTCTGGAGGCATTGCGAATTGAAACCTATGTCTCCTGTCAGCAACCTGCAGATGATCCCAAAAGAGGCAGCCAAGCTCACCAGCTCTTCGGGGTCCTTGATCGCAAAGGCAGCTGAAAGTGCAGGCGTGATGTCCACTTCCTCCACCTCCTTCGAGATATCTCCGAATACACGTTTCCAGTCGTCGGCGAAAGGTCCGGATGTGGTGTCCTTCGGCAGGGTGCCAACTTTTTTCTATTGGTTGGGGGTTTAGCTAACGGCCAGAGGGAACAAATTGAGCTTACGGTCTGTGAATCACTTACTCCTGCGCTCTTGATCACATCCAAGCATTTTTCAAAAGCCTTGGTTTTGGTCTCGGGGTCCTTTGTCGTCACCAGAAGCTCGACCGGAATCTTGCCGCCTTTCAAGGGCTCGAGGAGCTCAGCTAAGAAGCCAACAAGTTAGCATGTAACACACATGACGATTGGAGCGGATCAAGTCACCTTTTTTGGCCGTAGTGACTACGTAGACAGCTTCCGTCGTAAAGACGAAGAGGGTAGCGGGGAACTCGTAGCCGAGAAGCCAGAACTGTGAGTCAACGGCATTAGTATCGAAGACGGACAGAAGCTCCAGACATGAAAAGCAGATGACTTACGTGCATAGCGTTGTTCTTCTGGAAGGAGCTCTCATCGGTCTTGGTTTTGCCCATGAGGATGACCATGGAGTCCGCGCCACCGAACAGCGCATTCCCCGAGCGCTTGTCTGCCTTCCATGATGCATAGAGGTTGGATAGGTGGTTGAAGAAGTTGTTTTTGTCAATCGCGATCTTCTCGGCCATCTTGGACGATCTGGTGCGAGCAAGAGCCCGGCAGCAGCGAGACTGACGACACGAGCAACGGGCAACTGGGAGCTAGGTAGGGATCAAGATTGCATGCGAGGAGGGTCCAATCAGGGGATTGATGAAAGAATCGATGGTAGAGGATGGAAGAGAAACCGCAAAAAGAACGTGCGGCTGGTTTGGGGAGTGACCCTTGAAGAGGACGCGAAAAGCGCTTTTTGAGTCGCAGCGGGTTCCCGTGCTCAGTTTGCCCTTTTACGGATTAGCGTGGGCTCCGCTCTTCTGCTTCTCTCACTCTGCACTCGCTTTCTGCCTTGACTTTCTTTTGCATTCTGCTTCTCCCAAGAGTCTTTAGACTCTGCAGCTGCAAACATGTTTGACTTGGAATCCTACTTGGTCATTAATTCCCCCTCCCTGTGATCGAACTGCTCTCTCCGCGCTCTCTTCGGCAACGCAACAAACCATATCATGGCCGTGACTGCCTGTCGATAAATCCGAAAGCTGATATGAATCCTATCTTCCTCGAGCCTCATTTGACCGAACCGGGGCATCGGAGAAAATCACGCAACGATGCTGCCACCGGAGCGTCCGCCGCCGGTGTCCGCGCTCTCAGTGCGCAGATGGTGGCTTTCTACTTCAGGGCACCGATCAAAGCCTTTTTTCGCACCCGAGTCGAGTAAGTACTCCTGCTGCTCATGATGTCCAGCCGTTCTTCGCTGACCCTAGCATAGTTACATGGTACATCTTTCTTCACTCTGCACAGGTTTAGATCCACTACTCACCGGCCCTCTTTATTTAAACAGGCATTTGCAAGAGCAGTGAACCCGCGCGTTGCAGAGGGAAAATGGTCCATCCATACTACTACCCCCGGATTGTTGATTCATGCCGTCCGGACATACGGCTGGCAATTCATACCGAATCAAGTATTGCCTCCTCTGATAGCGAATGCCGGGTGAGTTCTACACAGCAGCACCTTTTGACGAGATCGTAAAGTCTGACGTCCATTCTTTTCTACCGTAGTGTTGGCGCTGTCCTGTATACGTCCTATCTTCAAGTTCTGGGTGCCCTTCATGAACCCGAGTCCCAGGGAGCGAAGCGAATCTGGCCTCCCGCACCTCCCTCCGCGACCTTCACGGCCGGCTTTGCAGCGGGCACCCTCCAGTCTATCATTGCGGCCCCGCTAGACGCTTTGCAGGTTCGACTCCAGACCAGCGACATGTTACAAGGCCAGTATCGAAGTATGTGGCATTACGGACACCATAAACTCAAACAAATCGGTCTGCGGGGTGTCTTCGCCGGCTGGAGCCTATCCTTCCTGCGCGACTCGCTTGGCTATGCCGTGTTCTTCTCTTCATTTGAATACGTCAAGTCTCAGTCGTATTACTCTTTCATCACATGGTATTATGGATCCTTGCGTGCCGACCATTTGCAGATGCTACCTTCATCCGGCTCCAGTGATCGTGGTGTCCCTCTCATCAAGCCGCACTATGCGCTGGAGCCGTGTTTCCTCATGATGGCCGGCGTGGTAGCCTCAGTGGCGCAACAAGCTATCCAGCATCCACTGAGCAGAATTCAGGACCAACATCTGGGACGATTGGAGTACCTTGATCACCAGGCCAGTCTTGACCACACGCGGAAGCAGATGCTGCGTCTATACTACCACGCCTACCAGGAGACGTGGAAACGATGCGAACGCATGGCCGTTCGAGCTGGTGGTTGGCGACCGTGGCTGTTCCGCGGTTTCGCGAGCAGCGCCATTCGTCAAGTGCCTAGCACAAGTGCAGGTCTGGTGATCTTCGAACTCGTGCGTCGGCGATATGCGAGTCTGGATGATACCGTGCATATCCAAAAGGACGGATACGATATCCTTCTTGCCTAGGGCCCGCACTTTTTCTTATTTATTTACTTTTTTTCTTCTTTTTTTCTATTATTTGGATTTGGATTTGGATTTGGTGTTATTTTGTGACCGGGGAGGGCTGTGAACATATTTGAAGTTTAGTCACGTTGTCTTTGCAGATGATACCCTATAGACCAGAAGCAGAATACCCGATGCGGGATGTGAGATGCGGGGACTTTCCAGACCAACCTCTACGCTAGATAGCTCATATGTATAGCAGGCACGAAGTAATCCGAGATGCCCAACTAGTTTCCTAGCGACGTGCCAGAGTGGAATTATAGTACAATAAAGTGCAATGATCACAATCAAATGCCATGATCTACTAATCCACGGAGCTTCTGCGCGTGTTCTGGGTTCTCCACCGGTGTGGATCATTTCCCGGATTTGATTTGACGCGGTTACTTGACGTAGGCTGAAAGCGACCCGTATTTGTTAAGACTCCCCTGAAGTCCTCAGCTTCTGTTCTCATCAAATCTGAAGCATTGCTCTTGTCCCAAAGATGATAGGATTCTCCAGATCGTAACTATCATCTTAACCCAACACATCTCGTCGCAACCATTCTTCTTGCTCTCCGTATAAGCAAAAGCGGAAGTTTACATCGAAACCCCAAGCGCCAACTCCGCCCCGCCTGACCCTTAGCACCGACTCCGTCATCCTGCGTCCGCGTGAGCTGTGTGACATCCGTGACCTAGCGAGAGTCCAGAAACGAGTCCAATAGACTTCCAACGCTCTCAGAGAATCGAGTTACTGCCCGCCGTGACCGCTCCTGGCTTGATCCCCAGAGCCGAAAGGGGCCTCATTCCCCCTGCCTGATTTGCCTGATCGTACGGAGGATCGACCTCGCATTTCTTTGGGCTGACTTCCAGCCCGTCGCCAACATTCCTTCTCCAACCTCCCCGCGCGCCATACCCCTCCGTCCACTACCCGACCCCAACAAGTCCCCCGTGCAGGAACCAGCCAGCGAGAAGGGTAGTCGACGATCGTCTCACTCGTCTGCTCGCTCCGTCGAGTCGGACTTCTCGATCTGGTCGGACACCGGTGATCTCGCCGAGCAGCTCGCCGAGGACCCGTTCCGGTCCCGCCTTCGCAACTCTTCAGATCGAGAACCCTTAGGCTCACGGAAGAAACGCTCAAAGCGGGTCCATTACCCGCAGGACCTGGACGACGACTCCCAGTCGAGCATACAAGACGAGAAACAGAAAATAAAAATCCCAAGACCTCCGCCACGGCGTGTATCCAGAGTTGAGCGTATCTTGGCCGCCATCATGTCTCCCGGCAATCGGCAGAATGCCCAGATCCATGGCTTGGTGGGAAAGCCGTTGCTGTGAGTATCGTCTAAGTGGGTGATTTGACACGGCTTGCTGACCGGGCCTCGTAGATACTTCACGAGTGTATTTGTATCGCTAGGCGTCTTCCTCTTTGGCTACGATCAAGGTGTCATGTCCGGCATAATAACGTCTGTATCTCTAGTTTCCCCCACCCCCTAAACATGAAAAACCTGGGACCGGGCAATACTAACCGATGAACAGCGGATGGTACTTTCGCGATTACTTTGGCCAACCGTCTCGGGCTACGATCGGCACCGCGGTGGCCATTCTTGAAGTCGGCGCCTTCGTATCCTCACTTCTTGTAGGACGTATCGGTGATTTGATCGGCCGCCGCAGGACCATTCTCTACGGGTCCATCGTGTTCTTCATAGGCGGCGCTCTACAAACATTTTCAACCAGCATGGCCTTTATGATGGTGGGTCGAATCATCGCCGGTCTAGGCGTCGGTGCTCTGTCGACAATTGTGCCCGTTTATCAGTCTGAGATATCGGTAAGCTTGATCTGCTGTCTTCGAGAGAGTGCTGAAATCTGTTCATTTGATGTGCTGACGAGGGGTATAGCCTCCACACAACAGAGGAAAGCTAGCCTGCATAGAGTTCACCGGCAATATTTCTGGATATGCAACCAGTGTGTGGGTGGACTACTTTTGTAGTTATATCGAGTCAGATTACTCCTGGCGCTTGCCCTTGCTTTGTCAGTGCGTTATGGGCGCATTACTTGGTATGGGGAGCTTGATCATTTGCGAGTCGCCAAGGTAAGACCGAGAGACCCGAAGCGTCTACGTGCTTTTCTAACTCGATTGGTGTTTAGATGGCTCCTAGATAATGACCATGATGAAGAAGGCATGGTTGTGATTGCCAACCTCTACGGCGAGGGAGACATTCACAACGACAAGGCCCGTCAAGAATACCGCGAGATCAAAATGAACGTTCTGCTGCAACGGCAAGAAGGTGAAAGATCTTATTCCGACATGTTTCGGCGCTACTCCAAGCGAGTCTTGATTGCCATGTCGGCGCAGGCATTGGCCCAGCTGAACGGAATCAATGTCATTTCCTACTATGCGCCCCTGGTCTTTGAATCGGCTGGTTGGGCTGGTCGATCCGCCATTTTGATGACTGGAATCAACGGCATTACATACCTGCTATCCACCATTCCTCCCTGGTATCTGGTGGATAACTGGGGTCGGCGTCCCATTCTTCTATCGGGAGCCGTGGCCATGATCATCTCACTCTCCATGATCTCGTACTTTATCTATATCGAGATCCCTGCCACCCCCACCTTAACTGTCATCTTTGTCATGCTCTACAATGCTGCATTCGGGGCTTCCTGGGGTCCAATTCCCTGGCTCTACCCACCGGAGATTCTGCCCTTGAGCATCCGCGCGAAAGGAGCGAGCCTGAGCACTGCATCCAATTGGGCGTTCAACTGGCTTGTTGGAGAGGTGACCCCCGTGCTGCAGGGTGCCATCAAGTGGCGATTATACTTGGTGCATGCCTTTTTCTGCGCATGCAGTTTTGTTCTTGGTAAGATATTTCCCCCGACGCGAGTGATATTCATATCTAATTCTAGCTCCCGCAGTCTATTTCTTATATCCCGAGACCAGCGGTGTCCGGCTAGAAGACATGAACATATTGTTTGGAGATGCATCCACCGCTATGCCCACTCCTGCTACGGAGGGTGAACGGGGGTCTCTGATGGGTGCTGGCTCGCCCGTCCCTTCGCTCGATATTCGTCGGCAGTATGGCCAATTTGGTGCGGAGAGCGCCATCCCGGGGCTTGATATTGATCCACCCTCATTAAGCAACAGTGGTCCTAGCAAAGCTGCACGACGCGATTCGCAGAGTACTCGGGGAGAGGGTATTGGTGGCTGGATCTCGAACATGGTCAATCGCCACCGAGGGCCGGGTGTTGGTAGCAGCCCGAGTCAGTACAAACGTCTTGATCAAGGAGAGGAAGGAGATGGAGCATAGGAAGACCACGTCCATCCCCCATATCTCTCCTGCTTCCCGCCTGCTTTCCGCCTTGCTCGGTTCTCAGTTTCATGGATGTCGTTTTCTTTTGGGACTCTTTCAACCTCTCATACACTCCTTCAGAGTTGCACATCCAATGATTGTCTCTTTCGAGGCTCTCTGGGCTTGTATTGTCATTTATGTTGCTTTCTCCATCTGGTATATTCGATAGAGGAAACAAAGAGGCTTCCCTGCTCCGAGCCTCTGTCCATTGCTTATTTGTCGCGGGGCTACATATGTATACTTCCAAGTTGTAATTACAGACCATGTCAGCATGAATATGAGCATTTTCGCGAGTAACAACGAGACTAGGATCAATCAATGCGGCCGTCCAGCAAATTAATAACTACCCCGAGTACACAGGTAACCGAATCCTGGAAAGGGGGCTGATGTTACTATAATCGGACGTGGCCACGTTCACCCGAAAACGGCCCCCTCGGCGCTGAACGCTAAAGCGGAACTGTTTATTCTGGCCAGCTCGGCCTCTTCTCTTTCTCTTCCAACTTTTCCTTTCCCCTCTTCTGTTTCTTTTTCTTTACCATCTTCTCTTTTCAGATTATAGTCATTGTGGCCTCTGCGGCCGCTATGATTCTTTGAGACATTCTCCTACTCTCCTTTACGAACTCCCTGCTGCTCTCCCCGATCCGACCCTTGAACCTTCCTTCGTTTACAATCAACACCATGGCGGACATCAACACGGCCACGAGTACTGGGGCCAAACCTGATGCCGACCTGCGGCGGAGAATTGTCCCAGATTCTGGGATACATCAGGCCCCCGCGTTGCGACCGGTCGAGCACGATGTGAAGAAAACCCGCTCATCGCAGGTAAGGGCTTTCTCAATCCATTGTGTCCCACGAGCTTTTCTAACGGTTTTTCTTCTTCTTCGTGGCATAGTCGCCCTCTTTCATACACGTCCTCGCTGGCTGGGAACCGATTATTGCTCCCATTGTCTTGACGGCCCTTTCCCTTTTTACTCGACTGTACCGCATCGGTCGCTCCAACATTGTGACGTGGGACGAAGCTCAGTAAGCTACCATCCCACCAATACAACACACATCGACCCTGACTGACCTGACCTAGCTTCGGAAAGTTCGGTTCTCACTATTTGAAGCGCGAGTTCTACTTCGATGTCCATCCGCCCCTGGGTAAGATGCTTGTTGGCCTTTCGGGCTACCTTGCCGGCTACAACGGATCCTTTGAGTTCAAGTCCGGCGAGAAGTACCCGGAAGATGTGAACTATACTTTTATGCGCGCCTTCAATGCTTTGTTTGGCGTCGTCTGTGTCCCTCTCGCCTACTACACTGCTCGCGACTTGAATTTCCGCCGGGCCACCGTCTGGCTGATCAGCTTGATGGTTCTCTTTGAGAACTCCTATGCGACCATTTCTCGCTTCATTCTTTTGGATTCGATGCTTCTCTGCTTCACCTTCACAACCACGCTATGCTGGGCAAGATTCCACCGCCTCCAGAACGCTAGCTTCTCTTTGGAATGGTATGCCTGGCTCTGCCTGACTGGACTAAGCATCGGCTGTGTCTGCAGTGTCAAATGGGTCGGTTTCTTCTGCACCGCGATCGTTGGTCTCTACACCGTCGAGGATCTGTGGAACAAATTTGGCGACTTGAAGATGCCGCAAGTGAGTATTGACCTGAAACCTTGTGGACATAGTTGACTGACTGGGGTTTGACTAGACTGTTCTTGCGAAACACCTCTTCGCCCGCGTGGGAGGCTTGATCGTTATCCCCGTGTTGGTATATATGTTTTCTTTCTACCTGCACTTCCTCGTCCTTTCGAACAGTGGCCCTGGTGATGCCCAAATGAGCTCTCTTTTCCAGGCAAACCTGCATGGCACCGAGGTCGGCAGGGACAGCCCTCTCGAGATTGCACTCGGATCACGAGTCACTCTTAAGAACATGGGCTACGGAGGCGGCCTTCTGCATTCGCATGTTCAGACGTACCCCGAGGGATCGAACCAGCAGCAGGTCACATGTTACCACCACAAGGATGCCAACAACGACTGGTTCATCTACCCGAACCGCAACGAGCCCGACTTTGATGACACTGCGGACTTGAAGTTTATTGGCGATGGAGATGTCATTCGCCTGATCCACGGGCAGACCGGTCGCAACCTGCATTCCCACGCCATCCCCGCGCCGATTTCCAAGTCCCACTATGAAGTGTCTAGTTACGGAAACATTACTATCGGAGATGACAAGGACCACTGGAAGATTGAGGTGGTGGATGATGCTGCATCCCGTGATCACTCGAAGATTCGTACCCTAACCACTGCATTCCGGCTTCGCCATCCATCCCTCGGCTGCTATCTGCGGGCTGGAAATGTCAATTTGCCCCAATGGGGCTTCAAACAGATCGAAACAACCTGCGTCAAGGAAAACAAGCCGAAGGATGTGTACACTCACTGGAATGTCGAGTCGCATACCAATGAGCGCTGTAAGTCCACGGCCTCCTTTCCCAATTAGCCTTCGGCCCTTGTTAGACATTGTTTATTAACGAAGTATATGCAGTGCCCCCCGGTGACCCTGGCTCTTACAAATCGCCTTTCCTGAAAGACTTTATCCACCTGAACGTTGCCATGATGACGTCAAATAACGCTCTGGTTCCTGACCCGGACAAACAGGACGACTTGGCGTCTGCATTCTGGCAGTGGCCTATTCTAAATGTCGGTCTACGGATGTGCTCTTGGGATGACAGTGTGGTGAAGTACTACTTGCTTGGAAATCCGCTCGTCTACTGGGGCAGTTCGGCGAGTCTCGTCGGCTTTGGTCTTGCATTCCTGTGGTATCTTCTGCGGTGGCAGAGAGGCTATCAGGAGCTGAGCAAGGCGGACATTGATCACATTCACTACTCTGGACTCTATCCCGTCATTGGCTGGGTTTTGCACTACCTTCCATTTATCATCATGGCACGAGTGACCTACGTCCATCACTACTATCCGGCTCTCTACTACGCCATTCTTACTTTCGGTTTCTGCGTTGATTGGTTCACCCGGAGCGCGAACGCTCGGGTCGTCACCGCCGTTTATGCTGTTCTGTATGCGATCATTATCGGTTTGTTCGTTCATTTCCGAGATATTGTGTTTGGAATGGAGGGCTCTAATCAGCAGTGGGCTCACCTGCGTTGGTTGCCCGGCTGGAAGATTGCGAACTAATGATGAAGTTCGAGAAGGGGAGATTTTGCGATGTTTTTCTCTTTTTCCCCCTTGGTGCAAGAGGTTGACCCACATCTGTCCAACCTCAAGTTTAATGGGAATGCCCTGCGAGAGAGCAGGGAGTAAGGAGAATCTTGGAACTATAATGATGATCATTTCGTCTCGATAGGCTATGCATTATTGTAAATGGAATCGAGTTCATTAGTTATGAAGTGTCTCATCTGTACACCTTAAGACGGCTTTCTCAGCCTGAAGCTTGCTGTGAAGTAATACCCTATCGAGCTCGTGCTCTAGCAACACCCTCCAGACCAGCCGCTGCCTTTGCGCATCGCATCATCCATGCCTAGAGTTACGGTTCTCGGGACTCCCGTATTGGCACCTCCAGAGGCTCCAAAGCCTTTGACTCCGCTGCGTCGGTCATTGAGGTCGTATCTACCGGCTTCGATATTGCGGTAAATCCTCTCGGCCACTTCTAAAAAGGCCCGTTCAACGCCATCTCCAGACTTGGCACTCGTCTCGACATAGCGCACGATGTTGTTCAGACGGCACCATTCCTCGGCCTCTTCCACAGTGACCTGTCTTTGGTTGGATCCGAATTCCTGCCCGGTCAAGTCCGTCTTATTGCCAACCAAAATGACCACGATGCCTTCCTCCGCGATCTGGCGTAGATCCTGGAGCCACTGCGTACAAGATACGAAGGTCGATCGCCTGGAGATGTCGAAGACGAGGAGGGCACCGGAGGCGCCGCGGAAGTAGGAGCGAGTGATGGATTTGTAGGTTTCCTGGCCAGCAGTGTCCCAGAGAGAAAGCTTCATCCGTTTCTGAACGGACGAGTCCTGCGGCTTGCGCGGTGGGGTGGGAAGACCCGAGGCTGTAGACTCCTCTAGGGTCTCGCCGGAAGGTCCAGAGGAACTGTGAGAACGCTCGTCTAGACCCAGCTGTAGCGAGGCAGGTGGGCCCACGGGCACAATCCTCGACCCAAACTCAACCCCAATAGTGACATCGTGAGAGGGGGAAAAGCGGCCTTCACAGAGGCGGATGGTGAGCTATTGTTGATTAGTGCTTGGCCGGGAAAATCATCATCGTGGAATACTCACGCTGGACTTCCCGGTGCCCGAGTCACCAATACAGACAAGCTTAGCGATGTAATCCCATGGCTGTGACATGGAGAGAGTCGGTTTTCCGAAGATGCGGAGAGCTACGGGGCTCCTGAAGAGCTGAAGGTTGATGGTTATCGGAGATGCTGAGTCAGCTATCGGGGCCTGACCTGCCCAGATGACGCTTGCATCGCCTGAATGACCTTCTTGAAACTCGTCTTTCTCTCTCACGTTCTCCTGTCGGGATCATATTACCTCTTCCCCTTCCCCTCTCACCCCTTCTCCCTTAGCACAGTTGTATGCTGGCCCGTTTGCTATTACAGCGGGCAACTCTTCTACCTTTCAACCTGATCTCCACACCGATAGTGGGCCATGTTCTCGGAATGTATATTTCACGTCCTTATTTTGGTTCTATGCGGGGCTGACCATGACCCTTAGATGCCTCACGCTTTCTTGCTCAGTCACAGTCCCGAGTAGCCTCTCGCCCGGACGAGCTCCAGAGAACCGGCCGTGCTCATCCGAACCAACGCCAGGGCAGTACGAGGAACCCACCCTCCCGCTCTTCCCTGAGAACCGGCGATCCATATAGGCCCGGGACATCCCAGATTTCCAATTTCCCTTTTGCCTCGCGAACTTCAGCGCAACCGGCCCCTCTCTTCTATAGCGCCACTGATGAATTCCGGGAAGAAGACGACGAAACTGAGCGGGAACGCGAGATAGCCGATTTCTATGCACTACAACGATCAAGACGGCAGTTTGGTGACAGCAATCTTAAGGACTCCTCCGAACTTGAGGACTCCTCTGAACATTCGGCCAGTTTACATGAGGGAAATTCTTCTTACGATGATCGCCCCGGTAATGGAAAAGGGATCAAGAGCTCGTGGCGTGGTGAAAAGGGAGCACCTGCCCCCCATCACTCTCGAATCGAAACTGTGGCAGAAGAGATGGAGCAGGAGCCGGGATCTTTCACGGGCCCGGGAAGTAGCAGGACTCGAGGCAATCTGGTCGATATAGGACTCGAGGACTCCCTACGAGACAACGCTGGGGATGAGGAACGCACTCCGTCGGAAATTGTCGGTGATGACCCGCCTATTCAACGCTTCCGACAAAGACCTTCGACTCTAGAGGACTCTTGCGACTTCAACTCATTCAGCTCTCCTGCTGAGCAGACCAAACCGCTCACCTCCGAGTTGAATCGGCCGCCAAGTTCGGCAGGTTCCTTCCCCGCTTCTATTTCGCCGCTCGCTTCAGAAACCTCTGTACACGACATATTCTGGGGACAGTTGTTCCTCATCTCTCTCGCTGGGTTGTTTGCTACATCTTTCCTGGTCTGGTTGCATACATCTACGCCATCCGGTGACAAGTCTAAATGGGGTGACACAATCTACTTGACTGTCCACAGATCTTTCTTCCTTCTTGGGATATACACGCTTGTTTCTGTTCTCGTGTCTCTCCTTTGGCTCGCGTTGCTACGATCTTACGTGCGAATTTTAGTCTATATGATTATCGTCGCCGTTCCTACCATCCTATTTTCCTTCTCCCTGTACCCCTTCATCTCGAGCTTCAAGGGCGCATGGCATGGATCGAGCGTCCAGGACAAGGCGATGCGCTGGGGTTCTTTCATCCCATTGCTTCTGGCCGGCCTATGGACCTACAATGTCGTTCGAGGTCGTCGATCCATTGGGAAAGCGATTGGCATTCTCGAATTCTCATGTCGAATTTTGGCCGCGAATCCCGAATTGCTTGCCCTCGGACTGGGTGTTCTTGTCTGCGTGGTATCATGGACATGGATTTGGATGCTGATGTTCACCCGTGTGTTCCTGGGCGGGCACCTGGCTGGACCACGATCCTTTATCATTGATCTGAGCAGCTGGTGGCTGGGTGTCTATTTTGTCGTGTTTTATCTGTGGTCGATCGGCGTGATTTCCGGGGTTCAACGCGCCGTCACGGCCGCGACAGTGAGCCAATGGTACTTCCATCGCCTGGCGAGTCCGGCACCCGCATCACGGCAGATCGTTCAGGCTGCCATCGTGCATGCCACCACCACCCTGTTCGGGACGATCTGCCTTTCTCGCCTCCTCGGCTTGTTGATTCGGCTGCCTTTGATAGTACTCCCCACCCGTCTGTCCTCGTTGCTCAGCCTCTTTGCCTATTCTCTAATCCCCACTCCCATTGCCTACCTGACGAACCCTCTTTCCCTCACCTATGCAGCCATTCATTCCCAGCCACTGGCTGCATCGGCGCGGGGACTGAGCCAGATGACGGTTCTGGCTCCATCGGCAGCCTCGTCATCTTTGCATCCTCGAGCCTATTCCCGCTCTCCAGGAGCGTCTACGTCTCTTATTTCCTATCGTCTTTCGAAGTTGATTCTCCATGCTACACGCTTTATCATGTCTTTGGCTTTGGGCTTCGGTGGCTGGGTCACCACTGCTCGAAGCCTGACCACTGCCGCCACTGGCGGTACGATTCGCGGCAGCTTGTATGCCTATGTGGTTGGTCTGATAGCCGGAGCCATTGGATGGAGCATATTGGGTGCCATGGAAAGTGTTATCGCAGATATCGTGGATGCTTCTGTGATCTGCTGGGCAAGCGAAGTTGGCATTTACGGCCGGGAAGCCCGCTACTGTCGTGAGGCTGGCTGGCTCTTTGGTGACTCGAGCTCGGACTTCCGACCCGAGTATGGAGAAGTCTAGTCCCCTTGCTTTGCTCCTTGTTTCTTGAGCGACGCATTCCCCTTTCATTTTCTTTTGATGTTCATGATCTTTTCCTTCACTATTTAGTGTATATTTGAGCGGATATCACACGGCGATTGATCTTAGCGACACTGAGTTTACGGCGTTGAACAATGGCATTTCTCTTCATTCTTCATTTTAAAGTTTAAGGTCTACGGTCTAAGGCCTGCGGTCTACGGTCTACAGACGCGAAACGTAAAACAAGACAAGTAAATAAGTCATTTGTATTGACTGTGGTATATTCAAACATGGAATAGCTACACATCAGAAAGAGAAATCCAGGGCTCGTGGTATCATGGTAAGAAAGAAAGAAATCACTTCAAATGCAACGGAAAAAGAAGAACCCACCCCCACCAACTGGGACGCCGCGATGATTTCAAATGTCATCATTAAAGAGACAGGCGCCGCTTCCACGTCACATCTTGTTGCATGCACCACTCCTTGAGCAATGAATAACCGAAACGCACCACTTCGACGGGTGGGGTCGTGCCACCAAAGGGAAGAAAATAATCACCGGCGTAGTCCCCAGCTTTGAGTGCTATTTTGCCTCGTTCTGCATGATTGTGAGACCGATGAGACCAAGTGGCGGGAAATTCCTGATGAAGAACGTCTTCAGAGAGAACCCGTGTTCCCTCTAGCCATAGCTTCTGCGATTCTCGGTAGCACTCGAGAAGTCGAGTTCTCAGCTCGAGGAACTCCTTTCGGCTTTTCTTGTTCTCGTCCGATAAAACAGTATTGCCATCGCTGCCGGGAGTGGGCACCGGGGTGTGCTCGCCCGGTAATGGGCTAACTGCAAGACGTTCGAGATCTAGTGCGTGGATGGCATCGTAAGATACGGCACCCAAAAGAAGACAAAGACCGTGCAGGACGGGATATGAGTTGCTGTAATTCCGGACCACTCGCCAGTATGCCAGGATGGACACCCAAGCAGAAGAATCCCCGCCCTGCCGCACAAGAGCCTTGGATTGATCGTCGGCCACAAAGGCAAGGATGAAACACATGATGGCCTCGATTGCAGTCACCAAAGCCAGTTTCTCGTCTGTGGCCGAGGCTCCGGTCTTGGTTCTGGACCGTTCCGAGGCATGTTTCAATTCTCGACCGGTGTTGCTGAACTTCTGGAAGTCATCACGCCAGGCTCGACGCTCGTTATTACGAGGACGGCTTTCTGGCTGGGAAGGCGACTCTTTCGATCCCGGGTCAACCGAGTGACGTTTGTTCGACGGGTTCACGGGGGTCTTGCCGCCGATCTCACCAGTATCAACTCGGCGTGAAATGGAGGCCTTAGGGTCCTTAACCGGAGTTGAGGTAGTTGACTTGGGTCTGTCGCTCTTGGATGGGAAGGAATTGGAGGCTGGCGTAAGAGGCTGTTCGGCAGAACCTTTGCGTTCCTTGAGACTGCCACCTGTAGGACCCATCGATGCTTCTGGCTCGGGGTTCGTCTTTTGTTTTGGCCTATCAGATGCAACAGGGCCGCGAGATGAGCTGGCGTCTTTTCTCCTTTCAAGATGGGATGCGTCTTCATGGTCCGTATCCTGACCAAGCGGCGAATCGGACCGATATGCTTTCCTTTTACCGGAAAATTTGAGAAGGCCTTCGACTCGTCGGCGATTTGCCTTGCCATACCGCAGTTTGACGATGCAATGTTGCTTTGAGGAATGAGAGTCTTTCAATGAAGTTCCGGCGCGGTTGTTCTGGAAACTTGAGTTGCTGCCGCTGTTCGTGGAAATTGGGGTTCGAGAATGAGGTGCATCATCCCGCTTTCCTTTGGTTGCTGCAATGTCGCGTTTAGGCGAGTGCCGGGCTGGAGAACGTTCCTCGAATCTTGCCAGCTCCTTCTCGAGATCCGGCGGTAGTGTAGGGGAGAGCAACCGCGGCAATTTAGCTGCGGGGGGAGTCGAGGAGGGAGGAAGTTTCGTCGGAGGGAGAGTAGGTGACAAGAGTGCGGGCAGCCTTGGAGATTGTGACTTCTTCAAAGTAGCTTCCGTGCGAGTATCCTTCTCGGGGGATAGTCGCGGTTTCTTAGGAGAATGCATGTCGTAGCTCACGGCCGGCTCAGAGCCGAGGTAGTCTAGGTCAGACGTCGAGGGCCGTTTCTTAGGGCCCTTGGAAGGAGAAAGGCGTAAATGTGATATGGATGTCGGAGGCAGGTCGGTCTTATCGCTTTTCTTTGGGGAGTCGGGCTTGGGAGCAGGTTGGGTTACTTCGCGCTTGGAGTTTGAGCCGTCGCGCATTCGCTTATCGTGACCTGTGGAGGACGCGACCGGCGCGGCGGTCTTTTGGTGTTTGTAGTCCTTCAGACTGATCTTCTTCTTAGCTACCGTTTCTTTGGGGGTCTCTGTTGTGCTCGGGGCCGAAGACTGGTCAGCCATCATGCGCCCCGACTCGTCTGACCAATCTCCCACGGCTACAAGTAGCGAGTCTGTGTCGTGGTGTCTCAAAAATGTCATGTATTGAAGTTCTTGCTCCTCTGGGCTGAATGGACGGTCATGCCCTACTGCCCAATTGTTCGCGGCACGGGATCCCAGGCGGAAAGGCGCATTCGTAGGGAGGGTGAGGAGGTAAGGGTGAGGGGGAAGGACGTCGTCGGAGAGACGCTTCAATCGTTGGTCAAGAGCTTCGAGATCAGATGCAAAGGGCTGGTTCGCGAGTTGGGAGATAGTCGTGTCCGCAGAGGGGGGCTGATCGTTCACCGACATCGCAGTCCGCGGAGTTGAACGACTTGGTAAACCATCGATCGTACCGTGCGCGCACCGAGCAATAAATTCGCCGAGCTGGAGCGTGTCACCAAAGCTGTGGTCCCTGGTAGCATGCGCCTGGGGAGAATCGGGAGTCAAAACATCGAGGCGAGGGCGGAGAGATCTGCACCGGCCTCGAGGGGGCTCAGCGGAACATCGTATCGCGATCCCCGAGATAAGATTGGATTTGAGGTATAGGTGACGGAAGGAAAGAAGGTCAAGGGCCACACAGTGGTTCAGGACGAGGATGGTGAAAGATGAATGGACGAGATGGGGGATCCGGGGTTCTGTTTCGGGGGCGCCCGCCTCGCCGCTTTTGGCGTCGATCTACGTGGCTCTCTACTTCTACGTTCGTCGCTGGGGGATAAGGAAGCCGGCACGAGAGAATTGGACCTTGTGATTGCCAATAGGTAGTGACCTGCCCAGGCGGATACCTACTTGGGTACTTCGGTTGAATGAACCAGATACGGAGACGGATTCCCATGTTTATAAAATGACAGGTGCTATCGCGAGCTGCGAATCACTGCTTCATGCCTTCATACATGCGTCCAGCAGGAATCGCCTATTGTCCTGATCTGCCCGTATTCCTTCCTGCATTCATATGACAGTGACTTCAAATCCGGTCATCTGCGGCATACTTCTCCCGCCAGAATGCACGGTAATGCTTCTGCTGCCCGAGACGCGAGATGTCCTCGACCTCCCGAGGGGTCAATTGGAACGTCAACGCGCGCAGATAGCTGGCCAGGCGGGTTTCCTTGCCACTCGTCGTGATAGCCACGCATCCCCGATCGAGAGACCAGCGCAGCAGAATCTCCGATTCACTGACCGCGTACTTCTTAGCCAGATCCGACAACAGCTGATCTAACGGTCCACCACCCGCGCGAGTAATTGGTGCAAGACCGGCATAGCTGACCGTTTTGATCCCCTTACTCTCGTGGAATTCCACGAGATCCCCGTGTTGGAGGTACGGGTGGAACTCGATCTGGTTCACCGACGGCACGACCTTGGCGGTTCTGAGAAGGGTCTCCAGGTGGCTCTGCACAAAGTTGGACACGCCAATAGACCGAGCTTTTCCAGATGCTTTGACCTGCTCCATTGCAGCCCAGGCGGCTTGAAGCTCACTTTCCGTCTCGGCAAAGAAGGGGGCATGGATCAGGTACCTTTCGCCATCAGTACGGTGCATGAGCTTGCCAGAACGACCCGAGAGAACCTACAAGTCAACATAATCGAGCCCAAGCTTTTTCAGGCTGGCGTCAATGGCCGCAGGGATGTCGGCAATGCTGGTGTGAACTTTGGTGGTCACGAACAGCTCTTCACGAGGAAGGCTACTCTCCTTAATCGCGCAGCCCAATTCATCCTCGGTTCCATACACCTCTGCTCCGTCCAGATGGTGATAGCCCAACTTCACCGCGTTCTTCGCCGAATCGACCAACTCCCGGTTGATCCCGCTGTCCGAAGTCTTGTACCATGCAGTACCGGTGCCATACCCGAGCTATGTACCGTTGTAAGCTATGTTCTATGAATACCCCGAAAGTGGGTACTTACAACGGGAATGACGGAACCGTCATTGAGCTTGGTAGTCGGGATGGTGTGAGGGCTCGCCATTGTTGAGTGAAGCAGATACAGACAGGAAATGTCCGGATGTCCGGAATATTAATCCATTTTTAAGAACAAGTCATGGGCGGGGCAAAATGGCGCGGGTCGGTTCCGCCTGGGGGGCCCTGAATAATCATATCGATTTCGACGATACCGAAGCGTAGTCGCGGCAGGACTCGCCGCGATTAATAATGACATGATGTCATTGGTGCTGCAGGGTTCTTCTCCGCGTTTATCAAATTGAAAGAGACGCGTCAAAATCAAAGAGTAAAACCCTTCATGATCTCGGCTCGTGTGCTCCGCGCCTGTTCAGGACGTCGATTTATGTCCTCGCGAACTTTTCAACCGACTCGGAACCGTTTGGCTCAAATGGCCTCTCATCTTTCCCGCTCCACGGGTTCGTCCCTGACGGATTTGCCTAAATCGAATGTCTTTACGTCAAAGCTACCCCCGGACCCGGCTTTCGAGACACCCGAGGTTTCGCACAAAGCTCCTCGGGAAACCTTGGGGCCGCGCATGGTCAAGGGCGCTCTGTTTACCTATGTCCGCCCGGAACCAGTGGACAAGCCGGAGCTGCTTGGGGTGAGCCCCAGGGCGATGGAGGATTTGGGGTTGAAGCCTGGAGAGGAAGAAACACCGCAATTCAAGGCGCTGGTTGCCGGCAATCAAATCTGGTGGGATGAGGAAAAGGGGGGGCATTTACCCGTGGGCTCAGTGCTACGGCGGTACGTATCCCTATCGTGACTTGTGCTCATTCCTCGTACGGGAAGGCTGACTCGAATTTAACAGGATGGCAATTGTAAGTCAACTTGTAGGTTCGTTGCAATATCGGAACTAACAGACCGCAGTGGTTCGTGGGCCGGGCAACTTGGAGATGGAGTAAGTCGATGCACCCCGCTTGGCTCTATGAAAAAAACAATTGCTAATGGGTCAAAAGCGTGCAATCAGTCTGTTTGAATGCACCAATCCTCAAACAAGTACTCGGTATGAGCTTCAGCTGAAAGGTGCGGGCAAGACACCGTATTCGCGTTTTGCAGATGGCAAAGCTGTCCTTCGATCCAGTATTCGCGAGTATATTGTTTCCGAAGGTAGTTCCCCCGAACCTTTGATAAGAGCCAGTCACTGAACATGTACAGCTCTTAATGCCCTGGGTGTACCGACGACTCGTGCACTATCCCTGACGCTATTGCCTGACGCAAAGGTGTTGCGAGAGCGCATCGAACCGGGTGCGATCGTGGCCCGATTTGCCGAGTCCTGGCTGCGAATTGGAACCTTTGATCTTCCTAGGGTCCGAGGTGATCGTCAACTCATCCGAAAGCTCGCTACATACGTCGCGGAGGACGTCTTTGGTGGATGGGAAAACCTCCCCGCCGCGGTTTCCGTGGGTGAACAACAGTCGAATGTCGATAACCCCCAGAGAAACGTACCCCGGGACGAACTGCAAGGACCCCAAGAGACCGAAGAAAACCGATTCGCAAGGCTCTATCGCGAGATTGCCCGACGCAACGCAAAGACGGTTGCGGCATGGCAGGCCTATGGGTTTATGAACGGTGTGCTGAACACAGATAACACGTCGCTCTATGGCCTGTCGCTTGACTATGGACCCTTTGCTTTCATGGATAACTTTGACCCGTCGTACACTCCTAACCACGATGATCATATGCTACGGTATTCTTACAAGAATCAACCCAGTATTATCTGGTGGAACCTGGTCCGCCTCGGTGAATCCCTTGGCGAGTTAATTGGTGCTGGGAGCCGAGTGGACGAGGAGGCTTTCATCAAGGACGGCGTCACCGAGGAGATGGAGGCGGAGGTCATTAAGCGTGCGGAATCCGTCATCGAAAGAACCGGCGAGGAGTTCAGAGCGGTTTTCCTAAATGAATACAAGAGATTGATGTCTCAGAGACTGGGACTTAAAACACAGAAAGAGTCGGATTTCCAGGATCTGTTTTCGGAGATGCTGGATACTCTGGAGGCACTGGAGCTGGATTTCAACCACTTCTTCCGACGCTTGTCGGGGCTGTCTCTATCCGAGCTGCACTCCGATGAGAAGCGGAAAGAAGTAGCGTCGATCTTCTTCCACGCCGAGGGCTTTGGTGGTATTGGCTACACTGATGCCTCCGCCCGGGAACGGATTGCCAAGTGGCTTGATAGCTGGCAAGCCCGGGTGCTGGAAGATTGGGGAGCCGGCAACGACGAGGAAAGACGGAAAGCCATGAAGGCTGTCAACCCGAACGTGAGATTACAACCCTACCTTTTCGGTTTCTATGGACCTGACCAGCTGATCAATACAGTTTGTGCCCCGAGGATGGATTCTCGACGAGATTATTGAGCGGGTGGAGCGTAAAGGGGACCGGGAGATTCTGGACCGGGTGATGCAGATGAGTCTAAACCCGTTCAACGACGAATGGGGTCTTCACAAACAGGAAGAGGAGCGGTTCTGCGGTGATGTCCCTAAGTACAAGCGAGCGATGATGTGCAGCTGTAGCTCCTAAAGGGCCCTAGGGATAACAACTACATGAGAAAGAGGCTGTTTGTTTTTGGAGATTAAATATGCATTTCCCCATGCAACTAAGTATCTCCCGTAACGCGCCGTAAAAAGAATCCCATGTATAACCCATTTTATTTGCAAGCCAGACCGCCCTTTGCACTTCGCTTTCCACACGAGAAAGCCCGGTAGACACGGAAAGGAAGATCAACGCGGGAAGACATGAAACAACATGCAAAGAAAAAGACCATGGTCGTGATTCAAGCCGTGAGTGATAATACAAAAAAGAACCCAGGGGAAATAGACATCTCAGATCGTGGCGCATGCAAATAGAAAATTTTTTGTTCCGAAATTACCCAGGGGTGGAAAGGACGAAAGAAAAGACATTGCAAGATCCATTTTAGTTGGGGCACGCGGCCTGGACGTGGCCGGGCTGCTTGCACTTGTAGCAGACACGCTCACCGCGGGCCTCGGTGGTGCAGTCACGGGAAACGTGGCCAACCTCGCCGCCTGCTCATACGTTAATCTCAAGCCCGGAATAAGGAATTTGGAATGGGTAAAAACTGACAGTTGTAGCACTTCTGTCCCTGAGTGCAGTCACGAGCCATGTGGCCGAAGCCACCGCAGGAGTAGCAGGTCTGGGGGCGACCGCCAAAGCCGCCGCCGCCGTAACCGCCGCTACCACCGTAGTTACCACCCTGGGGGCAGCTGCGAGCAATGTGGCCAACCTGGCCGCACTTGTAGCACTCTTGGCCACCGGAGGCACCGCCGTAGCCGCCGCCGCCGCCGCCGGGAGCACCACCCTGAGGGCACTCACGGGACAGGTGGCCGGTCAGACCGCAACGGTAGCAGGTACGCTCCTTGGGAGGGTTGGGGCACTCGCGGTCTAAGATAGGACGGTTAATTTGATCCCGATATCACTCACGGTCGTAAGAATTGACAGTAACTTACTGACATGGCCCTCACCACCGCAGTTGTAGCTATCCAAGACATATCAGCCAAAAGCTCCACCGGCTGATGAGAACGGCGCTTACCAGGTGGGAGTACCCTTCTTGGGGCAGTCCTTCGCCTAAAAAAAACATGTGAGCATTCAGTCGATCGTGCGAAACCCAGCAATCAGAAAGGCATCGTTAATGCGCAAAACGTCGCGAGGAAAGCCATGGTCTTACCTGGTGGGAGGCGTCACCGCCTACGGAGAAAAAATGTCAGTCAAAAAACCCCAACTAAAAGCGATCGCAACGTGCCCGGAGGCTCGCGGGGAAGGTAAGAACAATGGACTAAAATGGGATATTGGAAGGGAGACATCAGAGCTAGCTTTCAGCTGCTCAAGAGATGCCATACTGGCCTATCTCCGGAGCAGTGAGCTGGCACTGTGCGGTGGGATAGGCGAGCGGGGTGGGAGGATAAGAGCAATAACGCACAGTTGTAGCAGGAGCGGTTGGAGCGAGGATCCATCTTGAGCGATTAGAAGGAGTTGACGGAACTGGAAATAGTTTGTGGGTAAGGAAAACGGAGGGGGATGCGATGAAGAGGAATCGTTGAGGGAAGCGGGTGAGGGAGGAATTTTGTAGTGCGGGGAGGGGAGAAAACTTCCCGCGCGACTCAGTAAACGATTTGAAACCTCGGGGCTCTTCCCACTAAACATAATAAAATGTCCACGCTTGAGCATTCACGAGATATGAATCTGACTTTGCATGTGCATTATGCTAGGTCGCATTCATATTTCCATTGACCAAGTTCTGTGGTTGAGCAAATCCTGCACCCTGTAGAGGCATCAATTGCCCTCCAGAGTACCTTGCTAATGCACAATCTCATAGTGAAAGACCCAGATTGCTCTGCCAAAGCCCCGATTTTTGCTGAGAGTCAGTTCCAATATCTTTTTGAACTTAGGCGTAGCTGAGTTCTGGCAACTAAATGACAATGCTTAGGAAGGCATCGGTTTGGCTCGTTGCAACCTTAGCAAGTCTCTGCGCAAAAGGTCCAGGTGTCCGCTGTAGTCACTTATTGAGGAATCGTCATATGAAAGATGACACAGAGTTCCTTATGGCCTTCAGACTATACTGGGCAGGAACGCCAGCACATGAGCAGAACCTGGCCAATTTGCGACTGAGCACAGATAACAAGAGTACTTCAAGGATGACCAGAGATGGGAATCGCATTCAGCGACGAGAAAACTGGGAACTGCATGACATTTATATCCTGGGGCGGCACGAGATCCGCCAGGGTCCCCAGCTCGAGGGGCTCGCACCCTGAGCACGTTGAGGACCTTGAGTACCTTGTGCTACGGGGACTCGCGCGACCGGGTCCCTGGACCTGCGTTAGCGCGCCTGTCAAGCCACGCCCACACTCCCACCGGGATGGATTTGAGACTTGGCCTCAGAGACATTCCAAGTGATCAGAATCGAACGTATCCTGTTGACCATGCCTTTCTACACCAACGGCGCAGCTATGTGAAATCATAACATTCCAGAAGCTGGGTGCCAACTTGCTTCTCTCGGAGGAGGAGAACTCGCTCTTCATCAAACCCAACGCATTCATGCATTCGCGATATCTCCTGCGGGGCACTGGGAACTGTCCCAAGTCCGCCCGCATCCTGTTGGATGCTTTTGGGCACGCGGCCCGACCCCGATTCCATCCGTCGTTTGTTCTCAGGGCTGACTTGAATGCTGTTCTCGGCTTTCAAGGGCCTCCGGCTGCCCAGCGAAGGGACCGCTGCCTCAAGTTCCCATATGCGGATTTCATCTCCACGAGTGCTCACTGACACCGCTTTGCCGCGATTTGTGACTTGTACGGTAGACACGGAGGATGTGTGGCCCCAAAGACGCTGCCCTCCGCGAACAAACAGAGAGCTCAAATCGGAGACCACAATATACATGGTCAGAGTATTATCCGCATGCGAGGTCAGCAGATACGGATGAGAATATGACATCGAAGTTGGCTGCTGTTGGTGCAAGATGGAGGGGACGGCGGGGGTCGAACCTTCAATGTCGGTGGGCTCGAAAGAGGCAGAATGCCGTCGTTTCAATGATGGCGATAGACCTTGCAGCGGTCTCATTCCGTATTGTGAATCAACCGTACTCGCAATACGACAGTCGAGTTGTTGACCGTCTCTATCAAACCGTAGTTCTTGCATCCCCTGTGACCACCCACAGCCAATATGAAAGAAGCTGTACACAATGGTGGCCACGATCTCCAAAGCTGAAACCCGGAGAGACAGCGTCATTGGCGCGATCATGTTTTCCGCTTTGAGTGATACAAGTTCACGCGGCTGGGTGATATCGTTGGCTGCCTCAGGCCGGTGAGACTGACCTCTGAGATTGTATAACGACAAAGTCTTGTGCTGGGAGACGATCAGGAGGTATGGCGACGAAAGAGCCATAGCGGTAATGGCCCCATCACTGAGTCCGACATGTGACGAGTGTAAGATCAAGCGGGAGGTCTGGACGTCAAAAACGTAGCGATTGAAACGGCCATTCTCAAAACCCACCACAATCTCTTGTTGATCCTGCTGTTGATTCACCGCTAGTGCTGTTGGAAGCACGGTGGAGTCCTCTCTTTCGTCTGAAAAGGGGATATTTGCTAGACAGCTCGCTGGGTCTCTTGCGGCCCACGCTCTAAGTCCATGGGGAGCATCCGCCGTGAAGACATTACCAGCACAAAGCTTGACCAATGAAGGAGGAGATGTCGGTTGAGGAAACTCGACTTCAGTGACCCGACATAGTCCGCGCGACCAATTGTGCCGCAATCGATACTGTCTTTTCCAATTCGTCACTTTTCCTTCCTCGGCTAAATGGCTGTGATCAAGCCATGTTGAGACCTTTGGCGAATACTCTGTTTTGGCCGGCAATGTTGAACGCCTTACATTGGCCAGTCGACGGGCACGAGGGCGTACCCATTGCGAGTAATACTGTCGTTTCCACAACTCCGAGTCCCCACTAAGAGTGTGGAATCGATGAGACAACCTGATGACAAAAGTTAAAACCGGCTGCAGAGCATGATGATGGGGTCACTTACGTCTGGCACACATTCAGAGACGATACTGGAAGAAATGACAGAATATTGAGCAGAAGTTCGTCACTCAAAGAAGATAGCCGATCGACAGGGCCAGTCACAAGGTCCCGATTTCGCTTTGCAGAAGGCAGATCAAACGTATCATCTTCCCGAAGGCGTTTGGACATCCTGGTAGATCATCCAAACACATGATATCCTTCCGGCGGTTCGATGGTGAATGGAGAATACAAAAGCGAGGCTTGCGTGCTACGTCAAGCGCCCCTTATCGGTCGCCGATAAGGAATCGGGGAAAGCGGTCGGGCATTATATTACGTGAGGCTAGAGCGGTGAGCTTATTGCCGCTAAGACGCGCCTTATCACCGCGTTTCTCTCGTGGTAAGCTTCCACACCACGAACCTCCCGATGGAGATTCTTAAGGAACTCCATGCTTCAATTTCGGAAGCATGCGATGCCTCGTTTGACAATGCCTACGCGAAGCTGGAGTCTCAACTTGCCATCCGTGAAGCAAACCTGAGAAAAGCCGAAGAGGACGGATCAGCTGCCCGCGAGGCCCGCGAGACGGCAGAGCACAGAATTCAAGAGTTGCAGAACCAAATATCCGTGCTCCAGGAGGAGATCAAGCGCTATGAAGTCGACCCGAAGGACCTTGAATTTCCAGTCGCCTTTGCCAATCTGCAGGATGAATTTGCACCCGAAAACCTCTGGAACAATCATCACAACAAGAAGGATCAGCTGCAAGAAATCCTCGATCATAAATACACAACGCTCTATACCAGCTTACAGACGTTTTCCAAAAGCTGGACCAGTCTTAAAGCAAAAGTACTGCAACACAAGAAGAAATTACGATGTTGGGAAAGGCTGCTAGAGCGGGATGAGTTTACATGTTTTCTTCCCAATGGCGAATCGGTAACTTTTCGAAAGGTGCCAAATGTGGGATTCAGTGACACTGCAAAGTCGACAGCCCCAATTTCAGAAGCGGCACCGCCCTCGGAACGTGAAGCGACGCAGGACTCTGTTGCTGGTACATCATTCACTGAACCGGTCCAGAATGAAGACTGCCCAACAAACGTGAAACCTATGGTTAAGATCGAGGAAGGCAGTCAATCAGTGAATCGCCCAAACCCACCAGAGCCCGGTCGTGCTACGCGGAATCCGCCATCTTCAGAGTCGTCTTCGGATATAATTCCCCCCTTACCACATTTGCAAAGTCGGAAGAGAAAGCGGGTTGTTGCTGCTTCTCATGACCATCTGATGGAGACTGCTCCTAAACGACCAGTACTTGTTAAGAATGAACCGGCGTCATCAAGTCCATTGCATCACTCTGCGTTCTCCCTCGGCCAGCATTTGCCTAGCACTCAAGATCTGGATGAAATTGGTGATACTGTGCAGACGCCTACAAAACGGAATGCCCACCGAGAAGTGCACTGGGAAGACTCGGGTATGGAAAACGAGCCAAGTGGCACCGGTACCCAGCAGACCCAGTCAGATCGACCATTTCAACAATCATCTATACTACGCTCGGTCGATGGGAACGCCCGAACAGACAAGTTTTATAGACAAGAGCTTGGGATGAAAAAGCAGAAATTGACAAACCACCGTGCGGTATTTTCAATGGCAGAAGACTGCGATGCCGAAGAAGATGGTAGTTATTCCAAACGGCATCTCCCGAAAAGCACACCAGCAACACCTCACACGAGGCCACCGCAATCCAAGGGTGACGGAAAAACCACACAGAGCCGGCTCCAGGGCCTTTTGGAGGGATCATTGCCTTCCAAATCACCACTCGAGTCTGCCAAAAATCTTCATGGACCGGGCAATTCCCAGGATTCAATCAGGAATGCCGCTGCACGAAGACATCGTCTTGCTACCGAGTCCCTTTCATCTCGAAACCAATCCGGTGACTCCGCGACCGAAACTGATTCCCAGAATTTCCCGGAGGTGCGCCCAGAAGACGAGCCCTACAGATCGCTCCCTCTAAGTCGTTTAACCCTTGAACATTTCAAGATCAATCCAACCCGAAACCAGGGGCTTGACTACGCATATGACTCGGTTGTTCGCAAGAAAGATGATCGCAAGTGCATCTCCGGATGCACGCGTCCCGGGTGCTGTGGAGATCGCTTTCGTGCTATGGCACGCCTTGGAGGCCTCCCAGCCAATAATTCCACAGAGCAAACGGAAGAAGACCAACGGGCCCTGGAAGAGTATGTAGGCGAGGATCAGCACCTACTGGATGGCCTAAGTGGCCAGGATCGTGACAATCTTCTTGTGGAAGCCAGAGCCAGAACTCTTGCTAATCAATATGGCCGACACCGACACACTCATCAGCGCGCTCAATCTCCGCCTGGTTTTTGGAGAACAGACATGCCAGACACACAGGAAATGAAATCAGACCGGGAAGCAGCACAAAGGCTGGAGCGGGGAAAGGTGGAGGAGCGGTACCGAGAGGCCATGCGACCTGGAGGACTTTGGACCTGGGCAGATGAATGAAATTAACATACCCATGATACCCGAATATAAACACAATTGAATAGCTCCCATGTCATGCAGAATGACGTTACGAGTACTGTAGAAGGCAGGGAACGTCTCCACCGAAAACATCGACCTCGGCTTTTCCGTCTTGGCGCGCCCCGTGACCTCCTCCTCCTTCCCCGGCCTCCCGCCTTCTCTCCCCCGTCTTTCATGGCTATCGGGTTAAACCATGGAGACCGCTCGCAATAACGCTCCCATACCTAGAGTGATGCTAAGCCCTTCGAAATGGCTATCACTCTATGAAGACTTTGTCACCAAGAATGCCAGCTCGGTTGGACAGGTCGAGTCCGCTTTGAGGTCGCTGACCTACATCATTCCAGGTACGACAGAACGCGTTTCATTTCCTGGAAGCGATCACTAACAACTCTCTCATTCACCAGGCCGCTATCGTGAATCAGAAATAGCATCCGAATGCGGTTAGTTCCAAGTCCCCACGCTCGAGGAGGGAGAATCGCGTATCTAACATGACAATGCAGTGCACTCGGGAGTACAGCTCTTATCGCTTTACCATGACTCGTTGGTAGCGCGAGTAATCTCCCGACTACCGTCTACGGTGCCTCGACCGCCGCCCACCCCTCATGCGCGATATACCAAGTACTGGAGCACCCGCTCCTCATTGTACCGGAAGGTCGCCGTCGCGCTTCAAATGCTTCAGTACACAGAGCTCCTGTGGGAAATGGCAGCAAGGCGACGTGGCCAGAAGACTCGTTGGCGCGTCGTCGTATTCCTTGAATTCGCCAAGGCTGTCTGCCGCCTGCTTCTTCTTCGGCTGACCAACTCCAGGCCGCTGGTCAGCCCGCCACTCCCGGAGAGGGAGGTGGACCCCAGATCGACTGAAGAAGAGGAGGACCAGAGCGATTGGAATGGCATGCAGACACCTGTTAGCGAACGTTCCTCGGATCTCAGCTGGACCATGCCTCGTACGGGATTGTCTCTCCCATCTCTCCCAGACGTGAACGACGTGTCGAATTATCTCATCTCCAAAGTCCTCACTGCTGATGACATCAAACCTCCCAAAACTCTGCTACACCGTGTGACAGGACAGGGACAATTGGCGGAGGTTCTGTACATCCTGCGACCTGTGGTATATGCTTTGGCGATGCAGCGATGGAGTGGAGATAAGCGAAGCTGGCGGCCATGGCTGATTGGATTCGGAATGGAGTATGGCTGTCGGCAACTTGCCAAGCGGGACTTCCGTGAACGAGTCGCGGGCGGTCTGCGCGGACTCACGGGTCTAGAGCGAGAGGAGCTCAAAAAGCGTGGATGGTCCATGGGCTGGTGGATGATGCGAGGCGCGTTCTATGAGAACATCACCAAGTACGCTATGATTCACCCCTTGAAATATTGACCAGAAGGCTGACAACGAAACAGGTCGTGGATCCAGAGTGTAACCGGCAAGATGAAAGGGAAGCCGCTCCTGGACCTCGTGGGAAGCGTGGTGGAGGACTACGGATATCTGTGGGACAATTACTATTTCTCGACCTCCACGTTGTGATTGCTCTACTTGCACTACCTTCTCCCGTGATACCCAGTTTTTTTTCCTTTTATTTTGGCATCTTTTTGACGACACTCGTGATTGGAACGTTTTCTTTTGTTTGTAGCTCTTTGAACAGGCCTCTCATAGGGTATCGTCAATGTTACATTAGGTTCGTTATGTCTAGTTTCCATGTTGATGGACGAATCATAGAATTTCAGCTTGTCTTTGACCGTACCATTCTCCAAGTCCACTCCGGCTCGAGCTTTTCCCTGGCCCTGATGCCAGAAGGAACTCGCTGAGCTGCCCTGCTCCGTCTTCCTCATCCACTGGCCAATCCACTCGTGCTCCGCCCTTCACTTCAATCATCTCCTTCGCAGTTCCCCAACTGAAGCGGCACTCATTACCCCACCCAAAGACGGGGTCCATGTTCCGTCGGAGCCAGCCAACGCACTTGGAATCGGATGGGTAGCCACTACCCCATCCCCCAGCGGACGCGCCATCCGACTGTTGAGCGTGAAGCACAGCCTCGTACAGGACTTCCAGCGCGACATCACGCGTCACCTTGGCTGCCACACTCGCAGCGCTCACGCATGGGTAAAGCGAGTCTGCCTTCTTAGCCACCGTGATTTTCAAGGTTGGAAAAATTCGCTCCAATTTAGACTGGTAGGTAGCCGGATTGCCAATAGTATCGATGTATACCTCTCGGACATCCACTCCGCGGTCTTCCACCACACCACGGATGATCTCGATCGTTGCGTCCATCGCCTGGGCGTTCAAGTTGTAAACGGCGGTGCCGGGTCTCATCATACCAGAACCGATGTCGCGGGCAGACAGGGCCTTGATCGCGTACCCACAGGACTCAAACAAGTCCTGGCCGGGCGTATTGAGAAGTCGCATTAGGCTTGCGCGTACGCCGGGTGTGAGAACTTTGCTATCGTCGAAGCTGTGCTTTTCAGCCAAGAGAGAGTGGTGAAGTTCCATTGGCAGATAAAAGGCGCCGTAGACCATTGGGCCCAATACGGGGCCACGGCCAGCCTCGTCCACACCTAGCACACACGGAGTCGTCTCGACGCCATCGCGTGACGCTTTGGCGCGGGACGTGATTGCTGCCGGACAGGGCGTGTAGTATGCGTAGGACTCTCCCGAGAGCAACTGGGCTGAGTCGACACTAGGAGGAATAAAGCACTGGGAGTCCTGGGAGATATCGGGGGATTGATCGTCAGCCATGGTCGATATGAGGGAAAGTTGAAGGGGTGCAGTCATTCAAGCCGAGTATGTGAAAACGCGTCGACTGTTCGGGCTTAGCGGCGGGTGCGCGTTGTTCTCCCCAAATTCCGGCGCAACCATTCCTCCTCCCCCTCCACCTGCACTTTGTTGTGAAACCTTCCCTTCACTTTTTCAGGTCTGTCTATTTAGCATCGATTTTCGCCATGGCTCGTGGGCCAGGAAAGGCCCGCGACTTCGACTATTCGAACGTGGGGACTGCCGGACGGTGAGTCGCTCTCTATTCTGACCTGCGGAGGTGCTAATGCAGGCAATGCGCTTAGACGGACCGGTATCACCCTGAAGGAGGGGCGGCGCGATGAGCATGGAATGGAGGAAGTGGATGGTCTCTTCTCATCCCCGGAGAAGTCGCCTACAAAGTTGAACGGGTATGAAGATGACGAAACTGACGATTCTGCCGGTTCAGAAATGTCTATTGACGAAGGTACGCCGGCATATCAATGTGAATATTTCGCAGAATCGAAGCTGACGTTCTTATCAGGCAACGCGCCTGGCCCTATGGACTTTCTCAAACCTTCGAATCATACGCGCACTTCTTTTCTGGCCCCGCCTACTCGATCGTCTGCGAAGCGTTCTCCTCGAAAGTCCCCTGTGTTGCGATCTTCTCCAGAGCTGGCGAATGACTTCGTGTCTTCCAGTCCCTCCGATGGGAAAGGCTTGATTGAATCGCGTCAAGAATCTTTTCCTTTGTCCACTCGCTCAGTAAATGCGGGCGTGCTCAATCAAAATAATAATGCGCGACATACAAAGGCGCAGCTGGCATCAGAACCGGTCGCTGTACACGATTTTTCGGATGGCGAGGGTGATGAAAACGCAAATTCGTTCGGACAGCTCCAACCCGATTTTGGCGACAGCTTCGAGGTCGGCGACGAAACTATTGTTCGCGGTGTCGAGGTGCCTGAGCAGGATCTGAGCGCCGACTCGTCTCCACCTGCTTTGGCTTCGCGCAGGACAGACAAGACAACATCAACCTCAAAAGCAGCGAAGAAAGGACCCGTGCCGAAACTTGCCCAAGCAAATAATGGCCAACCAAAGCGAAGAGGACGGCCTCCAAAAACCCAAGGCCCTGCCGATGATGAGGCTGGTGATGCCAGGCCACCCAAGAAGCAGAAGACTTCGAGCGGGGAGTCTCAAACTACGCGTGAACCGTTAGACCCGGAGCTTGACCGGATGGTTGAGAACTATGCCCAGCGTTCAGGTCCACTGAAAGGACGCAGCTTGTATATTCTCAAGCGCGAGAATCCCTCCGATACCAGTGCCACACACACTCGCTCGGGCCGAGTATCTGTCCGGCCTCTTGCATACTGGCGAAACGAACGGTGCGTGTTTGGTGATGGAGAAGCTGCCGAGGGGCAGCGCTTCCCACTCTCGACAATCAAAGAAGTCATTCGCACTGAGGATGCCGAACCGGACCAGCAAAACAAGGGCAAGCGTGCTGGTCGAAAATCCAAGAAAAAGAAGCAGAGGGACGAGTCGTCGGATGAAGAGGATGAAGATGCCGATATTTGGGAAAAGGAAGGTGTTCTTCATGGTTACGTACCCAAATGGGATCCCAAGGCACAAGCCAGCAGCTCGGAGGAAGAAGTTCTCGGTAAGACCGATTCCTCGTGCTCTTTTGTATCTCATACTGACGATAGTTCAGACATTGCATACGCTCCTTCTGGCATTGAAACCAGAGAAGTCAAAGATTCCACATTCCGGTTCGCGAAGCTGCTCAGCTCTTCGTTCATTGGGTCGGGTGTCGTTGAGCTTCCCCCCGAGGGTGTGAAGAAGCCCAAAAACTCGAAGAAGATGCATATGGTCTTCTACGTTTGCCATGGCCGTGTTCAAGTCGACATTTCGGGTGTACAGTTTAGCGCCGGCAAGGGGTGCGTATTCCAGGTCCCTCGAGGTAGGTCAAAACTGAATACGTGCGGATTTTGCAATCCTGTGACTGACGTTTCTGCTCGTTTCATCAGGCAACTATTATAGCTTCATGAACCAGCACAACAAAGAAGCTCGACTTTTCTTCACGCAAGGCTGTGTTCCAGGCGAAGGCGAGGGCGAGGCCTCTCCTACATCCAAGAACGGTGTGCAGGAGAGCGAGTTTGAACCTGACAGCGGCGCTTCTGCTCCCCCGGCAAAGTCTCGAGGTCGGCCCAAAGGCAAACAAAAGGCCAAATGATTGTGTTGATCTACGTTTTGCTCATTTGATTTCTTTCAAGCCATGCCGGTGTTTTGACTACGCGCCACGATACCTATCTGTCAGTCTTGTTTCCAGCGAATCTTTTACGTCCAACCCGAGTCACCGGGGCGTCGGTGTCGGCAATCTTGTAATCTATTATTTTCATGATAATTGGGGGAGGACTGGAGGGGCAATCGGAGTTAGAATCTCAATTTACAATGGAATAGTTCATCCGTATCATCAATCATATCTCCTCCATAAGCTCATCCAAGTCGTCATCCAGAGGCGGGAAGTCTCCAACCTCCACCTTCTCGGGCTTCACAAACGCACCTCGCTTTTCGAGGCACTCGAAGTAGCGCAGGCCACCCACGCTACCGTCATTCTTTCCTGTGGGTTCATCCAGCTCGATACCGACCCAAATGGGCTGCAGGTCTTGGGGAAGCTGCCCATCCTGCTCAAGCTCACGGCTCGTGCCGGGGGTGGGAATCGTCGGCACGGGCCCAACAAAGCGAACAATGCCTCGCCGGATATGCGGTGGAGACGAGGGCAGAATGATGGCCCGTTTAGACACAGCGATACCTGCAAACATTGTGAGATATATGTACCGTGGTGAGAGCATAGATCCAGCAAACCTTTGGAGGCAATCTCTCCCCGGTCTTTCTGGACCTGCTTCCGCAGGGCGTCTTCAGGCGAGAGGGCGTTAGGGTCGAAGCGGCCCAGCTTCTGGTTCTTCTTCCAGGCCAGGACAGAGTCCGGAAGCGACTCGTAAGTATCGGTGGGCAGTTCATACTTCTCAACCGATGACAAGTCGGTAAAGTTGGGTCGCATCGCCTGCGGACGGGAGTCGTGAACCTGACGATGTACTTAGCGTGAATCCGGTCCTCTGTAGAAGGAAACATACCTCGATCTCGGAACCCTTGGCGAGTCCGTAGTCCCCGATGAGCTGGTCATCGGAGTCTGCCCACTGATCTGGTCGACCGGGCACCTTGACGCGAAGGCGTTGGCTGCCCGGCGGGACACCCGTCATGGTCTCGAGCTTCCCCTTGAGCTGCATCACGGTCCACGTGGGGGTCACGCGGCGCTCGGTCACGAAGCCGGGCTCTCCATTTGCAGACTTGACCGCAGCCGGACTGGTGATTAAGACGGAGATATCCGCCGACGTAGGCTGAAATGCCATTTTGACTGTGCCCGTTGAGGGGGGTTGTTTGAAAGGTATCTGGGTGGATGTGTCAGGATTGCGGTTATGCGAGTTTGATGGTGGCACGCGGTAGATATCAACAGGGCAGGCAATGCAATGTAAGAGGTCGAGGTTGGGATGGGAGACGGGCTGTATAGAACCGTCCAGAAGAGTTCCTCTATTTGGTGGGTTTTGATATTGCCATATCGGTCTCCTATTGACCCCCAGTACGAGGCTCAAGGATAACGAATATTGAATTGGGGACAGTAATGGGAGATAATCACGGAACCAAACACACGGTCTGGTCAAAGCAACAGGATGTACTTACGTTAATGCACAGCGAGACGAGAGATTCTCTCCTGAACGCACCGCTCAAGTCGGGATGCGCTTAGTCAGCGTGCAAGGAACGCCCTGGGACACGATTCACGTATTGAACATGGGCGAAGTCGAACATGAACATGGTCCTTCTTGGCTGGTGGAGATGCAAGGCAGATGCTTGTTTCGAGGGTCGATCCCAGGTAGCACTATCTCGATCTGCGGTCGGTTCTACAATGCATGTAAGCGGCTGAGTTTCGGGAGATGGCCCAAGCGTAGGTCTCTTCGGTGTGACTTCAGAGAGTCAACTGTATCAATTGTATCTACACTTATCTGAATCTAATCTGTCTATTCGAAATCGTAAACACAATCGTGTTGGCGGGGTCCAACGTAAGAGTTCGAGGCCACGTGATAGCATAACCCGCCTCTCGCTTGACGGCGACTTCACTTCTCTCCCTCAGCAACCATGGACGCCGCGGAAGTGTACGAGCAGAAGAATGTGCACGAGGTCTACCAACAGATCGCGGAGCACTTCTCTTCCACCCGCTACAAGGTATGTGTCTCCTGTCCTGCCTTGATTGCTGGGACTAACGGGATTTTCTAGCCATGGCCCATTGTGGAGCAATTCCTCAAGGAGTTACAACCCGGCTCCGTCGGTCTTGATGTGGGTTGCGGCAATGGCAAATATCTCACCGTCAACAAAGATGTTTTTATAATTGCCTCAGATAGGTACGTCGGGCATCGTAGGGAACGTTGTTTCTTATATCAGATTCTCTCTTTTTTTGGGGGCTATCTTTTCTGTGTTTACATCTCATTCTTTCGTATCTCTCTCTTGACCTGGACTGATTCAAATTGACAGATCGGAAAATCTGGCGCGAATTGCGCTTCAGCATCAGCCCCATTCAACCGTGGTGGCTGATATCATGGACCTCCCGCACCGAGATGCGTTCTTCGACTTCGCAATTTCGATTGCTGTCGTGCACCATATATCCACTTCAGCCCGGCGAGTCCAGGCCATCGCCGAGATTTTGCGAACCGTGAAACGCGGCTCAGAGACACAGTCAGGTGGTAAAATTCTGATCTATGCCTGGGCTCTCGAGCAGAAGAACAGCCGTCGAGGCTGGGATAAGGGTGACCCGCAAGACATCATGGTGCCCTGGGTTCGCAAGGCTAAATCAGCCGATGATCAGCCCCAGACGTTCAACCGCTACTATCATCTGTATGAAGAAGGGGAACTGGAGCGAGATATCGACCAGGCCGGAGGCCACGTTCTCGAGTCGGGATACGAGAAAGACAATTGGTGGGTCATCGCGACGCCCAAAACTGCGTCATGATGCGTGCGATGGGTGGTATCGCTCCGAGAACCAGCCTCGAAAGTTGCCATCAGCACAGACGCGCTTGCCAAAAAAGTAAGGCGTTTCGACAAATGCCTGCCCAACAAAACAAGCAAAGAGCTTTCAAACGCGCAAAAGGAGACGGAAAATTCTCTATATAATTTCATGGCCTCCCACAAATCACGGGATACCTCCAGCCGGCGCTATGCAATTCGTATCAAGGAAACAAAGGGAAGCCGTACGGGCGTGATCGTTTATCGTCATCTTAGGGCAGAGTTCGTGGAGGCAATCCCAGATGCGGGCCCATTAGCCCTGGCGGAGGAATGCCCATGTCCGGGGGTCTTCCAACTCCATAGAACTCTCTCGGTGGCATAGGAGCTGGGGGAGCGTACGCAGGAACGCCCGCGGTCAGCTCTTCGAGGGATGGAAGCTGCGTTGGAAGGCCTGGGAGGTGGCCAGGGATCGCGCGCGAGGTGGAGGATTTCCGAGGGCGGGCGAAAGACGTGCTTGCTCGGCGAGTTCGAGTGGTGGGAGGATCGATTGCTGCACTCGACAGAGAGAAGGGCACCACGCCCGCGCGGCGGGCCATCTCCTGCTCACCGAGCTGCCAGTGCATGGCCTCTGCTGCACGCCACGGGATGGCCATTTCCTCCGCTACCTTGGACCACATCTCTGCTTTGAATCTATTTTTATCTACCGTTAGCATTTTGCAAGCCTGCTGATTTCCCGTTCTGATTCCTACCGTTCATATAACCGAGCGAGTTTGTTCTTCTTATCCTCATCCCACTCGCTGCGGCGCTCCAGATAGTTCTGGTAGTGGAGACGGCAACTGATCGCACTGCGACCTGGCAGCCGTTTGCTGATATCCTCCCACTTCATGCCACTGCCTCGCAGCTCGATGATGAGAGCGTCTTCCTCCGGCGACCACTTGGACTGTTTCTTGGCGGGTGACTCCGCCGTGTGAGCGGGCTGCAGACGCTTTGCTGGGAGACCGGGGGCGGTCTTGGTCAAGGACGGCGCCACGGGTGCCGGACCCGTCATGAGAGGCGTCGTCCCTGGAGGCGGAGCCGGCAGAGACCTAGGCGGATAGAGAGATGTAGGGTGTGCCGGGGTGGCTTCTTCCTCATCTTGGGGCTTGAGTAGTAGTGAGATATCCACTTTGGCGGGCGGCAAGATAGGCCGGTTTTGTAACGCAATCATATGCGCGACGTCGGCGGGACTTTTCGGGATTTCAGAGTAAATAGAAAGTCAAGCCCCCTCCAGAGCAGCGTCGAGGGAGGGGAGGAACTGAGAGATCGAGGCTCGTGATCTCAGTCGAATGACGACAGCGACAGCCAACGTTCGATCTCCAGGTGATCAGGGAGAAGTCTGGATCAAATGCACCGACGAACAGAAACTCAAAAGGATATCGCGGTCTCGTGCAACGAATGGTGAGGTCAGAGCAGGAGCTTTGTGAGGGCTACAGCGGCAGAATGGCGGTACAGAAGCAGAGTACCGTGGAATGGTGGGATCTCTCGGGAACAGGATGGAAGTGTGAAGGCAAGTGTCAGAGATGAAAGATGGAAAGATGAAAGTGAAAGACGAAAAAAGTCGACGTATACGAAAAGAAGTGTAGAGAGAGAAATGAGAAGGCATACAAGGGAAAGAGTCCAGACTTGAAACCGATCAACGGTGACAGACCTAACAGACCACAAGCCGGGAATGGGTCAAGTCTAAGACCGTGAAGCCCCAAGTATCGGTATTGTAAAATAAATAAATAATAGAATATCTCCGATCCACTCAGGGCCGCTGCTTTTAATTAAAAGTGTTAAGAGGTCGAGCCCCCTCGTGCTTGTTCTACTATAGTTCTGGCACCCGAGCAACTTCATTTCCCGGTTTGAAGGTCTACGGGTTTACTCGGTCGCTTTGCCGTGAAGGTACCTAGGTATTGCCCAGGTGACCCTGGGATTCGAGAAGCTAGACAGATCACTTCTTCAGGTAGACTAGGTAGACTAGGTAGTTTAGGTAGGCTAGCTAGGGTAGCTAGGAGAATTACCTCCAGTACGGTATCACATCTAACCGAGTCGAGGAAGAGGGGCTAATCTTGGACCCCCCATCGAACAGATGAACATGGTTCCTCCTGGAAGAGAGGGGAGATGGGAGAGGAGAGGAGATGGAGGGGGGGGGGGGGGGGGGGGGGGAGAGGGGAGGAGAAAGGTGGGCAGAGACCCGCATCATCCTGAAATGAGATGAGGATGCGTAACAGGACACTTTAAAGCAAGCACTGACCAGTCACAACGTTGGCAACGGCCTACTCCGGCCCAAACGCTAACAGTGGCCCTAATGCCATGCCGTTGCGACTAAAACCTCGCATTGCCAGGCGATCGCAGGCTGCTCAACGGCTTTCTGCCGCCCGGGGCTCCACCGACCATCACGAGGGGCCGTGTATGGCTTGAGCTGGTACATTAGTCCCCTTCACTAAACCGAGCCGGTCCTCTGTCCGGGACCCTCTCTCGTCCCTTAGTGCTCTAACTAACAGATGCGCTTGCTAGGATCCGGGGTCTTTGCGTATCTTGCGGTATGCCTCCTGTAAACTATACATATGCGCCCCCGAGCGTTCGCCTGTCCCACCCGCAAGAAGTGGGCGTTGCCTCTTTCGAGCTCCAGCTTCCGGTTTGCAGCCTCAGCTTCTCGTGCAACCACTCGGGGATTTTTCTGGTTTCCCTGGGGCTTGAACCCCTGTTCCTTTGGTGGAAAACTGTAGGATTTGCCTCCGTGGTGGATCCCCCTGAGTCCGGGTTCCCGACTTGTCGGATTGTGGGTATTTCTTCCATGTGTTGATTTCCAAAGATTCCCGTTTGGGATTTTCATTACCTTTTCCACGTCATTTCCATCCAGGACGTACCTGAACCAGAAACCCGAGGACTATGAGATTTGAAAATTCGAGGATCTGAAGGAATCTGGGAAACCTTGGGAGCCTTGGGAACCCGGGAACCCGAGAACCCTGGAGCACTAGGTACTACAACACTCCGACCGGTTTGCTTCCAGAAACTGCCGTCACTTCAAAGCGGGATAAGCTCGACGCTGTACTCCCGGGGCGTTGCGCGGCAGGCCCATCGTTCGCAGGGACTTTTGGTCGCACGGCGTCGCAATTGCGATGTTCTTGGGGCCAGACCCGTGCGAAATTGGACGCGTTGATCTGTTGGGCCTAGAATCCGCGCTCCGTCTTCTTCCCCCCCCACCGAACGTGAACGAACACCTGGGAAGCGGGAGGCAGATGAGGGAGATGAAGGGGAGGCCGTGACGAGGGATGGTTTGCTTCGGACGGGGACGAGACTAGGGTCTCAGATTCGGTTTTTTTCATTTAAATAAAATGAAAACAAAACCCAAAACCCCCCACAAAAAAAGGACGGTGGCATCTAATATGAGAGCTCCAAGCCCCAAACTATCCACATGGCTTTTGGGGCTGACGCGCTGACAGAAGGAGGAAATGCTACCGAACCGCACTCTAAGAACGACGGGGCCGTTAATTCCCACCAGATTAAGGGACCGGTGGAGCTCTCATTCTACTGATGCCACTGATTTTCCTTCCCTATACTTTACCAAGTCCTGTCATTTTCCTACCGTGACGGGGTCTGGGTTTATTCTCCGTGATTGGACGCTCTCGAGCCCCAAGTGGCGATGCCCCCCCAATCAACCCTGGTCGACCGTTGTGCAAAGTGGCGGTGGAGGGGTGGGTTCTTCATCCTATGCTCGAACACGAGTTCTCCTTTTTCTGGTGCCGAGAACGCCTCATGCCTGTGCATCCGCCTCATACTTTTTTGGTGGGGGGGAAAGGGAAGTGTTGCCGTCTGCACGATTCGGTTGCCTGAAACGGTCGATCAGCGTGCAACTTACCCTGATTTCAAGACGGGATTGTCGACCCTCTGGGGGATTGCCCCGCGGGTCGGCGAGTGAACCCTTTCGCCCAATGCCGGTCGGCATCTACGGGCTCGTCGATTTCATACCTGATATGCAGATGATGCAGATGATGCAGATGGAGGGGGGAGGACGCGTCGGAGAAATGGGGCAACGGTCGAGCCCACTCCATTGTGATCCGAAGCGAGGACGATCCTTGACGATCCCGGGTCGCGCTGGTCTACGAATACTATACTCTACGAGGATTAAACCGGGAGGGCCAGGGTGGTAAGTAAAGTAGGAGGTCGGGGAAGTCTGACGGCAGGAGAGGCAACTCATCACGCTGCAACAGAGTGCGCTGAAACTAACAAGAGGACGCGTACGGTGTGACATTAGTTAACCAGGGAGACGAGTGGAGAGGCCCAACGTGGATCATCACGACTACTCCGTAATGTGACACAAGTGGAAGTGGCCGAGCTGGTGGCGCAGGATCCTGCTGCTTCTATTTATTTCGCAGCGATCGACCTAAATGTCCGACACATCCACCCGACCCGGTTTTTTTCTCCTGACACTTCATTTCCCTTGCGTTTCAACCCTCCCATTGGCGGAGATCCATGAATCTTGCTGCTCCTGCTCGACTTCTGTGATCCCTTGGCCTGTGTTTCCGGTTTGTCCCAAGGGTCAAGGGAGAGGGGGAGAAGTGGGGGGGGAACAAAAGCAGAGTAGAATCAAGAAACAAGAAAGACACGAGGGTTCTCGGAAGGCCCGAGAACGACGGGGGTAGGTTCCACTTGGGATCACGAGCCAGTACCCTCTTGCTACGGAGTGCTCCTTGGACTACTCAGACTATTCAGATTACGCAGACTATACTCGGACTACTCGGGACTACTCGGTGCTAGCGAGCTTGTAGTATGGTTTGCACCCATGTAGTTAGTCGGACGGTGGCAGAGCTGAAAAGTGGCACCCGTTTGGGGGGCCGTGTAGCTGAGGAACTCCGCTGTCAACCGAGGAGGTACTACTGTAAATGCATCCCGGAAGTCCACAAGTACTCGGCTACAGATCTACCCAACGATGAGGACAACGCAGTAACAATCGATCCCGCCCGATCCAGAAGGAGCTGCTCCGTTACACTCGGCCGGAGCTCGCGACGCGTACCCAATCAGACCCGGTTTGGATGAAATCGGCCTTCATCAGACGTGGAGCTCCACTTTTTATGAAACAGTCTGCCTTGTGCCTTGTGCCTTGTGGGGATCTCGTGAGACGTCTAGACTCTCTGCTGTCCTGTTTCTCTACTGGTCCAAAGGTGAACCGGTTCATGGGGTGAACTCGGTATGCGTGCTGTCCATCGGCTTCATCCAAGCTACATCCAAAACGACCTGACACCGGGAGTGTTCCGGTGCCATCTCTCGTATTGACAGGGTCGATCTTCATTGACAGTTGATGCCTCACAAGCTGGTCCAGACTCCTTCCGAATCAGACAGGTGTCCCTGGATCATTAAAGTGGGAAGAGTGTTAAAAAAAGCCGAGTTCTAGACTCCGTGAATCCAGACCGTTGCGGAGTCTGTTGATCGTCATTCTCGGGGCAGGGCCAAACCACGGGTTCGTGTATGACAGCCCCCACAACCGTGACAGAATGACAGATTAACGGGATTGTAATGTGATCGTTTCATCCCTATGCCCGGATGAGTCCATGGCTATTCCAGGCCCGGGTCCGAGCCAAGGTTCTTTGAGTGATGTTCGGAATCGGTCCAGCGCTTCTCTGCCGAGAACCTTGAATATAGATTGAGTATCGACATACTTTGGCTTTTGAGATCCTATGTATTCATGGAATTGGCTTTTGTTCAAGCGTGGACGTAGGAATGCATCGAGAGGACAGTACGGCCCAAGTGCATACTTGTTCATGTTGAGGGCTCGGAAATTAAAAGGAACCGAGTTCAAGCAAACGTATAGAGATGAAGCTGCTTCTCAGTCGTCTGCAAAATATTGATCTGAAGGGTATTGCCGGGCTTCTTTCCTCGCATCCGTCGATATTAGCGATAATGAATTCCCTTTTGAACCTGCCAAAGGCTCGAAAAGGCCTTTGACAAGACTCTTGTTGAAGCGAGGATACTCGCCGAGTTAATGCAAGCGTCGGGTCTTTCACAATTCCTTAGAGTGACAACTGAGAATTTGCGAATGCGATGTAATTCCACGCGACTGGTCACGGTAGATCATCAATGAGCTTCGCATGTACGACAAGAAAAAAATATGATCGGAAGGAAACGACTTACTCGACATGTCCGGATAGCTCTATAATATGTCCGGCATGTCCTGGTTTATATTCCAACGTTGGATTTTTTTTGTTTTCTCGGGACCTTGACTTTTACGTTCAATCATAGTACCATATCTACATAATTCAACGCCAATTAATAGCTTTATTTCAGAAAGTCGAGCATAGTAGTCCAAACCCGTCGCGTTTACACTCTCCCGCTCTCAAGATCGGCTTCTCTCAACCGCCGTCATCCAACGACGACCTCACCCCAAAGAATGGATGCCTCAACCACAAAGAACCCTCTTCCATCCACTAGAGCTTTTGTGGACAATTTGATTGCTGAGTTAGCTAGTTTCAACTCCGCATCACCAAATACCAATGGCAACGAATTGGACAAGCCAAGGACGCAGACCGCACTCCCGGAGAAGCAAACGCAGAACCCTCTCTCGGTGCTTTCGGCACCGCAGCTGGCCAGAGTCAAGCCTTTGATGCTTTCACTGCACTGCATTTTCCCTAATGACCTTCTCCCGGCACTCGACATCCTGGATCGCGGACTCGTGCAGCGTTTGGTGCGCGCCGACCAGGTCGATGCGATGGCTGTATCCGATCAAGAGCAAGCAAAAAGCACAGATAGCCCAAGTGACTTGCACAGCCCATGTTCAAACGACGGCCAAGTCATACTACGCGAAGATATCTTCCTGGTCACATCCGCCTCGACTGCCCCTCCCCACGGCGCCGCTTCATCAGCCTTCGCCACACAAGACCCGGAAAAGGGCTACGAGGTACGCCTGCACGCGTGGAATTGTACCTGTCCCACCTTTGCCCTGTCAGCCTTCCGAGACCTGGCTTCCAGACTGGATTACTCCCCGGAGCATCATTCCCGTGTTGCGAATCTGCGTGACCTGGATGACACTGTTGTTTATCCATTTGGTGGGACGCTTACTTGTGCTACGGACAGGGAATCCCCACCAGTCTGCAAGCATATTCTAGCCTGCATTCTGTTTGCTCGGTGTGCGGGGTTGTTCGGGGCCGATGGAGACGGAAGGCGCGCGATTTCTATGGAGGAGCTGGCTGGCTGGTGTGCTGGCTGGGGAGGTTGAACCTCCCCATCGCGGCAATCAGCGTCGACAGACGTCCCAATGGCCAACTGCAGTGCTTGGACCTATGCGTTGTGAAAGATGCCAGTTCGTGCGAGCCAGTGTGAGCCAGTGCTAGCCGAAGCAGCTATGGCGAGGCGTTTCGACTATCCAGCTGCCGTCATCCTTTCAATGGGATCGGAAATGCTCTTCAAGACTGCAGATAACCGAAATTACTCGTGGTACAAGATCGAAGAGGGAGATTATAGAGTTCAGATGGGTTACGTCGATTTGACCCGAACATGCAAGACATCGACGGCTTCAAAGCACTCGGATTTTGAACTCCCTGGAGATAGGGATGGGATCTTCCAGGGTAACTACACCGGACTACGACACTACCATGTATGGAATGAGAGTTTGCCAACAGCGCAGCCACCGGGTCATATCCTTGATTATCCGTACTATACAGTGCACAATGGCAGATGCACTTCTAAGCGGTCATATCATTTGATGAGCATCACTCCCTCAAATAGAACAAGAAAGAATGAAGCATTTTAGCTCTTCTTCTTGCTCTTATCGGAGCTGTCCTGCTCCTCCTTTTGCTCGCCATTCGGCGACTCGTTAGCCTTCTTGGCATCCTTGTCGCCCTTGGCCGCGTTAAGCTCTTGCTCCCGCTTCGAGTCATTCTCTTCCTGTTGCTGTCGGTTCTGGATCTTGTTCTCGATCAGATCGTGGAAGGCCGTGATGGCACGGATCAGACTGCTAATGTAGATAGCCATCAACTGGTCGTTGGTCTTGACACTCATGGCTCGTGCAAGCTCGCTGTTCTCCATCTGAGGCTCCTGGCCGCTAATCCGCTGTGTCGTGGGAGGGGTGGACAGGTTGGGGAGGAGGTTGAAGACATCCTGGAGGTGGCCCAGGATCGCGTGGTTGACGGGGAGCTCGTGGTCGAGGACTTTCTGGAGATATTGGCCAATATCGCGCAAGCGGAGGTGCAGCCCTTGCAATGATTGCAGCTGTGACGTGATGCGGGTGGAAAGGGTGCCGACTGCGACGTCTCTGATGTCTCGGAGCAGGTGCTCCACACCAATCTCCTCTGCCTCCTCGGCCTCGATTACCGACGGGGTGTGCACAAATGTCTTCGAAGTCGTTGTTCCATCCTAGTATAGCGAAAGTGTGTTAGCTCCATTCCAAGGTTACAGACCAGGACCGGCCACTCGGCTTCCAACCACTTACATCCTTGATCTCATCCACCGCAAAGTAAGCATCTGTAGGGACGCCGACCTCCTTTGGCTGCACATCGACAATGACCAGCAGAGGGTTGGGAGTGTATTTCTTGAAGAGCTCGTTGATCTCCAGATCCGAAGCGCGCAGCTTGGGGCCGGAGTGATACCAGCCGACTAGCTTCTCACGGGCATTGATTTTCTTGAACATGTCCCTCATCGACTCGACGAAATTGTGGTCTAGAAACCAGACAGACGGGTCCTTTTCATCCTCCTCGAACGGAACTAGACACGGAATCACGAATCGTCAGCTCATCTGACAAACCCGTAATCAACCATCGAAAGCTTGAACATACCAGCGAAGCTGTTGGATACTCGCACATTATTGCCCGAGTTCTCGCCCAGCAGCACACCAACAACACGCTTCCGGGTGCCCTTGGCTGTCCGGCCATAGTGATCGGCGACGGAAAGCAGGACTAACGGGGCAACCGTGACGGAGCGGTTGACGAGGGATAGCGTTTCCGCCGTGGTGGCAGGCATGGCGGAAAAGGTGAAAGGCAAGAAGTCAAAAGAAGGGTGGAGCTGAAGAAGATCAAGGTAGGAAGGGGGGCAAGCAGATTAATGAGGATCGGAAGGTGATTGCTTTGGATGGTCGCAAGAGCAGGGCGATGATGCTCTCCGAGCTTCGATGCGCCACACAACCGCCTCATTGTGGCGGGTGACTTAGTCATCCTGTTCCTGGGTGCTCAGGTTGGGGGTCACTTGGTTTTGTTGAGAAGAGTATAAATATGGAATACCATTTACATATTTGACGGAACAGGTAAAATAGAGTACTTTGGGTTGAAATTGGCCATACTTTCTGCTATATAAATCTCTATAGAAGCCATTGGCTACGTATATGCACTGTAGTATCCGTGGCTCCGAACCTCGGGCGCCAAGTTTCCTGCTCTTCCGGTTCTCCATTTCTCCATTTCTCCGTCTTCAAGCCTTTCCCTTTCCAACCTCTGCAATCGCTCCCCCCACACCCTCGAGTCCCTTCAGAGAAGCCTCTCCCCTCTCAATCATAATGGCTCCCATCACCGACGATATCGTGTCCGGTCTGAAGGACACCATCGGCAAGCTCGAGGCTCGCGTTGTCGAGCTCGAGAGCCGCCTGACTGGCGGCAGCAAGCCCAAGTCGGTCGCGGAGCAGATGCGCATCATTCTGATGGGCCCTCCGGGTGCAGGTATGCTGTCATGGTATCGACGGGAAAGTCAATGGTTGTTAATGTGTTTCTAGGCAAGGGAACTCAGGCCCCGAACATCAAGGAAAAGTACTGCGTGTGCCACCTGGTACGTAGCAACCGGCTCGCCCAATTACAGCGTGGATATTTGTTTGCTGATGGATTCACCCGAATAGGCTACCGGAGACATGCTGCGGTCACAGGTTGCGAAGAAGACCGACCTCGGCAAGGAAGCCAAGAAGATCATGGACCAGGGTGGTCTCGTTAGCGACGAGATCATGGTGAACATGATCAAGAGCGAGCTGGAGAATAACACTGAGTGCAGGAACGGGTATGGATCATTGCCTCCGCTGGACCGAACGCTCTAGTAGACTGACATTGAAATCACAGTTTCATTCTGGATGGTTTCCCGCGAACCGTCGCGCAGGCCGAGCGCCTGGATGACATGCTTGCGGCGCGCCAGCAGAAGCTCGGACACGCCGTTGAGCTGCAGATTGACGATTCTCTGCTCGTGGCTCGTATCACTGGCCGTCTGGTGCACCCTGCCTCCGGCCGCTCGTACCACAAGATCTTCAACCCCCCCAAGTCTGACATGAAGGACGACATCACCGGCGAGCCCCTGATCCAGCGTTCCGACGACAACGCCGAGACCCTGACCAAGCGTCTGGCCACCTACCACGCTCAGACCTCCCCCGTGTGCGAATACTACAAGAAGACCGGCATCTGGCGTGGCATTGACGCCAGCCAGGAGCCCGGCCAGGTGTGGAAGAGCATGCTCGGCGTTTTCAACAAGAACTAAGTGTTGGACGTTTTCAAAAGATCTAAAATCTAGTGGAAGACAGGTGACGAGTGAACAGTTCGGCTTCTGATGCTCTCCGTTTCTTTTGTCTTGGGTTTAGTTTAGGGAGAGCATACAGCAAGCACGAACTGGCATAAAGTCCTCATATAGACGCAGAACAATAGTCTTCCAGGGCCATGTATAGTACGTGTACTTTTCTGGTACCCCATACACTGTCACCGACAAATTTACCTCCGTAGACAACATCTACCTAGTACGATAAGCAGATGAGTAGAGTCTTCTACTCAGGCGCTCTGGAAATTTTCTCAACAAGACGAGGTTGTGGTTCAACGAAAGAGTGATATCCTGGATGTACATACTTCAACCCCTGATACATATCATTTACAGCTGCAGAGGGTACTCGGTCGACTCGATCTTCTGAGGATAAGTCAAACCACCCTGCTTGCGCACCTCATCCATCACCTCCATAATGACAATACTCTCCTCCCAGGGCATACCCTCACTTTCCAGCTTGCCGTCTCTCAGGCAGCGAGCAACTTCATCCGCCTCCCAGAACATACCATGGCCCTCCGCAGGGAATGAACCCTCAACGGTCCGGACCTCACCAAGGCCCTTCTTTGGGATCACACGGTAGCTAGTAGGGCGGAACGGGTGTCCGAACACCTGAATCTCGCCCTTGGTGCCCTGGATACGGATCTGGGGACCGGAGGTGCCCTCCTCGTCCGGATCAGCCGAAACACGGATGTTGGTCATGGCGATACCCTGCGAGCGGTGCGGGTGCGGGCCGTTGGAAGGAGTGCTGGTCGGGAAGCTCAGCAGAATAGTAGTGGACTCGTCGGCACCAGTGAGATGGTAGGGAGTCATCTGCGAGGTGACGGTAGGTGCCTTTCTCTGATCCCGGGGCAAGGTGTGGTAAAGAGTCTGGAAGACCCAGGTGAGGGAGTAGATGCCCACTTAGGATTCAAGATAGCGGATCAGCACAGCTCCGACAGCATAGATGTAGGGAACAAGCACTCACAGTCCAAAAGACAGCCACCGGCAAGATCGGGGTTCACCATGCGGTGCTTAGTGCCCCATTTCTCCTCGACGTCATCGCCGAAGCTGGTATCGGCGATAGTGCGAAGCACCTCACCAATCTCGCCCTTCTGAATGAGCTCACGCACCTGGACACTGAGCGGGAAATAGCGTGTCCACACAGCCTCCATGAGGAAGAGGTTCTTCTTGCGGGCAGTCTCGCACAGGATCTTTGTCTGGGCAGCGTTGACGGTGAAGGCCTTTTCGCACAGAACATTCTTGCCGGCCTCCAGGCACAGCATCACATTCTGATAGTGGTGAGAGTGGGGAGTAGCAACATAGACGACGTCGACATTGGGATCCGCGACGAGCTCTTGGTAAGTAGCGTAGGCGTCGCAGGGAGCGGGGATGCCAAGGGTCGAGATGAACTTGTCGGCCTTATCCTTGGACGAGGACGAGGCAACGGCGACGACCTTGTGGGCGACGTCAGAAGCATCGCGGGCCTTGGGATCCTTCAAGAGATCGCGGACAAACGCTGTTGCATTTTAGTCAAGCTATACGGTCTTGGATTTGTCAGAGAAACGAACTTTCCGCGATCCAGCCAGTGGCTACAGTTTGATTAGCTTCGTGAATACAACATCAGGATCGGAATCTTCATACCCATAATACCCCATCGGATTGTGTGTGCCATGATGAAAGTGAAATATTTATTCGAAACCGTTCAAGGACAGGATCCGCGTTGATTTATATTAGGACGTATTCCCCGGTGGGGGATGTTGACCCGGAGATGCGCCGAGCGGGGCAGAAAGCAACGTCATGATGCTACATTTGGACTATGATACATTTTCACGGCTCCGTCTTGACACGTACTTTATGTCCTGGAGATTCCGTACCCTCTGCCTTTCGCTTGCCCAGTATCGAGTCCGGCGTACCAGTCCGTGCTTGCGGTGTTGAGGCCCGTGGTGCCGGCCCGTCCTTGGTTACTTCGGCATAACAACTGGCGTGATAAACCCGGTTACCGACCTTGGCTGCATCCTGCCAGATCCAGTCTTGCACATCCTCCGACCAGGTCGACTCGAATTGCTCCTGGCAGATAGGACAGGGGGTGTTGCGGAGAGTGGCTTCATTCGGAGCCCGGATCCACGGCTTGGGCGGCCCTTGCTTGGAGGCACTGCCATCTGCTCCCGCAGCCCCTTCTGCGGTGGCCCCAGTATCTTCCGGGTTTTGATCGTCACTAGGCTCTCTGGATTTGATCCAATCCTATATAGGGTTTAATTAGCGTTATGTAGACGTAGAAAGTGATTACCGGTGTATACGTACCCTTTCGTCGACATACCAGCTGCGCGTCTGAGCTCGCTTAGTAGCATCAGCCATGCGCTGGTTGGTCTTGAAGTGCCAGTCTAAATGACGGGCTTTCTTTTCTCGCCCTTCATCCGTAGCGGGGAAGCGCCGGCCACAAGTGCCACATCGGTTGGGTTTCGCCTCGTAAAGCGAAACAACAAGAGTGATTCGAGGGCTATTGTAAACCATTAATTCGGAGAATGCAATCGTATTACAGCCTAACTTACATTTTCATAGATGCGGTGTTCATGGGAACCGTAGATGAAGACGGAGTTGATGCTTGTGGTGTTGAGGCGGGAGGTGTAGATTGTAATTGACCGGGAATCATAAATGGCAAGGAGCCTCCCATCGGTGGTGTCCCAGAGGCCAAGGACGGCGGTGCAGATGCAGAAGGCAGCAGCCCACGCAGCCTGAGGGCTGCAATTAGAGGGTTTTCGGCAGGCTGCGGTGTGCTGGTAGTTGGCATTTGGGGAATGGTAGGGAATTGCGGCGGAGGTGTCGGTTGTTGATTACCAGCCGTTGCTTTGAGAAGCCCTGCGAGGGTCTCAGAGTTCAAAAGTTGCGACAGCGGTTGTGAGGCAGGCAACGTGGGAGGTGTAGGAACCGGAGCTGGAGGCGCCGGGGCGGGGTTCTGGACAGGAGCTGGCGGGATTGCATATGTAGCGAGCTGGTCGCGGACCGCTTTCAACTGATCGGGAGGAAGCTGCTGGTTTTGCAAAATCCTCTGAAGGTCGAGCAATGCCTTCAGGCGTTGTTGAGAGGTGGGATTAAAGGGACTGTTGGCAAAGTCATTCCTTGCCGAGGCGATCAAAGCCTCCAGGTCCCGATTGAGTGATTCGAGCTGGACATCTGGGCGATGACCATAAGGAGGAGTCTGTGATGTGTGGTTAGATTGATTGAGTGACAATGCATTATATATGTTGTCCTTACCGAAGTGCTAAGGCCCGCCCCGTTGCCGGCAGTAGGTTGGTTCGGTCGCATGCCCGGTGGTGTAGGGCTGTTGGCCCATCCAGTCGGAGTAACAACTCCGCGGGGCCGAAGCATATCCGGCTGACGGCTCTTCTGGTTCTCGAGAATGGCGGTGCGTGCTTTGATCAAGGCGCTCTCGATGTTGCGAGTGACATCTGGAGGGAAGACTGGGCGCGTATCCAAAGAGCCCGGCACGGGCTCCTTCCACGTCCTGAGCATCTCATCGAGCTTGCGACGTGTTTGTTGGTCGACCAAGGAGTACGCATTCATGAAGGTCTGATACATGTTCCGTCCCAGAAAGAGCGTGTAGGGGGTTCCAACATTCTTGACGATGGAATCGACTACATACAGAGCCGGCAGCTTCTGCGGCGGTGGTGTCTACAAAGACAGTCAGAGGCCTACACCATTTAACAACATAAGAGAGAGACACCTACTGATCGAATGTGATTCTCCAAAACCCTCGAGATCGCCATCGCATGCTCCGTGTTTTCTTTGGCTATGACGGTCAAGTTGCTGATCTGAAAACGATCGTTGGTGGTAAGGTCCTCCAAGGAGTTCTTGTAGTCCTCGGCTACCTCGTCGGAGACGAGTCCAGACATGTTGGCAAGGGGAAGAAAAGTTGATGCTAGAAGAAGATGATATCAGTGAAAAATGGAAGCCAACGCCAAACGAGGCTGAATATGCGGGCGAGATTCAGTGGTCCACGTCCCCCGTAACGTCTTCGTACTCTCGTTCACTTCTGTTTCTTCCAGGCCTCTTTTGCTGGTCTTCTTTTTCTCCCACAGCTTGCTATGCCTTGTTTCTTTGTTTTGTTCTTCCCAGCTGTGGTTTTTTGATCTTCGGGGCCGTAGGCCTCGGTGACTATCCCAGGATGCTTCTTCTTAGTCCTCGTTGCGTCCTCAAGGCAAACTCTCTTGGACGATCAACACGAGATGGAGAGAAAAGTCGGAACTTGTAAATGCTTGCTAGCTATATTCGCGAGAATGAGACAACAAGAAATGCGCCTGTCCTCCAATCCAGCAAGAGTCCTGTCCACCGACTTGGTCTTCCTTCACGTCAATAACCGCCGAGGGAGATGCAACGCTGGTGAGACACGAGAGAAAACGTCTGGAGAAATAACGAAATCAAATGCAGACCGGGGATACTGTCAGGTAGAATGCAACGCTGGGGAAGGAAAGGTGGTGTTGAGAACGTCGGAGTTGGAGGTTCGGAAGTTGAGCGGAGGTTGAAAGGGATTGTCGGAGTCGGATCACCTGATCATGGATGACGCAGGAGTCCGCTTTGGGGCACGAGACTCTCACGACTTGCACAACTCGCACTCTCCTTCCACCATTTCCGACCATCTAAACTTTTCCTGTTCACGATGAAGCTCTTCTTGTTCACTGCTTTGTTGGGTCTCCTTCCGCTGGCGCTGGCCGCCAAAGTACTCAAGTCCGTTATCGTGACCTTTCCCAAGGGAACGCCTTCCGGAGTGATTGACCAGGCGAAGGATTCAATCGTGGCTTCCGTACGCGCACCTTACATCGCACTCTTCAGCTGTAACTAACCGGTACATATAGGGTGGCGTCATCACGCATGAATATCGTAAGTTGCATGTTCCATCCCGTCCTGTCAGACACCCGAGGCTAATTCATATCTTTCGCCACAGATCTCATCAAGTATGATCGCATTCGTTCTTCTCACACCCGTGCTCCGCATCTAACTTATGGTTCAGTGGATTCGCCGCTGAGGCTCCGGTCAATGCTCTCCAGACACTCTCCACCCAGGACACCCAATATAAACCCGAGATTGAGGAGGACAAGATCGTGTCTATAAATGGTGACTATGAGGGTGACAAGCTCTCTCTTTGAGGAGTGATGTCTCCCACCAGATACGAGGAATTCTTCGAATCCCGCCCCACGGCTGGTTCTGGGTAACGTATGACGAACAGCGAACCTCGGCGGGACGCCCGTACTTCGTGCCGGCGCAAACTGAAGGCGCACTCTTTTCAACGAATATACATGAACATTGGGATTTGTCTTTGGCGTCTTGGTGTATACGGAATCGACTCTTATGGACGACGGCTGCAGGACGCGCGATCTATGAGGACAAATTAGGGGTATTACTCGGCCTAGTAGTTTCCAGTAATATTTTAACAAATACATTCATTCCATGCGATATTCGATTACACTACAAGTCCACTATGATTGGGGTTACAAAGTCGCTAGACCGAGACTCGGGGACCGGGGGGGGACGATCATCCCCGCTAGCGACTCGGCCTCTGCTCGCGGCCCCGAAACGCGTGGATCCGCAACTTCCCCAAGGCCACTTTCCTTCTCCACACATCCCCCCTTTGGTCTTGGGAATGCTGCGCGTGCATCTATTCTTGAAATTCTACTAAGATACGACCATTCGTTATGGCATCGGAACATACGGTGACTAAGGTTTTGCTGGAATGGATCAACAGCTTCTCCCTAGGCAAAACACTCCGAGCCACGGATGAATTGACCGACGGAATCATCCTATGGGAGATCCTCCAGGATATCGACCCGCAGTATTTCCTCGACGAGATCCCCGAACGCAACCCCGCCGACCACTGGGTCGCCAAATTCCAGAACCTGAAGCACATCCACAAGCTTCTGCTCAGCTACATCCGGTACCGGAACGATGACTCCCTACCGTCCGGTCTTAACCCCTCCCCCGATCTCGAAGCTATCGCCGAGAAAGCAACGGTCAAGGAAACCAATAAGTTGCTGAAACTTCTCCTGATCGCGGCCATCAGCTCAGAAAACGCGGGGACATACGTGCAGACACTCCAGGAATTGAGCACCTCGACTCAGGAAGGCCTCAAGGATATTATTGAGGAGGCACATAACGGACATCATGAGCCCTTGGATGCGGCCGACGAGCTCAAGGAGGAGCTGGCGAAACGTGACCACGCGTTGGACCCCGAGCTGAAGTTTGAGGAGCGCGTCGGAAAAGTGCTCGCAGAGAATGATCGCCTTAGTCATGAGAAGAAGGAGCTGGAGAAAGCGCTGGAGGACTTGCACAACCGTTTGGCGCGTCTGCAGGAGAACAACGATACTCTCCAGAACCGCCTGGCCTCCACCGAGGATCGTCTGGTGACGCTGAAGTCTGGAAAGGGTGATTTGGGATTCAACGCGAAGGCGTTGGAGAGCAAGACGCGCCAACAGGATGACCTCATTGCATCTCAAGAGGCTAAGCTTTCTGCTACCCAAGATGAAGTCGACAGTCTTCGCATGACCGTGGAGTCCTTGAAGGTCAAGAACCAGCGTTACCAAAAGTTGCAGGATGACTACGATGAGCTCCGTACGGAGAGGGACCAGCTCGCCCGCAAGGCGAATGCGGCTGAGAAGTACCGCCAAAAGCTTCAGGCCAGCCAGGACTTTGAGAAAGAGAACCAGACTCTCAAGAACCAGATCAAAGACCTCCAGCAGCAATTGAAAGAGTCAGACTCGCAACAGCGATGGACCTCTGAGCGTGATGTGGAGCTAGAAGAATACCGCAAACTCTTGCCACGCATTGAACAGGAATGCAACGAAATCCAGAACCTCAAGAAACAGCTCGAGTTTAACAACCATGCGCTCACCGAGAGACTGCAGGGCGCGGATGAGCAACATGAGCGAGATGATGCTTTGATCAGCGAGCTTCGTGAACGCCTTCAGGAACTAGAGGGCTTGCCTGGCAGTCCGTCACCGGGTTCCGACACTCCCAAGATGCAAGGAACGCTGAACAAGGATTTCGAGGCAATCGGCATGAAAGAGTCTCAGCTGTATGTTTTGTGTCTTGCGCCATCCACAGTATTGACGATCGTGGCTAATCAACGCAGCAAATCCGAGAATGACGATCTAAAGCGGGAGATGGAATCGTTGAAGGGGCCATCGACAGCTGTAAGTTTCCCGCCTTCCCCTTGATGGTTTCTTAAACCGACATGCGCCAGCCGGAGTCTCAGTCAGAGGGCTTCTCCGAAAGCTTTAATACATCCGTGCAACTCGCCAAAGCCAACTCCACGCAGAGGTACGCCATTCTAGGGGTTTTTTTTTTGCCCCCCAGGTCATGCGCTAATATCCTACAGTGACGAGTATTGGAAATTATACGAGAACTATACTAGCACACTGAAGAGGATCGCCGAAGTTCAGGACACTTTAGAAACCACCAAGAAGGACCTGTCCGAAGCTCAGACTCAACGTACGAACTCTTCAAGACTGAACCACGAGATAATCTGCTAATCGTTGCCTAGTCGGTCTCGTTGACATGGAAAAAGCCGAAATTTTCCGCGAGTTTGAAGAGCACAACTCTGGCGAATTGTCGAAGCTTCGCGGGGAATGGAATAATCTTGCCCAGAATGTGCACCACTTGGAAGCCGAAGTGGATGCCAGTCAGACATTAGTGCGCGAGGTGTGTTCTGAGCGAGAGGAGCTGCGCAAGATGCTTGACAACAAGCAGAACGAAATCAGCGCCGAGGACCAAGAAGTGATGAATGAGATGCAGATGCTGTTGGGCGAGTTTGAGACCCATAACAGTGAGGGCGGTGACACGCCTCAGAAATCGAGCTTCGAGCTCCTGAAACAATGTGCTGGTGTCTTAGAGAAGAATGTTGAACGGCTCGCTCAGCGGGCGGAGGTGAGACTTAACTTCAAAGGTTCCGTCCGAGGGAGAATGCTAAATCCAATGATTCTAGTACATCCAGCAGCAAAACGAACTCATCAAGTCACTCCGGGAGAGCATGAAGAATTACGAAGAGAACCTGGATGATGGCATATCCAAAGAGCGAGAAGTGAGTACTTATGGTGCTCCAATATCCCAAACCTACGTACTAACCCACACTCCAGCTCGAGCTTCAAAGAACCATTGACGACCAAGCTCGAGAGCTGAGTCTCGTCAGCTCGGCCTGGTATCATCTCCAGAGCCGGTGGCAGAACAACAACATGACTGTCTCGCGATACCGACACGGTGCTAACGTGGCCGATCCCCGAGGCTGGCTGGCCAAACAGAGAAGGGTGGTTGCAGGCCAATAAGTCTCGAGGATCGTCACTTAGGGTGCACACTTTCTTTCATTTTGGTTAAAGATTTCTTTTATATTCCCACTAGATCGTCTGTTCTTCACCTTCGGTTTGTATGCTGTTCCTGTGGCATATAGAATGCATGTTCTGTCTTTTGTGTACATATATACGCTGTCCATCGTCAAGTTGAAAGAGGCTGGAAATACCTTTTGGGTTATACTTTATTCCTTTAGACTTATGCTATCGGACATGTTAGACAGTCATTATACTTTGATGTGCCGTATCTCGTGTTTTGTGATGTGTATTTTGAAAGGGACCTCTTCAGCCTTGAATCTGCACCTCGTTTCTCATCTATATTGGGCTTATTTGTGTTGCCGCCAGAAATCAATATTTTGTATTTTTAATTTGATCTTGGGCTTGTGGTTTAGGGGTATAATGCTCGCTTCGCATGCTTATAGCGATTCTGCGAGAGGTCCCGGGTTCGATTCCCGGCGAGTCCATCTCTTTTTTGTCTTGCTTTCTTTTTGACATTATTCAGACTCATTTGATTGGGCCTGAGTAAAAAAAATTAAAATTGTAAGAGAGGGAGAGAGGAAGTACCAAATTCAATACAAAGACAAAGCCTTTCTCATGTTGTGCTTTTGATTGAAGCTGGCAACATACTTCATCCTGACCTTCCGCATATGGAAGTAGGGCTCGAGCCCCACACGTGATCCACCCGGTAAACTGATTTTTTTCTCTCGTAGCCCGGGTCAACTTTTTACTTAAATTGATCCGATGCCTGTTGTATCATTCGATCGCGTGGTTGTTTATGTCATTTGACGGCCAGAATGATGCAGTTAGGGCTGATGAATGTCCAATGGCCAACTCGGACAGCCCTGATACCTACAATCAGCGCCAGGTGGGCCCTCTAGGCTACTTATGTAGTTGAAACATCAGGCGGCCAAGGTTAGGTATTGCGGATTTGCTTGCCATTAAAATGGACCTGTAGCTCAATTGGTTAGAGCATCCAGCTTATGTAATCATCCCCACCGGGAGACTAACATGAATATTCCTGGAAGGTTGGCGGATCGATCCCGCCTAGGTCCATCCTTTTTTTGTCATCGTCTGTTGTCTTTGCATTTTTCGGTCTTGAGGGACGGACACCAGAGACTGGGCTTTTTGAAGCTATTTATTTGACTTCAATTTCTATACCCAAAAATACGAATGTCAATTGGTAGTTTGAATACCTAGGCAGAAAGTATAGCGTTTGGAGATGTGAAACAAGAGGCTGGTCACGAGTATATTAATCCATTGTAAGCTATCATTAGAGATATGCCAGGATTTCCTGAGATTTCAATGATATACCGAGAGAACATCTCCTTGTTTACTGTTTTACATGAAGTGTACATATATGAACATTTAGATCGGGAGCAGACGTGTGCAAAATTCTCTCCCAGGGAACTGGCCCTTGATTAAGCCCACTGCCGAGGGTGCTTCAACACATCCATGATCTCCTTTTCGCTGGTCTTGTCCTCGGCTAGCGCTTCTTCCTCCACTGGCATGCTCTCGGTCCTTGTTCCAGAGACAGGATCCATGTAAGCCCAGCTTGCAGTGCGCGGAAGACTCATGAGGATACTCTCGATGCGGGCGTTCGGGGTACGAAGGCCGAAGCTGGTACCACGATCGTAAACCAAGTTGAACTCGACATAGCGGCCGCGGCGCAGCTGCTGCCATTCCTTCTGAGATTCGGTGTAAGACATATCCTTTCGCCTTTCGAGGATGGGTACGTAGGATGGCAGGAAGGAGGCCAGGCCGTCCGAGACGAAAGAGAACAAGGTCTCTTGCGGGTTGGAGGACGAGCCAGCGGAAGTCTGGAGGAAGTTGGCGTCGAGGTCATCGAAGAAGATACCGCCGACACCGCGGCATTCACCGCGGTGAGGCAGGTAGAAGTATTTGTCACACCAAGCCTTGAACTTGGGGTAGTAAGTGGCGTCATGACGATCGCAGGCGTCCTTGATGGTCTTGTGGAAGTGCTGCGCATCCTCGGGGAAGAGATACGAGGGTGTCAGATCAGTGCCACCGCCAAACCACCAGTTCTTGTCACCGTTGATTGGGTCCTTTGGGTCCGAAGTCTCGAAGTATCGGTAGTTCAAGTGAACTGTCGGAGCCATGGGATTGTGCGGATGTAGGACCAGAGAGAGACCGGCAGCGAAGAACGTCAGTGATTCGACATCGGCGCCCACGAAGGACTTGTGGTCGGCGCGCATCTTCTCAATGGCAGCCCGCGGCAACTCGCCGTACACCACTGACACGTTCACGCCGGCTTTCTCGAAGACGTTACCGTCCTGCAATACGCACGAGATGCCACCACCGCCATTAGGACGCGTCCAAGTATCCGTCTTGAACTCCTTGCCGTCTATCCTGCCCAGCTCCTCAATAATCTTCTGCTGGTGGTCCTTGATGAGCTTCTCCATTCGTAAGCGCATGGGAGAGGATTCAGTGATGGGCGAAGACTTTTTCAGGGCCTCATCCAGCTCAACGATAGACGGGGAATCGAGGTCGGTAACTTCGCCAGTGGCCTGTAGACATGTTAGCAAGTTGAGTAGACGAAGTGTGGAGAACTCGTCACATACCATGGAGTAAATGATGGCGCCGATGAAGGGTACGCCGATTGCCAGACGCAGGTAGGGTCGCCACACAGTAAATTGATGTTTTTGACGTGGACTCTGCTCCGTGGCATAACCACGGAATGATCTGCCAGCATTGCGACCGGCTGTACGAGCGCATGAAGCAGACAGCTGGCCAAACCTCCGCAGAGGCATGAATGATCGCGAAGCCATCTTCGCGATGGGAGGATGTGCGCAAAACTGGCGGGGTAGGCGGAGAGAGCAATTGGACAGAGTTGAAACCAGTCTAACCCACGCCTTAAGAATGAATGAATGTAAAGAGTAAACTGGATTTCCGCGGGCAAATCGCGAGATCATGGAACACAGTCGTACGATCACCCGATGTTTGCAGTGTTTGCACAGATGAGATAAGCACCCGATAAGCCTTCGATTCGACTTTGATAGCAGCGCTCTACATGAGCTTAATGTTACGCCTTCAGGATGGTGTTAGCATTGAACTCAAACCTAACCGGAAATTCTCAGTGAATCATTAAATTTTGCGACCAGTCCGTATGTGGTAAATGACAAATCCAGTGTCCAAAACAGGCATGACATAAACAGTTCCGTGCTCCTATTTTCTGTGTGTAGAGTCAATAGGAAATAATACTTTGTGTCCGACGAAGCTCGCCAGCCTTCAGGTGAGAGATTTTCTCAATATTCCAAATTCTAACCCACTCAAAGCTAGATCGGTCAACTCGAAGGAAGCAGGATTCTTACTGGAGATTCCAAATAGAGTTATAGTATGGCGCTTACAGAAGTTCTGGTGTTTCAGAGGAGACAGGCAACCCTGCACTCTTACCTATGATCTCCCTCGCTTCCCATGCTTACGCGTCCGAGACTGATGAATAGTGTGTAAGATGCGTTCGATCGCGAGGATATAGAGAGCAACTTCGAAACAGATGTTAGCGCCGGCAATGAGAAACAATTTTTAGTAGCCGCTAGGTGGCTCTTACGGCGGCAAACAGCGGATTTCATGCACATGTGTTTCATTGCGCCTGGAACTGTGGGAGATGGGCGAAGAATTTGCTAAAAATATCCTTTTACCCGCGCGACTAAGTGGACCAATGTCCCTAACTGCATTAGATTCAAGCCGAAACACGTTCAGATTTCTGGAGAGTATCTGACACCTAGTTTGCCCCGATATTCTCGTCAAGGATCCGACAAGCTCTCCAGCCACCGGCTCCGTAGGTTCGGCTGGTGCGGCAACGCCAAATAACCCATTGTCTTACGAAGAGCCGCCTTGAATGCTACTAGAGAGAAGTGAGTCCATGATAGTGGATTGAATTCCGGCGCTGGCAGACTACACAACCCCGAGGCACAGCAGGTGAGCTTGTAAATTTCCAGACAAACCCCCACTATGGGTGAATCTATCATGTTAATCGCCTTAATAAGAATTAGCGGCTGGCAGTGTTTCCGATCCTGTTACGGTGGCCGTGGGGGCCAAACATCCCCACAGTGCAAAGTAATTGGCATGGCAATACGCCGGGGGCTAAGTCTTATAGTACGAAGTTGGCCGAGCAGAATAGGCGCTTGAAGATTAAGGGGGCGAGACTCATTGGATATGATGTGACGAAGCGTGCAGTTATGAATCACGCTAACAGAGTTACGTATGTAAGGGAACAGAAGAGTGGGGATTAGGACTTTAATAATGGGGCCAGGGGCGGGAATTAAAAAGACTAGGAGCTGGTATATATTTAGCTGGGGTCTCGTCCAGAAAGCACAGAATCAATTATCTCGAATATATCCCAATTTCAGAAGAGCCAATTTGAAGATATCATCGCCACAATGCGCCTACCTTCCTTACGAACAAGCCGAGCAGAAAATGCTAACACCGTACGGGACAACGCTCCATTTTGTGGCTTTCATGAGCTGACGGCGGTTCCATAGGAGACGACCCAGCGGAAAGACCTAGGATTGAAACTTATTGAGAAGGGGCTCAACCCAGTCGTCGAGTATGTCCATTTTTAATTTGGCAACCAGGATATCATCCGGAACTAATATTCACTGTGATACAGTATCGTTGCTGTTCATGGTCTAAATGGTCATAGAGACACGACATGGACAGCGGCAAATGGCAAGAACTGGCTTTCCGATTTTCTTCCCAAGGATATTCCAAATTCCAGGATTTGGAGCTGGGGTTACGATGCAAACACTCATAGCCGCTTTGGGGTGAGCCACAACACAATCTGGGACCATGGAGAAGCCCTTGTAGGCGCCCTGTCCAACGAAAGAGAATTGAGCAAGGTAAGAATACTATATAAAGTCACTTCACGATCAGGCTCACACCAAAGTCTCAATAGACAAGCCGTCTCCCCATCATTTTTATCGCCCACGATCTGGGTGGTATCGTGGTTAAAAGTGTACGCCATTTATGACATCCAGCCCTTCCTTGATTGATAGCTTATGCATTTGCACCGTAGGCATTGATCTACTCCAATGGAACTACCAGTGATCACCTACCAGAACACCACTGGATCAAAGCATGCACATATGGTATTATGTTTATGGGCACGCCGCATCAGGGTGTTAATGGTGTGAAAGCTGGCCGTTTGGTCTTAAATATGGCCTCGCTGTTTATGCCGACCAATAAAAAGATTATCGAAACGCTTCAGCGAGGTTCGGAATGGCTGGAAATGCAAAATGAGCAATACTTACCAATTTCGAAATTGTTCGTGACCCATTTTGCCTACGAAGAATACGAGACGAAGATCCCGGGAGGTGCAAAGACAATGGTAAGGAGATGATATACTTGAATTTCTATATGTGACTAACTCAAATCGAAAGATTGTTCCACGTTTCTCTGCCGTGATACCGGGAATGACTAATGCCGAGCGAATTGTTATACATGCAGACCATCGTGAAATGGTTCGGTTTGAGTCGAAAAGTGATGATGGGTATAGGGCAGTGTCAACTCGCATTTTTCGCATGACGGAGAAGGCAAGCGAGCTTGATCCACAATGGGCAGAGTCAACAATCCCGCAAAGTACGTACATATGCTAAAAAGGTTACTGCCATAGCAACAGTGAGTTTGTAATTGACTTGAAGTCGCGTGCATAGTGACACCTGACGGGCCATTCACAGTCACTTTCGGCATACCTGAGGCCCCCGAGTCAGAATGTTTCGTTGGCCGAGACCAGGAAATTTCACAGATTGGAAACAACTTGAGACACGCCGAAAATCGAAGAACCGTTGTACTTTACGGGCTGGGGGGAATGGGGAAGACCCAGCTGGCTCGCAACTACGCCAACATATAACGGAATATCTACTCTGCAGTATTTTGGTTTAACAGCAAAGATATGGATACGTTGAAACGAAGCCTTCTAAACGCTGCAGAACGGATCGAGAACAATCCGTCGTTCAAAGAAATTTGGTCTCGCATGAAAGAGAAAGGACTTGATGAAGGTGTCGAAGAGGTTAAGGCGGTCAAAGAGTGGTTAAACATACCCAGGAATACGCGGTAGCTGCTGATCTATGATAATTACGACACGCCTTCTGAGTTCCAGATCAGAGATTTCTTCCCAGAGACTCAACCAGGTGTAATCCTTGTGACCACTCGCCCTCATGGACTGATGTTGGGCCAACCTATTCTAGTCGAAAAATGATTATCACCCGTTGATATTGGGGAGGTCAGTAGCCAAGAATGGAACCTCTCTTCAGTCTCGCCGACCTCTATAAAAAGCAAGGCAGGCTGTCGGAGGCAGCGGAGATCGCGGATCAAACAATCCAGATAGCATACGGTTAGAATGAGGTGGGAAAACGATGGCCCCGAAATCTTCACCGTTGACCTGGAAGGAGGGCTCCCTTGATTAATGTGTTTCATAACCTTCGCATCGTTTCGTCTTCGAGTGTACCGCTCCTAACCATGGTATAGTGCTAGAAAGATAGATATAATGCCATCATTTCGTGCGTTCGTTCCGATGTTCTGTTGTGAGATAGGACGATATTTGCCTGCGGTTCTCAGAACAGTTAGTCCAAGATAATCAGCTACAGGAAATCACAAGTGTTGGTTTGTGTTGAGGCTGGCAAAGGCAAAGCTCTAACGTTTGGAACGGGCAGGTGGGTACGCTAAACCACATTGAGTATGGCGCCGTCCCGGAGCCGCAAGAACTTATTCGATCTATACCGCAGAGCGGCGACAGTTGCTCGGAATTTCATGATATGTTGGAGAGATCGGGTATGGTGAAAGCACATATCCATCCTAGGTTCGATACTTTGCCTTGGTGAATCTATTTGGCCTGGAATATTCCATGGTCAAGTATTTGCTGTACATCAGTGGAGAATCCACCTCTTCCGAGTTTACCGAGGATCGAGGATCGCTGGAATACCCGGTAGCACCATCCAAGCCACTGCACTCCGCAGGCGTGACGGCAGTACCTATATTTGTTTACGATAGCATAGGCAACTCTTAAGTAAGGCAAACCCGCGAATGACTCCGTGCACGTGCGCAAACCGCTGAGTCATGGGACCCGCTCACCGCCTCGTGATGGCCTTACGGCATCAGCGGGGTGTTGCCTTTTGTCATCGATCAGCATCTCCCCCTCTTCTTCATCACTCTCTCCTTCTCCATCAACCATTTCAAATATTCTTCATCAAAGCAGTTGTTCCAGCACCTGCTAATATTTCCAGTTCGTCTCTGCTTGAGCTTCCTCAATCATCCCCACTCCTCCCGACCCGCTTTACTTATCAGGTCTTATCAGTCATGCGGTCCAAGTTCAAGGACGAGCACCCATTCGAGAAGCGGAAGGCGGAGGCTGAGCGCATCCGCCAGAAGTACGCTGATAGAATCCCTGTAAGTCTCCCATCGACATAATGGTGTCTTCATTCTGGAGCGGATGGACCTTGGAAGGCTATCACACCCGCCCTTCACCGCTTGTTCGGTGGCTAACGGACTCGCGACAGGTCATCTGCGAGAAAGTCGAGAAGTCGGACATCGCTACCATCGACAAGAAGAAGTACCTCGTCCCGGCCGATCTCACGGTGGGCCAGTTCGTCTACGTGATCCGCAAGCGCATCAAGCTTTCCCCTGAGAAGGCTATCTTCATCTTCGTCGATGAGGTTCTTCCTCCCACTGCCGCCCTCATGAGCAGCATCTACGAGGAGCACAAGGATGAGGATGGCTTCCTGTACATCACGTATGTTCCCCTTCCCCTGCACACTGGGTGTCCCTTGGAAAGGAGACCATGCTGATCTGATGGATTCTAGATACTCCGGCGAGAACACTTTCGGTGACTTGTAAACGTTGATGCTTTTGATCTCATTCGCCATTCTGAGTGGTCTCAAGTGGCCCGTTTGGATCTTTGACGGGTTCATGATATCCGGTGGCCTTCAGTGATGTTGGCGGATGAGTCTCCCTCAGCCTCTGTGATGACGGTTTTTCTCGGTCAAAGCGGCGTTCCTTCGGTGTTGTGCAAATTTTAACTCCATCTTTGCTAGGCCATTATGCCCTATGCTAGCTTTCGAATGAAATTACAATCGTGGTTTAACCTACGACTTGACTGTTTGCCTCGGTCTCCTACCTTAGAGGGTTTGACCCGCAGACATAGCCATTAATTACGGCTTAAACCTGGCAGTAGAACGAGCAATTATTATGGCAGTTAGCAAAAAATATACGGCATAACAAGGACCCAACTGGAAATATTAGCAGGTGCTGGAACCAGCTCCGACGCCGGCCCCCCGATCGGGACTAGCGCCCCACCCGCATCGTCGCGATAAAATTTACAAGAACATGTGTCTGGAATTTATCCAGTTCATTCTCCCAACTTCGCAAAAATGTCTCCCGCTCTCGCCCACGCCGGTGCCGGCGCCGCCTCCAATGATGTCAAGAAGGAGTCTGCGACTGCTCGTCTCCTCGGTTCCGGTAAGATGAAACCGTCTCATCCAAGGAACGAACGACACCAATTGCTAACCCCGGAATATAGGCTGTGCTGGTATCGCCGAGCTGATGGTTTTCCATCCCGTACGAACCGATTGCCCCTAGAACTGCCCAGCTTCAGCACTGACGTACTGCCCCAGGTCGACACCACCGCAAAGCGATTGATGAGCAACCAGACCAGGGTGAGATCGGACTCGATTGTTGATACGCGCGCTGCGATTGTCGCTGACTTGAGATTTTCCTAGATCACTTCGACTACTACTTTCAACCAGGTCGTCTTCAAGGAGTACGCTACTGCCACTGTCGGCCGCAAGTTCACCTCGTTGTTTCCCGGTCTGGGCTACGCCGCTGGCTACAAGGTTGGTCTTTTATACGGACACCAGTCTGGGCTATGTGCAGCCAGCTGATACTCTTCTCAAGGTCCTTCAACGCATTTACAAGTACGGTGGCCAGCCCTTCGCTCGGGACTACCTGGCTCAGCACTACGGTACCGATTTCGATAACGCTTTCGGAAAGGGAACTGGAAAGGCCATCATGCACGCTACTGCTGGCAGGTGAGAAACGCCTATCGGGATTGATAATGGGAAGACTTGAGAGGCTGACAACATGCTCCAGTTTGATCGGTATTGGCGAGATCGTTCTGCTCCCTCTGGATGTCCTGAAGATTAAGCGTCAGACCAACCCCGAGGCCTTCCGTGGCCGTGGCCTGTTCAAGATCATCTCTGATGAGGGTATGGGTCTTTACCGCGGTGCCGGCTGGACTGCCGCCCGTAACGCCCCCGGCTCTTTCGCTGTACGTGCCGATCGCATCACGCTCGAGACCTAGAATCCCGTTTGCTAATTTGTATTCTAGCTCTTCGGTGGATCTGCCTTTGCCAAGGAGTGGATCTACAGCCTGAAGGACTATAACACGGCCTCCTGGTCCCAGAACTTTGTCGCTTCCATCTGCGGTGCCAGTGCCTCCCTGATTGTCTCGGCTCCCCTGGACGTGATCAAGACCCGTATTCAGAACCGCAACTTCGAGAACCCCGAGTCTGGATTCCGAATCGTCTCCAACATGGCCAAGCACGAGGGCATGGGCAGCTTCTTCAAGGGTCTCACCCCCAAGCTGCTGATGACCGGTCCCAAGTTGGTCTTCAGCTTCTGGCTGGCACAGACTCTGATCCCTGCCTTTGGCCAGGTTGTATAAAAAGGCCATGCTTGACGAGTTCTTTATAGCCGCGGCGTTTTTTTGACACTCCCCCCCTTTCCATTTCTCATTTTCTCTTCGGTCTTTCGGACTTTGGCAGCTCTTCATTGGCTAGCCTGTGTATTTTTTCCCTCATAGACATGGTTTATTCTACTCCAACGGGGTTTAGTTGCAGTCAAGAAATAAAACAAACTTCCATACCACCTGGACTAATGTCGAATGTTATTTGTTCTTTGAAATCTTATTGAATAAAACCGACCAGAACCCGAATCTTCATTAGTATCCAATCGAACTCATTATTATCACGTGATTGCATATCGAACTTGCGAGTCCCGCGATTCCGCATCAACTTCAATCCAAATTGACCTCGAGCTCCACAAACCAAAGCAGAAAATTCATAATGACCGTCTACCTTCTGTCGAAGTAAGCGCTCTCGCATCATCCAATGAAGCACTCCCATCTCCATGCCCAACAGAATAGCTGTGACCAGTTATTCCATCACCGCACCCAGGGCTTCCATTCCTCCGAAGCAAGCTCCAATCTAATACCTCTGCATGAAAACAGGATAGGTGACCCCCTATTCGCCCTCACAATGGGTGTCACAGCTGCACTCACTCGCATCCGCCGCGACCAACAAGAGAAGAACCCCGAACGAGCATCGGAGATTGGGTACGGAACCATCGCACAACTTGGCCAACGACGACTACAGCGGTGGTGGAATGGAGATTTCAAGGACTTATGATAAGAAGCCATTTCACTGCTTTCTTAACTGTCGAGCGCTTTCCTGTAATAATATGATTTCCTTGGATTTGGGCTTTGGTGTTCTGCTACCGTTTCCGTGATTAATACCGGGGGACAAGAGGTATTGCTTCACTAACAGTCAAGCAGTCAAGGCAAATAACAATAACTTCAAAACCCAATTACATCTACTACTCATGCCAGTCTACAAAATCACTACGAAAGGATATAATTGAATAAGAAGGAAATTTTGAATTGGCTTGGGACTGTATATGTCCCAGCAGAGATAACCTTGGATCTATGCAATCATGCGCAAAAAAAGAAAACTCGATATCCCATAAGTCGTAAAACAAGACGTGAAAGGAAAATTGTTAAGCCATATGGCGAGCATCATGAAAAAAACTAAAAAAGGGAAACGAGACTTTTAGTCAAGCTCCTCAGGCTCCTCAGTGCTGCTGGGCTTCTGGGTAGACTCAGCACCGGGAGCACCGCTGGGGTCACCACCGGTGGCCTCGTAGGCACCCTTCATGATGGGAGTGGCAACAGCCTCAAGCTCCTTCTGCTGAGACTCGTACTCATCCTTCTCAGCAGTCTGGTTGTTGTCGAGCCAGGAGATGACCTCGCTGACCTTCTCCTCGATCTTCTTCTTGTCATCGTCGGAGATGGGGAGCTTGCCCTCGTTGACGGTGGACTTGAGGGAGTAGGCGTAGGACTCGAGGCCGTTCTTGGCCTGGATACGGCCAGCCTCAATCTCATCCTCCTCCTTGTACTTCTCAGCCTCAGCGAGCATGCGCTCGATCTCCTCCTTGGAGAGACGGCCCTTGTCGTTGGAGATGGTGATCTTGTGGGTCTTTCCGGTACCCTTCTCAACGGCAGAGACGTTCATGATACCGTTGGCATCGAGATCGAAGGTGACCTCAATCTGGGGAACACCACGGGGGGCAGGGGGGATGCCAGTGAGCTCGAACTTGCCGAGCAGGTTGTTGTCCTTGGTACGGGCACGCTCACCCTCGAAGACCTGGATAAGGACACCGGGCTGGTTGTCGGAGTAGGTGGAGAAGGTCTCGGACTTCTTGGTGGGGATAGTGGTGTTGCGCTTGATCAGAGCAGTCATGACACCACCGGCAGTCTCGATACCGAGGGACAGAGGGGCAACGTCGAGCAGCAGGATCTCGTTGGTGGACTTGGAGGAAGTGTCACCAGACAGGATAGCGGCCTGGACGGCAGCACCGTAGGCGACGGCCTCGTCGGGGTTGATGGACTTGTTAGCGTCCTTGTTGAAGAAGTCGGAGACGAGCTTCTGGATCTTGGGGATACGGGTGGAACCACCGACCAGGACGATCTCGTGGACAGAGGACTTGTCGATCTTGGCGTCGCGGAGGACACGCTCGACGGGCTCCATGGTGCCGCGGAAGAGGTCCTGGCAGAGCTCCTCGAAACGGGCACGGGTGATGGAGGTGTAGAAGTCGATACCCTCGAAGAGAGAGTCGATCTCAATGGAGGTCTGGGCAGCAGACGAGAGAGTACGCTTGGCACGCTCGCAAGCAGTGCGGAGACGGCGAAGGGCACGAGCGTTGCTGGTCAGGTCCTTCTTGTGCTTGCGCTTGAACTCGTTGACGAAGTGGTTGACGAGACGGTTGTCGAAGTCCTCACCACCAAGGTGAGTGTCACCAGCAGTGGACTTGACCTCGAAGATACCCTCCTCAATGGTCAGGAGGGAAACATCGAAGGTACCACCACCCAGATCGAAGATGAGCACGTTGCGCTCACCCTCCTGCTTCTTGTCAAGACCGTAGGCAATGGCAGCAGCAGTGGGCTCGTTGATGATACGGAGGACGTTCAGACCGGCAATAAGACCGGCGTCCTTGGTAGCCTGACGCTGAGAGTCGTTGAAGTAGGCGGGGACAGTGATGACAGCGTTGTTGACGGTGCCACCGAGGTAGGCCTCGGCAGTCTCACGCATCTTGGTGAGGATCATAGAGGAGATCTCCTCGGGAGTGAACTGCTTGGTCTCACCCTTGAACTCAACCTCGAGAATGGGCTTGGAGGCCTTGTCGACGACCTTGAAGGGCCAGTGCTTCATATCAGCCTGGACCTCTGCGTCCGCAAAACGACGACCGATGAGACGCTTGGCGTCGAAGACGGTGTTGTGGGGGTTCATGGCGACCTGGTTCTTGGCAGCATCACCGATGAGACGCTCGGTGTCGGTGAAGGCAACGAACGAGGGGGTAGTGCGGTTACCCTGGTCGTTGGCGATGATCTCAATGCGGTCATCACGGAACACACCCACACAGGAGTAGGTGGTACCCAGATCGATACCGACGGCGGGGGCCATGGTGAATGTGTGTCGTTAAAAGGAAAGAAATTCGTGGAATAGGTAGAAGGTAGTGTACAGGGTGGAAAGGAGGCGGGAGGATTAAGGGTATTTGAAAAGTGAAGAGAGAAAAGAAGGGAGTGTGGGCTGCGAAATCCTCCTATATAGTGAGCGGTGTATTGCTCAGAAGCTTCTAGCAGGTAGCTTCCACGGGAGTCCACGGGTTTCCATGGTCTTCGATGCCCCAGCAACAGCCTGTCCGCGGTCTTTCTTGAAAGGACCCGCTGGTTCCAGACGGCTCTAGTGGAGACAAGCTGTCTCTCGAAGCTACAGGATATTCCCTAGCTGCTCTGGATAGCGTACAATTCGTCGTTCTGCATTGTTGATGCTGGTCAATTTTTTTTGGCGGGGCAAGTGAATGATGTCAGCGAGAAAAGTTACCATTCTTTTGTTACCACCGTGCGTACCGGCGGGGTACGGAGGTCAGGCCACCCTTGGCGGGTCAGGCCACCTTCGGCGGGTCTGGCCAGGGCGCATGGTAGTATCGATACGGTCACCGTTTCGTGGGCGTCATCATGAATTCATCTTTTCGACTCCACAGAATGCAGATGACTCTTCCATCGCTGCCTGAGGCGTCAAATTAAGAGATTTAAGGTATTCAGGCAACGAGGCAACAAGACAGTCGCGCATTCAGCCACCCGAGGTATGGACCAGCCCATTAGCTTATCCTGAATACTCTAATTACTATGTACATGGTCCGATATGATCACTCACCGCGCAACCCATGCTTTCTTGCTTTATGCCTTTCATACCGTCAACGCTTGCATCCGTGATTGCTGACTTCGAAGCCCCGAGACACCCATGGAAATGTCGCACGTTTCCTTCGTTCCTTGATCGCATGACCATGTCCCGCATGGAAATTGAATGAAAACGAGAAGAGAAAATAGAAACACGGAAACGTAGAACGCCCAATTCAGATTCGCCAGCCCGATCTCGCAGACTCACACTCACACCATTGGAAAAATGCATGCAAATTCCCCCGCTGAGATTCCGCTGAGCAAAAAGGGGAAAGGCCTGTTGAACCAACCCTCTTTGAGACAGCCCTGATAACGCCATCCACGCTATAATTGACCGACCGCTCAAGTTCTACCGCATTCGAGCTCTCTGACGCGCATCCAATGTAACTCACCCACATTAGTCTCGAATCCCAGCTGTTGTCCCACCTATCCATCTTCCTGATTGGGCTTGATCCGATGCGAAGATCGCATTGAAGCTACGGCAGCTCCGCCGGGCAACTTTGGCTGGTGGCTTCGATACGCTTGGCTCGCACGCCATGGAGACCATGAATGTGTGACCTTGTAAAAAGCAGGATCCCACGCCCCTCCGTGAAAATGGACGGTCCTTATTTCTCTACCCCGCCACCTGTTGGTATTCCCAGAATTGCAGAGGGGGTTCACGAATATCTCTCGCGAAGATGGCTCTTCTGAATGCGTTCAAGCGGCAACAGGAACACCAGGAAGAGAACACATCAGAGCATGCGTCGGAAGATCCCGTCGATATGCCTTCGACCAAGACAGAGGTCGTCGACACCATCTTCCCCGATGAAGAGAAACTGAAGGCAACGAGCGAGACCGTGGCTATCGAAGAGGAAAGCCACAACGACCCAGAAATCGCCGCATTGCCTCTCCAGGTGCGTCAGTTGATCAACCTGACCGACGATCCGACTCTGCCCACCATTACCTTCCGCTACTTTGTGCTCTCGGCCATTTTCGTCATCCCCGGTGCTTTTCTGTCCCAGATGAGCTATTTCCGGACTACCAGTGCAAACTACTCGGTTTTCTTCGTCCAAATTGCCTGCCACTATGCTGGACACTTCCTCGCAAGGACACTGCCAAGATGGGTAGTTCGAGTGCCGGGGACCAGCTGGTCATTTAGCCTCAATCCTGGGGCCTGGAGTATCAAGGAACACGTGCTGGTCACGGTGACGGCGGCCTCGGGGGCGACGTACAACATGGGGTATGCTCCGATTGTCTTGGCTGAGCTCTGGTATGGAGAGAGAATCCCGCCGGCCGTTGCACTCTTCTTCATGCTGGCCATTGTGTGGACTGGGTACGCTTTTGTGGCTCTGGCTCGACAGATCCTTCTGCCGGACCCGGAATACATCTGGCCGCAAGCCTTGATGCAGACAATATTGTTTGAAACATTCCGGAAAACCGACACATCGTCTCGCCTCGCACGTCGCCAGATGAAAGTATTCTTCTTTTCCCTGCTGGGGATGACCATGTGGCAATTCCTGCCGGAATACGTATTTCCGCTCACCTCGTCACTGGCTTTCCTTTGTAGGGTTGCACCGAGAAACCCAGTAGCCAACTTCATTGGGTCCGGAATAGGTGGCATGGGCTTCCTCAACCTCTCCTTGGACTGGTCCAACATCAACTGGAATGGGTCCTCCATTTTGCTCACTCCATGGTGGACTCAGGTTATTTTGTTTCTGGCCTTTGCCTTCAGCTGTTGGGTCTTGCTTCCTGCAGCAAAGTGGGGAAACCTTGGATCTTTCAAGCATGGTCTCATGTCAAATGGCCTCATGCTAGCCAACGGCACAAAATACCCGATCTCGGAGGTGCTCACTCCGACCTATCATCTCAATGAGACTGCATACCAGGAGTACGGCCCAATGTATATGGGCTTGCAAAATGTGTGGGCGACTTTCTTTGACTATGCTAAGCTGCTGGCTGCGGTGACTTGGATTGCTACTTTTGGGTTCGTCCAGGTGAGCAGCAACCTCAAGAAGGTCTTCACTCGCAAGAAGGCTACATATGCAGCGGGCCAGGGCATCCACTACCAGTACAACGATCGCCTCAATGTCATTCAGCGACAGTATAAAGAGATCCCGTCGTGGTGGTACATTGCCCTGTTCCTGGTGGCATTTGTCATCCTGGTCACCAGCATTGCGTGCGGGTACCTCTTCATTCCGATCTGGACCTTGTTCGTGGCACTTGCCAGTGCAGCGATCTTTGTTATTCCCTTTGCCTGGCTGTATGCCATCTCGAACTATCAGCTTGAGACCGGTTCGTTCAACGAGCTGGTGTATGGCTATATGGTGCACACCAAGGCCGGTGAAAATCATCAGCACCCTTGTGGTCCGTCTGTCTACGGCTCTATTGCTGGTGATGCTTGGTACCGCGCGCAATATATGCTCCAGGATCAGAAAATCGGCCATTATATGCACATCCCTCCCCGTCAGGTGTTCTTCTCCCAGATCTTCGGTACGCTCATGGGTGTTCCGATCAACTACGCTGTCATCCGCTGGGTCATGAACACCAAGGGCGATTACTTGACGGGGAAGAAGAGCGACCCACTCAACCAGTGGACGGGTCAAAAACTGGTCACCTCCAACACGATGGGTGTGCAGTACGCAATTCTTGGACCCAAGCGACTCTTTGCTGAGGCGGAGATGTCCCCGCTCCCCTGGTCCTTCCTCGTGGGAGCCGTCATCCCTCCTATCCTGTTCATCTTCCACCGCATCTTCCCACGACTACGGATTGATTTGTGGAATGTCAGCATCTTCTTCGGTGGTCTGGCCATGTTCTACGGCAATATCAGTACGGGGTACACATCGGCCATCATCGGTGCATACATCGCGATGTACTGGGCCTACCGACGTCACTTCGAAGTGTGGAAGCGCTATAATTATCTAGTAGCAGCGGCCTTTGATGCAGGTTTCAATCTCAACATGCTGCTCATCTTTTTCTTCTTCGGGGCTGGCAAGCAGATCTCGATGCCGAAGTGGTGGGGCAACAACGCCGATTCGGTGGAACGGTGCTTTGCTTTGAATAGTCAGTAGCAATAAGCCTTGATCTTAGCACCAAACGAATCCGATTGCTTTTTATGACCTCCAATTCAAGGCCTATAGTAGTCACCAAGCACGGATCGGATCATCCACAGGTCCAGAAAGATGTCTCGCGGTAAGGCCGAACCCTAAGGCCCCCACCGCCACCGCCATGGCGAATCACGTCACGGGATCGCGGCGTCCCTTACTGTTGCGGGTTGTTTTGGTTGAACTACCTTACTTGCAGACCGTCTCTTTAAATCCCTTCCCTCGCCTTCTTCCACCTCGTAATTCTCCCCCATCTCCCACCTTTTTACCACGCACATAATTCATCATGGGTGACCACGCCACCACCACCAACCCCAACGAGACCGCCTTCGCGGACAAGGGCAAGGGCAAGGCCCAGGACCCTACCCATGACCAGAACATGGAATCCGACAGCGAGTCCGAGAGCGAACCCGAGCTGGTGAGTTTGCGCAATCCATCCACATTGCCATCAACCGAGACATCGACACTGACTGAAACCTTCTCCAGCCCGACAATGGTACGAATCCCGCCACCACATAGTCTGTAGCCAATGGCTACCGATAATCCAAGCCCCCGATCCAATTGAGACCATACTGACCTTGATTCCCGACAGACGAGGATGAGGAAGACAACGGCGACGGCAACCTCGAGCCCATCTCGCAGGACAACATCATCTCTGGCGGCCGTCGCACGCGCGGCAAGCAGATCAACTGGGAGACCGTACACTCCCAGAACGCAGACGCGATGGAGGATGAGGAGGATGATGACGAGGACTACCAGGGCGCCGGTGACGACAACGACGACCAGATGCGCGACTAAGCGGCTGGCTTTGATGAAAAAAGCTTAAGTGACATGGGGAATGATCTGTGGATCGGCGCTATCCATTTGGGGGGAGGCTCTCTCTCTTTCTCTCTTGTGCTCTCCTTGAGACTTAACTTGTTCTCCGAGTCACGCGATAAATCGGCGATGACAATGAATCAATGAAGCTGATCTTTACGATCTTTTCTACTCTATTTTCTCTCCCGAGTTGCACTTCGCGGCGGGTCTTTTTTCTGTAGTACCTGGAGACGTAAACAATAGATGCAGTTCAAGCTTAGCGCTTTAGCTATGCGATCAGCACGCCCGTTATACGCTTCGCCCGAGGCAAGCTAGGCCATCTCCTTATGTTTAATTGATTCCATCTCACCAAAACAATCTATTGGTTCTGCTCGAATCCCTTGTAAACATCGCTCGTCATCACGTGCGGCCGCCTCGGGCGAGACCAACAAGCTTTGGCCACCTTGTGTTTTTGCCCTCCGCAAGCATCCAAGTCGACTACTCAAACGACATGGTTGTGAACTCCAGTCGCTAATAGCCAGCAATGTTCCTGAACTATTATTGACCGCCCCCCGATTCCTCCTGAGCGACTCTACCAAAGACCTCGGTTCGTTCTGAACCAACCCGAACGACCATCATGTCTTCACGGTATAGTCCCCGGTCCCTGCTTTTCTCAGGGTCCTTCTTCTGATGACCCTTCAACGTATCTTGGAACTAATATTACGTCGACTAGATTTCCCCGCCAACGCGACCCCCGCGCCTCATCCTCCCTCTTCGACTCATATGGTGGCGACTCTCGCCCGGCCAGCAGATCGCCCGCGCCGTCAGGCGGATATGGATACGGAGGTTACCCCAGTCCGGCAGGCAGCTATGGCAATGGAAGTGCTGCGGGGGCCTCATATAGGAGCGCAACCCCGGATAAGAAGTACGTCCGAGTGCTCTGAGCCTGCCCAACGCTTTATCAATATCGAGCCTAACCTTTGAACTGTAGGGGCCACTACTCTGACGCAGTTCTCTCATCCCTCGAATCACAAAATGATGCGGAAGTGGAAGGCATCACCGCTAAGGTGAAGATGCTGAAAGATGTAAGCGCGTCTCATTTGCAGGACTATTGCTGCGAGATGAATGGGGAGCCCTCGAAGGACAAGCGCTGACAACGAACCGCCAGATCTCTATCGCCATCGGTGACGAGATTCGGGATACCACATACCTAGAGGGGCTCGAAAGTTCATTCGAAAACACACGAGTCCGGATCCGCGGAAACATGAACCGCATGCTCCGCATGGCTGACAGCACCGGCGTCGGCTGGAGAGTGTGGCTTGGGTTCTTCTTCGCCGTCTTCCTCTTGTTCTTTTACGTGTGGATATTTTAGTGGCCACCGCCGCACTCGCCCGTTTTACTTTCGCCTCGGTTCCTTCCTACGTCTTATTTAATACTTTTGCCTGCCGACACACTACCGGGACCATTGCTTTGGGTTTCCTTTGGTTGACGGGCGTGCATACATACATTTTTATGAAGTACCAGCATGGTTTTTGACTGCGGTGTTTTGGAGTTTGCTTTTCATTGGAATAACATGCCATTTGATTTCTCTGGCGGTACCTACATATAATGTCGACTTCGTTTCCAGAATTTGGGAATCATGCTCTTTAAAGCTATTCCTGGCAGCTCTTTCGAGTGCTTGCTATACCGTGGAATCTCGATTGGCGGTCTTTTTGGGCAGAGCTCCTCGGCCAGGAGCTTAGGCTCCTTGAAATTCGATTGATGTATAAGTATATAGTACATAATGCAAAGGAAACAAGCCTTGAGGGCTCGTTTGTGCAGAGAAATTCAATCAGCTTGGTTTCGTAAGTCTAACCCCGAATGTTCTCTACATACCGCGAGCATCACTGTGGGAAATGTCCTCTTTTACGGCGAATACTATAGGCTTCGTGATAGGATAACGAGCAATTCTCAGAACAAATATGCAATAGAGTGGTATCCTTGCAGCAATGAGTATCTTGGATACCATACACCTCTATGGTTCCCAGGGCCTTGAGCCCACCCAGACGCCGATGACAATGCAAATCGCTGAACCGTACCCTCACAACAGCCCATAGGCCAGCTCAATTGATACTGTCTCGAGGCCCGCCCACGCGTCGAGGGAATCGTCGAGCAAACCCACTGCGGCGACTAGTCTGGCTCGTCACCGAGGCGCGCAAGTCATCCTCCTCAAACATCATACTGCTTGAATCAAAAGCATCACCTCCGCCACTCCAACGTTGCAAGAAGCGCGACTGAGCTTCCGTCTCCCGCTCACGCCGAGGCGGCGGCGGAGGCAATCCACCCCGGCTATTAGGCGTGCTGGTCCTGAAGTGCTCCGAAGGACGCGCACCGACGATCTCATCATCCCCATTCTCATTCTCATCCTCCTCATCAAGCTCGTCCTCAGTATCCGTATGCTGCCATTCACCCTCCTGCTCCGAACCATCCTCCGCAGCATCGGGAACATCATCGTCAAGATCCCGCTCCATACCATCACTCAGCCCCTCGGCAGTCGGAACCGCCGCATCCAAATCCGGCTGATTATCGAAATCATCCTCGTACTCATCGTAGTCATCGTCCGGATATCCCTCGGGGATATCATCATCCAGATCACGTTCCATATAGCCCTCCTCGTCAGCAATGTCCTCCTCTTCAAGGCCTTCCTCGCCTTCCTCAACAAGACCCTCGGCCTCGACATCGGCATCAGGAATCTCATCATCCAAATCCCGCTCCATTCCCTCTTCCTCCTCTTCTTCACGCACCCCTGTATCATCATCCATCAGTCCCTCCCCTTCAGCAGCATTCATCTCAGCCTGCGCAGCCAAGAGGGCTTCTTCGCGCTCAGCCTCCTCTTCTTTCATGCCAAGCATAGTCTTCGCGCATCCTGCGGGTCTGATCCAGGAGTAGCCAAACGAGGCGATATTCTGTTTGCGGGTGCGCAGGGCGCGTTCTTCGACTAGGAGTGCTGAGAGGGAGTTCGCTGGGGAGCGGGAGGGCATGAAGGCGCGATGGGTGGTTGTGTTGGCATTGCGGCGGGGATGGTTGGCGGGGTCATTTGGGTTTTGCTGTGGGGAGGAGGATCGGTATGGTTGGGAGCCTCCGAACCAGAGCTCATGGGACTGTTTATTGTAGGATTGTGTCAAACTGGGGGCTTGGAAGTCGAGGTGGAGGGTGGTCACTTACGTCGCGGGGGGTGATGAATGGGAGGGAGAGCATTGTTGTGTTGGTGGTGGATTGCTCTGTATGGCGTGATAAGACAAATTTGTGTGTCTAGGATGATTGAGGAGGAGCTCTGGGCGTGGAGTGTGCCTTTGCGCGTTCCTGCGTCTTGCGATGCTGCAGGTGGGCAGTGGAAGGTTTTTGTTGCAGGCACGGTGGCCGGTATAGTCCCGAAGGGTTCAAATCTACAGGAACTTCATAGGCCGCGGTATTTCTCGGTGGATGTCATAGGTGAGGAATTGTCGGGCCCGTTTGGAGATATCGATGCGCAGTGAAGTGATCATCAAGCTCGGGCAACGGAGCTAGGGCGGGACACAAAAGTTGCGGCTCCACCGCAAACCATAACATTGGCGCGATTGCGGGGAGCTTGTGCATCCGATTATCATAGTCTATACAGTTATTATTCGAGTAAGGCCATACAAGCCGACATCATGAGCAATTCAGGTGATAATTAACTGGATTTTGGGATGATACTGGAGCAATCATTTCAGGCCACTCCGAGGTATATTCAGTCTCGGGGCTTCAGATTCCACCACATATCTACGAGTTCAACGACCAATTTCACAACATGCAGGCCACTGACCTACTATTTTCTCTCTACATCCAAGCACAAGATTTTTTTAAACAAGGCCCTGCCTTCAGGTAACGCTTGATCAATCCTTCTTTCTTGCTATGATTTGAATGATTGGCGAAGACTTTCGTTTATACTGCGACTACATTGAGTGTGTTTCTTACCAGGCGGGAATGTTCGAGTATCATGTGGGATATTCTTGATTAATTGATTATATTTGACTATGAACGCATCGATATTGCGAATTGTACCGGGTACTGTGGAAGAGTATGGCACACTTCAAGGTAGGGGTACTTGGCACTAGGCAACAGACTCAAAGCTGAGATCAACCGTACCAAGTTAGATCTACGCATTACCAAGCCATTTATTACAAGGATCCTACAAAAGGTTTTGCATCTAAGAAGCTTCGACTCGGCTGCAGAAATCATAGTCACCGGGGGCCACTGGATCATATGCAGCGTCAAGACAGAAACTAGAAGAGCGGTAGCAGATCTCGCGGACCGAGAATATTCGCCGAGCCGGACGAGTTTCACCCGCCGGATTCCTCAAGTCCCAAACCAAACGCACTGGAGGTTCGGCTGCGCATCCTGCATTTACGAGACCTCGTTACAGGGTAATACATACACATTCGAGATGACGGAGACCCGAGTTCACCCGATCCTGGCAGTGTTCTGCCCCGTCGAGCAGCCAGCACTCCGGTGAACCCAAAGCAGGCAAGGGTCAAGACGAACGGGCGAAACCGGAGTGGAGCGAGCTTGGAGCTTGGAAGGGGAACGGAGCACGCACCGTCGGTCTTATTTTCACTTGCAGTCCCATTGGATCGAGCGGTGAGTCATGTGATACCGGGCAGTGGATCCCGGGGAGTCGATGTATATGTCATATACACTTACGCTGTTCGATGTACATGGAACCGGGGAAAAGAAAAAAGAAATAATCGGGTCGAGTGGCGACACTAGTATCCGTTGATGCAGCACCGTGTGCTCCGTATGTCTGATCTGCTCCGTGAGTCACGGTGCAGCCATCCGTGCTAGGCGAAAACAGGAGAAGAAATCCCATCCTCCACCATCTACTGCGGGCTCGGAAACGAGGCCGCGAGAAAGGGTTTATGTATTTTTATTATCAAGTCGAGCTTATCAGGACATCCCGCTTCACGTGTCAGGGCCGTCCCGCGTTAAGTCCGAGAACTCGGAGAAAACGCACGTCGAAAGCATGTCGTAACGAAGATCCCAGGCCTATTCCAAACCGGACGCGGAGAGCACTGGGGGAGGGGGTCCGGGGAGTTTCTGGAGGTCTGGGGGACCTGCGCATTGGACGAGTGAGGACGCAGACAATTTCCAAGAAGCCGCGATAAGCAGGTCGGGATGACCTCAAGGAATGAGCTGATGAGATGGGGGAAACGGACAGGACCAATCCGGATTCACGGCTGGAATGCCGGGCGGCTGGGATCCCCGATTTCGGGGCAGAAACAATGTTGGTCGGGAGCCCTGTCTGCCATACCAGTGGAAGAGGGAGATCCCGGGGCTTGGCCGTTGTCGGAAACGACATTACCGTTCAGAACGGGTAATAGCATCTCAGGTGCGTGGCCTGGATCTGAGTAGTACAGTAGTATGCACTCGTTACTCCCGATTCCAGCCTACTTCCCTGCAACATTACCCCGTCTTTGTGCCTGCCAAGTCCTGTATGCGCGTCCTGCTCTTTCAGGCTGCATGTTGGAAGAGTTGCGCTCCCACAAACTAGCGGCTCGGGAATAAGGACATTTGACTGGATTAAGCACTTCGCTATGCCCCACCAACCGCCCACTCGGATCTGCTGTAGGACCGAGCCCACATGTGAGGATGCCTCCAGCTCCCTCATTCGGGCGAGTCGGTTTTGTCTGTTTGCGGCCGACGACCTCCTGGTCCACCCCACCACCACCCGAGCCAGGTACATCTAACCAAATTGCCAATGGAAGAAATGAAAGAGTAGCTACGATCTTGGATAGGATGGTGAATGTTCCGGGGAGATCTGTAGGGTGCATGCCTCGCGTGCATAGATCTCGAGGGATCGATACGTGACAATACATGTACATCCGCTCCACCGGCGAGGATCTTGACGTAGCAGAAAGCTAATCGTTCGGGCTCATGTTGCAAAGCATTCACTCTCATTGGCCTTCGCACGCTTATCTCGACGATTTGCGCTCCGTAATCATAATGATTATCATTACTCGACCCATTATTGACTGAGGAGCTCTCTCCAACGACCATACTGTATGGAATGTTCCCCCCTTCCCCTACTGCTTTCGTCCATGAGGGGTTCCTAGGCCACGGTGGCTGTAATGACCGTAATCTCCTTCGATTCCTTCTTCTCGTAAAAACCGCTAGGCCAGTCTTGATCCAATCTGAAGCTATTACCGTGGACACTCCCCTCTCATCTGGCTTCAGCAATTTTGCCACGGCGCATAACCCCACGGCCGTATTTTATCCGTTTCCTGCGATTGGGGAACGTCTCGGAGCAGAGTACAATCCTCGGACGTGCTGTACCGCCGTAATCGCTGCTCTCTTTTATTTTTTATTCCACCCCTCCTCCTCCTTCTTCCTTCCTTCCCATCTTCATCTTTCACTCACTTCGTCGCAGCAGGGGCTTCCTCACCTTGTCCATTCCCTTCAACCGCGCTGCGTCAGTGACGACATTGCCCGCGATAGTCCCGCCCCAAAAACAGCGGAGATCTTTCACCCAAAAAGAAAAGAGAACCATCTTAACCCCTTGTCCATTCTCTGTCGGCCCCCGGCGGAAGAATGGGTCTTAACTTGGAGGAAATATATGGCAATGATTTAATTGAAGAGGCTCCGCAGGAGTATTCGGAGTACCAGCCCAAGGAGGGTTATGGCTGGGCCAATACTCTGCCAGAGAAGCAGGGTCTCTATGACCCCGAATACGAAAAGGATGCCTGTGGTGTCGGCTTTGCTGCGTGAGTGATTCTTTGATTCCGCTGCTGAGCCATTGACCGGCCGACTGACTTGTCTTTTACGATTTAGCCACATCAAGGGCAAGCCGAGCCACAAGATCGTGAGCGATGGTAAGTCTCCGATTCCCCCGGTGAAATCGAAACAAGGAAGCGTGCGCTGACGTCGATGCGGTTTAGCCCGCAATCTGTTGTGCAACATGACCCACCGTGGAGCCGTTGGCTCCGACGCGCGAGACGGTGACGGTGCCGGTGTGATGACCAGTATCCCTCACAAATTCTTCGTGAAGAATTTCGCTCGTGAGGTTGGCGTGGACCTGCCACCGCTGGGTCAGTATGCCGTTGGAAACTTATTCTTCAAGCCCGATGAGGACGCTCTTAAGCAATCCATCGCCAGCTTCGAGGAGCTCGCTACCTCTCTTGGCCTGCGCGTCTTGGGATGGCGCGAGGTGCCTCGCGACTCGACTATCCTGGGTCCGGCTGCGCTCTCGCGTGAGCCTATTATTATGCAGCCGTTTGTCGTGTTGAAATCTGCGTACGGCGAAGGTAACAAGCCGGAGATCACCGACACCGACAAGTTCGACGAGCGGACGTTTGAGATCCAGCTGTACGTTTTGCGGAAGCGTGCCACTCATGTCATTGGTCTGGGCAACTGGTTTTACCTGTGCTCCCTCAGCAACCGGAATATCGTCTACAAGGGCCAGCTTTCCCCGGTCCAGGTCTACACATACTACCACGATCTGGTTAACGTCGACTACGAGGGCCACTTCGCTCTTGTTCACTCCCGATTCTCCACCAACACATTCCCCTCTTGGGACCGTGCTCAGCCTTTGCGATGGGCCGCTCACAACGGTGAAATTAACACATTGCGAGGAAACAAGAACTGGATGCGTGCCCGTGAGGGTGTCCTTCGCTCCGAGGTCTTCGGCGATGAGCTCGACCTCCTGTACCCTGTCGTGGAGGATGGCGGCTCCGACTCCGCTGCCTTTGATAACGTGCTGGAGCTGCTGATGATTAACGGAGTTCTGTCTCTGCCCGAGGCTGTCATGATCATGATTCCCGAGGCCTGGCAGGACAACCCGGCCATGGACCCGAAGAAGTCTGCTTTCTACGAGTGGGCGGCTTGTCAGATGGAACCCTGGGATGGCCCGGCTCTGTTTACCTTCTCCGACGGCCGTTACTGTGGTGCCAACCTCGACCGTAACGGCCTGCGCCCCTGCCGTTTCTACGTGATGGATGACGACCGTATCGTCTGCGCTTCCGAGGTCGGTGCTATTGATATTGACCCTGAGCGTGTGGTCCAGAAGGGTCGTCTGCAGCCCGGAAAGATGCTGCTGGTCGACACTGTGGCCGGGCGGATCATTGACGACTCCGAATTGAAGAGGACCGTCGCCAACCGTCAGGACTTTGCCAGCTGGCTGGACAAGGAGCTCCTGAAGCTGCCCGCTATCACCAAGGTGCTCGCGGACAGCAGCCACGACCTTTCTTTCACCCTTGACGAAACCACCGTGCAGAATGACCCCCGTCTTCGAGCCTTCGGTTATTCCTTCGAACAGGTCAGTCTCCTGCTGGGCCCTATGGGCGCGGACTCCAAGGAAGCCCTCGGCTCCATGGGTAATGATGCTCCTCTGGCTTGCATTGCTCAGCAGCCTCGCCTGCTTTACGAATACTTCCGCCAGCTGTTTGCTCAGGTCACCAACCCGCCCATTGATCCCATCCGCGAGGCCGTGGTCATGTCCCTGGAGTGCTACGTTGGTCCCCAAGGGAACTTGCTGGAGATGGACCCTACTCAGTGCCACCGCTTGCTTTTGCCGTCTCCCATTTTGAGCATCCCTGAGTTCAATGCTCTTAAGAACATCAACTACGCTCATAATGACTGGACTGTTCGTACCATCGACATTACTTTCGACAAGAAGGGGGGTACCAATGGCTACATTGAGGCACTGGATGCTATCTGTGATGCTACTACCGAGGCTATTCAGCAAGGCGACAAGGTGATCGTTCTGTCTGACCGGGCCACTTCCGCTGAGCGTGTCCCCGTCTCTGCTTTGTTGGCCACTGGTCTTGTCCACCACCACCTGGTTCGCAACAAGTGGCGTTCGTTTGCTGCCCTCGTTGTTGAGACTGCTGAAGCTCGTGAGGTCCACCACCACTGTGTTCTCCTTGGTTATGGTGCCGACGCTATCAACCCTTACCTCGCTCTGGAGTGTATCCTCAAGATGAACCGGGAGAAACTGATCCGCAAGGACATCACCGACGAGAAGGTGATTGAAAACTACAAGGCCTCTTGCGATGGTGGTATTCTCAAGGTCATGAGTAAGATGGGTATCTCCACTCTCCAGTCCTACAAGGGTGCTCAGATCTTCGAGGCTCTCGGTATCGACGACAGCGTCATTGACCGCTGCTTCGCCGGTACTGCAAGCCGCATTCGTGGTATCACATTCGAGCTGATTGCTCAGGACGCTTTCGCCTTCCACGAGCGCGGATACCCCTCGCGCGAGATTGTCGAGATCCCTGGTCTGACCGAAACGGGCGAGTACCACTGGCGCGATGGTGGCGAGGCACACATCAACGATCCCGTCAGCATTGCTAACATGCAGGATGCCGTTCGCACCAAGAATGACAAGTCCTACGAGGCTTACGCCAAGGCAGAGCACGAGCAGATCAAGAACTGCACTCTGCGTGGTATGCTCGAGTTCGACTTCGAGCAGCGTACTCCCATCCCCATTGATCAGGTCGAGCCATGGACCGAGATCGTGCGCCGTTTCGTGACCGGTGCCATGTCCTACGGATCTATCTCCATGGAATCCCACTCGACTTTGGCTATTGCCATGAACCGTCTGGGCGGAAAGTCCAACACCGGTGAAGGTGGTGAAGATGCTGAGCGCAGCAACCGCATGGAAAACGGCGACACCATGCGTTCCGCCATCAAGCAAATTGCCTCTGGTCGCTTCGGTGTGACATCCAACTACCTAGCTGATGCCGATGAGCTGCAGATCAAGATGGCCCAGGGTGCTAAGCCCGGCGAAGGTGGTGAGTTGCCCGGCCACAAGGTACTGGGCCCTATTGCCCGTACCCGTCACTCCACCCCCGGTGTCGGTCTCATCTCCCCACCTCCCCACCACGACATCTATTCCATCGAGGATCTGAAGCAACTTATCTATGATCTCAAGTGCTCGAACCCTCGTGCTCGTGTCTCCGTCAAGCTTGTGTCTGAAGTTGGCGTTGGTATCGTTGCCTCGGGTGTTGCCAAGGCTAAGGCTGACCATATCTTGATCTCTGGTCACGATGGTGGTACCGGTGCTTCCCGCTGGACTGGTATCAAGTATGCTGGTCTTCCTTGGGAGTTGGGTCTTGCCGAGACTCACCAGACTCTTGTCCTTAATGACCTCCGTGGCCGTGTTGTCGTCCAGACTGATGGTCAGCTTCGTACTGGTCGTGATATCGCCATCGCTTGTTTGCTCGGTGCTGAAGAATTCGGCTTCGCCACCACTCCATTGATTGCTATGGGGTGTATTATGATGAGTAAGACAACCCAAAAAATGCCGTCAAGGTTATCATATTACCAATGGAATAAAGAACTAACAGCGGTATAGGAAAATGCCACTTGAACACTTGCCCTGTCGGCATTGCTACTCAAGACCCTGAACTTCGCAAGAAGTTCAATGGTACCCCCGAGCAAGTCATCAACTTCTTCTACTACGTTGCCAATGAAATGCGGGCTATCATGGCCAGGCTTGGTATTCGCAGTGTCAACGAGATGGTTGGCCGTGCTGAACTTCTCAAGACCCGTGATGACCTCCGTGCTAAGCAGGAGCGTATCGATCTTTCCCTCATCCTGACTCCTGCTCACTCGCTGCGGCCTGGCGTTGCTACATACAACGTTCGCAAGCAGGATCACCGCCTCCACACCCGTCTCGACAACAAGCTGATTTTCGAGTCTGAGCTCGCTCTAGAGAAGGGTCTCCCTTGCCGTATTGAGTGCGATGTTGTCAACACTGACCGTGCCCTTGGAGCTACCCTTTCATACCAGATCAGCCGACGCTATGGCGAGGCTGGCCTTCCCCAGGATACCATCCACGCCAATATCAAGGGCTCTGCTGGTCAATCTTTCGGTGCTTACCTTGCTCCTGGTATTACTCTTGAGCTCGAGGGTGACTCCAACGACTACGTTGGCAAGGGTTTGTCTGGTGGTCGTCTCATTGTCTATCCTCCTCGCGGTGCTGCCTTCAAGGCCGAGGAGAACGTTATCGTTGGAAACACCTGTCTCTACGGTGCTACTCGCGGTACTTGCTACTTCCGTGGTATGGCTGCTGAGCGTTTCGCTGTCCGTAACTCGGGTGCCACGGCTATTGTTGAGGGTGTCGGTGACCACGGATGTGAGTACATGACTGGTGGTCGCGTTCTCATCCTGGGACCGATTGGCCGTAACTTTGCTGCCGGTATGTCTGGTGGTATTGCCTACGTGTTGGACGTGAACCAGGACTCGCACTCCAAGGTCAACCTGGAGATGGTGGAGGTCTCTGGCATCGAGGATCCTTCTGAGATCGCCTTTGTCCGCGGACTGATCGAGGACCACCACCACTATACTGGCTCCGAGCTGGCTGCTCGTATCCTTCTCGACTTCAACCGTGCTCTCCCTCGCTTTATCAAGGTTCTGCCGACTGACTACAAGCGCGTCATGGATGAAGAGGCGGCTAAGGCTAAGGCTGCGAAGAAGGCCGAGTTCTCTCTTCCCCAGCTTCCCAGCACCCCTACTCCTACTGGGATGGCCAAGAACGATGACTCCAAGAAGGCCGATCTTCTGGATATCGAGGACAGCATCAGCAGCGAGAAGGCTGAGAAGAAACGTTCTGCCCTGATTCTGGACAAGACTCGTGGTTTCATGAAGTACAGCCGCCGCAGCGAGAAGTACCGCAACCCGACTACTCGTACCCGTGACTGGGCTGAGCTGTCCAACCGTCTGAACGAGGATGAGCTCAAGTACCAGGCAGCTCGTTGCATGGACTGCGGTGTCCCCTTCTGCCAGTCCGACACCGGCTGCCCCATCTCCAACATCATTCCCAAATGGAACGAATTAATTTTTCAGGGCCAATGGCAGGATGCCTTGAACCGTCTGCTCATGACCAACAACTTCCCCGAATTCACTGGTCGTGTCTGCCCTGCTCCTTGTGAGGGTGCCTGTGTTCTGGGCATCAACGAGGACCCCGTCGGTATCAAGTCAATTGAGTGTGCCATCATCGACCGCGGTTTCGAGATGGGCTGGATGGTCCCTTGTCCCCCCAAGACTCGGTCGGGCAAGACCGCTGCCGTCATCGGTTCTGGACCTGCTGGTTTGGCTACTGCCGATCAGCTCAACCGTGCCGGTCACACCGTGACTGTTTACGAGCGTGCTGACCGCATTGGAGGTCTCCTCATGTATGGTATTCCCAACATGAAGCTCGACAAGAAGATCGTTCAGCGCCGTGTCGACCTGATGGCCGCCGAGGGTATCAAGTTTGTCACTGGTGTCACCGTTGGCCCTGACAGCGAGGTGTCTTTGGACTCTCTTCGTGCCTCCAACGACGCGGTAATCATCGCCACCGGTGCTACTGTTGCCCGTGACCTCAAGGTTACTGGCCGCGAGCTGGAAGGTGTTCACTTTGCCATGCAGTTCCTGCACAAGAACACCAAGTCCCTTCTGGACTCTGGTCTTTCCGATGGCGAGTACATCTCCGCCAAGGACAAGCACGTCGTTGTCATTGGTGGTGGTGATACCGGTAACGACTGCATTGGTACTTCCGTCCGCCACGGTGCCAAGTCAGTCACCAACTTCGAGCTTCTGCCCCAGCCCCCGCCCCAGCGCGCCGGCGACAACCCCTGGCCCCAGTGGCCCCGCATCTACCGTGTCGACTACGGTCACTCCGAGGTCAAGACCCACATGGGCAAGGACCCCCGTGAGTACTGTGTCATGTCAACCGAGTTTGTTGACGACGGTAACGGCCGTGTCAAGGGCATCAACACTGTCCGCGTCGAGTGGACCAAGAGCGCCACTGGCGGTTGGGATATGAAGACCGTCGAGGGCAGCGAGCAGTTCTTCCCCGCTGACCTCGTCCTCCTCTCCATGGGATTCCTGGGTCCCGAGGACCGCCTCCTTGGCGAGGAGATCGAGCGTGACGCCCGCAAGAACGTCAAGACTCCGCCGGGCCACTACTCCACCAACGTCCCCGGCGTCTACGCCGCCGGTGACTGCCGCCGTGGCCAGTCCCTGATCGTCTGGGGTATCAACGAGGGCCGTCAGTGCGCGCGCGAGGTCGATACCTTCCTCAGCGGTATCAGCTCCCTGCTGCCCGTGACCGGAGGCATTATTCGTCGCCCAGCCATCGACTCCGTGCCCCAGCCCGCCGAGACCCAGGTCGTTGCTTAAATAAAATGAGTGATATATCTACGGGTATCGGGTTATTATGAAGGCTACGATGAAATGTTCGTTTAAACGTGCAAAATTTAAAAGGGGGTTGGTTAGAAGGGGACTCTCGTTCACTATAGTGGGAGGTCTTGTTTTCATGAAAGTTGCCAAGATTTCTTTCTCTGATATCTTTTGAATTGTTGATTCCCATGCGTGTTTATCTTGTCCTGTCAGCAGCGTTTCTCTATGCAAGGTGTTTACAGCGTCCGCAGAGCGGTGATTATTTACTTTATGTTGTACATACCTCGTCGTTTCCCATCTCTTTGAATTCCAGATTTATTCATGATCGACTTTGTCTCACCCGTATAAAGGATGTCACTTGTTCCTTGAATGCTATTGCTCCCTCGTGACCTCAGCTGAAAGAGATTTGATACTTTGTTTTAGAATGCTATTGTCTGGTGACTCAACCCGACAGACACACTTGATACCAAGCCCAACACATGGAATCGAAGGTATCAAAACCCCCCAGCCCCTTCTCCTAATATTATCCAGTCATCAGATCATGCATCTGGCACCCCACCTCTACCTAGTATACGTCGACCTCTCACCATGACGAGAAAGAGCAAGAAACCAATCACGCCCATCTGTCCAGGTATCAGCGAACTCGCAGTCGAATCCGAAACTGACAGTCGCCGCTCCAGCGCCGAGAGTTGGAAAGCCAGATACGAAGAAATGATAGACATTGCGCTTCTCCCGACACAGGAAGAGAAGGACGCGGCTATAGCGAAGATAGCAATAGGGAAGAACTCTTACGTTGATTCGATCCGAAAGAAAGGCCCCGGGTGTGGATTTTATGAGTGTCCGACCGAGTCTACAACCGGAACTACGGAGTCCGTGACTACTGGTCCCAGAATTATTCAGGAGCGTGAACCTACGCGGGCAAGTGAAGAATCCCCGCGCCCGAGAGAACGATATGGTAGGAAGGATCCCCCATCTAGTGCGACGAAGGACATGGACCCTGCAAGACCAGTAAGCAACTACTTTCCACGGGCAGAGCAGGCGATGGACTCTATCCTGACTTCTTTGAGGGATATTGCAGGTCAAGTGGTCAGCTTGTTTCAAAGGCTTCTTTTCAGTCCTCGATTTCACCTGGTTTTAGAGATCTTTACTATTGTTGCGGTTGCTGTTTTAGTGTCTTTTGCTGGTGAAGAACTCCCTTTTCGGCTTGCGGTGCTTGGAATTATGTTGGTAGTTCATGGTGTTTTGAGTTTGCCTTAGGTGCGTAAAGACAATTAGATGTCAGGTCCTCCTCTTCAAATAGAGTTTCTTATTGCAATACCGCCTTGAAATACAAATAGAAGTTTGGATCGGGGAATGGATTGTTGTCAGAGTAGAGAATCCAACATCTAGATCAATTATTATACAAATTCCACGCCAAGAGGTATATATGTACATTCGTGAGACAAAAAAAAACGGACGCTCCATGACAGCTCAAGGCAAATGCAATCATGCAGCTGCTTTTTGACTAGCCTCCGCTTCAGCCTTCATCTCGCGCTCCAGGGCAGCAAAGTCACCCTTGAAAGCCTCGCGCGCCGGCTCAAGCCGAAGGTCCCAAACATCCTCACTACTGGGACCGGTCTTGTACTTGATAGCCTTCTTTTGGTTGTGGGCGCGGATGGCCTTCTTGCGCAACTCATCTGACCAAGACCGGGTCCTCATGCAGAGCCAGAAGTTATCCCAGTGCTCGCTGCATGAGCGCATCTCGCCGTATCGGTAGACGTTCACGAATTGGCCGCCGAAGGATTGGCAGAAGAAGGCGTAGTCGAAGGCTGTGCGACATGACATCTCATCTGCGTAGAGAGATTCCTCGGAGATGGAGGAGGTAGGTTCGGATGGATATGTTTCGCCATTGGATGACAGCTTGGCTTGTGGGTTCTTGGAGGTGCCATTCTCTGCTTCTTGGAGGCTGGCCAGGAGTTGACTGAATTCAAGGTCGGCTTGTTCGGCCGGGGTCAACGTGTTTGGCGGTGGGACATTTTGAGACGCTGGTTCGGGGGTATTCGTGGATGGCGTAGGTGTGCTGACGGGTTCGTCCTTTTGAGAACTTGATGTCCATAGCCAGCCCATGATTGTGGAGGGTATCGCGAGAATTGAGTCCCGAATCGACAAATCGGAGTGACAACGCGGTTTTCCGACTATCGATTGTGTCACGTGCACGCCATCGCGCCCCGATAAGATGATCGCGCGACGTCATTATTTGTACCGATCGATTTAAACTTGTTCTTCTCACTTGGTTCTAACACTATGCGTGACTCTTGATATGCGGCAAGCATCTTTCGCGAGAGCGACCTCGACGGCGTGGGCGCCACCGCTGCGCTCTACCACCGGCAATGTCCGTACGCATGGCATGGGGAGGAGATCAGCTCCGCTTTGGAGACTCTCGCCATTCGGTGTACGGTCGACGTCCTCGATTCATTCTGGACACATCAAGCTTGACGAGAATGAGGGTATTCTCTACGTGAACAGTGAGTATCGAATTATCGAGGGTATTCCCACTGGTTCTCTGCTAAACAACTCTAGACATCTTTCCCCAGCGGCTCCAATGGTTCCTGCGGGGTCCACTCAGCCACAGCCAACCTCTCGAAGGACTGTTCACGCGGATCAACAAACCCGATTTTGCTGCTGCAGACCCCTTGCACATAGCTGAACGGGCACTACCGAAGGATCTGGGCCTTGAAATTAAAGAAGTGGTCCCTCGATACAAAGAAGGAGGTTTATTCATCAAGTACGCACGCAATCCTGGCGTCAGTGATGAGGACATCCAAACCGCAGCTCACGATTACATCGCGAAGAACCCCATTAGGCCCTGGTTCAACCCATTCCAGACCGTTGATGCGGATCTGGTGCGTGGGCGGCCATGGATTGAGGATCTATATCGGATCCCCAGCCAAACCTTGAAAGTGGAATTCTTGCCTGGCTCTACCGATGGCCCTGCCGGGGAATTGACCCAGGAAGCTCTGTATTCTCTTTTCCGTCCCTTTGGCAAGCTCCTGGACATCCAGCCACAGCCCTCTGATTCCAAGATCGAGCCGAGGTACGCTACTCTGCGATTCAGCCGGCCTCGATTCGCCGTGATGGCAAGGAACTGCATGCATGGATATACTGCATCTGAACAAGATGGCGGTGGAAAGACAGGTACTAGATTCAGGATCAATTACGAGCGCAAGATCAAGTTCTCCATGATCAAGGATTGGCTTTTTAGCCATCCCAGAATTGTGATTCCCGCCCTAGCAGCCTTGGTGGCCACAATTACGGTCATCATATTCGACCCTATCCGGACATTTTTCATCAAGATGAAGATCAAATCAACTCTTCGTACTGAGGATAACGCGGTTTTCCAGTGGATCCGCAGACAAGCGGACAAGGCCAACGTGCTTTACTTTGGACAACGCAAAGGTGATCCCCGGGGTCTATCCGCCATCTGGGAGGACCGGCAGAAGGAAATCTCGCAGTTGCAAGCTTGGCTGACCGAGACGGCGGAGACATTCATTGTTATTCATGGTCCACGCGGTTCAGGAAAACGAGAGCTGGTTTTGGATCAGGTGCTGAAGGATCACAGTTATAAGGTTGTCATCGACTGTAAACAGATCCAGGATGCTCGCGGCGACACTGCCAAGATCTCTCGAGCAGCCGCGCAGGTTGGCTACTGGCCGATATTCTCCTGGATGAACAGCATCAGCAGCTTCATTGACTTGGCTGCACAAGGAATGATCGGTACCAAGGCTGGGTTCTCCGAGACCCTAGATGCACAGCTTAGCAAGATCTGGCAAAACACTGCGGTCGCCATGAAGCGGGTGGCGCTGGATGGAAGAAGGAAAGATGACAAGGATGCCAACCTGAACGAAGACGAGTATCTTGAAGTCCACCCCGAAAGAAGGCCCGTTTTGGTCATCGACAACTTCATCTATGACCCAGAAAACAGCGTTGTGCTGGACAAGCTTACCGAGTGGGCCGCTAGCCTGACTTCAGGGAACATCGCCCATGTCATCTTTTTGACCACGGACTCGTCATTCGCGAAACCTCTCGGCAAAGCCCTTCCGAATCAGGTATTCCGCACTATCGGCCTCGGCGACTGTTCGCTTGATGTGGGTCGCCGCTTTGTGTTAAGCCACTTGGACTCCGGGTCCGCAGAGGATAGCGATAGCTCATCCAAGCAGCCAAAGGAGTGCCTCGATGGCCTCGATGACTGTATTGAGGTTTTGGGCGGCCGCGTTACTGACCTGGAATTCATGGCGCATCGGATTGAGGCTGGAGAGAGCCCCCGAGGTTTGTTTACTCAGAATTCCCTGTTCAAAATATTTACTCACACGTTCGATAGCTGCGGTGGACCGTATCATCGACCAGTCAGCCTCCGAGATCATGAAGATTTTTATACTGGGGACTGACTCCACGACACCCCAATGGACACGCGAGCAGGCGTGGCACCTCATCAAATCGCTCGCACACGCCAAGGACGGCGTCCTACTATTCAACAAGGTTCTTCTTTCCGATCTATTCAAAAGTGACGGCGAAGCGACCCTTAGAGCCCTAGAGCAAGCAGAGCTTATCTCAGTCGCATCTGAGAAAGGATTCCCACGATGGATCAAGCCCGGCAAGCCCGTCTACCGAGCTGCATTCCAGCGCCTAACCGAGAACAAGACCTTAGAGGGCCGTATGGATCTAATGATTCTTGCCCGGCTGATCGGCGAAGAGAACAAGAGTGTCGGCAAGTATGAGGAGGAGCTGCAAGTGCTCGGCTCGCTGCCGAAACATCCTTGGGAGCTTGCGTCGCGCATTGAGTGGCTTCTGCGCAAGGTTCAGGGATCACAGGCGAAGATACAGAAGTATGAAAACCAAAGTTCTACTCTGCAGAAGATGCTGCAGGGTGAGAAATAACCAATGTCTTGTTTTTGTATTATTGGATTGTGTGGACTTCTCAAGGTGCGAGTTTTTCAAGACTATGACTGTCATATGTACATCCCCACTCAACCATGTGTTGAACGACAGAGCAATCAATTATCAACATGTTTCCAATGTAATAAACACCTCTTAATATAACGTGTGTTGTATGTTTTGCAAATATAGAAACGTGTCGCACCTGAGGCCAACATGATGATTAAGCAAGCGATTTCCTGAGGCACCGCGAATTCCTGCTCAGCCTCCCTTTTCACAGAATCGTCCCATGGAGATCAAAAAAATGAACGCATTATCTCAGTCATAAACTATTCATTTGTTTGCGACTTATTCTGCGTCTTGTGTGGGCGCTGACTGAATTTGGCCCTGCGCCAGCGGAGTCGACATTCGGGTGCTTTCCCTTTCCTTTCGCGCCGCCAACATGGAGCGACACAACACATCTCCCTCCAGGTTGATCCAGTCTGCTCGAGATGGCCTATCCGAGATGACGTGGACCACATTCTTTGCCATTCTGGTATTTTCATGCATCGCGACCCGCGTTATTAGCGGACTACAGAGCCGACAGCGTGAATATGATCCCAAAGAGCCACGTACCTCGCGGTTGGCACCCTACTGGTTTCCCTGGATCGGTCATGGATTCCAATTTGTCTGGAATCATGTCGGCCTTCTTGAGTCTTTACAGTTAGTTCTCTTTCGCCAATATGCGATGCATTGCAGCAGCTAACCACCACCTAGACAATCCATGAACGAGCCCGTGTTTGGCGTCTACCTGCGTGGTGAAACACATGAGACCGTGGTATCTCCATCAATGATGAAGACTGTCATGTCTTCAGATGTTTCAAGCGCCCGTGTGCTCGACCAGGCTCTACAAAATGTCTTCGGCGACTGCAGCCTTGTGCGCAATCTGCATCGTAATCGCAATCGAGAAATCAATGACGATGTAGCCAAGCTCATGAGTGAAGATTCATTTGCTAACGATGTATCAACCACCATCACCAAGTTGCTGCAGAGGAACGCTTCAAGCTTAGTGACCTTTTCTCGCAGTCCCGTCGACATGACCCCTTGGGAGCGTGAAAGCCATGTGACCGTGTCTGAAGAGGACCAACCAGTCTGCGAAGCGAATCTTTTTGAGCTCGTGCGAAGCTTCATTGGCCACAATCTCACTACTATGATGATGGGCGAAGCCTTTATGGAAAACTTCCCCATGTTCCTTGGAGATCTGTGGACTCTGGACAGAAACTTTGTGCCTTTGTTCTTTGGTGCTCGTCGCTGGATGCCCACGCCCGGAGTATCCTCGGGGTTCGCTGCGCGTGACCGGCTTCTTCATATCATGTCAATCTTTTGCCGTGCATTTTCAGCCTGGGATGACGGCATTGACCCCGGAATCGAACTTCGTGATCTCGACGATATGTCCGAGCTGGTCAAGCAGAGAATGCGAACTTTCCGTAAACTGGAATTGTCCCCAAGAGCTAGCGCAGCGGGTCACTTGTCTCTGTACTGGGATATCATCGAACACACCACCAAGATTACTTTCTGGACAATCATTCACATCTTTGCGGACAGTGCGCTTCTTAAAGAAATCCGCACGGAAATTGGCCCCTACGCGAAATCCACTCGACTTAGCCGCAAGGAGACAGGCTTCCCCTTTGAAGAGCCTCCTAGACTCAGTCTCGATCTCGAGAAACTGCTCGATTCATGCCCACTGTTCAAGGCATGCTACTACGAAACCCTCCGCCTGCACTCTGCAGGAATCTCATTCAGAAAGTTGGATTCAGACCTGACTCTGGTCGAATCGACCGAAGACGCAACCGAGACTCGCATGTACAAGTTGAGCAAGGGTGGGAAGGTCATCATACCGCACGGCGTGCACCATAGTGACTCACAACGTTTCTCCAACCCGGATCAATATGATCCACTACGCTTCATCACGACAGACGCCACATCTGGTGCTAAGCGGGTCAGTGCAGACCCAATTGCACCCTTCGCGGATGGATTGTACGGCTCGAAGAACAATAATTTCACGGAGCGGGCCATTCTAGGATTTACTGCGTCTATCGTGTCGATGTGGGATATTCAATCGGCGAGTGGGGAGGAGCTTGCAGTGCCCCCACACAAGACGACCTGGGGTGCATTCCATCCGGCGAAGGACTTGAAGGTGAAGATGAAGCCGACGGTATAAACCGCGACTTTGTGAACTATTGAATGGTATTGTAACATGTTGCATGTCCGTATAGAAAGCGTTTGGGCCTTTTGCCATTGAATAACTGTTAAATCTTCGGAAAGCAACTAGCGCCCATTGTCGCAAAGTCCTCGTAAACGACACCTGTTTCCCATAAAATGGTTCCAATCTGAATAAGATCGACACTCAGCACTGACAGCCGCGGAGGAGTTCAATGAACGCGGGGTGCGACGTGGGGCGTGTGACGGAAACATATCCGGTCGGACTTGGGCCGATGAACACCATCCACTAAACGTATGGGAATAAATAAGCCCCTCGTCCAGATACCACTTGTTCAAACATATAACATAAAATTACAAAATGGCCGAAGGCGAAGCAGAACCTAACCAAGACTACGATCTGGAGACGCCCATCAACTCAACATCAGGATTGCGCCAGGGCCTCACCTCCTATGGCGACGCTCATTTCTCACTTTTTCTACGCAAAGTATTTATCAAAGCACTCGGATACTCCGAAGATGCTCTCTCAAGGCCAATAATCGGCATTATCAACACCTTCTCGGGATTCAATCCTTGCCACGCCAATGTACCGCAGCTCATCGAGGCCGCTAAGCGCAGCGTGCAGCTCAATGGAGGACTGGCGATTGACTTTCCTACTATCAGCGTTGCCGAGTCGTTCTCGCATCCAACTAGCATGTTTTTGCGGAACCTTATGAGTATGGATACGGAGGAGATGATCAAGGCGCAGCCGTTGGATGCTTGTATTATGATTGGAGGTTAGTACGCTTGTTCATGACTGGATAGGAGGGATGAAGTACAGTTAGAATGACTGACTCTTCCTAGGATGCGACAAGACAGTTCCTGCGCAGCTGATGGGTGGTATCTCTGCCAATAAACCCATCCTCCCTCTGATTACCGGTCCTATGCTTCCGGGCAGTCATCGTGGCAAGAGAATCGGTGCATGCACTGACTGCCGCAACAATTGGGCAGCCTTTCGCGCGGGCGAGATTGATGTCGAGGAGATTTCGGCCATTAATGAAGAGCTTGCTCCTACGGTATGTCCCATCCCAACATGAATAAGGATATAACCATGCTAACAGTGAGAATATAGATTGGAACATGCGGTGTCATGGGAACAGCCAGCACCATGGCCTGCATCACCGCTGCACTAGGAATGATGCCTCTTCGAGGAGCATCCGCACCCGCGGTATCATCCGCCCGACTGCGAATCGCCGAAGAGACGGGCGCAAATGCAGTGGCCGTAGCCAAAGCAGCAAGAAAGCCACAAGAAATCCTAAGCAAGGAATCATTCCTGAACGCCATCACGGTACTTCAAGCCATTGGCGGTTCGACGAACGCGGTAGTTCATCTGTTAGCTATCGCCAACCGACACCCCGATCTCCAAGGCGTGATCACATTGCAAACATTCGAGGAAATCGGACAGAAAACCCCGCTCTTGATTGATCTCAAGCCAAGCGGTGATAATTATATGAATGATTTCCACAATGCCGGCGGTATGATGGCGTTGCTGCAAGTTCTTCGACCGCTGCTTCATTTGTCTGCGAAGACGATTAGCGGCCAAACGTTGGGTGAAGTTTTGGATGCCTCTCAATCGAGGCTTTCGTTTGCGCAAGATATTATCAGACCGTTTTCGAATCCTCTTCACCCTTCGTCGTCTCTGGCTGTCCTCCATGGCAATCTCGCGCCGAATGGAGCTATTATCAAAGCGTCGGCATCCAAGTATCGGTCTCTTCTCACACACACCGGACCAGCTGTCGTCTTTGAGAATTCGGCAGATCTAGCTCAGCGAATTGATGACCCGGAGCTCAATGTGACAAAGGACAGCGTGTTAGTGCTCAAAGGAATCGGCCCAATCGGTAACCCGGGTATGCCAGAAGCAGGGTTAATTCCGATCCCAAAGAAAATAGCTGCTACTGGAGTGAAGGACATGCTGCGACTGTCAGATGGCCGAATGTCAGGCACCGCAGGAGGAACCATCATCCTGCACATTTCACCCGAAGCGGCAGTGCCAGATTCTCCATTCGGGGTGGTTGAGACGGGAGATATGATTACCTGCGATATCGAAAGCCGTAGGCTTCATCTCGAGGTCTCCGATGATGTATTGCAAGCTCGTATCTCTCAGAGAAAGCAAATTTTAGAAAGCGAGACAGGCCCGGTGCAGGCGAGGAAGCAGAGAAGAGGATATCGCGGGTTATACGAGCGTTCGGTGAATCAAGCGCACGAGGGAACCGACTTTGATTTCCTCACAGCTGGGGGTGCCAGTAATTGAGAGTAGCATTTACTTTAGTTCAATTGCAGAGAACAAGAAATCAACGAAGTATAAGTGATGTGCCCTGAGCCCTAACCCAATTGGGTTAAATCCCTTGCGCGCGTCGCGGACGCGTCTCCGCTCTGCGTTGCGACATCGAGCCTGGCTTGATCGATGCCCCGGACTTTTCTGTGATCTCGAATTCCACTCGCATTACCATGAGCTCCGACGCCATTCGCCCTCGTGGCCGGCCGGCTCGTAAGTTTCGTTCCCTAGTCTACGGTCCCTGCTAACAGGTGACTGCGATGCAGACCCTCCGGGCCCGACAGTATTGGCATACACGCCCGACGGCCGACGAGTCATTACCGGCGGGTCAAACCAGGCTATTCGTATCTATACGGTCGGCGAGGATGGTGAGCCGAAGACGGTCGACGGAGCCATCGACGGGCACTGTGCAATTGGCGCCACGGTACGCGGGATGAAGCTCGAGCGGCGGGACATTGGAACTGACGGATTGGATAGAACAAATGCTTTCTTATGGGCGCGGAGGATGGTACTGTCTGGCAGTACGACGCTGTGACTGGCCAACAGGGGCTCTTGCTTCTGCGATGCGCGTTGCCTATCAGAGACATTGCGGTGTCCAGAGATGGGGAGTGGGCTGCAGTGGCGAGCGAGTAAGTCGGACAATCATTGGAGAACGGGAGGACGAAAGCTAATGCGATAAATCAGTGAGCTTACAGTCAAGATTGTAAAGATCGAGGACATGACCCAGACCAAATACCTCCGCGAGCAAGAGAAAGGAACCAAGCACGTCACCTTCGACCCCACTGGCCGCTACGTGGCCGTCTCCGATATCAACGGCAAACTCTACATCTACTCGCTGACCGAAGAGGAGCCGGAGCTGGTGCGCAAACTCGACGGAGTCATTCGAGCTCTCGAGCCGGAGAAGGAGGCTACATCCAAAGCCGTCTGGCACCCCGACGGCACGGCATTTGCGGTGGCAGAAGCAACCAGGGATATTTCCATCTACTCGATTTCGGAGTGGAAGAAAGAAAAGACCTTCGCTGGAGGACACACTAGCGACATCACTGCGCTGAGCTGGTCTCCCAATGGAACGCTCCTGGCATCCGCGGGCGCCGACGGGCAGATTGTGCTCTGGGAAACAAAGACACAAAAAATCCTGCAGCGCTTCGATTTTGCCAACGTTATCAACCTCGCGTGGCACCCGAACAAGAACTCCTTGTCATTTACCAACTCGGACGGAGAGCTGTTCATTTACGACAACTTTGTTCCCAAGGACCAGGAGGGTCACCTTGCAAAGTCCCTGCAGGCTGCTCCTATCTTCCCCGGTCCATTGACCGAGATCTCCAACAATGCCAGACAGACACTGGCGGACCGGTCTCGAGATGCCGTGAAGCGGGCGGCACGGGCAGGCACACCCGACTCGCTGGATGATATTCTCGGCGAGGATGAGGAAATGGCTGATTTTGTTGAAGATGACGATGGAGCTGGATATGCGGAGGGGCTCAATGCGTTCGGAAAGCGGCCCAACGGTCACCTGGATGCTATAGACGGTCCCGAGAGCAAGCGAGCTTTCTCAGGGTCCGTCCAGCCTATGGCTCACCCGCCCCTTCAGCCCGGAAGTACGCCCTGGGCAGGCAATCGGCGATATCTTTGTATGCTTGCTTTTCACCAATCGTTGAGGAATTTTGCTAATCTAGCTAGGCTTGAATTTGACTGGCGCTGTCTGGACCGTCGACCAGGAGACACATCACACCGTCACCGTTGAATTCTACGACCGAGAGGCTCACCGGGACTTCCACTTCACGGATCCATATCAATATGACAAGGCCTGCCTTAGTGAGTTTACTCTGTGATGATTGTTGCAATTTCATCCCTAACGTATAACAGACGACAACGGTACACTCTTCTCCAACAACCCCGAGGATGGTCCTGCCACAATCTTTTATCGGCCACACGAGACTTGGACTACGCGAGCTGACTGGCGGACTGCGCTGCCAGAAGGAGAGACAGTCCGAGGTACGTTTACTCTGAACATTTTTGTTTCTACATACTAATCCTTTTGTTAGCTCTGGCACTCAGCGAATCTTACATTGTCGCTATCACATCGAAGGACTACGTACGAGTCTACACTCTCTTTGGGACACCCTTCCGAGTGTACCGTCAAAAGAGCCAGGCCGTGACCTGCTCCGCATGGCGGGATTATATCATGACCATTGGCAATGGTCCTGTTTCAGCCGATGGCCGACAGACGACATTGCAGTACACGGTTGAGAATGTCAAGCGAGATGAGATCTGCCAAAATGAGGACGTGGTTGCTCTGCCATCGGGGGCTCAACTCCAGAGTGTTTTCTTCTCTGACATGGGGGTAAGTCGAAATCCAAGCTTGCTTTGAAGCACGTGCTAACACACCAACAGGATCCCTGCATTTACGATACGACCGGTGTACTTTTGGTGCTGCAGCACTGGCGCATGGCTGGCCAGGCACGATGGGTACCTCTCCTGGACACAAGCCAACTTGCTCGTCTTGCCGGTGGCCGCAAGGAAGAGACATACTGGCCCGTGGCAGTTGCCCAGGACAAATTCCACTGTATCATCCTCAAGGGTGGCGACAAGAATCCGTACTTCCCCCGGCCCCTGCTCAGCGAGTTTGACTTCCAGGTGCCTATCTCAAGTAAACCGGTGAATGATCTCAGCGACGAAGATGCGGCTGCTGGCAACGAGAACGCCCGCTTCGAGGAGACTTTCGTTCGCGGCAGTGTTATGTTGTCACTCTTCCGCGACTTGCTGGCTTCTACCAATGCGACATCATCTCAACGAACGGAGCTGGCGCGCAGGGAGCTTGATATTGACAAAACGCTGCTGCAGATGCTGGCCATTGAATGTAGAGAAGGCGAAGACCGGGGCATGAAGGCTCTGGAACTTGTGAACTTGATGACTGACCGCAATGGCAAAATGATCGAGGCAGCGGCTAAGGTCGCACAGCGCTATGGACGCGGCGTGCTGGAAGACAAGATCCGCGATCTGGCCGAGCGACGAGTGATGGGCATGGGTGATGATGATGAATTGGCTTGAACGAGGAACGGTTTTAGGGAATACCAAGTACATTACATAGTGGATTTGCATTCACATTGGAGTTTGGAGCCAACGATTTCTTGAAGTTGATGTTTTGAAGTCAAACAACACTGTATACATGCGCCCTCCGATTGGTTCGCCGTAAGCCGGGAGGCGCAGAACTCCGGACTTGAACCTTGCAACTTCCAACTTCCAACTTCCGACTTTCTTCTCGTCAACCTTCATGCTCATGACGTGACACTTGCACCCACTGCTCAAGAGGCGGAATGTCGAAGCTAGCTTCGCACCCGCGTCTCCACCTGGCCCCGAAGACGAGTGCGGGGCGCTCGTTCGCATACTCTCGGCGACGCTCACTAGCACATCCGCGTCATGGCATCTTGAAAGAGCCCTGGCTCCCCTCACCGTCACTGAGGACACTCCCTACAGCATACTTTTCGCCAACTCGGGTACGCAGGGGATTTGACGGATTGAACGAGGGCCCGCAGAACGATCACAAGCCGCCGGATGAACGAATACTGAAGCTCGGAAAGAGTAAGATCGCACTGCTCGACGTCCCTGCTACGAAGAATCGATCCGCTAACTAGTTCTGTGATCGCTATAGCTCTACGAACCCTCTCCCCTCTCCTCCCAACAATCCTGTACAACACTCTCCCATCGGAGATTCTCGCGCCGAGCGTCAACCTCCACCTCTTCCCCTCAACACACCAACACCTTCCCACCGTCAAGGGTCGCACACTGTACCGCGCAGCACTATGGACTGTTCCCGTCGCATGGAGCAGTGTCCCCTTAGTAGGAAACGTCAAGCTCCAGATCCTGAGTGAGCGGATCGTACGAGCGGGGACGATCCTCGAGTCGGAAAACAGGGACCAGCCCGACTGCGGCGACGAGCGACTAGTCGTACGATGGAAAACGGAGCCACGCACAGATAGCCGGCCCTTCCACGATACACCGACCTCAGGCGGCGCGAACACACGGACCGCAGGAACAGATAAGCACCATCTCTCGTCCTCGACGAACGGAACAAATAAGGGCCTGAGCGTGCTTCTCGGCGGCGAAGAGCCTATTTTCAAACTTTCGAAGGAAGAGCAGTTCAGCGGACTGTTTATCTTTTCCTTTGACGAGGAGGGTCGCATCTTGACGCATACGATTGAGCATGCGGACGAAGCGGACGGATGGGACCGTACATCCAAGTTCGTGACGCTGACTGACTGGCTTATTGGGAAGGCGCGCGGGTCGCTTGATCCCGCGCCGAGTCCTGGGCTAATTATGGGTTCGTGTGAGAGCTACGACTTGCCGTCGAGTGATACAGGATATCGGCGGTCATGAACAGTCGTTAATCGGCTTTCAACTTTCAAATCCGTGGATATTAATATCTTTTCCTTGAGGACAGAAAGTGAACTCGCTTCAATGGAGCAGTCTCCGGCAGGCCCTTGGAGATATGCACCCTATGTACAGTAGAATTCGAAAACAGATTCCCCTCAGACACTCACGCTTTGTTTCTCGGTCCGTATTAAGGTTATTTGAGTAAAGCCCGCTTAGCCAGCCATATTCCGACTTCTAGCGTATCGAAGTCAAGCGTAGAAAACCATCCATAGGATAAAAAAAGGTGTTCGAAATCTACCGCCCAACAAGTTTCACTTTTCCAACTCGCGGCGTTCAAATTTCGCAATCGCAAGACCCGTCATCAGAACCAGTTCCCGAAGATTAGCAGTCTCAATCTCATTGACCCTCTTCAATGTGTCAAGAAAGACAAGGCTTTCTCCATTCATGATAGCAATGACGGGGGCTACAAGCTTAGAAGGGTTCCAGTAGCGTTGGCTTTGTCCCAAGGCAGCCCGGCAGAGGCGCGTGTCCCGGTCCATAGTGAATGGCAAGTCCGTCGGGGCCTCTCCAAATCCCGACTGCCAGTCGCTACGAAACTCCCATAGGAGCGTCTTGTGGAACACTTTTGGGAATTCCCGAGCATGCGTACGCTCATGCACGCGCTGGAACTGGTAATACGACTCGCCAAACCCGTTGTTCTCGTCGAATCGCCAGCGTTCGCCGTTACTCAAGTTCACCCATCCTCGGTACCGGAAGCAGCACTTGCAGCAAAAGAACCAGGGGTCGTCGACGTCGATACCGCCGACCACGTTCTGCGTTTCGAAGGGAACCGATCCAGTGTATCTGGCCTTTAGGGACGCTGTATCATCTTCGTACCTCGTGACAATGAGGTCGTTGCAGCTCAGCTTATAAAACTTCGAGTCTGACTGTGATAGCGTAATTCCGAAGTATGCAGGGCTCCAGATGTTGTATATCGGAAACATAGAGCCTTCACTCCAGGGGGAACCTTGGTTTATTTGGAAGCATAGCTTTGGTTCGGATGAGAATAGGCACCAGTTGCCCGTGTTGACAGCCCAGGGCTCAGCGCGAGCAATTCGAAATACGTCCGTGCATGTAGGCTTTGGTGGTTCTGGAACAGCTTCATGAACAGCACTAGGAGCGTGGAAGATTAGAGTCGGCGCCAAGGGCTCGGAGGAATTAGGGCAAGTCTTACCCAGCGGCAAGGTTGTCATCCAGAGGAATATTCATCGTGAGAATGAATAGTCAGATTAAGGGCACGGTGAGTCGTGAAGAATATATACCTAGGACCCCTTCCCATAGAGGGGCAATCTTTGGCGACGTTAAGCCTCATGCGGTGTGGCCAGCTAAGCGGTATACAAGCTTGCCCAAGGCAACACTGACAGCTCCAAATTGCCGAGGCGGTTGGACCCCTCGTGGCTTTGCTGCGCCTCGATGGCAGAAGACCTCAGGCAGCTAGCCGTGGATCAGTGGGATAAAGAACTCAACAATTCTAGCGATTGGAATCCGGGCATCTTCATGTTTTCTTGACATATCTTGTACAGTAGTATTCGAAATCAGATTTACCTCTACACTCTTTGACTTTCATTCCCGTAGACTAAGTCGCAGAGTGTAATAGGTATTCATTCAGTCAGTAACTAAAATAATTTACCATGATTATAGAAGGTACCTCAGTAACCAATTTCAATCAAGTAATCTGCTAATTGCTCAACAACTTGTGTAGCCTCCTGGGCTTGCACCGTTTCAGGATAATGCGCGACAATAAGTGCCTTATTTGTTTTGACCACAAGTACACCCGCTTTGCCCTAAAACCATGCGTTTTAGTTCATTTTGTCTTAGAGTTAGAGTTGCTGGATCATACCTCATTCCTGCCATAAATACTCCGGTCGCCCGCTTTGACCATCCTATAGTTCTCCCCGTCGATATAGAGCCCAGAAGTATTTATAGAGCCTGCATCGTTAAAGCCCTTTACAAGGCTTTGAATCTCCTCGGCTCCAACCTATAAGTTAATAGGATAGGTAAATTCATCATTGTAACCAGTTTTAAACGATGAATGAGATGTCTTACACTAAAACCTGGACTGGCTGCCCATTGACTATCACCTGTTCCTGAGAATATAGCGGCTCTGTCGATCTTCCCAGACCCTATAAGAGAAGAGTCGACATAAGCTAAACATAATTATAGTTTAGAGATCGTATATCGGAGCAAAAATGATAGAGTATCGCGGTACCTTGCCAACTCATTTTTTTGAGTGTCTGTAAGTAGGTTTGGGTAAAATAGATGCCGGTGCCTGCTTAATTTAGATGGAGAGTTGATTAAGAAACACAACGTGAGGGCAGATGAGAGAGGGGTAGGCTGTCTTATAGCTGCGTTCGTCAAACCTTTTGTTTTAATAATCGAGTTAAGTGGAGCTTTACCCTACTTTTAATCTCTTCAGCAAGGAAGAACCGTGGCGTAGATTTTCAACCTCTCGAACTTGTACACGTAATTCGGTGACCTGTCCAATGGATTCTTGCTGCCAAACTTCTATGATGAAATTGTACGCATCTATTGCATATAACGGCCCAATTAAAGGCCATTATTCAACGAAGCGCATCTGTGGCTTACACTAGTTCCAGCCTTTGATCTCAGTACTTAGAAGACCTAGGATCTACTTTTCTTCTGGATCATTTCCTATTACGATAAAGAATCGCTGAGAGGGTACGTATATTGATGTCACAGTATCAAGTTATGAGAGCATAGGCTCTGTGAAAGTGAGCCAGGAGACTTATATGACGTAGCGCTGATCAGTAGCGGTGTCCAAACGCTAATCAGTAGCGGTGTCCAAGTGCTGATCACTGACAGAGATACTCCGGAATAATTTCCAATATAGATTAGTCTGTGTCGAAAGTGATAGTATAGAGAGAGATAAGAGAAGATAATACCTGCCTTAGGGTCCCTATACCGTAGGGCTGTTCTAAGGTATTCTTCGCAATGATTGTTTAGATTTACGGGGAAAGTCTCGACACCAAAAGGGCATAGACATTGATTCTCAAATCTAGAGGAATTGAACGATGGTGATAGAGGACCTTGTTCAAGTATGACGGTAAATTGAGTCTACCTAGGGAGTTTTATATTTCGTGACTCGGCGGCTGTCTTTATGTCCGTCATTGTGTTGCATGCTTGACACATAATGATTTCATTGTATGTACTGGGAACAGTTGTTTCTTTAGCAAAGGCGAGTACAGGGGTCACGGGGTGACGGGGTGGACACCTTCTTCCCCCGTCACCTTTTGATACAAAAAATAGGATCTCCTAGGAATTTCCACTTGTAATAGGAGGTAATACCAAGGTAATGACCGAGTCTCGCGATACATAAAGTCCCTCGGCCCACGAGATTTTTATCATCATCATCTGCATAAAACCAAGTTATCGTCTCCACAACATGGGCCAACCATATCAATCTGCACAGCATTGTCATATGCAGAACCTAAGTCAAGAATTATTCAGTCAAGTATCCTCATCGACCTATAACAATCCAACACTAGAGGATCTCCAGTCCCACAACTGAGTGAGTTACGACAAGCGTACCACAAAACTCCAAAAAGACTATCACTTAGGGTAGTCCGAAACAACTACCGTTTCGGAGCCAACACGCAGTCGAAGCAGGAGCTTATCCAGATACTCTGCCTTGTTTTGCCGTGCGTTGTTTACCGAGAAATTCGGGGTTTTATGTCTCCTACTGCAAGCTATATTTACCTCTTAGAAAGAACTCGGTCCTTTCGTCCATCCAATCAAATCAATATCTTTGAATCCAATTGTCAAGTAGCTCAGGCAAATGTAGGGAAAAGAACAAATACCAGATCCAACTACTCGAGGGCTGGAAGGGCCCCGAAGCAAACTGGAACTAGACGGCCGCAACCGTGAATTTATTCTTTGACAGTACCACGACCAATTTCACAGTCGATGGATATTTCGAGACTGTCTCTTATATGCTAGGGAATTCTAGTAATGACCTTAATCAGAAGAGCTTGGGCCTGTTGGGTTGAGGGGGAGTTTAAGCTTAGTTTTGCGGGTGTGATTGATCGGTATCATTCGGATGTTTTGAAGAATGATACTGATACACCGATGTGGATTAGGACGGTTAGATTTAATAAAATTTTTATGAATATTGGCTACAGTGAGGCGGGGAGGTTGTCGAGGCCTGGGTGGATGGTTGGTTTTGTTAGTTTAGTTTTGGGTGCGGGATTAAATAAGTAGTTTCATTTTCACGGCTTTTATCCAGTCTTCCGTGTTTTTCACTGGTGATACATAATCTTAGATCTACTCTTCTTAGCGTACAAACCCTTCCCAAAAATGCACAACACCGTACAGCCATGTCCCCAGGCAGTGACCAGCACTAGACCTTATCTATCTCACTCACTCCTTTTTCAAATGAACAGAAGGCGACTTCAAGAAGCCAAAAGCGCCAACCGCCACAACACACATCGCCACACCACCAACGGTGTATGCAGCCTCCCGACCAGCCCACCAGAACAGTGTACAAAACAGAATAGGCCCCGCGGCACGTCCAGCCTGGCCCCAGCCCCGAAGACGGCCCATCACAGCACCACGATCCGCATCCCGAGCCTCGAAGCTACCCAGACTGTTTAGACTCGTGACGACCGTAGCGGTGGTCACGGCCAAAAGCCCGCCTGCAGCGTAGAGGCCCTTGGGTGTGGAAACGTGGGCTAGGCAGAAGAATGATATAGCACACGCGACGACACCGGCGCGCATTGTTACCAATGGGGGAAGACGACGGACGACTGTGCCTTGGAGAAGGGAGGCAATCAGGCCCATCAGAGATAGTAGACGGCCGTTTAGTGCCGCGGGGCTAGTGGTGGAGCCCGCGTAGAGGGTGGTCGTCAAGAAAGGTAGCGAGAACTCCAAACCGGAGAAGGGCAGAAGGAAGAGGAAATGAATGGCATTGAGGATGGCCGGGTTATTGGTGTGTTCACGCGGTGCCGCAGACTTGGACTGTTCCCTAGTCTTGCTCTTAGACGTTTCATCGCTCTCCTCCTGTTTAAGGGTAGTGAAACGCGGATGCGTCTCAGGCAAACAAGCCCAAAGATACCCAGTCTCGAGCAGAATCAACGCAAGCGAGACCAGCGCAGCGGCGATAAACGGATTCGCAGCCACGGTCTCAACGGTACTTAGACCAGCACCGAGCAACGGGCCGAAGGTGAAAGCGACGCTGAAACATGCTCCAACGAGGGCCATCGACGCGCCACGACGCGTTTCATCGGTCACGTCCGCGACTATAGCATTGGCCAGCTGTACATTAGCCTCGCTGAGGCCTCCAACGACGCGGCTAGCTAGGAAAGTGCGGAAGTCCGTGGCGGAGACCCAGAGCGCAACACTAGCCACGTTGCCAACCATTGCTGTCAACAGAGCGCGACGACGGCCATATCGATCGGAGAGGTGGCCAATCACGGGAGCAGCGAAGGCTTGTAGCAGGGAGAAGAGAGAGCCCAGGGCACCGCCGAGGAGGACGATGTCATAGCGGGAGTCGATGGGGCGGGCGAAGGCGTTCTTGTAGGCGTTTAGGTAGTGGAAGATACGGTTGAGGAGGGAGTTCGGGGAGGGGTCTTGAGCACGGTAGAAGGATAGAAGGGAGGGGAAGAGTGGGAGGATGAAGGTGAAGGAGATCTGGAGGTTGTTTTAGCGGGTTGCAAGTGGGATGAGGATCAGCTATGCGTACCAGATCTAGCAGCAGCGAGATCATCAACACCTTGAGCACCTGTTTACGTTGGGCGCCAGCGATGGCCATATTGATTTACTGGCGCCGGCGAATATAAAGGAGTGGAAGTAGTTGGAGGAGGGAAATGGTGGTCTCAATGCGATTAGAAACCAAGTTGCCGGTTGACGAAGTAAATAGTGGGTACCTCCGGGAGCTTCGGGCGGTACTGCAATCTGCATTCTGCATTCATTTCACTATCGAACTTCCACCATCTGGGAATAATAATAGAATACATTGATACTGAAAGTTTCTTAAGTCTGGGGATATGCACGCTCGAAACAACATTAATGGCCACTTTTCGCAGTCCGGAAAAGAAAATTCGTTGCGTTCGTGATCTATACCAGACCGGCATAGACATGAGCCGCATAGATCGATGGCGCAGGTAGAAATGGGAAATGAGCAATGGTTGAGATTGAGATCAATCACTCCTGCGGCCCCGGGGTCACCGAAGGAGAGCCATTGGAACCGCCGCGCCGACCACGTCCACGTCCGCCCCGGCCTCGGTTGTCACGGCCGCGCTCACCTCGAGCGCGCCCACGAGAAGCATCTCCACGACCACGGCCGCCGCGTCCGCGACCACGTCCGTTGGGTTGTCCCTTGCCTGCGCTAGCATCATCGGTAGTCGCGTTGTGGGTATCTGTGTTTGCGAGAGTGGCCTGGAGACCAGTGTCGGTCTCAGCGGGGTCACGAGGAACCTCAACCCAGCCATCTGTAGTGGCGGACGAGGCCATGCCGTTAGGATCATATGTGTTCTCGGCGACCTGGTTGCCGGCATCGGAGACCAAGGTCTGCGAAGCGGGCGCGTTCGAGATGGCCTGAGCATTGGTGTCAGAGGCGGCCACTACAGCGCTGACAGAGGTGTCTTGGAGTTCGGTGAGACCAGCGTTGGTCATCGTAGGGTCGGAGACGGTGGTATTCTCGATAGGAGCTTCGACGGCCTCGGTCTCTTCGGGGGCGTACTTGTTGCATGCCTGCTTCACGTCTCCGTCTTAAGGAAAATTAGCGCCCGAACCGACTCCCAAAGAAAAGAGTACTCACAAGAGAATTCCAGGTCAGGACCCTCGACAGAGGGCACCTTCTCATCCGCACCATTGATCAACTTGATCATGGAAGAAACAGCATCCTGATTTCCAGCGTACACCTGGAAGAGCACGCCTTCGAGAGCGCGACTCTCAATGGACTCCGTCTCACCAGCGCGACGGGAATTGGCCGCGGCGCACAGGAACTTACTGAGGGTAAACAGTTGTTGGCGCAGCTCCCTCGCAGCAGCCTCCATTGTATCGGCGACAGCGTTTGCGCGCACAGCCTCCAGCTCCTCCTGGTATGCCTTCTCCAGAGCGGCCTTCTGAGTGGCCAGGCGCTCCTCGTATTGAGCAGCAAACTCCTTATAATGAGCAAATTGTTCCTCGATCTGCGCGACCTGGGCCTGAAGGGCGGGCTTCTTCAGGATCTGAGCCTTCTGGTCGGCATTGATCTTCTTCTCGGCCACGAGCTCATCGAGGGATTTGCCGGGGTTCTCAGCGATGACGGCGTCGGTCTTAGCGGTAGCATTCTATGGAAGAGAAATAGGTGTTAGCAAGCTAAAAAAGATCGAAAGCTTGAGACTGTATCACATACCAGCTTCTTGACCGCGTTGCGGAGGCTCCTAGAGGCGCAATCAGTTAGCTTTCCCCAGTCCACAACGCGATCGCAACACGCACTTTTGCAGCTCCTTCAAGTAAGTAGGCTCATTGCCATTCACATCGAGCACAGAACTCTCAGCCTCGGTCTTGGAGGTGCTCGAAGCTCGGGAGTTGTGCTTCTTGCTTTTCACGTCGGGTTTTTGAGAGGTGGCGGAGGCGGGAGCCATGATTGGAATGTGGGTGACACAGGAAAGGTAAGAAACGAGGAGAGTGCTCTACAAAGTGAGAGTACTGGACGAAACCGCACGGAGTTCGATTGGAAAGGAAACGGAAGGGGAATGAAGGAGAAGGAGATCCAGCTGAGGTGTAGAGGAATCGATACGGGTGGAAGTCGCCCGAACCCTGTGAGTGGCCCACATCGCATATCGCATTCAACAAAGACTACGCAACGCCACCTCTATGACTCTACAAGACTGATCTACTTGGGATCGCACCTTCAATAGATTTGCATTTCCTGGGTATCATAATCACTCTGTACGCCTATACGCCATAATCAACCAAGTACGACCGGTCTAGAGACCATTCATCCCGACACGCCACCAGTATCCCCTCCATGTAACTGAGGCCAACGGCATCGCGGCTTTAATCACCCCTGGAACTTGCGCAGGGTTTTCTAGATTAAAGCACAATCAATATCAGATACAGTCCCATGAGAATCAACACGCGATCAGATCGAAGACATACCTCAGTGACCTTGCGAACAGAATTCGCAGAGATATTCTTCTCACCCGACTTTCGCGATCGGATCGATGCCTCGCGCATCAACCTGGTATCCGATTAGCATGTCGTTCCAGCTCAGTTCAGCTCAGTGAAAGGCCGCAATGGTTGCGCCCGGGGCTAAGTGACTCGAAGGGAGGTTGAGATCGTACTCTTGCATGAATAGCATGTAATCGAGGAAGATCTGTATTAGGTAAAAGCCGCTATCAGTAATGTGCTTCAGGGCGCGTGCGCCGGGTCAAAGGTGGACTCACCAGGATGTCGGCATTCTTGCTGACACTCTTGTTGGAGTGGGCCTTGACAATGCGCTTGACGGTACCACGTGGATAGAGCTTCTGGGTGGCAGCCATGGTGTCCAGCTGTGTCCGGCCGTGTAGTTGAGAGTTAAAGAGCGTTGTTTACTTCCGAGCTCCAAGACGGGTGTGTTGGGGGGGGGGGGGGGGGCTGCTTATGTAACATTTCTATCTCCGCAATTAGTCCATTTATGGAATGTCCATGGATATTTCTAGGGCTATGGTACAATTATTTCCCTCTATTCAAGTCGCCGGCGGAGAATGCGCCAGGCTGTGATGGCTGCTGCAGAGCCAACGGCCATGCGCCAGGCAAGGAAGACGTAGATCGCCACCCGCAGGCGCTGGTAGTATCCTCGCAGCAAGATGCCCACCGCGTACGAGGTTCCATCGGATGTTAAATCAGTGGGTCCATAGTATGTTCCGACTCCGAGACCGCCAATGCCAACTTCGTTGGGCTCATGGGTGGATTTGATCGGGATGACGGGTCGCGCAGGAGTCTCGCCGTCCGTCGCGGTATCATTGGGGCGGGGGCCCATCTTCAACAGCAGCATATTGCGTTTCCGCAACTGGTACGTTAAAATTGCACAAATGAAGCGCAAGTCGGGGATTGTAAATGTTGGGTACTTCCACAATTGCACGGCAGTATGAGGAGGAAGCATATCCAAGAAATCGGCCAGAACACCAAGCGTCAGACCCCAAAGGAGCAGTGGCCGGTTCCTATCACCGGAGCCGGCCTGGCTACTCAAGCACCATGATTCAAATCGCTGTACCAATGTTGGTTTATCATCATGGTCTTCGGGGATAGATCCAGGGGCCGAGGTACACTGCTGGCTCTCCGATGGGACTAGTCGGACGGCCGAGAACTGCATCCAGCCCATCAGAGACCGAATCAAAAGACGGCTTAAAAACCCGCCCTGCCGGGCAAATCGCTGTGAAATATCCACATATTCCACGGTACGGAGGGATGGGGATAGGAGGGCTCGGAGAGGGATCCAATGTGTTGATGCCACCTCGGTGGGCTGTAGTTTGAGTGTCGGTGAGTCACATCGAGTAGTAAGGAAGACGAATGGACAAAGGACCATCAACCTAGGCATATGTTAGCACGAAAGAGAACAGCCCGAGAGTCTGACCTACGGCAGAGCGCCCCAGCTGGTGGTGACCACACGCTCGGGGAGATTGCCCACACTGATACAGTCTTCTGCCGTCAGATCAAATCCAATTTCCTCGGATGCTTCTCTGATCGCCGCCGCTTTATCATCCTCATCCTCCGGGTCTCGCTTCCCGCCCGGCAGGGCAACATGGCCAGTCCACCGGTCACCAACCCGACTTGCGCGCTTGATGAACAGGACCTCGGGTTCACCATGTTGGACCCAGGGTTGTGCGAAGAACTCAATCAGGCGGTCTTCCACCGGCAGAGAGGAGTCCAGGGTCTCATCGGAGGTCGGCCAGTGTTCATAGGTCGGGCGAACGCGGAGGATCAAGGCAACGGAGGCTCGTTTTTTGCATGCGGGAGGGTTGGGAACATGAGGGAAAGGACGACGATGGAGATTTGACAGGACATCGTGCAGATGGTGAGACAGTCCCGACGTGGGAGGGTCCATCTTAACTAGTTGACGGGTGTATACCAAGTATAGTCGGTACGGGGAATCCCTGGCGTCTGCCGAGAACCCGCACGGACCAGCGAGAACTACGGAACCACGGAACAACGTTGATGCTGACAGCTGTCGACCACGGGATGCCCACCGCGGCTGATTGGCTGCAAACGAAATTTTAAACGCAGCTTAAGCTCAGGACGGGCGCACGTGCTCGGGATCCCAACGCGCAGACGACGCCTCGTTGAAGTAGCGGAACTCTAGTCCGTTCTCTTTTTTTTTCCTTCTTGGTTACACGGTGCTACGGGTTTGTGACTTTGGACTTGGACCTTTGCTCTTTCCTCTGTCTTCACCTCACCTGTACGTCTGTAGCTACATCTCCGCTACACAGCCTTTCCATCTGGCCCAACCCCGCGGGCTGACCCACTATGCGTTTCGGGAAGACGCTTCGGCACGCCGTGTACGCTCCCTGGAAGGGCAAGTACATCGACTACGGCAAGCTCAAGACCCTTCTGCGAGAGGATGATTTCAACGGCGAGGACGCCAGTGACTCCGACGACAGTCCATGGACCGAGCAGGATGAGGAGGCCTTTGTCCAGGAATTGCTGAATGTGCAGCTGGATAAGGTCAATTCCTTCCAGGCCCAGACCTCCCAGCAACTCCGGGAGCGCACTTCCGCCTGTGAAGCCAAGCTGCGCCCGTTGGCCCCGACCGCCGAGCAGGAAGGCCAGGCCCCGGAGGGCCAGGAGAGACGCACCATTGCCTCCGAGGTCCTGCAGGAGCTCGACAGTATTACGAAGGAAGTCAGTGAGCTGGAAAAGTACAGCCGCATCAACTTTACCGGTTTCTTGAAGGCCGCCAAGAAGCATGACCGTAAGCGCGGCGCCCGGTACAAGGTGAAGCCGTTGCTGCAGGTCCGCCTGTCCCAATTGCCATTCAACTCGGAGGACTATTCGCCTCTGGTCCACCGCTTGTCGGTGATGTACGCCTTTGTGCGCGAAGCTCTGAGCCAGAATGTCGCGCAGTCCAAGGAATCCGACCGCCTCCATGGACGTGACGTCTACTCCTCTTACAAGTTCTGGGTCCACTCGGACAATGTACTGGAGGTCAAGACTTTTATTCTCCGTCGCCTCCCTGTGCTCATCTACAACCCCACCACGTCTAAGAACATGGATACCATGACTGAGGACCCCACCATCACCTCCCTTTACTTCGACAACCCTCGTTTCGAACTGTACAACCAAAAGGTTGACCGTGCCACCGAAGCTGGATCCCTTAGGTTGCGCTGGACCGGGCAGCTGCAGGACAAGCCGCCTATTTTCCTGGAGAAGAAGATCATCGGCGAGGACGACAGCAGTCACGTGGTCAAGGTGCAGCTGAAGGAGAAGCACGTTAAGGAGTTCCTGGATGGCGAATACCATCTGGACAAGAAGGTTCATCGCATGGAAGACAGGAACAACGGTGAATCGGCCGAGGCCGAGAACCTCAAGAAAGATGTGGAGGAGCTCCAGTCCTTCATCAAGGAGAATGACCTGCAGCCTATGCTCCGCGCCAACTACACCCGCACCGCTTTCCAGATCCCAGGCGATGATCGCATTCGCATTTCTCTTGATACCAACCTTGCTCTTATTCGTGAGGATACCCTTGACAGTGAGCGTCCCTGCCGCGACCCCTCCGAGTGGCACCGCACCGACCTGGACAATGCCGCCATGACATATCCCTACAACGACATCCGCACCGGCGAGATCTCTCGCTTCCCACATGCTCTGCTGGAGATTAAGCTGCGCGGCAAGGCCCATGATGCCGAGTGGGTGAATGAACTCATGGCCTCCCACTTGGTCAAGGAGGCACCGCGCTTCTCCAAATTCGTGCACGGTGTCGCCCAGCTGTTCGAGGATTATGTCAACAGTTTCCCCTTCTGGCTCGGCGAGCTGGAGAATGACATTCGCCGGGACCCTGAAACTGCCTTCCACGAGGAGCAAGAGCGATTGGCGAAGCGTGCAGAGGAGGATATTGCTGTTGGCAGCTTCCTGGGTGGCACGGGCAGCCCAAACACGCATCCCTTGATCGGTTCCCCTCTCAGCAGATGGAATGTCTTCCAAGGAGATTTTGCTCGTGGCAACATTCGCAGACCGTCTGCTGTCAGCGAAGTGCACGCAAACCCTCGTATCCTGTCTTTTGAGCCGCAGCGCCGCGACATGGAACCTCCAGCCGGACCCGCGGAAGATACCGAGACCCCGGAACCGGCATCGTCTCGCATCACCTCTATGCTGCAATCTGTGGGTATCAAGCCGAAATGGATGGACCAGGAGACCGTCTCCCTGCCACCCGGTGTGCGGCACCCGGGAATCTGGATCAAGGATACCGGCCCTGTGCGCGTGGAGAGCAAGGTCTGGCTCGCCAACCAGCGTACATTCATCAAGTGGTTACACATCAGTATCCTACTCTCGAGTCTTTCTCTGGGTCTTTACAACGCTGCCGGCAAGCACAACCGTGTGGCCCAGGCGCTCGCCGTCATCTACACATTCTTCGCTCTTTTCTCTGCCGCCTGGGGCTGGTACATGTACGAGAAGCGCGCTCGCCTTATCCGCCAGCGCAGCGGAAAGGACTTGGACAACATGGTTGGTCCTCTCGTCGTGTGCATTGGCCTGGCTGTTGCTCTGGTCCTCAACTTTGCCTTTAAGGTTCGTCCTTCCCCACGTTTTCAATGACTATATCCACTAACATGCTGAACAGTACAGCACCATGCTCGAGCAGTTTCGGGGCAACCAGCCTGGAGCCCACCAACCCGGAGCCCCCGTCCACTCCAACTCCACTGTGTTGAACGCCGCCTCGTGGCAGTCAATTAACGGCCAGCAAGTTCTGTAAAACGGATATCATGGGCAGGTTCCCTCACGGAGGTCTTGGTATCACCCTTTGTCTATGGTTGCCACTGTAAGAAGGCGTCCGGTCGCGACATAGTTGTTGCGGCTTCCGTTTCTTTGCATTTGTGGAGCCATGGTGTATGTATTATGAATAGTTTGCATCAATAGTATTTAAGGAGTTGCTATTCTACTTCTATTTCTATTCTATTTCTTTCCTTTTTTCCAAAATCCTAAGACGCTTCCGTTAGAGATAACCATTTCATGTTTAGTATCTGCTTTCAAATTGTTTCCAGATCCTCGCCGTCGGAAAACCTACCTCTCCACGGTTTACCCAACGGAAGTTCTGCGACGATGTCGTCCCGAAAGCTTGAGAAATTCTATAATTCGAGGGAAGGCCTTCTTGTCCCCATGTACACATACACACTCTCCATCACTGACAATCGGGACTACACTACGATGGAACAATTCTACATTCGGGGATTGGTGTACGAGATGGTCGCTGCCATGTTCCCCGTCAACTTTTGATGACTGCCTTGATATAAATGAAATCACCCGGGTTGAAAAGGCTTCATAGCCCAAGGAAAAGAGACAGAATAGAGAGCAAATAAAACCCCGTCAACAAAAACATTCGCTGAACGTACAACACCGAAGTAATATGACATAACTCTACATTCCAGACACATCAATTAGACAACAGCCAGGACCAGGGCAGCAGCAGCTCCACCAGCAAACAAACGTGCGTTGCCAGTTATTTTGGGCATCGCAGCATTGGAGGACTTCGTGTGGCTCGCAGTAGCACTAGCGGTCTTGGTTTCCGAAGCAGTACCAATGGCAATGGTAGTGGAGCTCGTCGACATACCAGTACCAGCAGGGGCAGTCGTAGAGGCAGCCGTGGAGGCAGAAGCAGAAGCACCAGTCGAAGCAGCAACACCTCCGGTCTGGGTCGCAGTGATGTGGACAGCCATAGATCCACCGTAGGGAATAGATGCCATGTCAAAGTCCGTGCTGGAGACGGAAGTAGCCCCATCCTGCCACTCGGTCCATTCGCAGTTTGCGTGGGTGGTACCCTGGAAGTTGCAAGTTTGGGAGATGGTCCTGTAGAGAAGTGTTAATGATGTAAAGTAGGGATTCGAGAGCACACTTACTGGTTATCGTAGCCGAAGCCGTAAATTACAGAAGAGGATCCCGCGGTGACGGTGTATCCATTACCGGGGAGACCGCAGTCATTGGGGTCCTCTCCGGTAGGACAATTCAGCACATAGGTAGTCATGGCGCTTTTCTATAAGACAGCGTATTAGTATTATTCATTTTATTCAACGTGAACCAAAAAAAGCCCGTACCGAGCCCAGAATTTTGCCTTCGAGGGACTGGGCGTCAAATCCAGGAAGGAAAATAGTGACGGTGCTGTCGGCGGCCGCGAGAGCAGCGCCAGCCAGCAGAGCGAGGGACTGGACACGCATATTGAGCGAATTCAGCGATTTAATTAGTGAGAATCGATTAGGGTAGTATATAGCAAGTTTCAGGAAATGACTGTGGCTGCAGATTCAACAAAAAAGAGGAAAGGTCGTAGACGCCCCCAAAAAAAGGGGGGAAACTACCCCAACTTAAAAGAAAAAGGTGAACCTGAAATAAGATTGGGCATAAGCTGCCAAGGCCTCGAGAGTTTGATTTTGCAGCTAGTTTGAATGCCCTGTATTCCCATTGGCCGGACATCATGGACAGGCCGTGCACGAAAAAAGTCTAACTTGAACGGGGTTCGCGCACGGGGCGCATGCCAAATCCAGGCCCTCGCAGCTCAACCCCGGGGTTCCCATTTGCCCCCAGAAAAGTAGCTCATAGATGAAGTATCACTCCATCAAAATTTATCACCTCGGTTTGCCATTAGAGCCTCGGCCATGATGCCCATTTGAGGCATTAGCCACGAACTCAACGCGCATCCCTCTCTCGCCCTATGCTGACGAGATGGCTATACGGTAGGACCCAGTGATATGATACATGTCTAAGACCACAGGGACGAAGTGGACGGTATTGATGATCGAACCACAAAGTTCCACAGCCGTCAGGTTCAGTCCTCGAGATGGTGCTGCCGGCTTGGAGCCATTGTCGGAAATGTCAATGTGTGGATAAGCTGGGTGCGTTAGATGCCTTGGACAGCGGAGGTCTCCAGTGGATTTGACATCGGAGGTCTGGGAGCTTTAGGATAGAGCTGTGAGACAACATCTGTGGGTAGGCGCGTGATATTCTGGGTTTCATTGGCTCTGTAAAATCCCACCCACAAGAGTATACAATTGCAATTGAATGGAAAAGCCAATCAGCGAAGATTCCCTAAGAACTGGACAACACGCCGATAAGTAGACGGCCGCGGACCCGACGAACCCGTCTTCTCAGCGACAATATGATACGCCTGCAGGGAATTGGTCCTGAAAGCATGAGTACCGCCCCACAAGAACACGCGAAACACACGATACGTTTCCTCTCCCCAGCCTGCAATGATCTCATCCTTAACCAAATCAAACCTCTTCGCCCATTCCAGCATAGTCAACTCATAGTCCCTCGTTTCCCTAACCACCTCCACAACCTCAAAGCCATGATAAAGAAACTCCGCCATAACATCTTGAACGGTCATGAAAGTATGCGTACCACCCCAAACATAGTCTCGAGTCCAAGAACTGACCGCAAACTTGGTGACGGCCGCCGAACCATCGAGATACACTCGGCCGCCAGGCTTCAGCACATCATAGACACGACTAGCGAATCTACGGTAGTCAGGCAGGTGTTCGATGACGCCAAAGGTGACAATGTGATCATAGGGCTCGTCGGGTTTATGATCGAGAAAATCCTGCACGAAAACCTGACCCGGCAGGTTATTATCAGAGATGAGGCGCTGAATAAAGCGCGCCGAGTCAGCCGTGAGAGTCAGCGTCGTGACGTGCACACCTCTCGCACCACAATACTGCGTCACGCCGCCCCATCCACCACCAAGGTCTAGCAACCTCGCTCCAGGCTTGAGGTCGAGGCTTTTGAACATAGTCTCGAGTTTATGCTCCGAAGCCCGTTCGATACTCTCGTCCGGATGTTTGAACAGCCCTTGGGAATAGAACCTGAACCGTTTATCGATGAATTTCAAATACAGCTCGTCGCCGCGACCATAGTGCTTTCCAACGGTTTCGGCGTTCATGGTTGTCGCAGTCCGGAAGTAGTCGTATAGGAACTGTAGCTTCTGCCGGAGCGGTACTTTTTCCTGTAGTTTCTGTCGCGCGTCGAATAATGCGCCAAAATCTCCTTCGATTTGAATATCGCCTGATACATAGGCACGACCGACACCCAGCTCTGTCATCGGGGTGCGGAGGGCACGTTTGGAGCGGAAAATCACGCGATATTTGGGCTCGCCGGCACCGACGGTGACGATGGAGCCATTTGGGAGTTGGATTTCGCCAGGGATTTCGAGGTTTACTAGGAGGGCAGCTAACCCTGTGCGCGGTAGCTTACTTCGAGACGTTTTCATTGTCGTGTCTGGCAAGAGAGAAGTTTATGGGAGTTGCAGACCCAAGGCAAGAGGAAAGCATGATCAGCGTTTGCTTTTATAATTTGGCCATGCTTGTGTGGAGGTAAATTGTCCGCATTCATTCGTTGAGAAAGCGCTATTGTTGTGATCTGGCCTGCATGGTGACAAGTACTGGAACACGCTTATGACCCCAGTCGATGCATCTTCAGCTGGTGCAGAATGGCGAGGGATCCATTTGGCCCGCTCTTGCGTTACCAGCGGATATTCTGCGATAAGGGGAATATATGCAGGAAAGTGGAGTTTCGAGAATTCTTCCCTCAATATTCCACGAAGACTGGGTATGGATCCCTTGTCTGCGAAGACTGTGGAAGGAAGGCTCCGGCCAGTAGCGTGGGTGCCGTGAAAAGCATTGACCCTGCGGAATATCAACCACTATGGGTCCAACGTAATGACCAATGCAATTCTTTAAGATCGGAACCTTTTCAATCTTGCCTATTTATACCTGTCACAAATCAACTCAAAAACAACCAAGACGGAACCAGTGGATCCAACCCGCTGACAAATTAAATATCCCGCGATTTACCGGATCTTCGTATAAAAAGTACAAAAAGTACACCTCGGACCTCGACTTCCCCTCACCAACCACCACAATGACCAACTTCAATATCCAAATCATCTCCGACACCGTGTGCCCCGTAGGTAACCTATATCTAAATCAGAGCTCATTAGCTAACAAACCCAGTGGTGCTTCGTCGGCTACCGCCGACTCACGCGCGCGATAACTGCGCACCAGAACAGCTACCCAAATGACACCTTCAAGTTAACCTGGAAAGCCTTCTACCTGAATCCCGCCGCGCCGCAATTCCCCGGCGCGAACAAGCAGGAATGGTACAGCTTGAAATTCGGCGCTGAGCGTGCCACAGCCATGTTCAAGCGCTTGTCCGCCGTGGGCGAGGGCGAGGGGATAAACTTCAAGTTCGGAGGGAATACGGGATTGACGCGAGACTCGCACCGACTTTTGTGGTATGCTGGTGAAGAGGAAGCGAAGCACCCTACTTCGTCGGGCATTGGGGGACTGCAGACTCGGGTTGTGGAGAAGTTGTTTGCGGCTTATTTTGAGGAAGAGAAGAACATTACCGATCCTCGGGTTTTGCTGGAGGCTGGCGTCAAGGCGGGTTTGGATCGGGAGGCTGTGATGAAGTTGCTTGACTCTGAGGATGGCGGTGCGCAGGTTGATTCCGAGGCGAAGGCGGCGTCGAGGAGATTGGTTACTGGAGTGCCGTTTTTCTTGGTGCAGGGAAAGTATTCGGTGGAGGGTGCGGATGAGCCGGAGACTTTCTTGGAGGTTTTCGAGAAGGTCAAGGAGGATGAGTAGAGGATAGAAGATGATAGGTTCGATGTGATGGTTATGTTCTATTGCGATTTGATTCCCCTAATTCTATATCCTATTTCTACAGTGAAAATGACCAGCAATGATGGATGATATTGTGTATTGCTATCTCTTCAACGTCCACAGTATTGGCAAGAACCGCCAGCAAAAAAAAAAAGCAACAGTCCCACGTCACGTCTATCAATGCTCATGTGTATCGGTATCTGGAATTCGTCGGATGAAGCTATCCCATGTCGTAGCGTCTTGATGGGCCATCGCTTCCAAACGCCAACCTCATACGAGACAGCGTGTATCATGAGGCGAGAAAAATACAGAAAATGGAGCAAACTCCGCTCATGCATCGAGCCGGATTGCCAGCCACGAGAAAAGCAAGAAATGAAAACAGAAAAAAAAAAGGATAAAAAATAAAAAATTCAGAGCATTGGCAAGAGGGTCATCATGATAATACACAGCATGCGGGCTGGGGCAAGATTTTACAGGGCCCCAGGAACACCCGAGAGAATGAAAATATGAAATGAAGAGATAATCATGTGCAGCAATGGATATTCACGATGAGGAGCCGCAGTCATTCTGATATTGCGAAAAAAAGTCGTCATGGTTCATAGCAAGTCATAAAAGCGAATCAGATCTCCTGAAAAAGGGAGCTGACGACCTCAGTTGCTGGTGTTGGCTGCACCCACCTGGTGCAACTCGTAGTGGGGAAGGTAGTCGAACCAGTCGGTTTCCGGATTGTAGCGGTAGGCCTTAAACTCGACTCCATAAGGCTTGGGCTCCAGCATGTATAGCATTCCCATAGGGACATCGAGTTGAGCGACCTCGTCGCGCTTCAGACCACGGAAGTAGGCGAGCAGAACTCGAGCAGTAGAGCGGTGACTTACCAAGAGAACGTGATCGGTGGTTCGCTCGACCTCGACGATGACAGCACGGAGACGGTTGATGATGTCCAAATAACCTTCGCCGCCGGGACCAGGGTACCGGTAGAACAGCTTGTTCTTCTTTCGGTGGGCGTACTCCTCGGGGTACTGCTCCTGGATCTCCTTGTAGGTCATACCCTCCATCATTCCAGAGTGGAGCTCATCAAGCATGCGCATCTGCTTGATATCGTACTCATCCTCGTTGAAGTTCTCGACGGTCTGAATAGACCGTTGCATCATCGAAGACCACACGCAGAAGTTGCGCGGTCGGTCACGAGGGATGTACGACGGGTTGGGTGGGGTGCTGTCACCAGGCCGGGGCGGGAAGTTGCGCAACAGGTCCTTCTGGCGTTGGTTAATCTCCCACTGCTGTCGCTGGTGATCGATAAAGCGAGTCAGCGCCTTGGCATATCGCTTGCCGTTCTCACTCAGATCCGAATCTCCGCCGATGCGGCCAGCCTGGTCATCTTGGCTTTCGCCATGCCGCGTGATCCAGATCTGTCGGGGCGACAGGTTGAAGTTGAGTAGGTAGTAGACAACCTGCGAAGAGAGGAAACCGTGTGTCTGATGAGAAACCATCTTGCGACCGACATCAATCATTTGAATGTAGGCCATGTTCTGCTTCTCTTCATATTCGCCCAAGGGCACATACGAGTTCTCGTATAGAGCCACGCGCTTCTTGAAGTCCGCAAGGGCGATCTCCGGGTCCTGGCCCTTGTAGTCAGGACCGGAAAGTTTCAGACGCATGTTCGCCTCCAGCAAGTCCTGATCCACACAGCTGCTTTCCAGGAAAAGAATACCCAGCTCGGTGCCGGCACGCTTGCGGATGTGATCCACGATCGCCTTGCGACGTTCCATGGTGCTGTTGGTGGCGTCGAGAATACCAACGCTGCCGCCTCGCTCCAGGATGTACTCCAGCAGCTCGTCGAGGGTGTCCAGCGCCACCTGCTCTCGAAGCTTGACAGCACGCTGATTTTGAGGATCGAAGAAATTCGCGGTCTGTTCCATGGGTTCCGGAGAAGCTTCCTTGACATCTTCTTTGTTTTGGGACTGACCCGGACCTGCGTCGACGGATGGCACCACGGTGCTTCCATTTTGGGAGATTTGCTTCTCAGGATCCTGGCTATTCACGAGGATCTTGGCAGGAACAACAGGAGGCGGGAGAGGTACGTCGTCGGTCTCCTCTGGCGGCGAGGAATCTTTCTGGTTCATAGTATTTCCGACGCTGACACTCAGTCGGCGCACCGAGTCAACGAGGTCCTTGTGGACATTTTTTGGGCTCTTGTCCTGGCCAAGATCGAATTTGGCCGGGGAAGGGGACCTGCCCGCTGCCACACGACGACGTTCACCGACGTTGAAGATTTCAGTGTCATGCTGAAGCCAATTCAAGTAGCGGGCCAACTTCTTGGTGATGTAACTTTTGCCTCGGGCGGGAAGACCGACCATAACGATGACCAGCTTCGCGCCGACATCACGTTGAGCAATACGGCCATCCGGAGAAACCTTGGACTTGGTCAGGCCGGGAATATCAAGAGTGGTTGCCCGAATTCGGCTAGGGGTTCCGGATGAACCAGTTCTGCAGAACCAACAAGGTTAGACACGATCCACAAGCCTATTAGAAATACCAGAAAAAAAAAACAGAAACGTAAAAGAGGAGCAATCACGCGACGGGCAACGCGGCTCAACCAGATATGGAGAAGCAGGAGGGTCCGGGATGCGCCGTGTAGATCACGCCCCGTCCGCCAGCAGCGAGCGCGACAGGCATGATCCGGAGCATATCCCATGCTCATAGGTTCGGGAGAAATGGACATCTTGACAAGGTTCCAGGCACAGGGTAACGGACGACTCAGAAGCAGGGACTCACATCTGTGGAGACGGGGGTGCGGTAGAAATCGGAGTGTCAGTCAGGGCGGTTCCGACTCCGCCCTTGGGCGCCTGCGATGTTTTGTGGGCATCGGAATGCAAGTCATTTCCTAGCGCTCGGCTGACCACGGTTTTCGGAGGAGGCATCAGAGTTCCATCTCTGGCCGGGCCGGGGCTAGTTTCGTTCGACCTGAAGCCGTTGGCCCGGTTCATATTTTTCTGATCGCCCAGAGCTGCATGATCGGGCGAACTCGACGTCATCGCCGACCGCGCGATACTGGAATGCTGCGCCATCCCCAACAGGAAGGACGTAGCGGTCTGCGATAGTATGTGTTTAGGTTGATTTAAAGCCCCTCGAGGGTTTTGGATGAGCTGGCCGACGGGATTCTCGAGGGTTCAAAAGTGGGAGGAGCCACTTGTGAAAAACGAGCGGGACGGATGACTCAACTCCGAAACAACGTCACTGCGAACACCGTGGTGGCTCAACGCTTTCCAGTGTCGAGACAGCGCGAAGGAGTTTCGTGAAACCGGGAGTCTCGGGATTGGAGCCTCGCGGGGTACTTTTTGTTGTGCGCGACGATCTGACGAGATTAGGGGCCTCCGTCGCGGTCAGACAGGCCGGCGCGTTGAGGTGAATCCAAGGTACCTGAATAAGAGGAACGTGCTTATTTGATAGGCAGGTAGCTAACTACCCAAGTGAAAGAGAAGATAAAATAGAGATCGTATCAGGAACAGCCCCTAATGGATGAAGTCACAGCTCTTTTTTGATTGTCGAGTCCACTTGGTGGATCACTAGGTGGGCGTTGGCAACGCCATATGATGTCAATGCGAACGATCGTATGCAAGTGAATCTTGGAAAAAAATAGTAATTGGATTGAGGAGCTCTATATACACGTCTGGCTGGGAGGTGCAAGGAAGGTCTGGCAAATCTATTAATGCACGCTGCCTTTATCTCCAGCCCAGAATGCTTGGCTCAACACATATCCTAGGCTGAATCGGCAGGGTGGATCAATCACAGCTTCATCCCTGTGCAAATCCCAAAGTTCTGTGATGCCAGCTTATCCCCCGAATACAGTTCCACTACAATCGGCCTCCAGAAGCCCAGATACCACGTCCGCTGGGATGTCCAAGATACTTGGCCCATCAACCGATTCGAATCCGGACGCGTGCGGCAGAGGGAGAATGGATTCTCGGGACGCCTTGTGCAACAAAGGCATCACCGCTCGGGCCAGTCCTCCCTTTCCGCGGGACATACTCGGCATCCTTGGCGGGTCTCGGCCCTCAGCACAGCAGCCCGGACACCGACCAACCGCAGGCCTCCGCAGGCTCACGGTGGGATTCTCCGATGCCGTCCGCCGCCAGGGCGATAGTCAATCCAGTGGCGTGGCACAGAATCCTGGGCGCTTGGCGGTAACGCAGGGGGGTCGCACACATTGCCCGGGAGAGATGGCTGTACAGAATATTCAATACAAAATGGATAGTCGTATAACCGCTTATTAAGGCCCCAGGTTCAGAGTCAGGCCGATCAAGCACGCGTATGCCGCGATACTTAGCACAGTTAGGACCAACACGGCATTCCCACTAGTCCGGAATTTGTGGCGATGGATACCATCCTCTCCTAGCTCTGAGAAGAACTGTCGGTTTCCCTGCGAGCGGCGGAACAGACCAATCATGAGGACACCGGTGCCATAGATGGCAAACAGGGCTCCGATACTGTAGAACTCGGCGGTGAAGATCTTCAGGACGACGAGGGCGAAGGAGAACTGAGAGAGGGCAGTGCGGACGTAGGCACCTTCGAAGGTTCGCTGGGCGGCGCGAACTTCAACTATTTCGTCCGAAGTCAGCACTGCCGAGCGGGCTCGGTGCATTCGCAGACGATAGCGATCAGCCGCCCGTCGCTGGATAGATTAGTGAAGGGTCATGACGGAGAGAAGCAGAAGCAGGAGTAAGGGCACAGAAAGCACATTAGCGAGTAGCATACCTCAAACATCGTGACTATGTCCAGCAAGGAGATCTCAGTCGAGAAAAGTCAAAGTTGAAGTTGGAGTTCGAGTTGACGATGCGGACATTCGGCTCCGGGCGCGTGACCGGCCCTCACGTGGATGCAACGTGTGCGTTGACTGCTTTCGGCTTTTTGTGATCCTCGTCATTTGGAGAGTCTGGGCTTTGGAGAATGATTTCCGAAATCTCCTGTCCAGCTTGTAGAGCAATTGTATTTATCTGGAATCTGACTCGTGCAAAACCGCCGGCCAATTTCCCCACCAATGACATGCTGTTGTTGCTGTTACTCCAGACGGTCGGCTATCGAACTTGCCCAACGCAGCATTCAACCGCCGTCTTCCCCACACTTCGACATAACGGCGATTTCTCCGAACAGTGCACTTAACCCCCCGAGGTCTTCAATTCTTCCTTCAACTCCCCTCTCTGCGCTGCGCGATTGATTCCCATACGCTATTTTAACCGCGGTGCTGTTCCAAAATGGCCAAGGTATTCGACGCGGCAGAAGGTATGTTCTCCGCACGTCCAATCCCTGCTGCGTTCGCAATTGGCTCGAGACTGACTTTTATCTGTAGTCGCAAAGCATAATACCAGCGAGAGCTGCTGGGTCATTCTATACGGCAAGGTCTACGATGTGAGATTCTCTATTCCCAAATGTCAAGCGCAGTGGAAATTGACAGTGACGTGTGTTAGGTGACGGACTTTCTGTCCGAACACCCCGGCGGTGCAAAGATTATTTTGAAGCTTTCGGGCAAGGATGCCACGGAGGAATATGACCCTATTCACCCTCCGGGTACCCTTGAGACCGAACTTAAGCCCGAATGCTGTCTGGGAACCGTGGATGCGAGCACATTACCAAAGGTAGAGGGCCTGGCAGAGCCCCAAGAGCCAGCGCAGGGCCCGCCTCCCGTGGAGACTCTCCTCAACTTGGACGAGATCGAGGAGGTAGCTAGCAAGCAAGTGAGCAAGAAAGCTTGGGCGTACTATTATTCGGCTTCCGACGACATGTTCTCCAAGCGCTTCAATAACGAGGTGTACAAATCCATTCTTCTGCGACCGAGAGTGTTTGTCGATTGCACAAAATGTGATCTGGATACATCTATTCTGGATTACAAGTTGGGTATGCCTATATATGTCTCCCCGGCTGCCATGGCCCGTCTCGGACATCCTTCCGGTGAGGCTGGCATTGCCGAAGCGTGCCGTAGCTTCGGTGCAATGCAGATCATCTCGAACAATGCCTCTATGACCCCGGAACAGATTGTCAAGGATGCTGCTCCTGATCAGGTCTTTGGCTGGCAGATCTATGTTCAAGTCGATCGGAAGAAGAGCGAGACCATGCTTGCTCGTATAAACAAGCTCAAGAATATCAAGTTCATTGTTCTCACTCTTGACGCGCCTGTTCCTGGCAAGCGTGAAGACGACGAGCGCAACAGTTTGGCCGGGGCTTCGACAGCTGTAACCAGCGGCGTGAAAGCCGCGGAGCGTACCTCAGACGACACACCTGATGTTTCCGGTGCCTCGGGTGGAGTTGGTCAGCAGCTCTTCGCCGGCACGGATCCTTCCTTGACATGGCAGGAAACTCTACCCTGGCTGGCCAAGCACACTGATCTCCCTATTGTTTTGAAGGGCCTGCAAACTCACGAAGATGCATATCTTGCATCCCTACACACACCACAAGTCAAGGGCATCATTCTGTCCAACCATGGTGGCCGCGCTTCAGACACAGCGCCGCCAGCGGTGTACACTCTGCTGGAGATCCGCAAATACTGCCCTGAAGTCTTTGACAAGCTCGAGGTTTACGTGGATGGCGGTATTAAACGTGGCACAGATGTCGTCAAGGCTCTCTGTCTGGGTGCCAAGGCTGTAGGCATTGGCCGAGGTGCTCTTTGGGGTTTGGCTGCGGGTGGTGTGGATGGTGTACGCAGGACATTGCAGAGTATGTTTCAAGTTGGATCCCATATTTCAACGTCGCTAACCTTTCTGAACAGTTCTCGCCGACGAGACCAAAACTGCTATGCGGCTGCTGGGTGTGGAGACTGTTGATAAATTGGGCCCGCAACATGTAGGTACACTGCATTCTTCATTCACTGATCAAATAATGACTTCTTTAGATCAACACCCGCATGGCTGAGCAGCAAATTTACGATGGACCTTCGGGTCTGGATTCATTACGGCGTGTTTTCCGAGCGAAGCTTTAGATACGAGCGTGTGCATTATTTCAGGCTGTAGATACTAGATCTGTCAATATTTCATTTTGTTTCAATTCTTTCAAGACTTTTATCTCTTTTTATCTGCTATAAATACATATAATTATCCCCCTGACAAGACGTTTTGTTTCGATCTAGTTGTCTTGATCACTAAATCCTCCACGAGTTAACTAGATTGGCATATATCCTATATAGAACAACATCTTTAGGGCACGACTATCTCGTCATTAAAGTGCTATACTTCACTGCGCTATAGTTCAAGTCACAAGCCAGAAGGTAAACCCGCCGGAGATTCCCATTCCTCTAGTAGCTATCTCAGAGACCTTTATATAAAGCCTATGACTATGTATCTCTTGTTTACAGTGTTAATATTGGATGCAAGGTCATTTCGCAGGAACAACAGAAGCATCTCCGAGAGCACCAGGCCCGCTAAATGAAGGGGCTAGGCAGCGATCGGAAACTCTACTTTACTTGGGAAGTTAGCTCACACTCTTGCTCCTCAAAGTCAAAAACTGTCTTTAGTAATTTTCTTCTAGATTCCTCTTCTGCTCCTAGATACTTGTGCTTGGATTCAGAATTATGTGCCCGGAATCTGGCAAGGTGTCACGGACAGCCTCGACTCTGTGAAGACTCGCTACACACAGCGGGCTGTGGGATTGGGCATCTAGGAACTGTTTTTCTTTTATCGTATCATTTTCCATTGCTTGTTGTCCTTTCTTTTGGCTTTCGGAATTTTTGGATCCCGTGCTTTTCTTTCTTTTAAGGTTCAGCGAATTGGCGCGATCCGGCAGCTTTATTTCTTTTTGTTGGCTCCTGTGATTTTATATTCTTTTTGGTTCTGCGTATAATGAGAGGATACGACTATATACACATATTCGAGCTTGCAAAGGCGATACATTTGTTCTGTTGAGATAGGATTCGCGTAGGTAGATCTTCCAAGTTAGTCTAATGGTGTTATTTTCTGCAGCGTATTGGATAGACACCTTAACCTTTGTGTCTTGGAAAGGAGTGAAGGATCAATTGTAATGTAGAGTCTTCCGGGGCAAAAGCTACCTCTAAATGTATGTAGGGTGACTACATTTCAGCTTGAGGAACAACTTTTCAAGACTATCCTTTGTCTTTGGTTGTTATTTCAAAATATGGAGACCCCTATATTCTGGAGACTGCTTAATCTCCTAAGCTATGGTCCTAGGACACTGGATCTTTCCTTGGCGAAAACCTTTGGCGAGGGCTTCGGAATGTCGTCACTATCTGACAGGAGTCGTAGCTGCAAGATCTGCCGAAAACGCTAGGGTATTATTTCTCGCCTTAGATCGCTAGACTAGTCATTTCTAGTAAGTATTCATGGTAATCGTAGTATGGTATTTGATTCAGAAAGATCAGAACTACCAGGAAATGCCGGGGTGTGAAGACGGAGACGTACAGAGATATATCGAAACAAAATTACGCCATGAAAGTACCTGTTATTTTGAGGCACCAGAACTATGACATTCTCTGACCCATTTACATTTAACGATCCTGTACCCGCGGCCGCTCGGAGAATTGATGGAGAATTGGCGCCGTCGAACGTGAATGTGTATCCAAGACTTTGCAAAACAGGACTTGAAACCACAAACTATGAACTCAAACTAAAAGGTGAACACTCTTCGCATATATGATACCACCTTTCATGCAAACCAAGGCAGACCAACCCATTCATTTCGGGGTGCGAGCTCGTCTGGCCCTTCGATCACGCCATCACTCGATATACTTGCCCCAAATTTCTTAATGAGCCATGTACCTTAAGCGTCTGTCAGCATAATTTTCACAATCTATTGGTGCTCGTGGCACTTACCCATAGCGAGGTACGCATATGAATCCGCATTGTTGAGTGCCGTGGCTTGAGTGGCTTGAGTGCATTTCCTCCATCCATAAGTTTTGTCCCCGTCTTTAATATCATCCGGGCGGTCTTGAACTTTCCATGTATGGATAAACTGCATATACGGGTTAGAATTCAGTAGATCAAATAGCAGTGTTAGAAAATATCACCGACGTACCTCGTGGAAGAGAGTCTTGAGGATGGGGAAAAAGTAATGTGAGCAGGGGCATTGTTCATTCTTTTCATGACCTCAAGAGCAACGTTTATTTTTTTGACGTCGAAATTCTCGCCATCGAAGTGGAGTGTCTGTCCATTGGCGTTCAAGAGCTTGGGGCACAGCTAAATGTAGGCATATTTCTTGTCGTTGCTGCGCCATTGGCGAGTATAGGCCTTTGTTTTTCCGTCTTGTTTTAGACAGTCCTTGTATAGCTCAACCTTAGAAAAGATTTTGTCATGCTTAGTATCTTTGATTGATATCTTGGATGGATCTGTCGCATCCTTGATGACTTGGAGCCTTTGCTGATTGCAATAGATGATCTGCAATTTGAATGGTTATTATTGTGTGTGTGTGTGTATGTTATACGCATATGATAAGGAAAACTCACGGGGTCCATTGTATCAGTGCCAGACGTATCTTCCTTGCTCATAGCGCCGACCTTATTGATGACAGCTGAGGTAGAAGGTATTAGCGGAGAAAATAACGAGTCTTATTGTATCAACTTTACATTTGACATGTGCAAAGCTTTCCTCATTGAACAACTTCTTTGCAAACTCATTGACTGTTCTGTCGCTGCCGAGAGACTTGTCAACAACCTCGGGCCATTGCATGATGTAGTTCAACATATCTCTGAGGTTTTCAGTCCGTTGGGCTGGTCAAGGCTTTAGTAATGCTTGGGACATATTGAATTTGGTGTTTTAACTTACGCGGACCACATGATTCCGTATCTATTGACCAAGCTGGAACCTGAACAAAAGTGATGCAAAGAATTACAAGGAAGAACGCGGAATTGACCCACATACTGAAGCATGTGAAGTTGGTAGATAGAAAAATTTGGGGATGAGTGAGTGAGCAATAAATATCTACGAAGCAGAAGAGCTGGCTTTTTAAAGATATTCAGACACTACTGGCATAAATCGGATCACCTTGGCTGGCTTACTCTCGGGAAGTAAAACCTGCCTTGTCTCCGCTCGTCTGATATTTTGAAATGACAGTTGAAGCTATTCTAGGATCATGAGACATAAACACAAAACTCAATTCTATAATAACTAGTAGTCGGAGAGATCTATGACCCCGATTATGTCGTATAATGCCCTATAACTCGCCCCCATCGGCACTACGGAGCTCATCTTGACCCGTCAGGGTCCATTTCAGAAGCCAATTCCAACAGAAGTTAATCATACTTTGCACCTATAAATAGGCCACAGTGTAGTGCAAGTAGAAACCCTAGGGGGCCAAAATCTACCAAAACTGTATTTAGCCTTTCTGCGGCCCCATGTAGGATTGGGGTTCTCGCCAAGACCCGACAGGGAGTTTTGAGTTTCTTCCGCCCGTCAGCTCGGGAGACGGGGACCCGCATGTCACGAGTGAGAGACGTATATACAGGGCTTTGAATAGCTCTAGCAGTAATTACGACTCATTGGGTCAGCTATTTTCGTGCTGGAAGATGATGCCAAGATGGAAGTGCTAGCACTTCCATCGACAATTCTGCCGTACTAGTGACCTGAAACAGCACAACGGATCGCAGCAAGGCATCTATTAATAGATTGAGCAGGATCCTGAGATCTATAAGAGGTAGCAGGCACCATTTCTGAACACAAGAAGCGCTCATATCTCTTGTGGCCCAATATGCCTCGGCTTTCCTCCTATCTTTTGGCGTTAGTCGCTGCCTCTGTGGTATGGGCTGATGACTTCGTTGACACGGTTGACTGGAAAAAGTATCGCTTAAGAGGCGTCTCCCAGGCATATTATTGTCCTGAGCAAGTCGGCGAAGAAAGATAGGAATGCGATAACAAGTACTGTGGAGGCGAAAATCCAAGCAATAAGGGACATTGTACACTTGTGATACTGCAAGGGAAGAAGAGCTCGTACAAGGACCAGACAATCCTCAATCCACCGCTTTACTGTGAATGCGGACCGAAGACAGGGTATGCTGAGACTGTTCCAATATCATATGAGGCTATATGAATAGCAGAATGCTAACTTGACATAACAGTAGAGGTATCAAGCCGCCTCTCATCATTCCCTTCCCACCTCCGCCCCCAGGCTTTATTCTTCCGCCAGCCGGAATCCCTCATCCCAAGAACAAAGACAGCTGTCCAGAAGACTTCAAAGAAACAAAATGCAAGGACTGCAAGCCTGTTTCTGGCTGGTGCTCTGAGGGTCCTCAGACTGGCTGTCCGTGCCGAGACGAGTGCCCCGCTGAGGACAGCAAGGACGTACCTAACTGCTCGTCTGCCTCTTGTGAGGGAGAAAAAGGGAAATGTACCACGGTAATTTATATGTGCCAGGATAATATTGCGAGACTATAGCTGAGTATCTCTATAGGGCCCCTACGCCGATTGCAATTGCAAAGACATTTGTCCTGACAATGAAGAAGAGTTCATTGATTGTGCCTCTGATCATTGCAAGAGTGAAGATCTCGCAACCTGCAAAGAGGTACGGATACAATCTCATATTTTGATTTATTTTGTCTTTACTAAGTAGAAAAAACAGGGTGACTACAAAGGATGCAAATGTTTAGTAGCTACCGACGACATCATCAATGACGACCCTGGATTCGAAGACGCAGTTAAGTGGTGGGACCAGTTTATCGACGTCTACTCCAACATTGATAAGTATGCGCCCAAGGCAGATACGAAGTGCAGCTCATCCAGCAACACAAAAGCGGTTGCAATCGAAAAGTCAACGGCCTACAAAGTAGGCGACAAGTTTTGCTCAGACTTGGATCTGTCGAAAGAGACCAAGAAAGATCTGACAACCAAAGACATTGGCATCTCTAACAGCGATTATTATGTGTTTCACTTCGAATATAAGCCCGGAAAGAGCTGCTTCTCAGACTGCAAATCTACTATCCGCTCAATGGTTTGTAAGTACTTGAGCCAGATCGCAGCCATCTTCATCCTATACGGCCACCCATTAATCTGAATTTCTAGGCTCCGGATACGACGATCATACCATCCAACCCGAAAGTAAAGCCACGTTCAAGTGTGGCTCCGAGTACAGTTTCAGTTTCAGTGTGCCTGATAAAGCCAAGTTCCCGACTGCCGTCTCCACCACTATGGAACCGGCCAAGCCAACCGCATCCCTGGGCCAAAGGACGTGCTTCCTGGAAAGTCGACGGCCTGCCAGTATTTACGGCGGAGTCCGGCCCGATCAATATGCCGCCGCTGCCGACAAAGCCTGCACAGCATTCAGTAAACACAGTAAGATTGAGGCCAATAACGGCCGAGGCTCCTATGTTTACAGAGCCAATGATGGCCCTGTGCCGTATTGGTTCAATGTTGGCGTCAATTCTCTCGACAATCACTCTACCTGTGACCAGAACCTAGAGGATCCGCTTGGGGATGGTTCTCATAAATGCAGCACGATATTGAAAGATGACGTCTTCAAGGCTTGTAAGTGATGATATCCATGAACATTGGATATGAGATCGACTGGCGCTAACCATCCTGTGTGTATAGGTAATAATGGCGGCCGTGGAGGCTACATCAAGGTGGGATGCTTGGTTTACTCATTTGATGTCTGCAGCGGAAAAGGTGATATTCCAAACGAAGCCGTATGCTTTGCAAGCGGAATGGATGCCCCCGAGGTGGTCAGCTAAATGACAAGTACGGACTTGGGGTAATATTCATATTGTCGATGCTAAATTTGTTGTTCTGCATATTTCATTAGCAATGGAGTGATTCAAATAAAGCTTGGCACAGTATTCTTGAAGTATTTTGCTGTAACAAGCTCCCAGGCATCATAATAGTCTTCCTTCTATAAATCTGCGTGCCTGTGGCAATTGGGACTTGGTCTTATACATACAGAAAATGGACGTATGATCCGGACCGAGAGCTTTCTACTTGCCTGCCAGTACTCGCTGGTACATCTACTCTGCCTCTTGCAGCTTCCCCTGATTAGAGTAGAGGCCCTTCTAAAGCATGGAATGCTCCCCACACCGCAATATTATAGACTGGAAAGTCCCTATGACGTACATGATGAACCTGTCGCAAAAGAGACCGGAGAGCCCGTACGATTTCTAACCCCGACCATGACCCTACCGGACCCAGAATTAGCCAAGGTCTGGTGTTTGCTTTGGCCTGAACACGAGTCGGGAGACTGGAAGGAAGTTGGCACAGCTTTCCACTTTAAGTCTGAACCATAGCGTGGCCTATGGTAGTATATCTTCTGCCGCGAAAGTAAGGGTTCAATATATGAGAAAATTTGGCCGATCTTCTCTCCTTTCGTTTCTCTTCCTCGCTAAGCCCACAGATTTTAAGCGCTTTAGCAGCGGTTGTGCGCGGATTGTTGGAGAATCCCGCTACGGCGAAAAGCATATATCTAGGTGCCGTGGATTGTTTTAAAGATATCCTCAACACGTATCATGTTTCATTACATACTTGTATATGTTGATTCAAACAAGTGTCTAGAGCGTAGAAATCTGCTTATAAAAGCCTTAGCGGCACTTTTGTGCAGCCATTGATATGATGCTAGCCCAAAAGACATACTTATCACGCTGATAAAGAGCCAGCTATTCAAAACACTTCCAAGTCGATAATACCACGGCTTGAGTTGCCTCCAATTATTACTTTTAACCGATCGCCCAATAAAATGGGTCAGCGTGCACATTTTCTAAGCAGAAGACCCCGCAGCGCGAGCAAGGTTTTAGGGGCAGCTACATCCGTGATCAGCACTCAATTAATAGGTACGTATATTTCAAAATATTGGTAAGAGCCGAAGTCAAGTCAATGGAGCTTTCGTCTGACAACTTAGAGGTCCGAATGTTCCCAAAATTAGCAAATAGCGGGATGAACTCGCGATTGTCTCTTCGAGAAAGAAGAATTCTTCCTTATTCACTCTAAGTGGTCAATAGACAAGAATAAGGTAGGCAAGAACTCTGATTATATATTGATTTTCTCGGCAGACTCTGGGAAAGGTGTAATGGACAGTAATTTACTAAAAATTTAAAAACAGAAAAAAAAGATTTGACCAGACTGGGGCTCGATCCCAGGACCTTATCGGTGTTAACGATACGTGATAACCAACTACACCATCCGGCCAACTATGTTTTATGTCATAATTTCGTCATCTATAACGTAATCCACTACCCACTCGGCCACCGCAGAACACCATATTAAATGCTGTTTTTTACAACCTCATATCTCAACAACTATCGCTCTTATTTATTCCAATATAAGTATACTTGTATTTATAAGCATTCTTCATAGTAGACATTAATTTGAAGTCGATCAAAATGTCGTATACTCACAATACCATAAATTACGTTGTAATTTAGCTAAATAAACCAGAAATATAGATACTCCCTTACAGTACAAAAATTTCCTAGACACCATTTAAGTGCTATGTTGACTATATAGAACATAAGCATAAAGTTTCCGATCCATACGATCCCCGATTGTTGAGATATAATATTGTAAAAACAGCATTTAATATGGTGCTCTGCGGTGGCCGAGTGGGTGGTAATTACGTTAACTCAAACTAATCTCACTCAATGTGGCGCTCCTAGCACTAGAGAGATATACTTAGTTTCTAGGATCAACACTATTTATTCCTGATAAGAGCCCTCTAGGAGCTATCGTTATATCTCCTAGGAGTAAGCAATATTAGGTCTAGGAGTCACCTATTCCCGTTTACCCTGTATATCGCTATTTTCCTCTCTAAATCTTTGATATTGAAAGACAGTATTAAGAGGGAAAGGCTAATCACTAATATAGATAATGAATGTTTGCTTTCAGGAAATCCAAAACACACATCGGTAGAAGAGTGTAATAGTACTATACTTTAGCAGATATAGCTTTCCTATCACTACTCGCAAATATTTCTATTCAACCTTAGAGGCTATGCCTATAGCAACCGAAAGTGAATCCTATTTGTTCAGGATCGCCTAACGAAAGCGCGTGAAGGAGTCCATGTATGTCCAATGATCATCGACCAAGACGCCGTGACTATGTAGGTCCCTGGAGACGGGATGGTTTTAGTCGCTACAAGAAAGAGTAAGTTATTGATCCTAAAGCCCCTCGCCGGTCCTGAATCAGCATGCTCCATCTGTAGGAGATAGGCTCCAAGGCCTGCGAGTTCTTCGACCAGTCTTTCTAGTCACTTTGATTTGGTGATCAGACGCACGAACGGAAATGTTTTGGCTATTGTAGACGGATGAGAAGAAAATTAAATCAAAGTAAAAAAGTAATGTTTCTGCCTAGGGGTTTCCGAATAGAGAGATAAGGGTCTATCACGCTGTATCTATTCAAGACAAGCAATGGGCTTCAGAACTGATGACTTTGCTCCTGGGACATTTTACTGACTTCTGGGCGCTACAATGTTCCGCGACAAATATTCAAGACTTCCCAGAGATACTTGGGCGCATCTAGTCCGGATTTACGCAATACATTGCTGCATCCGAATTCCGACAAAGCGGGTCTCACTCAATTATTGCGGCGTTCCGAGAAAGAAGTCAAACCGTTCTCGCATTTATAAGATAATGGAAATGTCCCCGCTCATCAATTCACCTATAAAAACTGGTAGTCTTCGACAGTTACTCTTAAGCGTCGGTACATCGACCAGTCAGGTCCTGACAATTGGGTGTTGGGATAGCTGCGCAGGGTATAGCTGAAGCTGACTTCGGATTTAAACATTTCCTCCGCGCTCTCAAATAGTAAATGTCCTTCCCGAATTGAAATCCTTTGCAGGAATCAAGCGATAGCCCTTTTGGTTCGATATAATAGCTTTCCCATCCGTATCTATGAAAGCACAGTTGAAATGCGTGTGGCCAAATGCCCATGCCACGATCGCAGGATTAGTCCAGCATTCTTCGTGACTTAAGTCTGTTGCGAAGCCCGTAGACACATCACTACCAATATGATTTGGATCCGTACACCGCGGATCAACGCTCGGGCTATGATGGGTGAAAATCGCAATCCGCCGCAGGGGCTCGTTTTTGGAAATCATGGAAACTTGAGCATTGAGCCATTCGAGATCCGATTCGTGTGCAGCATTGTGGTCATCCACGTTCCATCTTAAGATATCTTTGAAGTCCACCATGCGGCTTTCGACGGCGAATTCTTGCTGGAAGGAGATGTGCGAGAATAGAGTGCATCCCAACACGGTCAGATCTTTGGTAACATCGTAACGTGTTTGGTCAAGGAAAAAAAATTTCCCCATCAAAGCTTTTTTGTCCGTAGAAGCCTGGAAACTGCACATTTTGGCCTTCGCAATTTTGAACGAGAGATGATATGGATCGTGATTTCCCAAGAGAAAAAAGACGATTGAGTAATTGCCAAGCTGTGTTTCCAAAAATGAAAAGAGTTCGTCATTGGCGACATGACCAATATCCCCAAGAAGGGCGAGGTATGATGCGGTTTGAGGGAACTTGAAGCTTCCGTATGAGGAATGGGTTTCGAGGTGCAGGTCGGAGAGTATTTGAAATGATATCAGCCCCATGTCGATGAGTTGTTCCCTGAAGGAGAATAATGAGGAGAGAGATGAGTTTTAATGGGAAACAAATAGTACTGAAGGGGTTTTGATGATCAAGACACGGTATTGTGCCGCGTACTTGAATATTTCCAACCTGACACGATAAGGTTTCGACCAGGAGTCTCCTCTCCTGTCTCTGGCATCTTGATCAAAAAATTATCTTGGTCCTATGCAGGCTGCGCGTCCTCTCGTGGAAATCCAAATTTAGAAGACGTGGGCACAGAGCAATGAGGGTCAATCGTTTAGCGCCCAATGTGATGGGTGGAGATCATGGAGCCGTCTTCTTGGATGATTATGTGCGACCAGGGAATAAGAGCGCCTAAGCCGAAAGGGAGCACGCTAAACCACATAGCGTAACTCACCGTCACCTACGGATACGTGATCGTGATAACCAACTACGCCATCCGGCCAACTGTATCTTCCAAGCCAATATTGTCATCCATATATTAATATGTCCCTTCAGATGTGACTCGCTGAATCCTAGAGTAATCACTATTTAACAAGCGTCCTGGTCCCGTATATTCGACATATATCCCTCTAGTCCGATACGTAAATAGTCAAATCAATATCAAACATTTTAATTGCAAACTTGTTTCGATTCGTAAAGTAAATGGCCCATCTATAGACACAAAATGTCATCTACTCAACACGGGGATGGCTTCTATGTCTTGGCTCAGTCCAACAGAGTCTCCCAGTTGTCCGTGATGGCTTTAAATTTGGCTGACAATTCAACGTGGAGCGGTGAAAGTCCTAAAGTTCCACCGACGGAAATATCTTAGTGGTATTTCGATTTCTGTCCTTAGCAAAGAAGAGACTCTGTCGGGACCCCCCATCGATAGAGCTACATCACAGGGATCCCCTATCATACATGGTCATATTAGTGATCTCGTTGAGCATAGCACAAATGATAAGAAGCTTTACAGGTCGATCGAGAGATAACTAGCGATTAGTCTGAAATACACTTCGCACCTTCTAGTGCTATTTATATCACCAAAGCTCTTTATCCGTATTCCTACTAATCTCGTAGAACACTGATGTAGTCCTAACAGACTTAATTTCATTAAGTTCACCCAAAAGCCTCGACACTTTGCTTTGAGTAGATAGATCGTTCAATTCCATCGGTTTGAAATCCTTCCGATACCACAGGGGGGTTCAGCACCCCAGAGGGCTATTTAGGAAAATCCATGAAAGTGGATCTATCCCTGAGAATCTATGCTTATATGGCTACCCATGTGGCGCGCGGCTTTGAAATCGTTGTGAAGCTTCCGCAAAGTCCAAGACGGCATTTACCGTCTTGGCTGGCGAGGCAAATGGATTACAGTAGGTAGGTAGTTAAGTAGGTAGACTTAATCTACCCTGACCCCTTGCTGAAGCGATATGCGGGCTAGAGTACCTTAATTACATGTTTTTGTGTTTCACGAGGATTGTTTCATACTTCATGAGTGGTGAAATTTGAGACTCACTTATAAGGTATGTCGTGACCTAATTGCTGTTTGTGATGTTAGGCTGCCCTTATGGCGCGGCTATAATAAGTTTCAATTTTGAGAGAAATCCAGTGACCAGCACATCTCATTCCAGTAAGAACGCCGATAAATTGCGAGTTGTACAATTGCACCAGGCAGAAAAACAAGAAATACAAGCTATATCAAAGAAGGAATAAGACTTTCCTGTGATTTAGAAAATTAAAACTCCGGTGTCTGTTCGGCCCACTTGAGACCCGGTAGCCATGAAAAACGGTGTTTAGTAAATAACTCCCGCTCTGGCTTTGACTGTTCAAGTCCTTCTGGGTCGTCTAGTGTTCCTGCCAAGATAACAACAGTCCCAGGGTATGACTCGTGTGTTTTGTAGATAGCACATCCGCATTCGCCACAGAATTTGACAGTCATTTTCTTGCCGTTCTCGTGGGTTTCAGTGTATTGCTTGGCGGAGCCAACAGTGACATGCATTTTGTCCACTGGAACCTGCAGATTTACTGAGTTAGTTCCACCACTGAGCTTGCGACAGGACAAACAGTGGCATGTGGCCTGCGTATGAACACAAGTTAATTAAGAGGCTGTACCTAGGGAGGTATGTTCCTTGCCATTGATAGAGGCTCTCCTATATACTCATATTCGAGTTTGTGACATAGACAAGATCCTGTAGGCATTGTGGCGCAGTTGTTTGATAATTTGAGATGGTCTGTAAGTGTAGGTGCGTTGCAATTGGTGCACTTGATGATAAAGGTTAGATTAAAACAATTATCACACAGTGATAGATATCTCAAGAAAGCCAGGCTGTTCTTATATTAAGCATTTTTCCTATCCTTTTTTCTATCTTTCTTCCGTCATTTGAAAGTCTTGAAGTAAGTGGCACTTCTAACTGAAGCCACTTAAGTTCTAGACGAGGCGATATTATCGGATAAAACAGCCGCCTTCCCCGCATTACGAACAAAGTCCAGGTCACAAGGGATGGCTCGAATCAAATACCTATAATAAATTTATCCTTTCGGCGAAGTCAGCAGCTTATCGCATGCCTACTGAATCGATCTTAGCCAGAAGCGGCAGTGCTAACACCAACGATATTACCTCATTAATAGGTAATTGACCCCACATGATAGAGTTCACGCATTTTACTCGACCTAAGATGATACTTGCTGACCACAAGTATTTTTTCAACATCTAGTAATATAATAGTAGTATATATAGGGACAGATGCAGTTCTATTTATAGGACGGTGCCGCTGACGACTGAGTTGAGGCCTTTGCTGACCGGGGCGAAGAGGGGGCGGGCCCGTGAACAACGGGAGCTATGAAGTTGTTAGGCGGGATATTTTTTTGGCACCGCACCGCTTGGGACCGTCCACCGATGAGAGCCACAGCGGGAAAGAAAGAGTTTTTGAAATTAGCCCCATCCCGTTTCCATGCAATTGCCTTATCTTAGTGTGATACTTTCAAGTCGAGATCACTAACGCGGTAGAAAGAACTCCCTGAGAACCGGAACGCCTAGCAGCGACAGAAGCTCATGATGCTGTGAAGCTCATCTAATCGCATGCCCACCTTTTGGAAAGTTCTACGTGAGAAAGCCATCCTTGGTACCAGTTTCGTAAGCTTCCGACAGCAACACACTTTGACCATCGCTAAAATCCAGCGAGAGTCATTTGCTCTGCAAGATATGTAGCATGAGAACGCTAACTAGACCGATGTAAAAATAGAGCATTCTGAATCATTCTCTTTGCAGCATTATCCAATCAACGGGTAGGAGCCGGTGATGCATCCACTCAGAGCAAGTGAAAGTTAGTAGAAATAATCGGCTAATGTAGGCACTGGTTGCTCAGAATAAATTCTTGATTCGTCTGATTAATACATGCACATTGAGATGTATTTCGAACAAAGACTGATGTAAACTATGTAAGACTCATGGTGGAATTATGCCCTTTACGCTTTTGCCTGTAACACTGAAAGCAAGACCGAGATGGAAATGATTGGCAGCAGAAGGATTGAATTGAAGTGTCGAGAAACCAAAGAATAGATTTACTAGGATATCCTTTGAACTACAATATTCCTGTGGAATTGCAAACACATCATAACCGGTGTGTAAACGCAAATATCAGTCCAAGAAGAAAGGAATACAACATTATAGAGAAAAAGCCATATACAATTGGCTGTGGTTGCTAGCTCTACCAATAGTCTAGTGAAGTCAATCAAAAAAGTCTTGCCGAACAACAACACTCTGATCGCACATTCCCCGGAAAAGACCCCCTGACTCCCATAGATTCAGAGGTGTGTCCAGCTCGGCGATCACTCCCTTATCCATGACACACACCTTGTCATATGTAATTATGGTTTGCAGTCGGTGTGCGATACAAAGAAGTGTTTTGCCGCGGAATTTTGTTCGAATAGTTTCTTGGATGTTGCGGTCGGTTTCCAAGTCGACGGAGGAGGTGGCTTCATCACAAACTACTATCTGACTGTCACGGACCAGGGCTCGTGCCAATGCCAGCAACTGGCGCTGACCGAGCGAGAAATTCTGCCCTTCCTCCTCCACTGGGGAGTCGAGATGGATTTTAGAGGCACTGTTCGCACTATCCTCTCTCGTCAAACCAACTTGACGGAGTGCAGACTGGAGCTCCAAGTCTGTATGTTCTTTAAACGGATCAAGGTTTGTTCGAATATTTCCAAGGAACAACGTAGGATCTTGGGGAATGATAGAAAGCCGAGAGCGAAGATCATGACAGGATACGCGTGAGATGTCTATTCCATCAATTTTGATGCTTCCTCTAGCGAGCTCTGTGAGGCGGAAAAGGGCAGACATGATCGATGATTTTCCGGCGCCGGTCCGACCCACGATGCCGATCCTCTCTCCACCAGCAACATGAAGTGTTAGGCCTTGAAGAACGAGTGGGAGGCCCGGTCGATATCGCATATGAACGTCGTCAAATTCAATCGATCCGATTTTAGGCCAGCATCTATCTACTGACAGAGGATTATAGGAAGTAGATTCCTCGTCTTCCTCTCTCGCGAGATTTGAGCCGTAGAAATGCACGCGCTCAGTGGCATTCATTGCGTTCTCGAGCTCTGCAAACTGCTTTACTAACAGTTGAATCATTTGAACAATGGTCAGAATGTAGGAGAAGACAAGGCCGGATATACTGGGCGAGACAACATGGCGCAATGTAACCACCAAGACTCCTGTAGTGGCCACTAGGAGAATGGAGATAGCATCCAAGCGCATAGTAAGCCATCGCTGATTGCTGAATGTAAGGTAGTATGCTGAATTCATATCATCGATTGCTGCTTGAAGGACAGAGGTAAAATGATTCTGTAGTCCGTAGGCACGAATACTTGCAGTTCCTGAGATGGCCTCGCTGAACCGAGCAAAGACTGCCGATCTGAGAACGGCTTCATGGCGCTTCATATCTCGAGCAGAGGCACGATAGTAGGCGGCAGCAGCTAAGAAGAGCAACAGAAGTGGCCCAATGACAATACCAAAGTAGTGGAAATAAACGATCAGAAGAATGAAAACACTCAGGATCATAGCCAGCGTGTACAAGTACATGCGAATTGCATCCGCTAAGGCATTGTCCATCGTGTCAACATCCTTGGAGAAGCGATTTATAATTCGACCCAGAGGTGTCGTGTCAAAAAAGGACATTGGGGCCCGAAGAACACCCGCCAGTGCTTTGCCCATCATGGTCCGGCTTGCCCTGGTGGCTAGCATTGAGACAGAAAGAGAGAAAAGAAACATGAGAGCTGCCTGTATAACCCCAAAGGCTATGTATATGCCGATATATTGGCCCTTGCTCAAAGAGAATTTGCCATCAGTCCAATAAGACAACCAAAGATTGGTAAGGATGTTCGCAGACTGAGCGATAGCGAGCAAGAAGAACGGAATTATTCCGTACCAAATCGAGCCGGATGCGCGAATGTAGGCAATATACACGCTCCAGTCGATACTAAGAACTGATCGGTCTTCGTCCTGGATGAGAGACGCTGGCTCGAGTATCTTTTCATCTGTCGTGAGCTCGGTCGGGGATTGTTGAGCAGATGGTCCACCTCCACCAGCCTCGTCCCGTGTGTTTGAAGCCATCAGCTCTGAAAATTGGGAATTAGAAGCAATGAGATTGTCGTATGTGTCAACCGCCTTGATGCGACCTTCATCCATCCAAATTACTTTGTCACATCGACAGAGAATGTCATGCCTGTTCGTGGCAAGAATGCGGCACTTATTACCGAGTAGGCCGCAGATAGCGCGGTCGAACAAATGCCGACCAACGTGCGCATCTACCGCTGACAGCGGGTCATCCAGGAGGATGATAGGGCTATCAAAGTAGATTGCCCGAGCAATGTTCAGCCTTTGTCGTTGACCTCCACTGAGCGTAATTCCTCGCTCTCCGATTTCTGTCTCATCGCCTGCCGGTAGCATATCCAAATCGGGTTTTAGAGCACATGCACGAATCACTTCTTCGTACCATTGACGATCCATAACCTTGCCGAATAGAATATTGTTTCGGACGGTGGCGTTTTGAATCCACGCGGACTGAGGGCAGAACGCTCTAGTGGCCCCCATCGTTACCAGGCCGTCAGTTTTGCGCATCTCCCCAGCGAGAGCAGAAAGCAAAGAGCTCTTCCCAGAGCCAACTTTGCCTATGACGGCCACAAGATCAGATCGTCCAACGGATAGGTTAATATTTTCAAGTGTAAAATCACCAGAATGGACAAGAGATGCGGTTGAAGAACACGTTGAAATATTCTCGGACTTTTCCGTCTGCTCTTGCCCTCCCTCACTAGTCCTACCAGAAGCTTTGCTATTTTCAGCTTGAACAGTGGTACTGGAGTGCTCCCAAACAAAAGAGGCATTTTGAACATCAATAGCCTGAGCGGCATCAAAGTCCCAAATAAATTCCTCTCGCTGGTCCTCAGCCAGGAGGTAATTCTGAACGCGACGCATTGATGCCCAGGCATCTGTCATCTGGCCGATTACCACGGGTAAGAGGTTCAAAGGAACCCGCAGGGAGTTAAAAATTGATAGAGAAGAGAAGACCAAGGATGCATTGAGCTCATGCCCAGATACTGAATAGACAATGAAACACAGCATCGATGCGAATATTGGCAGGGATACCGATACTGCATTCATTGCGTTCCGTAGAGCCATCAACTTTTGAATCATCGTGACTTCATTTCTGCGACAGGCACGGAGTGCCTCGAGGAATGCCTTTTCCCACCCGTAGAACTTGACAAATCGTACGGATCTAGTGATTTCTTGGGTCAGGGAGATTCGAGTGTCCGTAATCTTATTGATCATCCGCCGCCTTTGGATCAGGGACCTCATGGTGAGAGTAAGTAATGGAATGCCCAAAAAGAGCAATCCAAAACCGGCCAATGCGGAGTATGTCATGTTGATAACAAGAAGGGCCAGGGCGAGGAGGATCGTCAACGGCGAGACCCAGAGGAGATGAAACATTCCACAGGCCAATTCAATCCGGGAGGTATCGGTAGACATCATGTTCATCACACGGCCATTAGGCGAGCCTGCTTCATCCGTGTTCATACCATCCTGTGTATCCCTTTTTGATTTCGGTTTATTATCCGGCTTGTTTTCATCGGGATGATCGCTCGTCGTAGACATCTGGGTTCCAGCCCGTGCCCGATGAGAGATCTTCATGGTCTTCTCAAATATGGCCGATATTAAGACTCCCCGAGCTTGTGCACCAACCATGAATCCTCGATAAATGAACTGGTTGGTGCCAAAGCTCTGGATAATCTGCATTCCCATGATTCCAAAAACCAGCCCAATCTGCTTTCCAAACCCATGGGTATCTTCACCTGGGTCATGTTTGTAGTAGGCGGCCGTGAGCCACTTGATCAGAAAGCGCAGACTGAATGGGGTCATTACTTGGCAAATGGAAGCAAAAAATACACACAAAGCGCCGAGCCAAAATTCGCGTTTGAAGGTGTCATGCAAGGCCATGAAAAGAGGACATGTGGCTCTTCGTTCCATTTGCTGTTTGAACGCCGTATTAAAGCGGGCAGAAAGCTTATCAATTTGGCGATCTGGATTCACCAGCCAAATGTCGTTCAGCTCCAAAGGTCGCCGATACCCCACACTCATGATCGAATTCATCCATTGGAAAGTCATTTGACTCAGCCAGTTGGCACCGTACTCGCCCGAGGGCGACCTTTCGAGGGGTACGGGGGGCATTTTACCCCATTTGAGAGGGTTGAAAGAATATTGACATTTTCTGTTTGTTTGGACGGGGTTCTCAACGGCTTGCTGGTCTTCTGCGGTTTTCGTTGTTGTCGCGGTCGCTTGTTGCTTGTAATTTAGGGTCAAGCTAATTTTTGAGACATTGGAAGTTGATAGATCAAGGGAGGCTGGATCGTCCGCATTGGAACCATTCAATGGCTGATTTGGTGCTATATTTGCTCGAGATGCTTGCAAATTCGGCATGTTTGATGCGATGAGGCCGATGGTGTACAGACAAAAGACAATGAACTTTAGAATTGACTCGAGGTACTCAGTTGTTTCTGACCTTTCCAACGCCCCTTCATGAGTACTTAATCAAGAAAAATTTCAAGAAAAGCATCATGGCGCTGAGTGGATCTCCAACAAGTAAGCCGGACCCACGGGGCTGAACGGAGAGCACGGAGAAAACGGAGAGGAATGGGATGAGGTACTGACCTGTATTGACAGGTATCAGTACGCAATTTACGTATTGGTAATTTGCCGTATGTAAGCTGGGTTCAGGACGCATTTCATACCCGTCTTACTTGGGGGTCCCAGCCAGCTGGGACCTGTCTTGCCGGATATACGCCGGCCCTCGTGGGCATGTGGAAATTTACCTCTAAACTCAATGATATTTCATGAGCGACAATTGCCGGCCGAATCAGTGTTCACAATGGCGCCTACAAGATTAGCTATTGGACAATAACGTGGTTGCTAAAATATTTGTACACAATCTACCGTTACCACCGCTCATAGATCGCAAGTAATGTACTTGAACAGAACTGTGAGGTGTCTGGGAACTACTAGTTCTTCCCGATTAATATCCTAAGCGAGTAGTCGCGGCGGCGCAAATCAGGCTAGCGGGGCATCACCCGACGACAGGTCCTCTTGAGCTTACGCCAATATGCCTCTGTGCGGGAGTGGGCCTATTAACCCAGAGTAGAACGACCAAGCCCTTGATATATCGTATTTGGCCACGCTATACGGGATTAATCTGTATCGAGAAGTCGGCTGACTCGCATCTAGAAAGAGACTGGCTAGGAAATGCCGCGAAAGCAGAACCTGTGCTCGTTTGTGTCAGCGACGTAGGGGCTATTTTGCGCCACCTGTGACCCGTTGTAATCAATTGGGGCCTTCTGGGGCCGTTCAGGGATTATTCGGAGAGACCTATACGGGAATTCCTCTCTACGTTACACTCAGCTACCCTCAAATGTCAAATTCAATCACTCGAGCAAGTTCATTGGTCATGGGGCATTCCTTCGCCCCGTCCCACAACTTAGCTTGTAGCGGAGATAACAGACGATTGATTGGAACATAATTCTCAAATATTTTCTGGCAAATACGCATTATCACCGTAGAGACCTGACTAGTGGGGTTGTTCAGTTTGGGCATGGTGAGAAAGGGCCACTATTCAAAACGAAAATATAAATTTAGCACATCGTCTAGGCTGAGTGGGAATTTAAAAGAGTTATAAGCCCACTGAAGGTGAAGGTAACCAGGAGACCAAGTCATTGCTCAGAACATACTTCTTTGAATTTTAAGTCTAGGGCATTACCCATTCACCTTTTTGCTTTCTCTATCACTTCTGTATTTCCACTGCCCAATATGATGACCATTCTTGTCCACTTCATATTGGTATGGAGGAAGGTTCTCTACACCTACCTGTCTATGGCAAAGCTATCCTATCACAAAGCCTTGGGTCGAACGGCCGTTGGGCCGAGTCATGGGTCTCTGAGCATTATGGACAATCGAACACAGCGGACGTATCAGATTCCCATTGTCCACAATGCAGTCAAGGCCGTTGATTTCCGCCGTATCACGGCTGCCCAGGAAGGCGCCGACATGGTCGACCAGCTTGACAACGGCCTTCGTATTGTTGACAAGGGTTACTTGAACACTGCATGCATGGAGTCTTCAATTACTCTCATTGATGGCAAGCGTGGCTACATTCAGTACCGCAACCACTCAATTGAGGCTTTGTTCGAGCACAACGATTATGAAGAAGTTATCCATCTTTTGATCTGGGGCAAATTGCCCAGCTCGGCAAAAAAGCAGACACTTCGTCGCAAATTGGCTGCTGAGATGAAGGCTCCTCAATGTGTTATCAATGTTGTCAGATCGTTTCCGTAAGAGAATCCCTTTCCCATGCATTTTTTTGAATCCGGTCCCAAGTCATTGTACTGACTCATATATTTCTTCTAGTCGCGACTCCATGACTTTTCCAATGATTATTGCTGCCCTTGCTGCCTATGCTTCAGTGGATGAAGGTGCCCGTGCCACACATACCAAGGGAGAGCCTCAGTACTTGGGCAAAGGCAAGGCAGTGGATGAAGCGGTTATCCGCACCATGTCAATTCTTGCTACAACTATTGCTTTAGTCTATTGTCATAAGCGTGGTCGCTCTTTAAACGCTCCCAATCCAGAAGGGTCTTTCATCGGAAACATTCTGTTGATGATGGGCTTTCTCGAGCCGGGAACTGAACACACGCAACCACTCCCCAACCAAAAGATTGAAAAATGCTTCGAACGTCTCTGGATCCTGTATGCCGACCATGAGATGACTAACTCAACTGCCGCCTTCCTCCATGCTGCATCTACGCTGACTGACCCGTTGTCATGTTGTGTGACGGGTATCGTGTCTGCCTATGGGCCACTTCACGGCGGGGCCATCGATCTTGCTTATAAGGGATTCGAAGATTTGGGAACTCCTGAAAATGTGCCAAAGCTAATTTCAGCTGTGAAGGCAAAGAAGCAGCGATTGTTTGGTTATGGCCACCGCATCTACAAAGTGGTAGACCCGCGAACGAAGTTCATCCGTCAGCTGATAGAAGAGTACAAGGAGCAGGTCAAATCCAATCCGCTACTCAGTGTAGCCTTGGAAATTGACCGTGTGGCAGGTGAAGATCCCTACTTCACTTCCCGCAACTTGAAGGCCAATGCAGATCTTTACGGCTGCTTCCTGTATACTGCCTTGTAGGTTTCAACTCTTGCATCTTCTCTTACTTTGTTGTTACTAACTCGAGACTGATAGGGGGTTTGAAACGGACATTATCGTCGCCATGGCCAGCCTCTCACGCACGCCTGGTGTAATGGCTCATTGGAGAGAATCAATGGGTACGTGGATTGTTTATGTCCCTCTTGGTCACCCCATGCAATGTGTCTAACTATTTTACCCAACTCTAGGCCAAGCCCCAGGTCTTTGGCGGCCCCAACAAATTTTTGTGGGCTCAATTGCAACTCCCACACAGAGCAGCTAGAGATGGAGGAACGAGTGAATAGAAGCGAGGAAGTACTAGTATTAGATTGCCTTCTTGTTACTCTATGTTTGTTATAGGCCTTCGTCTGTCGAAAATACTTTGAATTCAAACATCGAATGGTGAAGCCATATACAGATATTTCTTACCTTAAACACGATTGAATCCTGGAGCAAAAATTATTCAAATTTATCCCTTTCGGCCTGAAAATGTTCTCGAGATGTGGTTATTACGTAAAATATAACGAAAAAGAGGTTTAAGTATAAGCTACGGGGAAAGTTCTTCAATCTTCCGCTGGGACAGACAGTCTCCTCGCGTAGCTCACATTTCCAGCTAACGTGGGTACCATAGCCAACCCTGGAAGTCCTTGTGAAGGTGGAAAATGAACTAGCTTGTATCCATCTACATAGTATTCTGTCAATAGATCTTACTGCATGCTGCAGTGTAACCTCGCCCACATGCACCCATCTTGCCGTTCCGTTCCACAGCCACGCGAGGCTGTAGTATCGCCAAGCCTTGTCGGCCACGCGAGGCTGTAATATCGCCAAGCCCTGTCGCCAAGTCTCCTGCTGTCATACACTTTCAGACTAGCTGGCTTGGCGTTGTCTTGTATGGGGACGTACAGGCTAGTAATTAGCAGAGGTTGAAAGAGTGTATTTTGATGATGTGTTAACATGACAGCTTTTGAAGGGGTCGTTTTCTAGTGGAACACTAGTGTTATTACACTGGACATCCTCTGTCCCATTCATTAAGACTCGATTTACTATAAGTGGAGCGGCGGGTATAGACTTCTAGTGGTAAATTACTGCCCCTTAGGTCGTCTAATTCCACTTTATGTTTCAGGCTGACGTTTGGTCTGTGCGGCTAGCCTCGAGCCAGATCCCCGGATCGCGCTATTACATAAAATTACATCCTGAAATTACTATGCGTTTACACGACGAGATTGCGCTAGCGTGATGTGCCCAGGAAATGTTTGATCGAAGTCCCATTAACAAAAAGTATTTTGTAGGATACACGTGTTAGATTGAAGCCATGCGTTCATTTTGACTCGACTAAAAGGAGCAAGTATCATTCAAAGAGCACTAGCAATCTATTCATCATCGAAAAACACAAACAGGCGGACCTCGATAGATCGGCGGGCCGGAGCGTCATCCGCAGTTTTATCATCCTGGAAGCCCCCGTGTGGAGTTCCGCGCACCCGGTCCGTGCGCGAGTCATAGTCCTTGAACATGATCACCTCATCAGGTCGCAATTCGCTAACGTAGCGGAAGATGTAGTCTGGATGAGGTTTGAGAAAATTGTCGTGAGCCTTGTAATATTTGGGGTCATTGTTGCGGTAAACCCGGGCCACATTGTCCGCGTAATTCCAGTTGGGGACATTGCTGTGATCCACCACCAGCAGAGGCCAACGCCGAACCGGAGCCCCAACGGGCCTCCAGACATTGATGATAGCCCAACGCTTATACGAGCAAATTAGGCTCTTGGCTTCCTCCTCTCCTAGCTCGCGCTGCAAGTGGCCTAACGCCGTGGAGTGGTCATTGTCAATGTGAAGGGTCGATGCAGGCTGCGAGATACCGGTCTTCATAAAGAAGATCTCGTCGGGATGATAGCCCAATGTTTGGTTGCGTAGACTGAAGTGCCACGGAACCACCTTGGCAGCTCCGGTCTTTTGCTGGATGAGAGCTTGCAGCTCAGGCCAGTATCGGTCCTTGATCATCTGCTTGCCCTCCGGGGTGCGGTAGGTCATGAATTCCGCTTCGGTAAGAGATGTAGGGTGGATCATGGTCTCATAGCCTTCCCGCAAAAGCTGCGGTGCGGGCTTTTGAGTGCGAATGTCATGGATTCGGATGTGATGTATCTTTTTATGATTCAAGTTGGTGGCCCCGGTGGAGGTGTCAAGGTATGCTTCGCGGCCGTCGGTAGTACCGTCGAACATTTCAACTACACCGGTGGTGAACTGGCATTCGATGACAGTCATTTTGGAAGATTTGGAAAGTGGAAATGCGAAAATGTAGCAGGGCCTGATTTTCACGATGTTGGAAGATTAGAGAGCTATTATATATCCGTGAAACACTGCCGCTGAATAGGGACGTGGGCATGTGTCCCTACACCAGTGGCCCCGGTCGTATGCTATTTCACAGCCTCCCCGTGTTCCATTACCCGATAGAAGCCAATGGGCTTCCGATCAGGCCACAAGCGGAAAATCTTGGCATAATTTCGTAATGTAAGATACAGAGCGTGAGATCGAACCTTGCAGTGTGTCTAACACGAGGCTGAGTATCGATGATTTACCGTCCCCATACAACATGTATTGACTCCGTTTGGGACTGTATCATTACCAGCGGGCGATTTTTATACCTACTTGTTGGATTTTACTAGTGGAAGGGCGTACAGGCTAGTGATTGGTCAGAAGTTCGAAAGTGTGTGTTGATTGATTGATGATGTGTTAACATGGCAGCTGTTGAAAAGGTCGTTTTCTAGTGGAGCACTAGTGTTATTACACTGGAACTCCTCTGTCCCATTGAGACTCGATTTATTTTACAAGTGGAGCGGTGGGTATAGACCCTTAGTGATAAATTACTGCCCCTCAGACGCCTAATTCTAGCTTCTCCACCACAAGTCTTCCTCGCGCAATCCGATGGTTCTCATCAAGGTAGCAAGGAAAGAATGATTTGTTGTCAAAGCGCACACAGGATCCAGCCGACGCTCGCCGCGGGAGGAAGATATTGGATCATGCTGACTTCTCGTATCTTCCAATTTCGGAAGGTTGCATCTGATTTAGCATAGTGTTAGCCTTGCGACTCAGCCTGTCACCACCGGTGGCTGAGCTTGCGTGATGTAGGTACCCGAAAAGGAGAAAGAGTCAAAGCCATCTCAAAATCCTCGTCAAGTGCTGATTATATAGACCCTCGCTAACCAGTCTCTACTTCAGCCGCTAATGATTCACGGACTTGTTTCCTCTCCACCTCCTCAATCACAACTGCTTCATTCTCCTCTTTTTTCTTTGCTCTTATCTTTTTCCCCTTGATTTTTATCACTTTGAAGTTTGTTACACAATGTCCCGATTCATCGACCAGGTGCCATCCCCCCAACAGGACCCCAAGATGGAGGTTCTCCTTTTAGGGATGCCGCGGACAGGTACCATCTGTAAGTCTGCATGCAGGCCTGGCCATGCCAGTGGTACTTCTCTAACCCATATATAGCAATTCGCATGGCGTTCGAGGCTTTGGGATACAGGCCTTTTCATGGCCGCATGATGGACGAGATGCCGCACCTGTACCCACTGTGGACAGAGGCGCTCCAAGCTCGTTACTACGGTATTGGCAAAGAGTTCACTCGCGAAGAGTATAATAAACTCTTCGACGGCTTCAATGTCTCTTGCAACATCCCTGGCACTCTTCTGGCGGAAGGTCTTATCAAAGCCTACCCGGAAGCAAAGGTGATATTGACCACACGTGACGTCGACAAATGGCTCGAGTCGATGAAGCAATCGGTCGACTCAGCCGTGAGATGGAAATCATTTGATTGGCTTGCACCTTGGGATCCGGTGAGTGTCGTCTTGCTTTTTGTTCATTCCTTCATATTGTTGTCCCGGGCCCCTACCTAACAGCGAAACAGAAGGTGATCGGTCCTTGGTGGCGTTACCACAAATTTACCCATGCATTGCGGCCTCTGATTGCGCCTCAGGGGGAGCGTCAGGCCTACCTCAACTACTATGCTCGAATCAAGGAGTTGGTTCCAGCAAATCAGCTTTTAGAGTTCCATCCTAGTGATGGATGGGAGCCGTTGTGCGAGTTTTTGGGCGTCCAAATTCCACCGGAACCATTCCCCCATGTGAACAATACGGACCAGTTTTTGGCGGGTAGGAAAAAGCGCTGGTGGCGCATGATAGGGTTGATGATGCTGAAGCTGGTGACACCAGCTATAGTGGTTGCATCCACGGCGTGGCTGATTCGGGGGCGGACAGCGTTGTTGCTGCGCGGGTAATATTAGATCATTCATGAGGCATTCTCACAAGCAGGTGTCAGATTGTGCGGTGTCTTTCTCTGTCTCTTTCACTAGCAGTAAATTGATTTGGCTTCGAAATACTTTGGCATTCGTTTTCGATCTGGAAACTTTTTTCAGTGTCCAACGTTCCCAGGTGGACCTGGTACCTTTCCGAGGCAGAGTCTCTGCGCTTCCGGTCACTGATCCCATTGAGAATGTTTTGGAGGTTGAGCACCGTGTTATGATAGTATGTCTTACAGTACTGATAGTTCCCTTTGTCTATGAGACCAAATATGCTCGTCATAGTATATGTAGTCTATTAACAACGCTATAGTCAAAAACATGATGTCTAAGGCCAAAATATATCCGTAGGCCGAGAATGTGAGTATCTACTCGCGCCCCCAAAAAAACTAAGACACATCAATAGGAGAGTAATTGCAAGCGCTAGAAAGTCCCGCCCTCATTCGCCCGACTGCTACCTCTGCCTTGGCTCTACTTTACCCGTTGGAACTTTTGCTCCACATCATCGTCAACAGAAATCAACTCCATATCACTGCCACGCGACTGGCGGAAGGTCCACTTGGTCTCACCCCATTGCCCATCAAAGCAGACCCCCGGATGGAAAACGGTCAAACATAGAGTGGCAATCACGATCATTGCTCCCTCTAAGATCATGAAAAGAACTTCGTCGTTTGCGAGCGAGCTGTGAAAACCACCTTTCAACTCCGCGACTCGGAAGACAGAGCGAACAAAGATAGTAATTGTTGCTAGGATCAGGCCTGGGTTTACGATTAGTGCACAATCGATGAAGAAAACTCGGCAGATGGAAGAGTCATAAACTTACTCGCTAGGAAAAGTTTCCACCTAGTGCTGTTCCGTAGCTTTCGCATATGAAACGTCTCATTCAGGGAGTCAGGGTTGTTGCGGACCTTCCAGGCATAATCAAGACATAGAGCCACAAAGAGAGCTAGGGAAGCAACCTGGCTTGCAAGGCCGGCAATCATGATGTTTATGCCTGTTTGCGCTAAATCGGCCTGGTCGGCATCCGCTATGGAGGTAATGGCACCACCTGCCGCTTGGAGGATCAGAGATACTACATCGCAAAGGACGAAAACAATGGTGTAAGTTCGAGGGCGACATCGCGAAATCTTCTCCCCATAGATGACCACAATCCTCCCGAGACAGATGTAAATCGAGGCGCTGAAGAACGCCGGGCCAATGGTAAGACAGATTAAATATCTGAGGGTACGTGGTCAGTAACTACATTTCAATGAAGAGAAAAGATCAAATGCGATAGATAGACTTACTCCAAGTAAGGATTGAAACGGAAAGGATTGTAGTGCATCTGCAGGCGGCCGGCATAGCCGATGATCTCGAGTACCAAACCTCCGACCAAGCCCGCAAGATAACCCCAGGTTCGATATCTGATACCCAACCCTAGCTGGGCAACTAGGAGGATCGCGAAAAGGGCCAAATAGAAGGCATTGCCAGGCAGTGATGGCACATAATAGACGTACGCCTCGGTGAGTGGGCAGATGTCCAAAGTGCAGTAATCGGATGGGTCCGTGGAATTGCTCATTATGGTGAATGTGACTTTTCCCTTCGGGCCTTCGTTTATTGCCGTGCAGAAATGGCTCGTTGGGTTCTTTGGTCACTGATTGCTCGTCACTTTAATGGTGACTAGCCCACCTTGATATGGGTTATAAGATAGCAGTCTGAGACGGTCCCAAAATAGATGGACGTGATTTCTTTGTTCCGCAGGAGTGATCAACACTCTGAACTCCATGTCCGTTGGACTTGGCGGTCTCTCTCCGTAGGCCCCGCAGATTGAGCAGACCAGGGTTCCTTGGCGTGCTGGGTCATGATGGTCACCCAATTGTAACGCTTCGTATGGAACATTACCGTTACCGCCGGTCCAAAACGCCCATCGAGCGCTGTCATTGGAGACAGGACGCGGCACGGACCGGGCACACTCTTGGGGCCGCTTGGTGGGGTGGGTTTATTAGGCCAAGCTCCGCCCCCTGCCAAGTAATTCGGGCTTAGTCGGGCCAAGACACGGAGAAATCCTGCGGAGACGGAGACGGACACGGACATCCGTACGGACACGGAGATTCATACGGAGAATCCATCATGGACGTCCAGGTAGAGAAGTTCAGAACGAGGTCAGATTTTAGTTCAAGGTTCGTGGCGCAGCAACTACCCTTGCGTTAAGTTGCCGTCGTGCAGGTACGCAGAGGATGGGGCAGGAAAAAGCCCAAATGCACCGTGTAAACCACGTGTCGTCTTGTTGGCGGTCCAGCCCGGTCGTACGACGGAGAATAAGCTTGTAATTTGAAAGAAACGTACTATTTGGATTTACTGCAACTCGAAAAGCCATCACTCATGCTCTAATTGCCCCACAGTCTTGTCAACAATTCTCCGTCCTTTCTTTCTCATTCTAGCGTAAGCTCCATTTTTTTCTCCTCTCATTCTCTTCGTCATTTTTCCAAGAGTGCCGACAGGATGGCCGCTATTGCTGCGTTCACGAGAATCCGCCGTCACATTCATTACAAGGCCACCAACTGCAAACATTCAACTCCGAATGTGTCATTATCGCCTAAGCTACGCTATGTAGCGTCAAGAGCCACTCGAGGCCCTTTCATCTCTTGTGTTCTACTCTACCTGCTCTTTGTTTCTGTGCTATCCCTTCGCTCCTGGATACAATTTGTTTCAGCCCTACATGCCAACTCATTTACTCCGGACGGTCTCTGTGCAGACTTGAACGCAGGGAACAGAAATTTGGCATCCAGTTCTGGGTCATTTCAATGGGCGCCACCATTTCCGACTACCACGAACGGCTCGTTACAAAATGATTCAGAAGAGATTCCCAGGGTTATTCATCGGATGTGGAGGGATTTGGCGACAGACATCCCCGAGGAATGGACCAATGCCACTCATTCCTGTCAAGAGCAGAATCCTTCCTACGAGCAGTATATCTGGACCGATGCAACGGCGTACCAGTTTATGAGAACCCACTTTGCATGGTTTCTTCAGACTTATACCGAGCATCTACTGCCAGTGCAACGAGTCGATGCTTTGCGATACTTCCTGCTTTGGCATTATGGAGGCATTTATCTAGATCCAGAGATTGGTTGCCAACGGCCGCTGGAGCCACTTTGGAATGAAACCAGTGCACTTTTGCCCCAAGCATGGCCATACGGGGTGAGCCAAAAGCTGGTGGCCAGCAAGCCGAATCATCCTTTCGTTATGAAAGTCGTACTCGTGATTCACGAATACCACCGGTCTGTTCTGCCAGACATCGTGCTAGCCATGCTGAATACAGGCTCCATTCACGTTAGCCGAGTCCTTGGCACGTGGTTTGGCTCTATGAGAGGGAGTCCCGGAATTGCCATTTTACCATCTGATGTTTTTGTTGGTAAAGAGGACGCCTTCTTCATGCTTTACGGCAGATCAGTTCCGCTTGGCGATCAGTTTACCATCTCAGAGCATGTGTTGGAAAATTGGATTGGGTGGTGTGGAGTGATAGTATCGTTCAGTGTGATGGCTTTTGTGATCTTGGGTGTTCAAACGAGCCCCAAGGGTGGCGGTGATCAGTCACGTACCGTCCTTACTGTATGAGTTTTGTACGAATAGAATTTGAAAAATAGTAGCTCACCAAGTCTTCCCTTGATTTCTACAGCTTGGTACACAGAAGGGGGCAATGGTGCAAATACGGATGCTGGAAGATTTAGTTGCTGATAATCTACCCTAACCGCTGCTGCTCAAGTGATGCAGTCGTCTGTGACACCCAATCGACAAAAATATCGTCAATGGATGCATCTGGAAAGAGCCCTGGCCATTGGAATTGAGCGTCGAACCCGTCCAGTGGTGGCTGTGAAGCGTCAAGATAGAGGTTCGCGCCACCCGAAGATGGAGTCATTCCCTCAGCTAATTGAGTCCCCAGCTGAGAAGGCTCATTTTTGCGTCTAGACAGAGCTCTGTTCTCAAACCACCACTGTATACGTTTGAGGCGTTTTTCAAAATGGTAGAAGACATCCCTGTCTCCAGATGCATCCATGTCGGAAGTGATCAGTGTCTGGATGCGGAGAATGCACCGACTCAATAGGTTTGAAATATCCAGCGCACAACACAAGTCAGCCGTATGCGGATGTACTGATCGCTCCATTGCCGTGATTACCAGCTTGCATGCGAATGTGACTGCAAAGCCAAGTTGGACCCATGTCGCATTATTGAATGCCAAGTCGCAGCGTAATGGAAGACAAATATAGAAATCGAGCAAAGTTTTGGCCGCTGTAAGACCCATACGCAATGCCTCAATCTGAAACCCGGAGCCATGGCGTTGCTCCTGTGGAGCTGGCCTGTGGTCGAAGAGGGTGATCTGACATAGGTACAACTCGACAGCATAAAATTGCATGAAAAGAACATCTGAATTGCAACATTAGATTGAGTTCAAATAAAATGATGCATCTCACACAACGCACGATTCTCAGTCAGCGGGAAGGGCAGGTTGGCTCGGTATAGCGCAAGCTCCGTCTTCAACTCTTGATAGTAATGCTCAATGCCTAAGTTCGGATCGTGGATCTCTGGAACAACCGGAGTCGAGAATAGCACAATTCTTTCGGAGATCTTTTGAAGTTGTACAATATGAACAAGATATCGGTCAGACGAGTATTCGGGCTCCGTTGCTAAAAGCATGCCCAAGCTTTCGATATAAGGTGAGTATGGGAAGGAGCATCGCTTTTGTAGTATTTGCGAGATCCTGAGACATGTTAGAGACGCTGACTTCACCATCAAGGGGGTTTGACAACTTGCGTGGATGAAAAATAAAAACAGCCGATGACAGCGCGTTGCTCCTCTCGTCCCCATGATACCGAATTCTTATCATTCTCACCATCAAAGCTGACTATGTGCTTCCAAAATCGATACTCGGGGGCACGGTCAAGTTGCAGGTCAATAATAATACTGATAGCAAGATGCAAATACTGGGAAAACCGACGTGGTCTTGAGTGATACTGGGACCTGTCATCTTTGTCAAAAAAATGAAATCTAGAAGCAGGGGTTCACCTATCGTACCACGCAAGATGAACCAGAATGCCCTGTAGAACCTCAAACGATACTTGGCCATCGAAAATCAAGCACTCTGACATTGCCTTCTTCACTTCTGTCTCTAGTTTGCGCTGCAGAGGCATATTGTCGCACAAGGCAGCGGTCAGAATGGCGAGAAATAGAAACGGCTTTTCGCGACGCAGTTTTTCAGCGGTCATCTGGGGTGGCATCATGACGAAAGGACAGTAGGGCGCGAGAGTAGCCCGGTACTCTTTCAGGAGCGTATCAGCTGCGTGAATCGTAAGGAGACCCTGGTCGATCACATCTTTGCGGAGCCCAGGCGCACTCGCGGGGGCATTCGTGGGAACATCCCCGGGGCTTCCTTCGCTCATGCCGTCGTCGGTCTTCTTGGAACTCGGTCAGGCGGTCAGTAAGCTATATCGGGGCGCAAATCGCCTACCGAGGATTGGAATGATGAATGTGCTAGTAGTTGGTCTAATTTGGCTTCGAGGACATCTATCCTTCTTTGGCAAAGTTAACATGACCGGCTCCTGGAAGGTGAATCGATAGACTAGGCCCACCTATCTTTACTCTCCGATCGGCCTGAAGTGGTATTTACGTTTCGGCCATCGCGATATTGGCAGATCTTACCCAAGCGATCACATCTAGAGCCAGTGATGCAGTGAGCCAGGGATTCGCACATCGTGAGTATGTCTCTTCGATCAACTCACCGGTCGCAACTCCCCGCCGCCCTTTGGCGGACACACCGTATCTTAGCCTTGGCGCAGCTCTGACAGGTTTTGGCAGAGCCATTTGTATACCGGTTTCCCTTCGCGTGATCAGCCATATATAAGAAACTTATTATGGGCAGTGACAAGAAGAAGACAAAGAAATAAGCCAGCTTAACCCCGGGTAGATTAGGCGGTGGGGGGAAAACGCTAGTAGGTATAGAGTATAAAGTGGGGGCCGGACGCGGATCCCGCGAAGAGGCCGTCGCTCTTGCGCTTGAGCAACTTAATCTGGCGGAGCATGATATCGAACCGATCTAACACTACAATTCTCTCTCCATAGTTCCATTGACCTAATAGAAGTCTAGACAGCCTAAGCACCTACGAAGCAAGATTAAGTCTTCGTTACCTGCAGGCTAGGTGATGATTACAGGCACACGGTATGTAAGTAAACCGAAAGCGAGAACGCGAAACCACGACGGAAAATTCATCGTTCCTGCCAGGAAAGTCCCTGCACTTCAATAAGTGGGCCTTTTTGTTTACCCAGCCCAAAAATAGTGGAGGGGTTAGCTAAGAGCTTGTAAGGAGCCATCCCCTACATTTCCATGGGTGGGCTGCAATTCTGTAGGTTGGACCTCACGATGTCTCTTCCCTTTGGCCTTCATTGAGAGTACTCCGTCGGCATGCTACCAGATAATTTCGACAACTCACGCGCGGCATCCCTGAACAAGCCGAACAAGCCGCGTTTCAATGAACATGGGACTACCAAGGGGATATTTTTGATTATTACCTAGGAGGTAGCTAGAAATAAGTACGGCATAAGACCGAGATGGATATAAATAATAGAAATTGTCAGGATTTTGGTGCCTTATCTATGCGTTTATCCAGAGCTTCCAATGCAACATGGAATCACCAAAATTACTGTATCAAGGCTACGCGTGGCTTCACCAACTGTTGCACTCCACGCACTCAAGAAAGAAATTGAAGAAGAAAGTGACAAAATAAGAAGAAGCAAAAACATACAACAGCAGGTATTCGCTAGTGGTCACCCACCTAACTACTAACCTGCCGGCGTGTGGCTTAAGTACGGCTGAGCGGACGGGAAGCCCTGTTCTCCACACCCTATGGTCGTATGTGTAGAGATATTCATTAAAGAAGAATATATTGTACTTGGATATTGGTGAATACTTCTCTTAGTTTCCGCTCAGCTTCAAAAAATATCACGATTCGGACGCTGTGGCCGTCACTCGTGTGGCAAGCACACTGATTTTGGTCCTGATACTGAGACTGAGCTCTTATTCATACCAGAATTTGGGAAGACCTCATCAACTGAAGTTTTCCTGCTCCACAAGATTACTCAACAGCTTTAGCACTTGTTACCATCACTGCAGGACAGGTCACACTTGTAAGTTTCAATTCAATTATCAGCCCTATAAACATCCAGACCCATTAACAAAACATTCAGAATCTGCTGCAAGTAGTCCAGATTCTGCGGCTCTCCATTCGACTACCCCTCCGCAGGCAGGGATACCCCACCCTGAGGCTCTGCTTATTGTTCAAATCACTGCCGGCAGTGAACAATCAGCCATACGAGCCAAACGCCTAGATCGCACTCTCGCCCGTCGAGACCAGCTGTGACATAAGGTAATTCGTCCCCACATCGAAGTTGTCTTGGATCGAGTCCGTGTACTGTCCATTCGGATAGTTCTCGCACGACACCTGAATCATGCCGGGCGTCGGTCCGCCTGCGTTGGCGTTGCAAGACGACTCTTGCATCGCTATCACTCCGAGGATAACGAGGCCAGAGGCTGACAGCCGGTATTGTCTGTCATGCCATTGTCTGTCGTCGAGCTCGACCCGCCAAATTAACGCTTCACTTTGCCAAAAAGTTCGCCAAGGTCGGCAATGTCATTAAGGCCGTCAAGGCCATTGAGACCAGGGATGGATCCCGATCCCAGACCGGGGATCAGACTACCAAGAGCATCCGTGGGAGAGCCGCTCGAGCCTGATCCTGCACCGGGGATGAGGGAAGACAGGCTGCCCAGAGCATCCGCGGGAGAGCCGCTCGAGCCTGATCCTGCACCGGGGATGAGGGAAGACAGGCTGCCAAGAGCATCCGCGGGAGAGCCGCTCGAGCCTGATCCTGCACTCGGTATCAGGGAAGACAGGCTGCCAAGAGCATCCGTGGGAGAGCCGCTCGAGCCTGATCCTGCACTCGGTATCAGGGAAGACAGGCTGCCAAGACTTCCCAGCTGGCGGTTCTTAACGGTGGCCGTAGGTGCCGCCAGGGCAGCTCCGACCAGCGAGAGAAAGACGATGAATTTCATGGTGTTTATGAAAAAATAAAAAAATAAAAAAGGCAAGTACCAGTGCGGAGATCAGATCCCGGGTCGGGAAAATATGAGATGATGGAAATGAATGAATGAAAGGTGAACGAGCGACGGTGTATTAATCTGGGGGGGCCGCATGGCGAAGAAATCACTTCATTTATATTTTCTTAGACCATTTAGATCGACCGAGGCTCAAATTTGGGATTCTACTCGTGAGTCTATTCTGGCTTTAGCGTTGACTGATCCAGTACCTGACAAGGCTGATGAAACAGTCGGCTGTTTTATAGCATGCAAAGTTTGATCAAGTTGTTTATTCGACAAATGAGAGCTTTAAATTGATTTTCGTATCTCCAAAGAGATTATGACTTTTGGTTGTACTAAATAGTAGGTGAATTGCAGTCTTCAGCTAACCTTGACCTTCAGTCCAACGGTTTCTGCTGGCTACAAACTGGAAAGGAATCGCAGCAAAACACATAATCACTAGGTTGAGGAATTTTCAAATGAAACATACCTGAAAATCAGACACAACTCGAAGAAATCTCGATTGGATGTAGGCTTGGATGCAGGCTTGGCTGGGTCGACTCAAAATTAAGTCGTTCGGACCGGATTGGGAAGTTCGACCGATGCCCAGCAAAGAATTTCTGCAGGGCATCGAGAAAACAAGGAGGCAGCCAAATTCCGGCCGCGGCTCAGAGTCAAACAAAAAGTAAATACCAAGGCAGTCTGATATCAGTATCTACTGCATGTAAAATTAGTGATTTTAGAGATAAACTAAAGAGTCAAAGAGAGGCGGTGAAGAACGACGGCAAAAGAAAAACGCTCTTTGAAAATCACGTGTGAAGGGGGTAAAGACCTGGCACTCACCCGCCCCGCGGTTCCAAGATCAGGAACCTCCGCCTGCACCTCCGGGGGTCAGGGGGAGGGTCAGGATCCAACCTCACCGACCCTCCCCCTGACCCTCCAAAGGTCCGACCGACCCGCATAAGATACACTTTACCTATTTAGGACACGTTTTACTATTTTAGGATAGATGACTAAGTGGATTGACACCTTAAATATGACTTTTCCATAGAATCGGTCACGTGGGGGTCCCTGAATGTCAGAACATGTAATACAAGGGCCAAAAAGCGAAAACGGGATCGAGTGCCTTTAGGTAAAACTACAACCAACTCTCCTGCATACTTGCGTTTCGCACTTTGTGCGACCATTAGTGATCAACAATGAAGGTCGAGATGCAGAGAAGCTTTGGGGTCCGCATGAAAAACGCCACCCAACTTCTTAATCAACTCTCACCGCTGGTGAAAGCCGTTGTCCCTTCAAGATGCGATACATTCCATACTACTTGCATGGTTGCGTCCGGAACATGAGCAGTAGAGGCAGCGTCCTGACCTCGGTCAACAGGATGCGCCCCGGCAAATAGTGCTTTCCTCGAACCGAATCTAGTGTATCCACATTACAGCCCAAAGCTGGGTCGAATCCCAACCCTCCAGCCTAGAGATGAAAAAACGTCTGCCGGACAGCCTTTTGGCAGGAATTCTCTATCGACTCTGACGATTATAACATGATGAGTCACTAGGTCTGATAGTCGTTCCTTTTACTCTCAATAGATATGAAAGAGATTTGGGAGTTTTCAAAGAGGCAATTTGATACCAAAAGGTTTTCGGATCTCATGCAAGCGGTCTCTAAATCAGAATGCATCAAGTGGCATACCTAAATCCTTGACTCTGTCTGTCGGTGCGATCTTGCACACCCTGTAATATAGCTTCTCGCTCACTATGATCAAGTGTCTCGCCGCTCTCTGCCAGCCTTCTGTTACGGCGTCTGTTCTCTAAAGTCATATAGATCCACAAAGTTGCCGCAGTTAGGATCGTTACACCGTAGCATACGATAAGCGCGGTAATTGCAGAGAAATATCGCGGTGCTTCTCGGGCAAAGAAAACCTACCAAAGGAAAAGGCATCGTTAGCACAGGAGCTTCGGATAATAGTAATACTCTATCATGGATATTAGGGAGAGGTTGTACTCACATTTGCTCCGCCAATGTTTCCCGCACCAAAAAACAAGAACCACATGCCATTCGCAACAGATCGTTTTGTATGGCCACCGACGTTAGCAGTGAGCAACGTCCAAACTAAGACTATGAGTGCCAGTGCAAGGAGTTGAAGCCAGCTGCAACCAAGGAGCACCCATCGGTGATCTAGGCTCGTGACCCTAATTCCAATCAGGCCGCCCAAAGGGGGAAGACTAATTAAGATTAAGGTCAGGCAGCGGTAATTCCCAAAATACGTGGCCGCAAAGCCACAGATCGGAACCATCACGAATGCGAACCCTCCCAAAGGAAGCTGCAGAAGTGTTGCTATGATCCCTTTCAAATGGAAATACAAGGTCAGTGATTGTCATAATCAAAGCTCAAATTCTTTTGCACTCACCTGGGAAGCCGAAGCCCTTTATCAGACTAGTAGCAAAGTTGCCGATGCCGCCAATTATAATTCCGGCCGTGGCCCCAAGTATGGTCGTACACCACACGTTGAAATCGCAAAGGGCCTCGATTGCCTGCTTCAGCTTAAATTCTTTTGTCTTGATCCCGACCATACTCTTCGATGCCCGCCAAGTAGCAACCACTTTCTCCCGGTGAGATAGAAAACGGGCATTCTTCGGCGTATCCGGAACGACCAAGAGGAAGACTATGCCCCATAAGAAGTTAATCCCACCAATAACGATGAAAATAAGCTGCCATGGATGGATGGCCACATCGTGCACGTGCCCCACGCCGAATCCAAGCAGAGCCCCGACCATTGCGGCAAGGCCATTGAATCCGAGAACAATGCACATCCGAAAGGGGGCCTCGTTCCGTGGATACCACATAGATATGATATTCATGGCACTCGGTGCAATGGCGGCTTCGAACATCCCCAGAATGAATCGGATTGCGAGCATGGATGAATAATTTGTCACCGCAGCATGGCAGCACATAAGCAAGGCCCAGATGAGGATGTTTATTCCAGTGTATTTGCCAATGGGAACTCGTTGAATAATGAGGTTCGTCGGAATGGACCAGAAAAGGAAGCCGAAGTTGAATGTAGATGCGACCTGAATGCGTACCTCAGTGATGAGTCGGTGAATAACTCTAGAGATGCACGATTCCTACCCATGAGTACCTTTGCCCTTCCAGACCTACGTCAGCTATCAACCCATAAGCCGAAGCATAATTCAGTGAAGTTTTGTTCAAGAATTGGAGAGCATGCGTAATGGCAACCTGCAAATCCTTTAGCAATCACATTCCGAGACGTTTCATAAACGCATTTTTTACGTACAATCGGCACGATGATCCAATCAAGCTTCTTCCTCACAGATTCACTCTCCACCATAAGCTCTACTTCGCTGTCTTGATCCGCCTCCAAAAAGAGGTCTGCAGCTATGTCCGACAAATGTATAGCGTTAACTTGATTCAAGCCGTCTTGAGGCGTGGTCTTCCCATCTTGAAATGAGCTATTGGCCGATACCGAGGACCGGACAGGTGGCTTTTGCAATATCATTGTCTGGGTGCAGGCGACTTAACAGGGATGCTCTCAACCACCTTGATGATCCCTACAATTTTCACAAGTCCCGGTTCGTGGATAGAAAGTACGGATACTCTCGGATTGGGAGTTGCGTCTTTAAGATATAAAAGAAGCGCCACAATAGGAGGCTTGGAAAGAGGTAGCAAAATCTGCAAAACGTGCGATATGATTCTCTAATATATAGCGTAATTTCAATTAGCGCGATTCATAGAACCATGTCACTCTTTTCTTTTCGTTTAGACGGCTGAAGGGAGCCGGTTTCTTCGCTGACGGTATGACGTGACAGCATGGGTCCAAAAAAGTACTCTAATTCAACTGATATCCATCTGCGAATTAAATCGATGATTTATGGGTATCAATTAGCCACTTGAGTGGTGTCTTCTCGTTAAGACAGCCATTGAGCTGCCAGAACGCCTGATGCCGTCTCTTCCACAAATACTTACGGGGCGGTTCACCTACCCGACTCCACACTTTTTGAGTACCTTCATAGTTAGCGCCAGAAGAGCAGGTACCAGTATCCGTTATCTCCACTTAAATTAGTTATCCACAAAAATTTGCGAATATGAGTACAGTAATATGAAATCTCCTATTTAACCAACCCTCAAAGCGAACGGCTTGACACTCCCCTCTTTCCTAATTTCGTACTGATTTTTGTGCAACCAATACTCTGTAAAACCGATACCGGGTCCATCTTTCCGGGTGGGTATTCTTAAGTCTGAGTCTTTCCCTGGACGCAGGCGGTGAAAATTTCGACTCAGATTGATGGAATGCCACTATAATCTCTTTTCTACGGCTCAATCATTCAGCGAAGATGAAACATATTTTGATTATCTTGCAATCCGTACGGCGATGATCATACTTCGAGAGATGGTTATTCGGATGAATGTGGCCAGTATTCGCATTTTATATTCCATTGGGAACTTCACGGGTCTCGACGACTCCCACATTTCAAAACTTGTTTTAATTTGATGGTAAATTGTTCAAAGCTTGTTTTCGCTTTTCGAGTCCCCATTGGCCTGTGCAAACGACGCCTCAAGGCTTGTCTGTTCACTGAGGACCTTGGTGTCCAAGCTGACGTGTCTCGGGGAGAATGATATTTCCCGATTATCCGAGATATCCGCGTTATCCCCTAGCGTCACATCCCAACCCACTACATAGTAATTGGCTCGCAATTCCAACGCGGGCTTCCCATTCTGGGCAAAAGTCTGCTTGACGCGCTAGATCGCCGCGATTGATCCTTCAGGCTGGCTCCATACAAAGTAGAGACTATAACGCTGTTGGTGCCTGAAAGTTGTGAATCCATGCCGCATCCCTTGAATGCTAGGATGCTTGAAATCAAAGGAAGAAAGGCCTCATACGGTTAAGAATTGTTGTGAAGGCTCCCCCAAACACAATCACAACTTTTCCTGGAGAGCTAGAAACCTTCCGGTTCTGGCTCGAGTGAGCGTCCAAGGGCCTTTCGAGGAGTTAGTGGAGAAGCGAGAAAATCAAAGCCTGTCACTACTAAGTAAAAGCAACCCTAGAGGTTGTGGGATGTGTGAGCAACAGAGCTTTTACATCACATAAAGAAATAGATTATGTGAAGGGCTGAACCAAGGCTTGATTCAATCTAACCAAACTACATTCATTCCATTAAGAGCTTGGGGAGAAACACAGCAGTCAGTGGTCGGAAACGTTGCTGAAGGCACATACTAGGGTCTCGTACTCTGGTCCGTTAAATTATGGATTAGGTCCAAGGACTCTAAAGAAAGAACAGGTCTGTTACTCTAGCAATTCCGGAATACCCGTTCATTGTAGTCATGATTCTATATTTTCTACGACTAAAGGCAGTTGCCTTAGGGAGGGAGAATAAGTGTACACTGGGACATAACCACAAGTACGCTACAGCAGATTCCTGAAGGCCACTCAAATGTAGTTAAGACTGGCGCTTTCTCCCTCGGCAGCCAAAATCTGCCTTTTAATTCATCATATCAGTCAAATCGGCCCTGTGACGTACGTCGCCATAAGTGTCTTGCAGCAGTCTCTTGGCGGTCAAACTGGTCTGGTTGTGTTGGTGGCATTCTTACCTGAGCGTCTGGCTCCTCGGATAAGACAGCGCACTATGCCAAGGACTTACCCACCAATTCCCCCTCGATGAGACTGTCTTCTCTGTTATGATAATATATGGAACATAGGGAAAACTCATTGCACTAAATCAAAATTAAAATATATTACTTCTTATGACACAAAAAGGTGGTATTAGATGAAGTAATAAAATGCCTTGTCGTTGAGATACAAAGTTATGAAATATCATGTTTACTCAGGTATTTTAGGGTGCGCAGCTTGTTTACTGGCGCAGCTCGCTTGCCGAATACGTTATCATTTCTCTTTATCATTACCATATTCAAGTGATAACCTAGGGGTTTATTCGGTACTAGACATCACAAATAGTGACTTATATTACCTTGCTCACCTACAGACAGTCATAAATCGACTTATCAAAACAATTAGCCTATTGGCCATATCTTACTTATTGCTCCCCGATGACCGCCACTAGACTAGATAGGTAGCAGTCGACCTAGGGGCGGTGACTTAGAGAAGATTCTTATTCGGACCACTTACGTAGTTACCTAACCCTCTTGTATTTTTATTCTCTTAAGAATACTATTTTTAAGCCCAGTATAAAATATAGGCTTAGGATACATACTTATATCGACTGTGTGTGAAAGACTCACATTTGAAAACTTAATGTTTATCTTGGTAGGTAGGCGATTTTATTTACGTCTTCGGCGGTGCGCAGGCGGTCCCTCACCTAGGCCAATGAATGTTTTTCGTCCTTGCGGCTATTCACCACCGTACATAAAGCTATTTATTTGCATATTTTGTATCTCGCCGGGCTACTTTTCAATAGCGGACGGGCCTCTCGCGGCGCCCCATCAATTTTTGCTTCCTTTCCCCACACCTAAAATCTCATTAGGATCCACAGTCAAGCCACGTAGGTAGTTTGTGAATTTGTTCTTATGGACTAAGCTCCAGCGCAAGAAAACCCCTTCAGAGGTCTCTCAAGGCACGCGCATTGATTCACCTCAAATATGGTGTTCAGACCATATATCAAACATATCCACGTCTATAAAACCCATCTCACCACGGATCTCCGTTTGGATGTATACCTATCCACAAGCAACAAAGGGTCAAACACGCCCAAGCCCATTCTCTTGTGGTTTCATGGTGGCTACCTCGTATGTTACCTACACCGGATACCCTAACTTGCTTCCAAAAAGCTTAAGTATCATCATCACCAGGTCACAGGCAGCCGCACCGCCATTCCCAGCTGGCTTCTCAACCACGCCCTTGCTCATGGCTGGACATTAGTATCACCAGACTACAGGGTTTTGCCAGAATGCACCGGTTTCGCGACAACCGAAGATCTAATTTCGGCCTATGAATGGGTCGCAGGTTCCCTCAACCGTCTACACCCGGATTGCAATGGAGACCCTAACCAAATAATTCTTGGTGGGGCCAGTGCCGGGGGTTGGTGCGCCTTGGTCACTGCGCTACACTTTTCGTCCGCATCATCGCAGGAAAAGAACAGGATCCCCCGTCCAAAAGCGCTTTGGCTCCTTTACCCGATGTCGGATATCGGAAACGAGAAATGGGCACAGAGAGTCTCACTCCCTGGAGCGACGGTGGATCTGGCTATAGCGCAAAATTTGCTCCTAGAGGAGATCCCCCGAAGGATTGCGCTGGGGGAGACTAGTGTCGGGGAGGACTTCCCCTCGTCCGAGGAGGAGCTCCAGACGAGGAAACGCTTACCCTTGCTCTACGCTATTCTAGAAAAAGGGGCGTTTCTCGATTACTTGACGGGGATATCTGGGTTCGGGGAGAGACTTGTGAGTGTTGGGTTGGAAAATGCAGTGGAAGATGAACTGGCGAAGAGACTTTTCCCGCTTCATTGGGGCTTGTTTGGTTCTGATTTTCCAGCAACTGTTATTGTGCATGGGACTGCAGATAGGGAAGTTTCTTGTGGCGAAAGTGAGAAGCTGGTCGCGAAGTTGCAAGGAAATGGGGTTAGGGTGCAGTATTATCCCGTCCGTGGAGCTGATCATGTTTTCGACCTGGAGTTGCAGGAATGTCAACAAGAGGGTGGGGAGCACGAGCCAAGTGTTATCCTTGCACGGTCTCTGCAGGCTCTGCAAGGGTACGTCGATAGATAGGATTCTTGCATAAGAATGGCTCGCTAGCATCTTCCTGGGCTGAATCAAGCTTTGCCACCGGAGGAATTGGTTAAAAAAAGAGAGGGTTTGAATATACTCCAGGTGAAACAATGTCCCTGGCCTCCTGTCTGGCACACTAGATCTCACCCATCGCTAGACCATTGATAGGAGACGGCTGCTGTGTATGTAAACGAGCTACGGACCCCGAAACACCTGAGTAAACACGATATTTTATAACTTGACATCTCAACAACAAATGATTATTATTACTACCAGGCGGAGATAAGCATTAGGATTATAGTTTTGAAATACATATTAAATTCAAGATTGTGTTGCATTTGAGCTGTTTGGTGGATTAAGTATTAAATAGTAGTAGGGAGTGAAGTGATGATTGTGAATAGTGCAATATCTGTGATCTTTTGGACTCCTTTATCACTTCAAACCCTGCCTTGACAACGCTATCTCTAGTGTGGGCCAACCGACACGTCATTTAGCTCTTTCTGCCCCCCGCCACAATTTAGACCCCCCTGGTAACTGACTATTGTGGGCTATTTCTTCGATGGGATAGAAAACAACAAGTAGGAGATTCTATGTTTAGTACCTGGCCCGAATGCCTTGGTATATACAACTCCACTAGTACTTGGAATCCTTATAATAGAACCACACTATTCAGGGAATTTAACTATCAAGGTGATATCTAAGGAATTAGGCGCTTGGCATATACAGTAACTACAGAGTGAAGTAAGGAAGATTAAAGTAAATGAAGTGAGGAGACTGACTGTATTCAAATAGGTCGAAATTTTTTAAAATCACAGTATTCTTCCTTCCATTTCACTGGGCCTACTTCTTCAAGCTTGGCACCAAAATCCTCTATCATAGTTCGGTAACCGACTACACAACCATACTCAATAATGTCTGTATAGCTATTCCTATACTCGGCCTTCTTTTCACTCTGCCAAAAATGCGGCCACAACATTAACTGGACTTCCTGGCCATATCGGGATTCTGTTTGGGTGGCCCATAACTGCACAGAAAGACGTGACTGGTCGAGTTCACGATGAGGGATACTAAACCCCATAATTGGTGGGCGTATACCCTTGAGTTGGGAAATTTGGGCCCGTTGGACTTCTGTCATAGGTGCCGAAAAGTAGACCGAAAATAATTGAACGAATGAGGTTGATAAAAAATTAAACCAGTCTTCCCAGCCGTATACTACCTCATAAGAGGCTATAGGCAGTATTCCTCTAGCCGCAAGATTCTCCCAGTAAAGCTGGGCGGAAGGGGAGACTAAAAAGTCCCTTAGAGCCGATGTTGTTTGCCATACTATAGATAGATATAAATTAGTGGACTGATGGTTCGTGCCATTTAGTGTATTACTTACACGTTACTAGGATAACTGTGTTAGGACGCTCCTGGACCTTTGCCCACACAGAGCCTCTGTGGGCTGGATGCTGAACCACCGGTTGGAAATGTTGAGCCCATTGGGTAGTATCAAGCTCCTCGCTAGGTGGACTAAGAGTTCTGTCCAAATAATGATTCTAGGATCGTCGGGCTCGTTTCCAAATTTCGGCGGGCAAGGAAGTGGCATGATAGAAGATTTTTGGGATGAAATGGAGATGTGAAGGATCAGTAATTTTCGGGGACCAGCTGACTGGGACCCAGAAAAAGTTGGCTGGGATCCAGAGAAATCATGACTAATCCTGAGTCCCACTCAACTCCCGGACCTGGCTGGACTCGGGATTTTATATTACATTCCGAATATGAGGACCTGTGAAAAGGAGGCCGAAAATGACAGCCTTTGACGCCAGAAACGGCTGCCTTTCCACCTGTAACTTTGGAGGGCGAGCGAGCGCTTCACCGCCCGCCGTCCGGCACCATCACTATTTTGCACCCACCTAGCACCGTTAGTCATCACCAACCCGGCCCCTGTGTTTAGCGCTCGATTCCCTTAGCTTCCAACAGCGCCCAAAACGACGCCGAAAATGGCTCCCCTCCGCAGTGCCATCCAGGTGCCCTCCATCGTCGCCCTGCCCGGCGGGGCGCTTATAAGATGCTCCTTCTCTTCCCTCCCTCGATCTCCTCACAATTCTCCAGTTCTCTTCTCGTCTCCTACCCCTCACCTCCAAGCCGGCCTAGCCAACCTTGCTGCGTGTGTCTCCAGATTCGACCCCTGCTCACTTACCTTGGATTTCCGAAATGGCAAGTCCACTCGTTCGATCGGCTCAGAGTGAGGAGCACGAGTACTGGACCAATCCCATCCTTTGCGAGGAGACTTGAGCCAGGCTCGAACAGTTCCGCAGCGCCGGATGGCTACCTCCAAATTTCAAACCCAACACCTTGAAAGATATCGCCGTCGTAGAGCGCTACTGGCGAAAGTGAGTGCGGATATTCTCCAGATAAGGCGTTGTGGGTAGCGAATAACCTCTGAGAATAATAGGTTTTGCATTCAGTCGAATGAAGACTACGTGGACTACCTTCTTCGAGAGGACCAAGCGATCTATATGAATTTTTTCGACTGGATGTTCAGAACATCACGAAAGAAGGGACTCCAGACTTACGATGAGTACTGGCGCCGCCTTTGTCAGTACTTCGAGCTGTTTTCCCGTCTCCGCGTCGGCGATAACGCCCATAAACAGATGAGACGGGTACGAGCATTCCTCTTGTGCTAAGGAACAACTGTATGCACTTAAGCTTAAAAAGACACCATGAAGCAAGGAACAAAGTAGGTCGACCACATTCTTAGTATGGCTAGCAATAGAGGCAATTCACTATAGACCCAACTCAGTGCTTCGGTATAGTGAGATGAGCCATGATTGGTACACAATTTCCAATCCTGCTGTCTTGGGATACTCACTTTCTCAAGATGGGCCACGATTCTCTGAATCCCACAGTCTGCCGTATCCTGAGATCTCGAATTGCCCAAGAATGGAATCTCGATAGTTGCAAAGAACAGAAGAACCATGACCTGTCGCGGGAAACGACGTATCCTGCGGTGCGGGGGTTCATCGCGCCCATTGAAACCGTGGCCTATCGCAGGAAGCCGTCCGTCTGGAGAAACGAGTTGTCTTGGGAGATAGAAAACCGTGGCCTTTCGTAGGAAATCGCTCGCCCGGAGATATCAGTTGTCTTAGGATAGGGAAAACTGTGGCCTGTCGCAAGAAATCGCTCATCTAAAAAATTGTGCCGCGTTCATTGGGAGTCCTGCCATTGCTTGAGCTGGAAGTTAGCGTGCGTGCGAAAAAGAGTCGGCCTGCATCATCGTCATTCGCGCGCGGGTAGAGGAAACCAATGATTGGTCAGTGCTTTTGCTCAAGTATGTCAGAAGAACCACCTACATGAGCGTCCATCAATAGTCCCACCATAAGCTTTTTTGACCACCGCGAAATTCGACAGGGGCAGAAGACAAACAGACTCTTTTCACGGTGACCAGAGAATGCCTTCTTTTTTTCTAGGTAAATTATGCGGAACATATGGATGAACTTGAGTAAACCTACACATATAGGAAATCCTTATGTGTGTACTTGCACGATCCGGAAACCCAAGATTTTTATTATTGTGCATTGCTCTATATGTACAGCTCAATAAGTGAAAGCCCTATCTATGTGAGCAAAAATAATCCGGTCAATTCAAGCCCAGTTTTTCATTTCTTGCGACTCAAGTAAGATACAGTATAAGTGGAAAGCAAAAAAATAATAATCAAAACGACTAAAATGATTTGAGCTTCTTTGCTCTTTTGAGTGCGAAAAAGTTGATCATAGTCCTTGTGAAAGTCATATTGATGCCCTTTTATCTTTGAGGGTATGAGATTTGTCCTTCAACCGCCAGATCTTCACCGGGCTCCACAGATCTCCACCTGCGCTGCTGGCCCACCCTTACCCGACCTTCAAAACCGCTCAAAGTGGTTCATCAAAGAGTTGCGTCTAGAAACTCGTTTTATTCCTTTCAACTGGCCTTGGATAGTAAGAGCCCTGAAAGAGTCAGATAACTTGTTATCTCCCATTTCCACCTGCACTTACTAATTGAGAGCTCAGGAACGACCAGAACGCAGAGGTGTCCGCGGAAAATATGAAAACTTTCCCTGACTCTCGAATGCGTATGCCCAAGCAGACATCCGCCCCGCACATTTTGCTATACTCTCGCGCCTTTTTCTCCAGGCATAACTTGCGCCGGTCTCTTTTCGTGTGCTACGCACAAATTGGAAAGCACATTGAGTTGTAAAAGGTCAAGGGTATTTGGTCCGTCAGAACCCTGGCAGCAGAAGATGAGAGGTCTCAAGCGTTGAGAGTTAAAGAGCAAACAAGAGTCGGCTCCAAGTTTTCGGCAGTTTTCAGTGAGTAGCTGGTGAGAACTCCGGTAATTCTATTGATAGTCAATACTTTGAATCAACCAGGTTGAATGCATAAATCACCGCTTACCAAAAATGTTCCCATGAGCCTTGAAAATCAAGCCATGATTTTGACCAGTCCGTTTGTTATAGCTGATCTTCTGATGGAGACCTGTGCTTCCAGAGCCATTTGGCTACGGGAGCTTGACAGCACTCGAGGAGTTTCGTGTCATGGACACCAGAAGCGAGCACCAGACAACATCATTCGTTGCCAATAGCCGAGTCAATTACAACAGTTACGATCGACCCTTTTCTTCAGCGCTTTCCGCGAATTTTTCTGATCTCTTCCCTCGTCGGTTGCTGTTCGCTTCCCATTGGAGCGAAGTAGAAATATCGGCTCGCGACATCCTCGTTATTGTACGTCCGTCGCAATTCGCGCTCACGAGCCCGTACTTTTTTGTGGTATCTCCTGCTAGCGCGTTTGCGTCTCCAGTTTGTAGATGCGTTGCCAGCAAAAAAGTCCCTGATCCACTGGAACATGATAAGAGTGTGTTTTGTTCGAGGTCCTGTTGGTCTTGTTTTGGGGTATGCGCTCTGGATATATGGTGTTGTTCAAATTGTTTTCAAGCTGTCGTGTGCTTTCACTGAGTGCCCTGAGAGCAGACACTCCATCGCTAATCTACACAGCCACCTCATGGAGAAGTTTGCAATGAATGATGTAGAAGGCCTGTTCTCCTAAGTGGACCCGCTACTCGTACCTACCATCAATAGAAATTTGTTGCCCCAAGAAACACTACTAGAACTGGGGCATCGTACACAAACTAAGTTTTCTTCACCGATGGCTTATTGCCCGACTTCCCCACCATACATTTCGACACCGCCGAATAACAGCCAATTCGATCTGCCACTGTTGCGCACTCCAGTCAGAAAGGGTTGCGATATGGGAGGCCTTGGTGCCTCAGGCCTTCAACATGGGATATCACCCCACGCGCCTTTTTCTCTGAAAAGATGGGCGGAAGGAAGAATACATTTTACGGATGATCACACATTTTCAATGTTTATATGATACTCACTATCTAGTACTATGTACATAACAATCATCAAGGACACATGCATCAAATCAATTGTATGGCCATTTGGATTTCTCAAGTCGGGTAATGGCCCAGGAAGTTGGCTCCCGCCAAGAGCTTGGGTACAATTTGTTAGCATTGACGTAATGGAAATCCTGCCAAATTTCTTTGAGTGAGAAACCATCAGACATGAATTCGTAGAAACGGTAAAAGATCTGGGTGATGCTGATTTTGAGGCGGCCATCATAGCCATCCTCATCTGGCCCCGACAGAGGCCAGTCCGGATCAATTGCCCATATCCATCCATAGTACATATCTGGGCCATATGTGCCACAAGCTGAATGAGCCTCGTCTGTCAACAAGAAGAACACATTTTTGAGAACACCGGGCTTTAAGTCACCCCTCTAGCGGCGATCACGAAAGTCTCTGGCTGATTGTTAGCAATGTCTTTAATATTATGTAGGAAAACTCACTGCTGTAAATGGCCGATGTCACTCTCATCGGCCTCGAATGGGACAAATTGAGCGAATTTGTGATCGTGTATCTCTTCATATCCCTTAAAAAAGAAAGACATCTCAAGGACCTCGGTAAATAGCGCCTTAAACTCATCCAGTCTGGCCATTCCTTTCTGATGATAAAAGACATAGCCCCAGCTCTTATCATCTTCTCGAACGACAATCCTTCGCACCCAGTCTTGCAGATCTGGGAATGGTTCTTTTTTTCGCTTTTCATGCCTTGCCTCCAAGTCATCATATTGTTTCTGAGAAAATACCTCATTCACAGCTTGAACGGCCTGAAGCTCTATTGGTGGAAGAGCTGCTTCTTGTGCCTGTTTCAGCTTATCGTAAAGATCAGGACGCATCTGCGGCCACGCGAATCGATCACCCTTGTCAAGAGTTGGCGTAATGCGGAAATGATCGCGAATCAGACGACATTCCGCGTATGTGAGGGATTGACGGTCCGTAGCTGCCTTTTGAAGCAAGTTTTCAAGTGACATACCCAAGTATTTGGTTGAGTTGGCCTGCATCTCTTCTAAAGGCGGCCATTGCATCAGCTGGTGTTTTTCATCAGGCGAAATATCCGCTGGATGCTGGATTGCTTTGTCCCAGAGAGGCTCTAATTGAGCAAACTCTTCTAGTGTTTTGGCCATGGTGGGCAGAAAGGGGTAGCTTTGCCAACGTCTCCAAGGTTGTTGTACACGTCCACGGCTGGATTTCCGAGGTTGATCCTATGAAACCAAAGCGTGGAATATATGCGGATGCGACCGGTCTTTATACCCATGCATGGTTTTCAAGCTATTGGCCCTAGTACAACCTTGGAATACGCGACAAACGCAGGTCTCACAGGGTCCACGGGCGTTTTTGCGGAAACACCAAGGTTTCCGAAAAATACACAGGAGGGTAATTTACATGAATCTTTACACAACCCGCACGGGACGTATTATATCCGCAGTTCACACTACGACATACTATCTGCAGTTTATCTCAGAGGTTCAACCTTGGAAGCTTAGAATTATCAATGATTCTTCCGTCAGTAGCAGTCGAAAATACTTTGGGATGGTCTCCTTTATATCATCGGTGCTACTGTTTAGAGAACGGTCCCGAGTCCAGCCTTGAAAGAGCCGATGGGGTATTAATGAGCCGGAAGACAGGAAACGACGTGAAATAAACCCGTGGGTGGACATTAATTCCGAAAAATCCTATCATCCACCTCCGTTTGCGCCCAAGGGGAGAGTGTTTCTATCAGTAAAAAGGCACAAAGCTCGTCCTTGGACGACAATTTCTTTTCACCCAACCGTCGAGTACAGCCCGCAGGATGAAGCTCTCCAGCAGTGATGAGACCGAACGGACTCGTGTTGAAGTCAACCTGAACATGGATGAGGAGGCGGCCAAGTTGCCGTTGCATCAACTGCAGGATGATGTGGTCGACTGGGATGGCCCAGATGACCCCAAGAACCCTCTCAACTAGCCTGCCACCAAGAGCTTTGGTCATGTCGTGATTGTGGCCGTCTTGTCGATGGTCGTGTAAGTGGGCCCCCAAGGAGAGACAAAACCACCGACCATGCTAACCAAGGTCCTAGCAACATCGCCTCGACCATGGTCGCTCCGGCGATGGGGGGCGTCGCCAGGGACCTGGAGATCACTAACACGACCCTGGCAACCTGGCCGTCAGTATCTATCTGCTGGGGTTTGCATTGGGCCCCCTCGTCACCTCCTCGCTCTCCGAGATGTACGGGCGCCTCGTCGTCTATCACACCTGCAATTTCATCTTCATCATTTTTGTTGTCGCCTGCGCCTGAGTCACACCCCCGCTCAATTTGTGATTTTCCGGTTCATAACTGGCTGTGCGGGAGCGGCGCCACTTTCCCTTGGCGGCGGAACGATCGCCGATGTCATTCCGATCGAGAAACGTGGTGCGGCAGCGGCGTTGTCTGGCCTGGGCCCACTTCTGGCACCGGTATGTCACTTTCACCCACTAGTTAATTAAACTATGCTTACCGATCTAGGTTCTAGGACCGGTGATTGGGGGCTTCGTTGCCGAAGAAAAGGACTGGCGATGGACCTTTTGGGTGGTCGCGATCCTCGTAAGTGGCCTTGTTCTCGGCTGGTATCCCACAATTCTAACACTATGACAGGGAGGAGCAGCGGCTACGGGGACGCTCGTTTTCATGCGCGAAACACATCCCAACACCCTGTTGGAACGGAAGGCCGCACACTTGCGACGCACAACCGGGAACCCTCACGTCCGATCGAAACTCGATCGAGGCCTCACAAGGCAGCAGATCATTGTCGCCGCTCTCATACGCCCCACAAACTCTTGATGTTCTCGCCGATCGTGCTCGTAATGTCCATCTACGTGGCTCTTATCTTCGGCATTCTATACCTTCTCTTTGCCACCTTTAGCATGGTGTTCGAAGGCCAGTACGGATTCAGCACCGGCATTTCTGGTCTGGCCTACCTAGGCCTCGGAATTGGCGAACTGGCGGGGCTATTTACATTTGGCATCCTGAGCGATCAGATTTTGAAGGCGAAAATGGCAGCGGACAATGTCCAGGAACCTAAGCCCGAGTACCGGCTGATTCTGATGATGTGGTTCCCGCCAGTCATTGGACTTGGGTTGTTCATTTACGGTTGGACGGCATATTATCAGGTGCATTGGATAGTTCCGATCCTTGGGACGTTAATCGTTGGGTTTGGGGCCTTCTTCGTGGTCATGCCCTCCCAGCTATACCTGGTGGATCTGTTCGGGTCAGAAGCGGCGGCATCTGCGCTAGGGGCCAACATTCTCCTTCGCTCGATGTTCGGGGCCTTTTTGCCGCTTGCTGGGTCGCATATGTATTCGACGCTCAACTACGGATGGGGTAATACGCTGTTAGGATTCCTAGCATTGGCATTTGCGCCCGTGCCGATTCTGTTTTATCGGTATGGAGAATGGCTGCGGAGTCGGACGACACTCAAGCTGTGAATGCTCTGCTAGATATTTATAGACTACACAAATCCGTTACCTAACGATAGGATTGGTTATTTTGTCCTCGTAACAAGAAGAAACAAGAAACCTAGGTACCTGGATATAAGTAATCCGATCCTGTGTCTGAACTAATTCGTTATAACCAACCAGAGCTTATTGTACGCAGTAGTCGATTTGGTGGCTTCTATTTGGTTTCCCTGTTTTCCTGTCCAAAGTGACTCAAAAGTCGAAACAATCGCACGCATTATTCCGCCCCTTTTTATCCCAGCCAAGCGTTCCAAAGCACCCAATCATATTCTAGGAATAGCATTACGCCTTCTTCCGCATATAGTTCGGGCCGCCTGCATGGCATGACAACGGTCCCTGGTCATTGGTTGCGCGTGCGAGCTTTATTGGCCCGAATACCACGCATCCAGATGGGTATCTTGCGTGAGACACCTCCAATCGGGATTTGAGATACTTCACTTCGCCTGTCGGAGTGATGTGGTACCTGGCGGACTTTTGAGCCGCAGGGAACCTAAGCCGTCCGCCCCAATATCGATACCGTTAGACTATGGGTCTGCATTAGCGAAATTTATCGGGGCTTTAGCGCTGCGATTTTCCAAGGCTCTGGTTGCATTCAACGCATATTTGGAGACTCAATATGGCACGAAAGCATTCTCTATTGCCTGATCAGTCCATTTTCTACTTTGTGCAGTACAGCGAAGAAGATCGGTATCATCGAGAATCTATGAATGCTTTTAGTATCGACATTGGACGTTGGGATTATTTCTAGATCCGTTTGGAAGATCTGCATGCGCATGCACAGAATGAAGTGAGGGGATTCCAAGCCTTGACAGTCCGCACACCAAGCCATAAGATTCCGTCGGTAAATTGATGCCCACAAGCACAAAGCGCTGAAGACCGATGATGTAATCGCACGAGACAAAATCTTTGGGGATTGAAAAGCCCAAGTTCTGGGCGTGGCGTCTTCAAAGTCCATGTCATCGCGGTTAATTCACTGATCTCTCAGCCCCTTGCTCTCCAGTAGCCATCGTCAGATGGTTTCCTGGATTCAGACTTCCCTCGGTCTGACATTCCCAACTATCACTGACTAGCTCCAACGAGGTGAAGACGTGGCACCTAAAGGAACATCGACATACCTCGTACTAGAGCTTTACCCTGGGTTTATGCGTGCTGACATGTCACCAGGTGGGGTTCCCCAGAATTTCAAGGCGTTCCACTTCGACTTCTCCATTTCTTCCCTCGAACCCCGTGGTTGGAAGAAGATAGAATCAAAATGTCATCAACTGATCAAGAAAAAGACCTAAAAATCCTCAAAGAATGGTTCCCCTATACGACGAGGCCGTTCATCGCTAATGCGCCTATGATCGGATTTGCCGATTTCCGCTTAGCAACAGCAGTGACGAAAGCCGGAGGTCTAGGTACGTCGACATGCTTGTTCTCTTCCTTAGGAAATGTACTTTTTCTAATCCAGTCCAGGATTCATCGGCGGAGCATTTAACTTCAGTGCCGAATCAGCTCAACTCGCAAAGCTAGACGGCGAATTGACTAAAGCGCGAAGTGAGCTAGGAATCACTGATTCCGGTACTTTACCGATTGGCGTGGGCTTCATCACCTTCACGCCGACGGGGTTCGAAGAGAACGTTGTTCCCCTGCTGGAGAAGCATCGGGTGTCTGCTGTATGGCTGTCCTTTCCACAGTCGGATGACGACCATGGGCCTCTCATCAGTGCTATTCGTGATGCACAAACGAGAACTGAATGGTCGGTTAAAGTCTTTGTGCAGGTTGGAACTGTGCAAGGTGCTGCGACGGCTGCGGAACAAGGTGCGGATGTAATCGTTGTGCAGGGGATTGATGCTGGAGGTCATCAGTGGGCGAGGGGTGCTAGTCTTATGTCGCTTCTGCCTGATGTGAGAGGGAGCTTGGGAAATGTTTATAAGGTCGCTATCTTGGCGGCTGGTGGTATTGTTGATGGGAGGGGATGTGTTGCTGCTTTGGGACTTGGTGGGTGATGCAATTCGTCTTGATATGATTGATGGCGATGTGCTAACTTGAATAGGAGCCGATGGGGTTGTTATGGGGACTAGGGTAAGTTGTTCAAGGACCTGTTTTGTGTGAAAAGGTCCTAATAGATCACAGTTCGTTGCAACTGAGGAGTGTCCAGCTCCACCCCATATCAAAAACTCGATAGTGAAAGCCCAGGATGGCGCTTTCTCGACCGTCAAGTCTGTCCAACATGATGTCTTCCAATCTACCGATGTGTTCCCAAGGCAATATGATGGAAGGGCTCTGATTGGGATCAGTTGGACTGAATCACAGAGCGGAGTCAGTGATGATGAAGTCATTCGGCGATATAAGGAGGCTATCAAGCAAGGAGAGGATCATCGACGAACCGTCTGGGCGTGAGTGTCCCTCTCCTGCCTACTAGCCATGACGTTATTTTAACGGTGTTCTCCAGTGGCGCAAGTGTCGGGTCGATTTCTTCGATACTTTCTGTGAGTGACTTGATTAAACAGATTCAACAGGAGGCAAAGGTGGCTACAGCAAGCATCATAGGGTCTATATAGTATCGTGGTTATCATCCTCAGACCACCCTCACCATTCGATCACTCTCGTTTCCCTTGGACCATACGTGAACTAGCGGCAACTAGGCCAGAATGCACCAGAGCTTAGCAGTGATTAGTGTAGCTTTGATTTTTAAATCCCTTCCTAGGTATCTCTTCGATCGTCTTTCTAGGTATCTTTAAAATTCCTTCAAGTCCTTCTCAGGATGTCTGTAAATGGGTCTTCAAATGAGAACTTTGAGGACTGAAGTTGGGAAAGGTTTCATAACGGCAGTTGGACAAAGGTTAGTCGATTCTAAGGCATAGAGAAGTTCACTTTGAAAGGCGCTCTCAACGCTCGAAGTGGCTTTCATATTGCTCATGAAAGCATTTTTGGGGATTTAAAGTGTATACATTCAGCCCTGTGATGTTTCAAACGTTAGAAGTTAGTTATCACAAGTTAGTTGCTAAGTTATCGGCTACGTTATATATCTCCGCAGTTAGATGCACCCAATCACTACCTAGGTAGAAAGATCAAGTAAAATAGCACAGGATACATACGGGCATAGAACTGGATTCAATTAACAGCCTTGAAGCAGTACAAAAACACTAAATCTGGTCGAGGTTGAGAACATGGACTGCGGAAGCCCATTTGCGAAGGACCCCCCCCCCCCCCCCCCCTCTTTACCCCATTTTCAGAACTTCACATTTCAGAACTCGGAGCTCCTCTTCTCCTCGACACCGCGCCCCTCATTTTTGAACCACTGCTCAACCCCGCTCGAATCGGGGTATTCACAATTCACCGATTCTTCTGGTCCTCAGCTCCCAAGCTGAGGTCTTGGTGTTCCATTCCGACCCCCCGGCCGCGTTTCATTCCGCGACACTGGATTATCCGTCCGCGTCTGCAACAGACACCAGGTCTCGCAACCCCATTTTTCCGACCTTACATTCATTCCTCTCCGACCTCCGATCACCCTGACCTACCTTACGCGACTCCATTAGAGGAGCAAGCCGAGCCGATGAACGAGAGTACTCCTTCGCCCAGCCCGGCGCCCGTGCCGAAAGCTTCCTCTCACACGAAACCGTCTCCTTCACCCAGTGCAGGGACGAAACGCAAGCGCACTACGGGCGCCAAGTACTATGCCGTCAAGAATGGGTTCAAGCCGGGGCTCTACTATTCGTGGAATGACTGCCTGGCCCAAATAACGGGATTCAAGGGAGCTATCTGTGAGTTTCCTCTCGCGGATTTCCGGCGCATCCCGGTGCCCTTCTTTCCACGTTGAAACTAACACAGGCGCGTTGCATAGTCCAATCATTCCCTTCATTCGAAGAAGCGAACGCGTTTCTGAACGGTGTCAAGCTTCCGTCCAGCGGTTCTTCCGCAATCGAGAACACTAGATTTTACGGGATACAACGAGGTCGAGTCCCCGGTGTGTATACGGACTGGTCGAAGGCTCAGGAGCAGATCCGCGGGTTTACACGGCCGCGATATCGGAAGTTTTCGACTCGGGAAGAGGCAGAGGATTTCGTGAAATCAGGAGGAGAAAAGCCACCACCTGCGGTCGGATTTGGCGAGGCTCAGACAACTGTTGTGACTCCTGGCATGATGAAGGAGAACGCAAAGAATGCAGACGGTGTTGAATTCGTCGCAGGCGACGGTCCCCTACCACCTGGAGCGGAGGATGGCTTTGACCCTAATCTGTTGTTAAACCCGGCTACCGGCAAGGTGATGTACAAGACAACCCAACAAAAGACTGCGACGAAGACACAAGCCGCAGGCATTCCGGGAGTATTGCGGATATACACGGACGGCAGTTCACTGCGCAACGGTACCAAATTGGCGTCCGCCGGGGTGGGTGTATACTTCGGACCCGGAGACTCCAGGTTTGTTTTGAGTCGTTCCTTATTTGAAGGGAGTGCTTCTGACTGACATCGGTCATCCCAGCAGGAACGTCTCGGAACCATTGAAGGGCTCCCGCCAAACCAACCAGCGCGCAGAGCTGACTGCAATTCTTCGAGCTATTGATATTGCGCCTCGTCATCGTGATATAACGATAATCACCGACAGCCGGTACGCAATCGACTGCGTGACAGTATGGTTCATCAACTGGCGCCGCAATGACTGGATGACCAAGGACAAGAAACCGGTGGAGAACCGCGACCTGATCGAGTCGATCCTGGTGAAGATCGAGGAGCGCCACGAACTCAAGGTCAAGACTCAGTTTGAATGGATCAAGGGACATAACAAAGACCCGGGCAACGAGGCCGCGGACCGGCTGGCGGTTAATGGAGCCCAGCGGGGCGTGCAGGAGAAGGCGGACTCGTTGGAAACCGGTCTGACTGTTCCCGATGAGGTCTTGCAGGATGAGGTTTAAGCATATTATGTTATGATAGTCACGAAACAAGGACACGATGGACCCTGCTCTGTATATTGCTATGTAACAGAAGCGGAGATGACAAAGTCCGTACCTGATGCCAAGCCCCACGCGACGACCCTCCGCAAATCGCTAAAGATCGACCCCTCCTCGTAAATACCCGCAATCGGCCGCAAATTCTTGCTCTTCACACTCTCTCGCTCTTCTGCTCTCCAGATACCTAGGTATCTACTGAGATCTCTTCTTTCTGCATCGCAGCAACCGTGGCTTCGCCTCTGTGGCAGTTTCTCCCAACTTCACGCATGGTCGCCTCGCATTTCGCCCAGGTCCTCAGTATTATGATTCGATAACATTTGCTTGCTCTTTTCTCCGGTTAAATTTCTTATACGGACCGTTTTGATCTCTCCGATCAGTGTCGACTCACCTCCGATCGAATCTTTGGTCGATTCAACTTGAGCGAGTCACTCATCCGACCCCGGCACCCAGCCCAGAGGTACCCGCGTGTGGCACCTGCAAGATGCCGACGCTAGCGCTGAATAACTTCAACATTGTCTGCGCGACGCTCGGAACCTTTGTGTCCCTCTTCGGACTAGTCTCCTATCTATGCAAGGAGCGATTTTACCTCTCCGAAGCATGTAAGTGGTTTCGATGCACTCTCAGCCCTACGGATTCTGACCCCACTTAGTAATCTCGCTCCTTGCCGGAGTCGCATTCTCCCCTCATGCGGCCAATTTTATCAGGCCCGAGGACTATGCCCTGCATAACGACTTGAATCTCGAGGCTATTACCCTGAACTTCACCCGTCTGGTTCTGGGTGTGCAGCTGGTTTTGGCCGGAGTTCAACTTCCCAAGCGGTATCTCCACATCGAATGGCGAAGCCTGTCGCTGTTGTTGGGACCGGGGATGGCTGCCATGTGGATGTGCAGTAGTCTGATCATCTGGGCGATGATCCCCAACTTCAGATTCCTCCATGCTCTGGTTGTCGCCGCCTGCGTGACCCCGACTGATCCGGTGCTGTCTAACTCCATTGTGAAGGGCAAATTTGCGGACAAGCATGTCCCGCGTCCGCTGCAGCGCATTATTGTCGCGGAATCTGGTGCTAATGATGGCCTTGGATATCCGTTCCTTTTCTTTGGTATTTACGTCCTCAAGTACACTGGGATGGGTGGCCAGGGATTCAGTGGCGGTGCTGGCAAAGCGATGGCGATGTGGTTTGTGGAAACGTGGGTGTATACCATCATTTTGAGTGTTATTTATGGTGCGGTGGTCGGCTGGCTGTCGAGGAAGCTGCTTCACTGGGCGGAGGAAAAACACTATGTGGATCGGGAGAGTTTCCTGGTTTTTGCTATTGCTCTTTCGGTGAGTTTTTTACCGGGAATTGAACGCGGAACTTTGACTGATTGGAATATAGTTGTTTATCGTGGGTACCTGCGGCCTTATCGGCACTGATGACCTTCTGGCATGCTTCATTGCAGGCAATGTGTTTACCCAAGAGTGAGTCTATTCCAGGAACCGAGAGACACTAAATCTGACGATTGCAGCGATTGGTTCCGCCTCGAGACAATGGATGATTCGCTTCAACCAACAATCGATATGCTTCTCAACTTGGCAGTATTCATGTGGTTTGGCGCAGTCTGCCCATGGTCATCTTTCCTTCACAACGACATCATTCCCATCTACCGACTCATCTTCCTGGGTATCCTTATTCTTTTGGTTCGCCGCATGCCAATCATCTTCGCCATGCACAAGTACATCCATCAAATCGAGCATTTCCAGCAGGCTGCATTCGTGGGCTTCTTCGGCCCCATCGGCGTCGGCGCTATCTTCTACCTCTCGGTCAGCCGAGAATTCCTACGAGAAATCACAGTCGACGGCCAAGTGCGAGCGGACGCACAGCAGGTGATGGACGCAGTGAACATCGTGGTGTGGTTCCTGGTAGTCTGCAGTATCGTGAGTATCCCAATGGATCCCAACACACCTCAACTCTAACATCCAACCTAGGTTGTGCACGGCATGTCAGTCCCCATCGGCAAAGCCGGCTACCACCTCCCGCGCACCATTTCCAGCGCCATCAGCACCAGCATCGGCAATGAGCCGGAATCAGTACCCATCTCGAATGTCCGTCACACCCACAGTACCGCGACGCCTCAAGACAATGGAACATCATCCAATTATCGTTCTCGCAAGCGCGGTGCACGCGAATCACCGCGCCCGCCGCTGTTCCGCATCGGTCGCAGTATTATTCGTCCTCGGTCTCCTTCGGATCAGCCTGGTGTGGGACAGACCGATGAACCGGAGAGACCGGTCAATGTGGTTACCCATGACCATGTTATTGGTACCCCCAATCAAGACCACCAGGGCTCCAGAACTCCTGTCTGAGATGACAGGCCTTGGATAGAATAGCCAAGTACGTACTCTGGCTCTGGGGTATTTTACCTCCTTTGAATCCTCGCAAGGGATTTGAGTTTTTCGTGTTTTAGTTTTGGTGGCATTTAAGGCATGAAGTATATGAAGCATATGAAGCATGTGGCATACGAGATTGAAGTGGAGGAAGTCGGTTATCGGTATAGTCTGTATATACTTGGGTAGACGTACATTTTATCTCCATGAATATAAAGGACAGCATTCCAGTCCACAAATCTGCAAGTTGCAAGAAGTAACTGGATACCATAAGAAGATTTACTTCTACTACTAAGCAATCCAAACGCGAAACGCCCATGCATTCATACAAATACCAACCACGAAAGCAGAAGGTACAAAACTAAATGAATCGAGGCTTCCAAGGTAAAGACCAAGAGCCCTTCAGACCCAAAAATATCCATACACACAAGCAAAAACTTTCACCTAGTTCCTTGGGCAAGCAATTAACAAGGCACTGGAGCCGACAACCCGACGAAAACAGATCATTCCTCAGTCACGTGATAGATATCACTCGGGGGCGATAATTTGAAATCCAGATTCGGGCCAAAACAATAGCAATGCATATTCCATAAAGGCATTTCGTTCCCCACCTAGGGGTTCTCCACCTTTTCGGGTTTTACCTAGAGTCATGGGGATATCATTACATGTCATGCAGAAAGACAAAACGATGACTCCGAGTGCGCGCAATGATAAGGTCGTAAGAAATGCAAACAGAGCAAAAGAAAGGCTTAAGCGTTCATTCCGCGCGCACGACGGGTAAGCGGGATGATCATGCGGAGAAGAGGGTCCTGCGGGTTGCGGCTGACGACATCCATGTACAAGTCGTTCAGGCGCTCGCTCAACATCTGCATAATGCGAGGGGTGACGTCACGCATTTCGGGGTCCTAAGGATATCATAGTTAGTGAAATGTTAGATAGTAATAGGGATATGAGTAGTAACATACGGCAAAGTTCATGCTGTTGAATATCACATTGACCCAGTTGAGACGCTGGGGGGTATTTGTCTGTAGAGATGAGGTGACAGCCACACCCACGGAGAGGATCAGCATAGCAGACAGGCGGGTGAGATAATCTGGTCTCAAGTGGACAAAAACGTGATCGAATAGATCAGCCTGCTGGCTCGACTGGATCCACTTCATCGTGGCATCTTCAAGGCGGCCGGCACTGATGAGCCTCGAGATCTCTGTTGCTTCAGCCGTATCTGCCAGGGGACCAGGAACAACGGGCTGTGCCACGGGAACAGGATTATGAGGCGGACCACTCTGGGGTCTAGATTGAGGGCGAGACTGAGGTTGCGGCTGAGGCATTGGCCGGGGAGCAATGTTGACGATGTCCTCAGGTGTCGGACGCCCCACGGAGGACCGAGGGTTGTGGGCCGGCTCGCTCTGGCGAGTCTGGTTCGCGGCTAGGGTTGCCACAGTGGTGGACAAGCTCCGTAGCATGGTAGCCATCTCCTCGAGCTTAGCATTGTCGCTCTGGCGCTGAGCCTCATAGTGCCTCATCTGAGCCTGGTAGTGTCTCTCCATGCTGGTCTCGATCTTCTTGGTGCTGAGTGCCAGATTCTCAATCAAGGGAGCAATCGAGCCCTGCACGGCCTTCGAAATCTCCGCCTCAAGACGGGGAGCTAGGTTCTGTGAAACAGAGTCCGAAACGGTCTTCACGACAGCGGGCTGCTGCATAGCATTGGTGACCGCCTTGGGAAGGGCCTGGCGCAGCTCATCTTTGAATAAGGTTCCAAGCTGCTGGGTGACAATGCTGTTCACCTGCTTGGCGACAGCGACGGCAGCGGTCTGGCTGATGGCAGGGACAGCATCAGTTTGGATGCTCTGCGAGACAATACGGGCGAGGTTCTTCTCTACGTTGTCAGACAAAGTGCTGGAGACCAAACGGAGCACTTGGTCCTGCTTGGCAGACGAAGCAGCATCCCAACTGCGACGCTCATCGTCGAAGCGGCGATAGAGGCCTTCAAACTCCTGACCAAGGGTCTTGTTGAACTCAGCGGAGACAGTGTTCTGAAGAATCTCCAGGTGCTTGTTCAAAACGTCACTCGAGATACCAGCACTGGGCAGGCTTGAGACAAGCCCACCGGGGGCTTCACTCCCTGCAGCCCGAGTCGCAGCCACTGCAGCAGTCGATGTAGCAAGTAATTCGGTCTCCTTGGTGGGAAGAGGCTCGACACCTGCGATGGCGGTGGGCTCCTTGGCCTTCGCTGTTGCCTCGGAGGCAGAAGCCTTCTTCTTCTTTTTCTTTTCGGGCTTCTCAGCACTGCTAGCCATAGCAGATTCAGCCTGATCTTCCACGGTCTTCTTCTTGGCAGACTTGGCGGGAGACACGTTGCGAGAAGAAACAATACCGGCAGTGGACTCCAAGCCGTCAGTCTTCTTCACTGCGTCCTTCACGGTGGCAGCTCGGGAAGGAGTGGTGGATGCAGTGTCGCCATTCACAGACGGCTCGTCCGTGACATAGCTCGGGAAAGTCTGAAGGTCACTGATCTCAATCGTGCCTTCCTCCAATCCGTCGATAGGGCGAATGACCTTGTTGTCGGTGGTCCATCCCAGGTCCTCCTTCTTGATGTTCAGGCAGGTCACACCACGCGAGTGCATGACATACAACTCGAACAGACTGGTTTCCTCGTCACTGCGTTTGTCCGTAGTAGACTTGGTGGCAGGAAGAAGCTCCAGGCTCCTCAGCTGGCCTTTGGCGCCAAGCGAAATCTCACGGATTCCGCTCAGGCAGGCAGTAGATTCTGGCTTAGGCAAGCTGCTATCCTTCTCAGTAGCGGCCTTAATGAAGTCGGCTTGCGACATCACCGGCAGGTTGTACCTCGGCGCAGACAGATGCACGAAGTAAATTGAATTGCGCGTAGGGTGGCCAACCACAATGATACCCGACGATGGGTGATAAGCAACACTGCAAATCGCATCCGACTCATTCTCGTGGGGGAACTTGACTTCCTCCACAGCTTTGCCCAGCCCAATATCCCAGAGCTGCAAGGTATGGTTCTGCTTAAGTCCAACCAGGACGTAGCGAAGAGCTGTGGACTTCGAGTAGGCGCGAAGCTTGTCAAGGAAGAGCACCGAAGTGGGCCAGGACTTCTCCGCGGGTGAACCGGTCACAAATGTGTTCAATGGGACCCGGACTTCATTCGCAACAGGTCCGTCGGCGAAAGAGGGGTTGTCAAGAACATCTCTGATATCCCAGAAACGCAGACGACCTGTCTTGTCCAGAGATGCGATGACAGTGTCATCGTCACTGAAGGCAAAGTCCTTTCCGGCTTTACCAGTGGAGATTTTCAGAGCACGCTCTTTGAGGAATTTCTCAGTGTTGACCGTGCGCTGGGCCCCGGACACACCGTAGCTAGAGTTCATAGCCGCATAGGGAGAGACGACATAGATGTTCTTTCCACGGCCAATGGCGAATAGGTCAGCGTGGCGAGTGCTCCGCTTCGCCCGCGTTTTCAGCTGACCACCAGAGGTGTTCTCATCCGAGGCGGGGAAAGGCGGGAAGATGAGGCTCTCGCGCTCCAAAGCGTCCAACTCGAACAGGTCCTTTCCTTGGCCGGAGATCAAAGCCCAATAGACAGCGCCACTGACACCAATGCCAAGGAGCGCCTGCACATCAGACTGACCAGCCGCGGAAGCAGAAGTGCATAACGCGACGTTAAATACGCGATCGCGGGCAGAGCGGAAGACCTGTCGGTCAGTTCCATCATCCTGACGAATAATTCTAATGCCACCGGTCTTTGCCAGGGCATAAACAATATACTCGGAGGTAGCAGCAGTCAAGGAGCGGTCAAGCTGATCAAACTCCTTCTTGAGGCGTGCGATATCCATAACATCATCGTCGCGGAAGGTCAGAAGCTTTCCAGATTGCGGTTTCACGGCGATGGAAATGAACGGTCGCAGGGGGAAGTTGTGGACAGAGACAACGCGCTCCTCCTCCTTCTCGGCACTATCTTCCGCGCTTTCCCAACTATCGGCCAGAGCATCGGTGTTGTCGTTCCCGCTCTGGCCAACAGGGGTAGAAGAAGTGTCAGCCTCGACCTGTTTGGCGGTCTCAGCAGGCGTTTCCAACCCAGCCTCCTCCTTAGCCTGAGCAGCAGTCTCGCGCAAGTGATTGGCGATGCCCGAAAGCACAGCTTGGGTAGACTCCTCCTTCACGGTGGGAGCTTCCCTCTCCAATTCCACTGTGGGCTTGGCTTCGCTTCCGCTAAGAGAGCGGCCAATTTGATCGACAAAGCGACCAACGACCTCATTGACTGCCTCCCTCTGACCGTTCTCCAAGGGCGGAGTCATGCTCCGCTTAGGTCGCGGCACGTCGGGAACAGCGGAAGGTTCAATACTGGCGGTGATATTGATCTTTTCTGTCTTCGTCACTTCAACTGCAGGGGCCTCGTCAACCGACTGGGGCTGCGGGGACTGTTTGCGAGGAGAAATAGCCGCCAATTGATCGAAAGGATTGACATAGGTGAACATGGACTCTTTAGAACCCGGGGATACGACCATCTCCGGCCCCGCGGGGTTGCTAGGGCTAGCTTCCACAATCTCAATGATTTCCTTGGGCTCGATCTTGACCGACTCAGGAGGAGCAGTCTTGGTAGTTGGCACAAGGGACGGAGCGTCGACGACATTGGCACCGGGCTGGGAACGGTTGAGGAGGCGGAGCAGCATATCCTGCGTGTTTTCACTCGGGCCTTCCGGCTGAGTAGGGGGTGCTTCTGCCGGGGCAGGAGGTGTAGGAGCAGGGGCGGGGGCCTGCTTGCCAAATAGAGAGGCGACAAAGTCCTGAGCGGAAATGTTTCGTGCATGGGACGAGGTCGGCTCCTGTGTTGGCGGAGAGCGAGGCTGCTCGGGAGCCATAGCGGGAGCTGGCTGAGGAGCCGCACCCTGACCCTGGCTAAACCTCAGGAGACTGAGCAGGTCGACAGGACGGTCTGGGTTGGCCATGTGCGGCGGCGGCGGGTGCTGAGGCCAGTCATTGCGAGGACTCGGCACATTCGGGCTGACAATATCGGAGCCATGGTGAGGCGGGGTATTGACGGGGGCGGGACTCTGCAGGTTCGATGAAACCGATGGGTGGTGGTAGCCGTGCGGCTGAGGATGATAGCCCTGGCCGTCGTAAGGCTGCTGAGGGTGAGGTGGGAACATTCCCGGCTGGTAGGGCTGCTGGGGACGCTGCTGATAATAATCCTGACCGGGGCCATTGGGGGGCGATGGACGTCCCCGAATGCTGGCCAGGAGGGTCTGGAGATCGTTCGGGGTAGACATTTCTGCCGTGCGCCGTAGAGAACAGGCGACCTCCGCACGAAAACCAAGCCTTTCGAGCTCTCAGAAGCTCTCTTTCGAGAAGAAAAGATCGAAAAGCGACAACCAATATACCAGGGCGTAGAGAGTGAACAAATTGATGGATGTGTGAAACAAAATATTAGGTTGTGGAAAGGGAAGAGAGAGGACGCGAAAGAAGAAAGGATGAGGTCAAATTGGGGAAGCAAAATGCAGAGTGGCTGGTGTGTGGCACAAAGGCGGTGATTGCCCGCCCGTCACTTTCCTTCCTACCTTTACTCGTCGACGAGAGTTTCTATCAATAGCAAAGACCTGGGGTCTTTGGTTTACTTCTGTGCATACAGACATCCTCTACAAACGGATTCCAGCCAGTCCGAGCCGCCCGGGCTGGCATCATCCATCATGTTCTGTCTCCGGAGGTAAGACGAGCCCACCATCAAGACCCAACATCAGCCTCTACGCGAGGATAAAACAGAAGCAGCCTCTGACATGGATCCCTATTACTATAGTTGGCTACCTCTACTCTTCATTCCCACCAACGCCTCGCCTCTCTTCATCATCTCCTTCGTCGCACTCACCTACATAATCCACCGACCCTGCATCTACTGCTCCGCCCTCCTGCTCATCCTCTTCGTCTCTTCCTGTCACTGGTCAGATAGGTGTATCTTTGATCTACGCAGCAACTGGTTTGCGCCGCGCTACACCTCCGAGCCAAACGAGTATGGCTTCATGCCCGGCAACGCCACCGTCGCCGCACCGCTCCCCGGCGACAGCCTAGCCGGATTTGTCTTCGATGCCTTCAACTCGACTGCCAAGGCGCTGGCTGGCGCTGCCCTTGAAGGGGCTCAGCAGTGCCTCGGCATGGAATCAAAACCGGATCAGTGGACGGGCGTGGGCCTGGAATGGTTGCGGAGTCTGCTTGGGCGGCGCGAGTGGACGCTTCCCTGCGTAGACGTGAAGGTGCGGTTATAGGCTGATGATAAACGGAAAAGTTTGCAAATTCTTGGAGCCGGGATATCATTTTGTTTTTGTCTTTGAAGGGTTTCCTAGATCACCCGAGGAATCATCACACTTATCATTGTGGAGACCAAGCTACATATTGGTACCAAGGCTGCATGTCGGTCTGAACGCTTGGATCTGGGCATGGAAATTGGAATGATCGTGCACTCAGCCAACGGAAGCGCTGGAGCTTGTATCTCATAACACTGTATATAGAATGGATAATGTCTGACACTTGAACCCTTTTCCTTTGCCTTTCAATCAGAAGACGCGCGCCACGGAACACCGCAGTTTGTAACCAACTCTAATTTATGATCTACACAAGCTATGTCGTGTGCCACTTTGCCCATATCCCTGAGGTTCGATGGCGGGAATCAAAGCTAATGACCACAAATCTTAGCGTCGAGGAAGACTCCTGCATCCAAGACAGGACTCTGCATTACTTTGTCTGCAGTATAATTACTGGGCTTTGATCGAGCAAAAGAGCAACATACACGATACCTTCGACAAATTTAATCTCACGCAACCTTGGAATAAAAACACTGCAAACATTTCTGACGACCCTGGATTGAATATATCACAGAACTAACCCCCTTCAAAAACATCCCACACACTTAATATCAGGATGCGAAGTCTTCGGAGTCACCGTTATAGTTGTAGAAATAAAATGATTCGGAGTAGTAGCACTAGCCTTGAAAGAAGGCCTAACTGTATCAACAAAGGAAGTCGAATTCTCAGGCGATGCAGATGCCACGCAGATACCCAGAGAAGTCAGGAAATTGATAACAGATGGGATGCAGGCCGCACAAGAGCATATCTGGAATAAATAAGTATGAACGGTAGTATATGGTTGTCACATTAGGAAGGAGAGCATACCTCGGTTAAGCCACCAGAGAGACATCTTTGCAATGCCGCTGCATCTCCGCTGGTGGCGGCTGAGACTATACAGGTGATTGTGCCGCTGAGGCCTAGACAGGCGGGGAGGCTGCAGGCTGGAGGCATTTGTTCGACTGCTAGGCGATTTTGTTCCAGTTCTATACTAGTTAGCTTGGTATATATCTAGAGGATAGGTGCTGGTAAGGTGATCAGGTACAAGGGAATGAGTCCGTACGGGTCAAGGTCCGGTTTTGGCGTTCGTGTTCATTGTGTGAGGCCATGCTGTTGGATGTCAAGCTCCAGACGAGGAGGGCAAGGATTTCGATGCGCATGCTGAACGTGATGCTTCTCAATAAGTTTGACGTATAAGGTAATGACCAAGGAGGTAGATAGGGAGGGAGGTCTCGTTCAGGGCTTAGGATGGGAGGTCCAGTGGACTATTTATTTACAATTGGGTAGCTCAGCTAGGTGAAAAGCAGACTCGATCTCCAGGTGACGCTGGAGGTGGATGTCATACCCACGGGTCGGATACCTGAAGAACGGGGAGCTACGCTGGAACAAGGTCACACCGAGTCACATTGAGGGTGCTGCTTGTCCCTCGAGCGGTGTTCTAGATTTAGACCAGGTGAACAGCTGGAAATCGAAGAGGACTGAAATATGAATAATGAATTATCGGACAAGATTATAACCTAAGTACAAGACGGAGAGGTATCTGACAATAAAAGCACAAAAAGCATGCCAACGACAAGATGACCGACCCGTTTACAGATCACTCCAGTGAGATCCGGGAGAGACAAAGAAGGACCGGGTTCGAAGGCACGCAGAAAAACGAGAGGAAACAAAGATAGTAAATCGTGAAACATGACCCAGAGGAATGTGGTATCACAACGTAAAAAAGTTCAGTCCATCGTTGACAGGCTCATCAGCAGAAAAAGAACTGAACGCTAGTCTGGAAAACAGATATGTGTATGAAGGCAAAATAATCTGCACGCAGACCTAGAGACATGGGAACCGCAAAATAAACGAGAAATTAGTTGTATCCACCGGTGGGCAAGGGCCAGTCGTCTTCTGTGATACTACTCCAGAAAGTCCAGATTCCGGTGACGGCGAGGAGAGTGAAAAGGGTCTCGAACAAGGCTCCGTTGATCTTGTGAGAAGAGGCTTCGCACAGGTGGACGCTGATCACGTATTGGAAGATCTGACCAATGGCGAATAACAGAGTTGCGCCGGTGAGATAGACTGTTACAGACGTGTTAGTTGATTTTTTTCTTCTTCCACTTTGGGTAATGCAGACGTACTCATTGGTCGGAACTCGCCCAGAACCCGCAATACCAGCACGGACTCGAGGACGAAGAACAGGAACAAGCAGACGAGCGGGAAGAGCTGGTACAGGACGTAGAGTCCGATATTCCTGTTCTGGCCCGAGTGGCTAGATTCGAAGTGGCCAGTCCAGTCGAACGCAGTGTCGAGTGCAATATAGCCCGTACCGATAAAGAGCACAACGGCAGAGGCACAAATCAAACCGATCGAGGCCGGCGTACCATCGTCAAGCAGCTGGAAGCCCACAAACGCGTTCATAAGCAGAATCCAGCACGTCGCAGTAATTGCCGCCAAATGAACAGCCGAGAAACCCTGATTTCGATCAATTAGACCCTAGGAATCCCCCAAAGTCAAAAACCACCGAATTCTCACCTTTCGAACCGCATCATGAAGCGGAATCCCACCGACAGTAAGAATCTCACAAATCTCGATAACAATGTAACCAAGCAGGAACAATTGCATTTCACTAAAGTCACAACGTCAGTCTCCAAACCCAAAAACCATGTCCGACCTCAATATCGGGAGGGGAAAAGCGTACCGACGCCCGACGGCGGCATGCTTTTTGTCCGACCTCCATATCAAAGCTGCCGAAACCAGGATCGCGATGAAAGCCAGTAGAATCGAGCCTGTTCCCGATATTAGCGCTTCGCTCTAGCGTGCACCAGTCCACACGGGTCATTACCTAAGTTAGCGAGGTAGCGATCGCCGGAGAGTTCAATGCCGTAGAGCGCGCACCCGCCGAAGGCCTGGTTCGGGGGCTGGTTGACCGCGAAGAGCTGTTGCCAGAGATACACGGTCAGATATGAGATCGGAGGAATTGGGAGGAGGTTCACGTACGTTACAGACTGGCAGTGTCGAGTCGCGACAAAAGTTCTGTCATACCCAAGAGGGGGAGGTCAGCGATCCGAGACTCGAGGTGCGGGTCTCATGGTTCCAGTATTCCAGGAATCCAGGGTTGAGTATGCAGACTCACGTGAAAATCGCCAAATTGTGTCGAACCCATGGCGTGCGATTACGGTCGCGGTGACCGGGCGAGAGGGCGCTGTGTTGGGTGAGGCTGGGAGGACTGGGGACTGGGGTCTAGAAGAGTCCCCTGACCCGCGCTTGAAGGAACACGATCGCTAGGGACGGATGATGAACGAGGGGTAACGAGACAGGAGGCAAGAGGGAATGGATCCCACGATGTGAAGCGACGGACAAGATGAGGCAGAGAGGAAGAGAGGCTGCACGGAGAAGTGGGCTCGAACAGGGAATGGCCGACGCTAGCGCTAAATCTGGGCGTGAAATTGAAGACGACGTAACAATGGTCTCTAGCTCTATGTCCCTTCGAATTGTGATTGTGCCTGGATCTTTCTCTCCTCATCCATGGAACTGTGGCAACGGCCTTGCCCGTGGTTCAGGGCCACTATTCTTAGAAGCAGATTTGGTGTGGCGTGCGGCAACGCGAGGAGGCTGCAGCATAGGGAGCACAGACTCTCCGTGACTCCGGTCAACTCCAAGTTTATAGGATACTAACTCCAAGTAATCATTAGCTCAAGGTGTAGTGGACATAGTGGACACCAGCAAAGTTGATCGTCCCCAAAAGGGGCGACGTCGAAGCATCGGCGAGCCACCCCCGCCCTTGCGCATTGCTGCACCCGTGGATTCGTCGGGCCCCTGTCGGGCTGGGACCTGCCGCCCTATCTACCCTACTTAGTTGCATGGCCCTTGGAAGATATCCCTTGAAACACTCTGATTTTGGGCATCTTTACAATCTGCCTTACTATCGAAGTCTGTTCCCCTATTCCGTCCGCGTCTGTGTCACCCGATCTCCAGGGCTCCCACACCCCAGAGGTCCCGGGGGGAGAGCGACGCGATCTCAAAGAGCAAGGAGCGATCTAGCAGACATCCTCAACAACTAACTTCTTCCCATCATGCTCCCCCAAATCCAACTTCAACGTACGCCCAAACAGCTCCAACAACATCTCAAAGCAGGACTTGGTGAGCGCCGGATCATACCGGCCCTTGCTGAGTTCATCGCGGATAAAAGCATCTAGCCCACGTCAGCTCGGTTCGGCGAAGCTTTCTCCTTCCGGGAGCGAGCTCCCCGGAATATCCAATGTGAACTCCAAAACTTACGTTGTGCCCAAGCAACTTCATAGAAACTGAATAGAACCCCTTGATCATGTAGGGTCTTGCGAATCAAATCGCGGCCTTCGGGTGGGACGTGGGTATCGTTTTTGCCAAAGATCTAGGTTTATTGAATCAGTCGATGCTTGGGCATTCGAGCCTGAGCGCTTGGGGGGGGGGTAAAGCTCGGGGACGAGGAAGCATACCATCAACAGCTCGCCCTTGATATCGCCGGCCCGCTGCAGACTATCGTCGTTCTTGCCTTGGGCTAGGGTCTTGCTGTGAATGTCCGTCGCAAAGTAGCACACCGCCGCCTTGACGCGGTCGTCTAGTGCACAGCGGTACGCAAGATGGCCGCCGAGACACATGCCTGTCGCACCGACGCGGCCATTGCAGGTGTCGAGGGAGAGTAGGTAGTCGACGCAGAGGCGGGCGTCTTCGTCGTAAGCGGCCAGTTTCTATTGCAATGGGTCAGCAGGCGGTCGTGGAGATAATTTTGGCGAGGCGAGTCTATTGAGGGAAATGCTATTTTCAACCGGACAGAGGGAGTATATTAGTAGTAAGATGTAACGTGCCTTGGTGATCTTCCACTTGTTGCCATTGTCCGTATCCTCGGCGTCGTACTTCAAGGGCTCTGGGCCTGTGAACTCGTGGTAGCTAGATGGGGCCGCGCAGATGTAGCCTTGGCCTGCAATTTGTCGCGCAAAGCGAGCAACGGGGCCCGTTACTGTCAAAGTGTTAGGAATGTTCTGATATCCTATGACGTCCATTGTGCCGGCCGGGAAGCTCCCACCTTGGTAGATCTCGCTGAAGACGACAACGCCCGGGAACCGTGCTTTGGGGTAGCCTGGGATTGTGGGGTGGAAGACATAGATGCCTGGTAGTTGTTAGTGCTGTATCCATCGCAATTGAGCTCAAAAGGTCGCTAGAGGTGGTCGTGGAGAGGACCTGGCGCGTTAAAGCGGGGATATACTTACGCATCGAGCCCTGCCCATCAGCCGCAGTGGGGACATCGTGAGTAGATTCTTGAACGAGCATGGTACAGATTATTCCAAGATATCACCTCGGGAACATTGACTCGAAAGGTACGAAGCTGGAGCAATTGACGTAAACGCGGGCTCGCGAAACGTTTATCGATAAGACCGCGGGGCGGATCATGTGGACGCTGACAAAGTGGGATTGCACCAACGGTCCAAGATAACTACAGATTTGAACGAGGTTTTTTTTCTTTCTTTGTTTAATTTCATTGACTTCATTTGAATTGAAGGAAAAAGATTCAAAACCCGAGGTATTCGGTGAATAATATACATGGAACAGAATGTTGAACGGCCACACCAAGGCGCTCAGAGGCGAAGCAACGGCACCAAGGCAAGAATTATCAAGAAAATTATCTCGAGTGGTGGCGAAGTGAATATTCCAAAAGAGTATCATGGCAATTTTGGTGGGCTGTCAGAAACTAATGACCTCAGAGCCCCTGTACAAGGAATTAAAACGGGGTGGAAGGGGTTGATTAATGTGTGGCCATTAGAAGACGTACTATTCCAATTGTTAGTATGGGTTTGATCAGTTTTTGAAGGGAAGAAACTTACGGGAATGAACAGGTAGGGCACCTGGCGCTCATATTCAAGCCAGGTCTCGCCGTACTTGATGCGACACCGCTGGATGTCACGCAGGGCGCGGTGGGAGATCATGCAGGCGAAGAAAAGAGGGTAAAACCAGGGGAAGGGGCTCGAGAAACCGGTGATCAGGCCCCAGTTCAGAGCGAAGTAGAGGTCACAGGTGTAGTGGATCTTGCGAGCCTTGCCGTCTGTAGCCAAAACATTAGTATATGTCACGAGAGATTTGCAGTGGAATACACTTACACCACCCGTCAACGAGGATCTTGGAGCCGTCGGCAGCAGTGAGAGTCTTGGGGTTCTTCACGGTCTGCCACGGCAGCTGAGGGAAAGTGTTACGGTTGACCATGGTGCCACGCTCTTGTTGGCGGAAGCGGTTCTTCTGGCTGTTGGTGGTGTCCCAGACCCAGTAGACAAACAGGTACGCGGCGTAGAGGAAAGCGAGGAAGAAGCGGTTCCAGTGGTACTCGCTGGGGTCATGGTTGGCCAGATAGATGGTGCAGTGGCAGTAGCTGAGGGGCACACCAGCCAAGTTCCAGAAGATGAGCATGAAGCCCCACTTCTCATAGTACATGTCCCTAACGAACGTGAGCTCGAGTTACCTGTTTAATTTAACAGACAGACTTACCACGTAGACACGATGCACTCCTCACCCTTGGAGCAGGCATTGGCATACAGGAAGTGTGCCATGACAAGGAACATGACCTCGCCAGACACATATCCGTAAACCTCCCATTGACGAGCGGCAGCACCCATAGAAAGGAACAGCAGGATGAACCAAGGCAGGCGGACCTCGAAGAACATCTTGAAGTCGAGAATGCCAAACATGCGTGGGTTAAGCTCGGCACCCATGAAGAAGTCATAGATAGGAGATCCGGTCATACGGTGCTCCGCGCCGCGAGCCAGGGTCGAGAAGTAGGCAACGAAAGAGACCAGGAAGCCCGACAGAATGGCAACACTGAGAAGAGGACCAAACTCATCAATGAGAGTGTAAAGCTTGAATAAACCAGTGAAGTGCAGAGCCAATGCGAGCACAATGCTAGTGTAGAACGACCACACAGCCGAGCAGTAGTAGGGCAGCTGCTTGCCACCCAGGTGCGGAAGCGGACGTCCCGAGACAGAGACACCGGGCAGAAGCACGTAGCAGGCACCCTCAAAGAGGAAGAACACCCAATAGATAGTCCAAGCCTTGAGCGATGGGAATGCGCCAGTGTAAACCAATTGACCCATGTGAGCAAAGAACTCCGAGAAGCTCTGGCCCTCCTCGCGAGTAGGGAATTTGCCATCGTAGTAAGTCGCACCAATCCACATGTAGTACATGAGCATTGGGAAACCAATCATCATAGACAGAACACCCATAGAGCCACCGAACTCGTAGTGTCCGCTGTAGTCGATTTTGGGGTCGAGTCCCTCCTCCCAGCCATCCACGATGCGCGACTTGGACTGGGCCTTGGTCTTCTTAGGAGTGGCCGCCTTGCCATTGGTCGCGGGCTTCAACGGCGACTCCTCCTCCTCCTCATCCTTGACCTTGCCAGACGTGCGACGACGAGTAGTCGACTTGGACCTTGGGGCAGGCGAGTCGGAGCCGTCGTTCTCGCTCATGTCGAAAGCTAAGCTCTTACGGGTGGAACGACGGCCGGGGGTTTCGATATAACCGGAGCGCTCCATTTTCCTGAAGTGCGCGAAAAGGAAACAGATTAGTTGAGAGGTCCTGAGAAGACTGAGAGGTCGGGATTGCAGGGGGCATCATATAGCCATGCGCGACGGGAGGGTGGATCGCGAGCAAGATCCGGGCGGGAATCACCTACTTGGGGGTTTTCCCCGTTTGGGAGCGCGTGAGAGTCATGATGGCCTGATCGGAACCTGGGAAGACCGGGATCCGATAGGAATTGGGAGGTGGTGGAGGAAAGAGGAAGGAGAGGGTGGGAAAGGGAGAACGGGGAAAAACACGGAGATGTTTACATTTTGCGTACCGGCCGTGTACACTTCCGCCCGTTCGAGTATGCGTGGGTACGGCAAAAATACCGCCCAGGGCGATTTCCATTGTTTGTTACCTGGAGGTTACACTCGGTTCACACTTCCGCCCTGACTCCCCACAATTGTCCTCGCTGTCAACTTCCTTCTTGGACTGCTATAGTAGGGTGGATCTGTCTAGCTGTCTAGCCAGCGATTATGTAGAATGCATCCCGTAGTTTTCTCACTTCTCGATCAGTCTCTCGTGCTTAGGTGCCAGCTTGCACTGAGAATTCTTTTTGCCCTGCAGCGTCGATCTCCGCGCCAAGCTTGCCGTTCGCTGCACGAGTCTCAATTGTGTCCAAGCTTACTTTCATTTGACTTTTAAGAATCTGACAGGGTCCTAGACATCAAAGATAAATTCTATAGCATATAGTCTGAGACAAGTCTCTATTGTATGTTTATTTTCATTCAGAGGTGCGCGCTTAAATCAAAATGTTGGGACTGGAATGTGGGCCCCAGGAGCAGAGATGAACAACCCGAATACTGAGGTTCAATCAAATATACGATGCAAAGGCACTGGGGATAATAGGCATACGTGTTGCGCGCCATATGATCAATAGCCTCCTGGCTACTCCGCCAGGGGTTATGCGCCTCGGTGGCTGTTGGTTGACATCAATGTGATCTTGTTTTTCTTCTTTTTCTTCCCACCAGTTGATGACGTAGTTGGGCCGGAGGCTGCGGGTTGCGCTTCAGCAGCGGACTGGGCAATGACCGCAGACTCTTGCTGCGCTAGCAACTCATCCTCCCAGCCGTGTAGCCATCCATCGTTGGGGGTTTCACTCCGATGTTCAAGAGTCGGAGACAGCGATGCGACAACCGTGGTTCCCCAAACAGTGCGTGAGCCTGGAGGGCTGTTGGAGGGGGAAGCCAACGCCCCAAATTGGGAGGATGCACGGGGAGGAGAAGCCGAGGATGCGCCGGCATCAAACAAGTCGGGATCGTGGCCGCTAGATAATGGCTGGAAATCTTGTGCAGAGAATGGTGCCTCACTGGCACCGCCGATGCTGGGCCGTTTGCGCCGTGCAGCAGCCCATCGTTTATCGTCCTCTTCCTTTTCAGCACGGATTCGGTCCTTCTCCTCGCGAGCTTCTTTCTCGCGATTGCGTTTTCGCCTCCGATCAATCTCAGAGCGGAAACGGTTGAGGACTTCGGGTACGACCACGTCCCTCCAGTCGCATTCAAGAAAGTTGACCTCACAGCCGTAAGGAAGGTGGCCCAGATATTTCACTCGCTTGCGGAGCTCGTCGTCAACCATATGACCGGTAGAGATGTGCTCTACCCGAGGTAGAATAGTCGCTGGGAAATCAGCATATTCGTTGAATGCTGCCTTGAGGATCCGAATATCAAGAGACGATAGGTAGAATTGAGGCAGAGCCTGGTAGAAGTAGTAGGGTTGGTCGGATTGCTGGGAGGCCTGTGGCTCTTTGCCCCTGCCCTTGGGCTTGGGTTTAGTATTGGATTCGGGTGAAATCTTGGTGTTATCCAATGCGTCCGAGAGATGTTCCGCTTCATCTGATGTGGCGGGGGTTGATGTAAATTCTGGCAGCGGATGTGTTGTATCCGTGCTGGATTCAGGCACAGACTCGGCCGAAGAACCGTTGATAGATGGAATCGTGGGCTCGGGCGTGTCGACAACGGAGGCAATGGACACCACAGCTGGCTCTTTGGCAGCCTTATTGGGCTGCCGTGAAACGTCAGGCGGATTACCAATGCCCTTGAGTTTTTCTTTCGCACCATTGATAGCGCTAATGGCCTTGCGGGTCCAGGTGTTCTCATCCCCAAACAGCAGCTCGTCCTCGACGGCTTGCTGGCGCAAGTCCTCAATTTCGGTCTCGTATTGAGAGATCATGTAATCTTCCCCGCCCTTCATGATTCGGGCGTAATCCGCAACTTCTGCCACATGATACCAAGGAATATCCTGTCCGGCACCGAGAGCCTCCGCACCATCGCGCGGCAAGGCGAGCGTACTACCGGGCTCCCGCTTGACCAATCTCAGTACAACATCTCCACCTTCAACAGGTAGGTCACCTTCCTGGCCGCGAAACCATCGAACGGGACGAGTTTCTGACGAGTATATTGAATCCCAGCAGATCGGACATTTCTTCCATCGAGCTTTTTTCTCGGGGACTGGTGTGTCGTCATCAGATGATGCATGCATATATCGAATCAGACAAGGTAGACAAAAGATATGGCCGCAACGGGCCATTCGAGGAGCGACTGGCGTAGACAGGCAAATCGGACAGCTAGCAGCTTGAGTTTGAGCAGACACAAGTACTTGAAGAACTGAATCCCAGTCCAGGTGGACATCAGCATTGGCCGACTGCGCATGGTAATTGCGATCCGGCGATACAATAAACCGGTAATTCGCGTGGACATAGCGGGCCTTGTCCACTGCATGGTATCCGGATCCTGCTCCCCATGACTGATAGCGACGCGTGTTGCGGGGCGGTGGCTGATACTGCGGGCGAGGGGGGAGGGAAAAGTTCATCAAGTGGGTAATGGACGTCTGGCCCTTGCGGCTATTTGTTGATCTCATGACGGCCTGGGCAGAGGAGATGATAGAGTCAGCTGGCGATGATTTTTTGGGAGCAAGCGCTGGAGCACCCACCGATTCGTTGTACTCATCATCGAGCAGCCGCGGTTTCCTCTGGTGCTTGTGTTGACTCTTTCGGCCTTGTGTATTCCTTGCTGTGGGCGAGTTCCTTGAAGATGAACCAGCACCAAAGCTTCCAGAGCCTCCGGCACGTCGCTGAGAACCGCTGTCGGTTGAAGCTGGCAAGTAGAGTGGAGACGCGGCCGAGGTATTCGAAATGTTTATCGCTTTGGAGGGAGCCTGGTTTGGTCCTACATTGGACGACATCTCCGAAATAACGCTTGACAAACCACACAGCTTAGCACGAAGACAAAGCGCACGCGAAAGATCGACAATCGGTTGTATCGGTGAACGAGCGGTTCGTGAGGATCTGGATATACCAGCACCTGAAAACGTGAGCCGTCAATCGGAGAAGATCACCAAGGTCTGAGCCATACACGACAGGCCCAGAGTCAGTCTGAAAGGTCTAGTGAATAAGGATAGACGAAGCCCCGAGAGGCCATCTAAGAATAAGAAAAGCGTTCGGGACGCTGGCTGTTCACAGGCGGTTGAGAGGGGCAAACATGACATCGCCGGCACGTGCCTGGCTGACTCAGAGATCGCTGACTAACCAAATTCAGTTCAGCTTCGCTTCGGAAGACGTGAATGAGGGACAGTCTGCCTCTCCTCCCTTCAGTTCACGGGCCCTTTTCTTGCCTGGCCGCCAGCCCCGTTTTCCTACTGTCGGATTTTGCTGCTAAGGTACTTGATACTTTGCCCCCTATCTATCTTGTTGCGCATTGCGAATGCTCACGGATTCTCACCCTCTAGCCATTGAGCTCGACCAATTTCGCTACACCACCCATCTCGTGACCTTCTTTCCTCGATCTCCCAAAGAGGCCAATATGGCTGCGTAAGCGCGCCTGAGGCTTCCGATTTTGCGCTCAGATCGAATCCCTCTGCGCATGGCTTCCATTGACGCAACGCGTGGCTGAACCATCAAAGGCAACTTCTCTGTCGAGCCTCAAGATGAATCACCATCTGCCCACGATGCACCACGGGCAGCCGCCGATGCCCCCATCGAGACGGCAGCAAGATTTTGCATACAACCCGGGTCCTCCCAACATGCGCTCTCCCCCGTATATGGGTTACCCACCGCACATGAACGCACCCATCAACGGACATATGCCTCCTGCGTTTTCACCACAGCAATTCCCTCCTTCCCCGTGGTACCCTCCTGCGGCGCCATACGGTCATATGCAAATGCCCCCTCGACACTACCAACCTGCCCCGTATGGACCGATGATTGTCTCATCCTATCCTCACTCACAGCCTATCATGGCGCCCAACCACCTCCCCCCTCCCACTATACCGATGCAACCACGAACATCAACTCCGTTGCAGCCGACCATGTCTCCATCGCTTCAAGCACCTCCCCTTCAACCTGAAATGCCGGACCACCCTATTCTTCCTGTCCAGCCTCAGCACTACCCCGTCGCGTCACCGCCACCACGATGGGAGCCCAAGGTAATCCCAGAGTCAAAGCCCGCTTTTGTTGCACCCGTAAGTCCTATTCCAAACTGGACTGATAACTTTATCCTGCATGTGATCTGACTTTAAATTTAGGTTCCCTGGCTTTCTGTCCCTGAACTGCCTTTCCCAGCTCGAGCTCTACGCGGATGCCGAAAGACCCGAGCCATGCCGGCATCTGTTGAGTTTCCCAAGAAGGATGGTCAGTGGATCATTGGTGAAAAGAAGGGGGAGGTCGATGAAGTCACACCGGAGGAAGCAGCTGCGCAAGCTGCGTCAGAGCCCCAAACACCTACTGGCTCCGTTCCTCCGTCTGATACAAACTCCACCCATCCTACCACTCCCTCCTCAACTGCGAAACTCCCGTCTCAGCCGAATGATTCACGACCTGCTATTCCTCTGGCCCCTGTTGTCCCAGTACTCCCGAGTGTTCCTGGAGCACCTCGCCATCATACCAAAAATAGTGCCAGTACTTCCTCAGAAACGCCCAGGTCGACTACAATCGCTGCTATCGAGGATGGCTCGGAGGAAGTTACTACCGTTGAAACTCCCAAGCCAGCGGGTCCGAAGTCCTGGGCTGGATTGTTCGGCACAAAGCAGGCCGGTCGCCAAGCTGCGCCTACTGCTTCGGCCGAGCCGAATCCAATGGCTGTGCAGAAGAACGAAACCCTTGCAGATGTCCTCAGCAGCCTTGGTGAAGATGTCACCCAGTACAGTGACAAAATTGGCTTCCTCGAGCCTCGGGGTCTGGTTAACACTGGCAATATGTGCTACATGAACTCCGTCCTGCAAATCCTTGTCTCTTGTGTTCCTTTCCATCAGTTCCTTGACTATGTTGGTCGCCGTGCTTCGCATAGCTTCCACAGCGATATGCCTTTGGTCGATGCCTTGATCATGTTCATGAGAGAGTTCCGTGTCATCGACGCTGCGACTTCGGAAGAGCAGTTGAAAATGCGACTGAAGCCTAATGAGCTGGAGCAGTATGGCGAGGCATTTGTTCCCGAGTTTGTTTATGAGATGATTCGACAGTTGCCGCGTTTCAGAGACATGCGGCGTGGACACCAACAAGACGCTCAAGAATTTTTGGGCTTCCTCCTTGAGGAGCTGCATGAAGAGTGTGATCGTGCTGCCAAGCACGCTTCCAAGTCTAAAAATGCACAGGATGAGGGCGATGGGGCTGTTGATGGGTGGCTCGAGGTTGGCCACAAGCAAAAGGCAGCGGTGACTCAATCCTCAGGGGCTATTTCCACCGAGTCGCCAGTCACAAGGATCTTCGGAGGCAAGCTGCGATCGGAGTTCAAAGTGCCAGGCAATAAGACCTCTGTCACCATGGAACCCTATCAACCTCTGCAGCTGGACATCGGAGCACCTGATGTCCACAACATCATCGATGCGCTGAAGCGACTTACCAAGCCCGAGAGTATCCAAGGAGACTTCAACCCGTCGCGTGGCCCTAACGTCACTGCTACCAAGCAAATCTTCATTGAGACGTTGCCCCCGGTTCTCATCCTTCACCTCAAGCGCTTCCAGTATGACAGCTTGACTGGAGCAACCCAGAAAATTTGGAAGAAGGTCGGATACCCGCTTGATTTGGAGATTCCACGCGAGGTTTTCCCCGCCCATCAACGCAATGCCATGGCGGCCCAGGGTGGTCTTCCCAAGTACCGTCTCATGGGTGTCATTTACCACCACGGAAAGAACGCTAGCGGTGGTCATTATACAGTGGACGTCAGACGCCAAGATGGTCGTGAGTGGATTCGTCTGGATGATACTGTTATCCGCCGGGTCCGCAGCGAAGATGTTGCGGAGGCTGGCGGCGAGGAGGATCCCAAGGTGCTTGCAGCAGCTCTTGAGCAGCACAAGCAGGACAAGACTCCTCGCAGCAACATCTTTGACCATATTGATCAGGACGACATGGAATCCACTGACAGCGAAAAGGGCTGGAGCCAGGTCAACGGAAATGGCTCTGGCGGACATGCGAGCAAGAAGTCCGTCAATGGAGTGACTCCCTCGCCTCAAACCTCGTCTGGAATTCGCACTCCGCTTGGCAGATATGGCAGTCGGGACAACCGAGTCGCCTATCTGCTGTTCTACCAGCGCATGGCCTGAGCTTCTTTTATACGAGACGCTCACTTATTGATCTCATCAAACCACATCACCTCTCAAGCCTTCCTACTAGGCTGATCGAATACCTGAATAATTTCCCCTTTCCGACATTTTCTATTTCGACTGCATCATACCCCTAGTGACACAAGAACGCTGTCACTTTCTTTGACCCCTTGCATTTCCTTTGCACTTGCAGGTTCTTTGACTATCTCTGCTTTCATCGAGTACATATCGCATCCTGGCTAGCTTTGTGACCTACACATATCTATATGTGCCAACGGCTTGCCCATGCACACTGGGACGTTGGCTGGCATACTTGGACCAGAGAAACAGGCTTGGGTATAGCGGACCCTTGGCTCCTGACTCTGTGGTTCCATCCAATCAGCGCCCCACCGGCTATTGAACTTTCATCTACAGTGTCCTTGACACTACGCTCTCGAACACCCCTCTTCTATCAACTCCTACCTCATCACATATTCCTTCTGCTTTTATCCTGTGTTCTTACGATTCCCGGACTTGAACATTCCCCTGTTATCTTGAGCATCACTTGCCGACATTTTTTGGCCCTCCATATCTGGATTGTATCTTATCGGATGTCAAACCGGTTTATACCCATCTCCCATTTTCTCATGGATAAATCCCCGGGGTGTTTTCGTGTGCAGAGCGAGGCATTGCGGTGTGATCTGATGGTTACTTTTGAATATTTCTCTGTACTTTGCTGAATTATTATGACGTGTGGCGTGGATGGGGGATCTATGACGACGTCATGAATTTCCTTCTGTTCTTTATTGCCATAGACTGCGGTGGTTGAGGCGCAGTGGTGGTGGCTGCGGTGGCTGTTGCTTTGGTGGGAGATGTTACGATGGCGTTGAGTTGTGTTGGTGGGGTGGTTACTGGTCTGAGATGAAGTGAATGGGCAGATTATAGGAGGAGATGGAGATAAACGGTGGAAGTTGGGAAGTTGGGGAGAAAAAGCATGTCTTTTCGGAACTCAAAAAAATTTCAAAGGAAGTTTATATCAATTATTTCCCATAGTTTAACCTCGTGTCAACTAACTGGAATGTTTATACTATAATCTAGATGACGGTAAAACTGCCGCCTCGAGAAGTGATCGGCTCCCGGAGCACAGGCCGAGCAAGCTGATCAGCCTACTTGATCTCATTTTACTTCTCCAATCTTTAAGTTGATCCGACGATAACGGCACTGTTTACCTGCCTACTTCCGGCGTTCCTAGGAGCGAAGACCAGGATATAACGTATTCGCACGTTGCTATAGTAATTGTTACAGCTCCGTTACGAAGAGACAACCATCAACCAAGGTAGTAGCATTTCCAACGAAGCATCTAAGCATGGGAATGAAAGAAGGAGAGATGATGAGAGAAGATCTAAATACAAGTGGGATGCATGCGGCAGCAGGCATCGAACCAGGCATCAGGCATCACCATATGTGAATCGTCATAGTAGTGACTATAGGTGATGAGCACGGACCAAAACTGCCAAAAAAGCCACGTGACCCTTGCAGCGACCTAAGTGCCCACTTGCGATCACCTGGTTCCTCGTCATAGTACCTTGATCTCGCCCCTCTCGTACTCTCAATTGGTCGCCTCAATCTGTCTTTCAACTCGCGTGAGAATTTTATTGTCTCTACGCTATACCATTCACTCTAGAAAATGCGCGTCATTTGGGTGGAGAGTGCTGTTTGGCCAGTAATATTCAATGAACACCCTACTGTACGGTTACATCGGTGAGATGCGGACTTCTCCGTCGAAGCCCTAAATCACAGTAGTCAGGGGCGGGAGCGGGGATCGACGGCCCTTTCCGATAAAGTGGAACCAACCCACTGTGACTGGATGACTGGGGCTTGTCTAGAGCCTGGATTAGCCAATTCCTAAATTCGCCAGGTCAGATTGACCGTTGACTTGACGCCGTTAGGATCAGATTCCTTCAACCGTGAACGCTCGGGCCCATTGATACTTTCTTCATTGGTTAGCAGATATCTCGCATTTTCTTCGCAGGCATATTTTAATTCGGTTTACGTACACAGATAATCTCAATGTTGTGCATTCAGGACAATTCATACGCGCAAAGTGCCTTGGTGGGCCGTAAATGAGGGTCGTGGCTGAAGTTTAGTACGATGCACCACCTGCTTGGCCCCCATGCCGTGCTTTCGGGACACGACGGAGTACCAACAACTCTTCGATACCCTGCGTTCACCTCCTGATCTCTCACATTGGAAAGATACTCAATTCCTCTCCCGACCCACCATTGACGTCAAAAACTGATCTTTATATGACTGCGAGTTAATCAGTGCCAATGAACCGATCCACCTCGGCGAATCTGCCGCAAGTGACGCCTCTGGTGAATCCCAGCTACGGGGAGGATCCAGATCCCCCCACCATCATCAAAGGCAAGAGAAATCCTTTTGGCCCCGTCAAGGGAGAGAGCTCCCAGCGACTCAAGACAATCAGAGCGTGCGACATTTGCAAAGGGAAAAAGACTCGCTGCAGTGGGACTCGTCCATGTGAGCGTTGCCAACGACTGTCGTTGGTCTGTGAATACAAAATGACGTACTCCAGGGGACTTGGCCCACCGCCGCTGCCACCACCGCTGGAGCTGACTTCCGATGACCGGCCAGACGAGCAGCAGTACTTCAAACATGATGCAAGCTTCCCAACATCCATTCAACAGCCCGTACAGCATGAGGCTACCCATCGTGCTCCTACGAGCAGTACCGATCTCTTGACGGCGGACTTCCAGGGAGGCTACCTAGATTTGGTATCAGGAACCTCGTTCATCAACCGGGTATGTCAGCGTCTCAACCAAGACAAGACGTCCACGGGTGCCGTGAGTGTCTCGGACGGGTTCCATGGCGAACTCTCAGGCAGGCTTTCTGTCACCAAATTTAGGGACAAGCGTATTCAAGCCTCTATACGCTTGATTTCACCCTTCCTCCATTGGAGAGGGCACTGGAGATGGTCGAAACGTACTTTGAATATGCAGTTGTGACCTACCGGTTCTTGCATCGCGGTCATGTCGAGCAATGGCTTCGTCAGATCTACCAGAGCAATATTTTGACGACAAACCTGCCCACAGACCTGATGGTGGGGCGGTGCTGTATTGTGTACAGTTTTCTTGCGATTGGTACACTTTATGAGAGGCGCGCTCCCGAGTCCGGCGTAGATTATGATGAGCAGAGGTATGCCCGAAATTGGCGCATTTATTTACCAGTCCACTCGCTGATTGACTGTTGAAGCGAACGCTGATTTGCCCTGTCCAAGTGGATGTCGTCCATTGAGTCGGGCGCACCCCAGCTGGAGACAGTACAAGTGAGACTGAACCAAAGTCTCTACCTACTGGCGTCGTCCCGAGCCAGTGAGTGCTGGTTCGCGTTCGGCACCACCGTTCAGTTCTTGACCGCTCTTAACATGCACCGCAAATGGCCGTCCACTATGGTTAAGGAGGGCAAGGGCACATACATTGAACAAGAACTTTGGAAGAGAACTTTTTGGAGCGTGTGCACATTGGACAAGTATCTGAGCGTGATGTTCGGCCGGCCACGGTTGCTGCACGATGAGGACTTTGATCAAGAGCTTCCGGACGAGGTGGCGGATCCAGACTTGTTGATCAATGAGCCGAGCATGCGATCTGGAGTGGCGGATGATGTGATGATTGCATCCGTACTGCATTACCGGTCTGTCTCTGACTTGAATCGTTGGTTCGAAAAGAAAACCAATCCCAGTTAACAATTAGCAGACTCTCACAGGTGCTGGCAGACATTTCAAGGAAGTTGTACACCCTCAATCCGCCCAGAGGGTCCCCTTTTGAGGCGGCTATCCTGTTAACCCTCGAGTTAGAACGATGGAAGGAGACCGCAGCCCCATTGATGGATCGCTAGCGATTTCAAATCCAGCAGCTCGCCTACTTCCACGCGATTATTTACGTCACGCGGTTGTTTCTCTTAAATGACTGGAAGGATATCAGCTAATCGAGCGTCGCCACCTATGTTCATAAATGTATCGGGGCCGCCGAGGATATCATGACTATTATTAACGGACTCGCCAGCCAAAAGACTCTCATTCATGGGTTTTGGTTTACCCATTACGTGTGTTTCTGTGCCGTTACTGTGGTGTACATCCACATTATCAAACAGTATCAAGCTTCATCGACGGGCGCTCCACCGAACAAGAAGGTGGAAAACAGCAGCCAGCTGCAATATCTGTTCAGCCTCGCAGAGACCTGCCAACAGCATCTGAGGAAGGCCACCTCCCGGAGTAGTCCCAACCGTCGCTACGGCATTATTCTGGAGCAGTTGCGCCTGGAGGTCCACCGACAAGTCGTCTCCAGTCTCCGACCAGGCGCTCAAGTGGAGACAGAAGATGACAGCCATAAGGACCTTTCCAAAGCAGACAGTTTTCTTCCGCCTAGCTTCGATCCCACCCCCGTTACCGCCGTCTCCCCGAAGCCGCATAACATGGCATTCGATGCATTGCCAGCCGACCTCTTTGCCTCTCATCTTGTGGACGACTCAATCAAGTTATACGATAGTTTTGGTTTCCCGGATAACTCCGATACTTCGGCCTGGTGGGTACAACTAGACTCCTGGGTAAGCTTGATTATCATTCATGCTTGTTATATGAAGCAAGCTGACTTGATTTAGGCTTACACCGATCTTTCTGAGGAACCTTCTATCTTCCGGTTTTAGAGCATATTACGGTCTTGCAATAGATTTCGTATTGATATCGTGAAATTATTGATCTGGGCCTCCAGAATACATCCTTAGGCGACCTAGTTCTACGTCGATCGTGACTATTCAGCCTTGTAGAGGGGAGAATCAAAAGCTATCCCTATGTCACTTGAGAATCTAGATAATAAATCAATGGGTGCATGAAGTTCTGTCTATATCAGGTCTAGCTTTTTCCAGATATGATTAGTATCCTCGTCTTGTATTTATTTCTCTTCCTTTCTGCTCCATAGCCCGTAGAAGAGCTGACAATGAATCTATTTGTAATCTCTGCTACTCATTCACAACTTACCATACTCAAATTCTGATTTATATAAGTTACATAAAACATTATAAGAACTCATCCACGTCACAAATTGAATTTTGGATTGGGAGTCTCAAAGACATTCTGAATTCGGAGACCCCCTCGTCAACGAGGCGCCTGCAAAGCTAGACGTCCAATATTAGGTCAAATTCATAAGTAAGTGAATAGCCTTGAATTGATTGGTTGGTTGGTTGAGCGCCAGTAATAAATTTTCGAATTATTGATGGTTTTACTAAGGAGTATATTGCAAAGCGCAGTAAAAACAGTGTCATCATTTCCGGCAGTGGCCCTTCTTTTCCCTCTAGTCAAGGGCTTGCCTCGCTCAAATGTAGGTGTGTAATTAACCTGACTACATCTCTCTATATAAATTCATATCCAATATCACCTTTCAGCTCTCCACTTCTGCTAACCATTCCTCCTCTCACGAGGAATTGTCATTCAAATGTTCGAAGATCATATTCCACGGCTCCAGCCACGAATCTAGCCAGCGAAGCTACCAGTGACAAAGACCTTCTCGCGCTTCATTAGCAAGCCACAGACCAAGCAAATGGCTCCCGCAGCAATAATGGGGACGTAGGCCAGCTGGATCGCCCTGGTGATACCATGAATTGCCGCGGCATAATCCTCGGAACTTGCAGAGCGGAGAAGCTGGCTTCCTACGCCCGAGATTGCATTCGAGATCTCATCCTCACTGGTTAGGGGGAACACCTGCTGCAGGGCCTGTTGCGCGAAGTTCACGAACAGGGCACCGGAGATGCCCGTGCCAAATACGATTCCCATCATCTGTCCGACCGTCATGAAGCCCACGCAGAAGGGGATCTCCTCAGGCTTGACCTTCATCTGTGCGATCGCGAAGCCGGCCTGGCAGAAACAGCCCACGCCAGTGCCCATGATGATAGTGTAGCCGTAGATTTTGGCATCGGAGGTATGTTCGTCCACGGTGTCTGTTTTGTAGCGAGGCTCGTTAGGGTGTGTTTCGTGGTAGATGGAGAGTGTGTGCGAAGGAGGACTTACAGAGGAGGATACCGCGATTAACTCGAGAGCAGCTCCGAAAATGTACCAGGGGTAGTAGTAGCCGGTCTTGCCCATGAAATGACCATTGATCATGTTGAAGGCGACCAGGAACCGAATGAAGGGTAGGAGATGGACGGAGGTCTGAATGGCTGTGCTTCCGCGGGTAAATTGGTAGTAAATGGGCAAATAGTAGATGCCGATGAAGCTGCCGAACGTCGCCAACACTGTAGGTAGTTAGACTTTGCGCCATTCTTGTGCAATAAATGTGGGGAGTACTCACTCATAGTGAAGAAGAGAACGATCAAGGTACGGCTCTTCCAGAAATGCATGGGGAACATGCGATTCTCGAAGCTGGTTCCCAGTTTGAATGTTTGTTGCACCAGAAACAGGATCAACAGGACACCGGCACCCACAAAGAGACCAATGCTGTTCGAGCTGCTCCAGTTCCACAGAACGCCGCCGAAGTTCATGGCCATAATCGAGCATAGAAGGGTACCAATGGACAGTAGCGCCCCAATGTAGTCGATCTGGCCAAACCGCTCACCATATTTCAAACAAACCATTGGACCGTACTTATTGTGCCATGTCTTGTAGGTCTTCCATATACCATTCATGGATGTCTGATGTATGTTTCCCAGAATTGGCAGCCGAAAAGGGCCTGGAAGACAAAGCCAAAGAGGGGTTTCAGAGCCGAGTGACTACGCAGTAGTGAAGGAAAATGAAGAACGAGACTTTTATATACCGTGTGGTTATACCAGCTGCCAACTTGGCCAAGGCTGAAATGTATCCTTCAAGGGGAAACCTCCCAAGTATTCATTCAAAAGACCCATATTTTGGTACTGTGCGGGTACAAATTTCCTAAAAAAAATAAAAGATTTTCGAATATGTATATTTGAAAGCCATCTAGCACCCTCCATTGAAGACCACGGTAATAACTTAAAGGCTTTCTGCCACCACGGTGAAAAAGCACGGCGTATGATGTAGTTCAAAGAGCGATGTTTGTTGGAATATATATATCATCACTATTCCTGAAAGACTGACACCGTCACGAAGTTGAAAATGATCGCGGTAGCACACAATTAGTTGTGTTGCATACGATCGTCTTTTCTTAAAGCTTATAAATGGCTCATAGTGCATAGTTAGTAGATACCAAATCCCGATTAGACAGCGTCAAACCCCGGAATGCGGGTCAAGACCTTACGATCCTCACCCGAACACGCAACGGGTTAGCGCGGGTTTTGGCGCAAGGTAATCCCGATCAAAATAGGTCAAGGATTGACACCAAAAATCTGAACTTTTGAAGTGGTGTAGGGAAGATGCTGAAGATTTGCTGTGCAACGGTTTTCATCAAAATTCCATGTTTCAACGCAACTTTTTAGCCGCCTGAGATTGATGCAAAATTGGTTGAATGCGTGATTTTCATGATTTATAGGTCTGGGCCAATGTTCTTTTTTTGCTCCTTCCTGCTTGGTTAGCTCTTCAAGAGCAAAATTTGCAGTAAGGCGGGCTCGCTCACATGGTCGACTGCGTGTTTTGGACTGGGTAAATTCATAGTTCTGAATACGGCCCCCTGCATTGGCTGGGGGCCGAAACCATGCAGCTTCTCGAAATAAATATGGAACGTGCAGACCAGGTAAGTCCTGCCCGAATGCCAAGCAATTATCTAAGGTAACCATACCTGTACTGTCCTGAAGTTCAACGATATTTGGAAGTTGGTTTTGTGGTTGAATGAATACTCTACTATGTGCGTTATGATGTGCCGTATTTTCGCCCAACGCAAACAAAATTCCACTCTTACTAGTGAGAATCAAGGGAAAGCCTTGGGTATGTTGAGACGGCTCATCGCTGAGAGCATACTGCATGATGGATGATAATAGTGATTTGGAGTGAAAAGCGGTTAGTAAATTCCCAAAGGTGTTAGAACATATTATGCTAGAATTTGTTGTTAGTGAAGATGCAGTTTTAGGACAAGTGCAGATTTAGACTCATCGGTATATGCGAGTTCATTTACCTTGAGGCTAGCTTGGGGGTTCGAGCGGCATTTGCAAGAAAATATTATATTGCAACTGGGCCCCTGGCTATCTATTACGTGTAGACCTGTCATTGGCGTAGTGCCTAAATTACGTTCATTTGAATGGCTTGGCCGGGGTCGGTTCTATAAATTCATCATCGTCATACTCCTGTGTGCTAAAGGCTTGACTTCGTTTCACAAACTCTCGAGTTCTCATCAGATTTATAATCGTCTCATATCCTGATTATCTATTCCAAGATGGTCACAAATGAGGTCAGAACTACCTTCTCGGTTAAAGGTAAGAATTCCGGGTTTACTTCCTCAGTCCGTCCTTTTGACTCGAATTTTCATTCAAAAAGAGGGTCTTTCCTTGCCAGAGGATCAAGAATATCAGTTCCCAGTGAACTACGCCTATGACTACCTAAACGGGGGAATTTGATACCTCTCGCTTCCCTGTCTGAAGCTGAATGACCATTTGCAGTCTAAAAGGTTCCTTCGAATGGGCCAGCAAGGCAATCTGGACGATATTCACCGAAGTGAACACGCAATCAATATCTTTCCCCCTCAGGCGGGACTCCCATGGGCAACTGGAATCCTCTCATGTCGCCAAAACAAGTATTGGCAACTGACTCTTGATACAACGAGGGTATTCCTTGCGCATTTCGCTGCCGATGAGGCAACTCCGCAGATCTCCAAATCTGGGAAATCAATTTCTCAAATCTCACGTGAGGAATTGGGCCCCAGAATGGAAGAGGGATGGGCCAAATTTCCCTGTTATATGTTTTCGGAGGGGGATAGACAACGTACAAGGCTTCTTGCAGCGGTAAATGTGTTCATCTTCGTTTTTGACGGTAAGTTTAATTACGGATATTCCGGTACACAGCTGGGTTTGTATATTGACTTTAATAATCCACTAGACTTTTGGGAGATGAACTCTATCGACTCAGTGAGTGAATAAATGTTCTTTTGTTAAGTGATAACCCTTCTGACTGTCGAATGGAATTAGTTCGCAGGCGTAAATGATGACTTTATCGCTCGCATGGAATCAGGATTCTCACATACGAATGAGCCTAGATCCTTTCTCAAGTTGTTGATTGACCAAGTAATTTTGGATATCAGAGAGCTCGATTCCATCTCCGGAAACAACGCCGGTCAAGAGATGATTGATCTCATGATACGTTTCTTTAAGAGGCCACCCCCACCAGAGCAATACAAGAACCTGGAGGAGTTCTTGACATACCGACACGAGGATGCTGCGATCCCGTAAGTAACCTATAAGTTGCTGTCGACTTTTCTTAAATATCTTTTTGAACCTAAAGATTGTGGCTGATGCATCTACAGACATGTATTGGGCTGTACCAAGTTTGGTCTTAACTCCTCCGTAGACCTCAACAGTCCACGTCTAGCGAGATATATTCGCCTGATGAAAGACCACATTTCTATCGCGAATGATCTGGGGTCGTGGGAAAAGGAGAAAAAGGCTTTTGAATCGAAGAAAGTTATGTATATGATCAACGTGGTGAGCGTCATTAAAGACCTGCTAAGATTGCGAACTGATCACGCAGCTGTGGCCATGACGCAGTCTCTTCAGTTCCAAATTGAGACAGAAATAGACGTTGAGATTGAGCGACTGATAACTGAGGATGCTCTAACAGGCGAGGAATGGCGCTTCGTTGATGCTACCTTGCATGTCATGAGTGGGAATGTTTTTGTTTCGACAGTCATGTCGCGATATGGGGGCGAGGAGTTCAGACTCAAATAGAATATACTTAGATAGTATTTTGATCTGTCTATCTTTCGGCTTTTTGATAATCCTGACAGACCTCCAAAAATAAGACGGGAAAACCAGTAAAAATGCACAAAGTAACATCGCCCGACGCGTATTCGACTATCTTGCTTCAGTGACACCGGGCTTCACTCGAGTTCGCTCAGCGTGGGATGTTGTTCATTTTGAGAGCCAGGACGTGCCCATGATTCCAGGGCCTATCAAATCCGCCGTGGTAGCTGCCGCATTGCACGGAATGTAAGGAGTTATGGGAATGAAATCCTCGAGCCTGGTGATGGATAGCCAAAGTTGGGAAACGCTGTGACTGGGACACAGAAGTAGATATTGAATACGATCATCTATTCTCTGATATTCGAGAACACGACAAAAGCCAAGAAAACCTGGGCAACGAGCGCACGATATTGCCACTATATTTCTAATCCGAGTGCCTAACAAAGCATAATATTCCGGTATCCCGAAAAGCCAAGACTTAGTCTAAGAAGAGTAGATAAGTCGATCAAGTCATCCAATTCAGCCAGCTTAGACATGGCCGCGCCCGACTAGCTACTCTATCTGGGAAAATACTTCTACCACTACGATAAACAATACGAAAATAAAACATGTCATTCAAATCCGCTGTCCATTATCATGATAGTACATCCGGTTTCTAACGTACGTTCCGAGGTCTCAAGCATGAAAAGCCACGCCCTCATGCCCATCCACACCATCAGCCTCTTCCACAAACTCGAATCCCAGGGCGCGCCAGTTCAGCTCCTTACGCCAGTGAAGTCCATAGTACAGACGCTCATCTTCTGTATCGGTGGCCACGACAGACTCATTGTGAGCAGACTCTTCGTCAGTGGTGGGACCCACAGGCTCGGATGCAAGACCACCGCTCTTCATTCGTCCAGAGCGCGGGAAGATTACGGCGCGGAAGCGGGACAGGAGAATTCCCATTGAGCAGCAGAGGCAGGGTTCGTGGGACATGTAAACATCTAGGTCGGTGCAGAGGTAGCCGCCTTGGGCGCGGGTGCGGATTCGGGAGGATGGGGGTATTGTTGAGTCAGAGAAGGGGTCAGAGGGCCATTCGGGGGCGTTGGTGCGTGCGGCGATTATTGGGTCGGCGAGGGCGGTTGTTGAAGGGGGAGGGGCAGGGAGGGGTGCAGATGAGATAGACTGAGGATCCGTATCGTCGCTGATTTCTACCTGTGTAGCACGGATCTCGGGGTTGGGTTCTTCGTGCTTCCTCTTCTTCGGCGAGGAAGGCTCAGGAGGAGGGTGTGCAGACGGCGTGTCGGCGTCATACAAGAAGTAAGACTCGAGAGGACTGAGCTGAGTCGACAGTTGCGGATCTGTCGCAACGATAGCCGGAGGAGTGAGCGATTCCATGGCAGCCTCATGGACCGCATCTTCCCGGCGACGGCGGGCAACAAGCTCCGTAGCACGCATCAAGGCGTGGAGATCAGGGCCACCCTCTAGGTCAGCGTCGTACGTTGTGCTGGCCGGGTTGGGCACGAGACCGGGGTGGAGGTCTTTCTGTGAAGGAGCACCAGCCTCGCCCCGGCCGTATCTAGCATCGCCACCGACTGCGACCACAGCTTCCATCCATCGGTCCCTAGGGTTCCAATCTGCGCCCCAGGAGATAGCGTCAATATGAGTCTCAATGGCTGGGTCGACGATCACTGCACCGACGCCGCGGCCATGGCCAGATTGCTCTGCCTCTTCGGCGACTTTGCGCGCAAGTGAGAGGTAGTACCCTGCCTGTGTGCTGATATGTTCCTGAGCGCGGTTTAGGACCTGGGGAGGCGGTGCGATGGTTGCGCGCGGGGCCGCAGCGTTGAAGACCACAGGCCAAAGATTGTTGCTCCAATTTTCGGCTTGGGTAATGTTGAATGGGGGTTGGATGGGGACTTTGGTAGGGATCAGGTTGATCTTCGGAGTCGTGAGCTCGGGAGAAGATGCATCTGAAGGGGTATTTCTTGCTGAGGGAGAAGAGGCGGGTGCGAATGGGGCGAGCACTGCTTGCACCTGATCGAGGTCCGGGACTGGAGGTGAGATCAGCACGAAGATTGTCTGTGCTGGTGTCTTTGAGAATGATCGATCCTCCTCAATTGCGGCTTTGAGTGGTGCCGGGAGATTCTCCCGCTTAGAGAATCGTCGCAGGTGGCCCAGGGAGAGGGCGGGGTCGCGGGGGAAGGCCGAGTCGAGAGCCCTAGAGGAGGAAACAGATTAGTTATTTGCGTTATAGATAGTTCGGCGTGGTGACCATACTTGACAACTTTAGACGCAGCTTTGACATTGACCTCGGCGGCGTAGGCATCGGCTGTAGACTATGAGCTTTTTGTCGCATGCAACGAGTGGACGTGGCCCAAGATGAGGGACATACCAAATTCCTCAGGCGGCCGGGTCTCTTGAACCGTCCGGATAGGAATTACTTCTCCCTGCAGAGGCCGCAGAGCCTCAATAGCTTGCTTGAGCTGCATTCTGGTGGCGTGAAGTTGGGGTCTTGCCTCGACGCAGGGGGAATATTCCAGGTGGGTGTGGGTGGAAAAGGACTGAAATTAATGAGCGCGCAGCATGGCCAGACACAAGCCGAACGTCAACACAGCAAACACCGCGAGCGTAGACAACAGCGCGTGACGCAACGAAGTTAAGATTTCAGTCCCGCTGATGCCCTAACCCCCGCACCCTATGCCCTAACTGCCCGATATGGAAAAGGCTGTCGCTCTCCCGACACTACTTGCGGATCGTTGTCATCACATCTACACTAACATCTACAGGCACAAAAAGATTAAAAATCATGGAATTTGTGAAATTTCATTAATAAATAGCACGTAATCCCATAAGGTATCAAAACGCCGGATCAATCCGCTGAAAATCGCTGAAATCATGATAGAAATCACCGCCTGGCGGATGTATGCTAAGATATATCACTCTCAGGTACCGGGCCATCTCACGGGTATTTTCCCGATAGATCTCGGACGCGGTCCGTCCGTCCAACAACGCCTTGGATGCAAAGATAATGGTTCATTAAGATCGCGCTGCGAGGGTCGGCGGAGGGTGGTCGATCAAGAAAGATATCTCCAAGGATAACCAGAGGCCAGCACAAGTTAAGCCTGGAAGAATTGAAGAACTGCGGGGAGATGTGGTGACAAGGTGCACAATTACCCCGTAACCATCCTGCTATGAGGGAGTGGCTGCAGAGGTGATTGGAGCGCTGTCATCGACGGGGGTGCGATCGATCTCATAGCCATCACATCGTTCAATGAGGCTTTTGTAGTAATCCACCAGGACTTCCGGCTGTGGTACGATGCGCCATTGGGTACGGAATAAGAACTCCAGCTCCAACATGGCCAACTCGGTCATGCTGATTCCGCCTACGCGTGCATACGTCTTGTTGGTCCAGAAGCTATCACTGAGTCCTTTGCTGGCGACAGTTGCGCTGGTGATCAGGAAACGGTGGATGGTCAGACTGGAGACGGTGAAGGCAGGGTAGAGGGCGCAGAGACGATCGATGTAATAGACCATGGAGAGGAGAATCGGGGGCGAGAGGGTGGCGTGCGTCGTCAGGCGCTGCATGTAATCCTGCACGGAGATTCGGGGAGGCGATCGAGAGTGAAAGCGGGTCAGGCGGCCCTGGTTCAGAGGGATCTTGTCGTTGAAGTGGATCAGTTCCAGGAGCATGCTGGAAATCAGCACGACCAGATCACGGGTATCAACGTCCTCGTACTGGGCGGGCAGGATCTTGACGTCGGCCTTGGAGGATCGTAGGCGCTTGGCCTGCGAGGGTTGCGCATCCTGCACCAGCGTCGCATCAGGCGCGTGGTGGTCAGTCTGACTGTTGCGCTTGTTGGACACCGGAGTGTCCGGGGCGGGCATGGAGGAAGAGGCGGAGGAAGCGGGCGGCGGGATCGCGGCAGCGCTTGCGGTCGTCGGCGCAGCGGGAGGAGTGGAGGAATTGGCCAACGCCTCTCCAGGAGTAAGAGTGACACTGGCAGCCGTTGCTGCAGAGGTGCGTCGCCGAAGATCTGCAGGAGAGACAGGAGAGGCAGGATCGACGGTATGGCGGTTCAAGGCCGAGCGGAGCTCCTCAATAGCCAAGCGCGACGAGCGTGGGCTATTGAATTGTGGAGCAGACTCATAGTGAGCCCCCGTCTGGCGAGGAGAGCGCATTGCCGCCTGGGAAGGCGAGGGGGAGGAAGCTAACATGGCTTAGCGGCCGCAAGGAGGAATGCTGGTATTTGGGTGAAAGCCGCTCGGAGTGCCGGATAGCACCACGTGGGCGCACGAGTCAACGGGGGCTGGCGCTGTGCTTCGATGGCGCTGGCGCACGGCCTCATTCTCGCTCAGATTAAGGGGGGCGATAGAGGAGACCGGGGGATCGAGATCGGATCCTGGGGTCTCTAACACAACGTGGAGGTATCAACCCCATCTAATACTGAAGAAGAAAGATGAAAGAGAGGGGAGAAAACAGATGGAAAATCCTGTTTGGCGATGAGGTAATTTATTACATCCGATACACATGGTTCCGCCTCTGCCAATGTTGCCCGGTTTCTACTCCGTACAGATCTTTGCCAGGCTCCATCGGGTTCCGGCAGTCTCCAACGGGCGTTCAATCGGCGATCAACGTGTACGCTGACTGGTTGGCACGGGTTGGAGGCGCCGCCTCTGACGTTACGTGACAATACGCGAAGCTAGGCGTTGGCATCAGCTGATCGGGTAGGACGGTGGCGTGCACGTGATTTGCGCCTCCGGGGTTCCCCGTGCCCCTGATTTGCGCGTTTTTCTCCTGTCGACGCCCCTGATACCCGGCAGAATGGCCCCCCTACCTAGATTGACCGCCCTGCTGTGAATAGCAGCCGCAGGCTATTTGGAACAAATATGATACATAAAAAGCTATCTAGAAAAATTGGGTTACAAAGAGCCGAAAGGCGAAGTAGAATTGAGTTTTTAGGCCCACTTTTATATCTTGGCTGCCTGCACTGACACCTCAGGCAGAATATTTATGCCTCAGGTGACAATTTATACCTGAGGCATCAGGCTACGTAACTGCCAGCTCATCCGAGTGCGGAGTCAGATCGGAGAGCTATACTGCGGCGATCTGATATCTGAGATATGCACCAAGTAAGGCCTTGCCGTGAGATTGACCAACGAGGCAACGCTGACCGGATATACAGGTAGTTGTCTGTCATTGAATTCCATGTTCTCGTTGTACACGCGACCCCTCTCCGCAACTCGCTGAATCCGGACTGGTGCACCGGCCGCATCCCGGTCCTGCCATCCTCAGGGCTTTATTGAATCACAACCCAAACGAGTCGCGCGACATCCCGATCCAGCTCCGAGAACCGATTCACATCATTGACTTTGTTCTTTCCGATCTTGCGCTTTATTGGAGACCCTCCCGTCGGGAGGCGGTGGTCCTCGGACAATGACACGAGCCGCTGCTCCACCGATACTCTTGCAGCTGCGCAGCTCGGAGTCCGTCTCCGAGCAGGTGGTTTCCCTGCGGACTCTCAAGAATGAGTTGATCGGTCATGATCAGCGCAAGGAAGCCTATGTGGCCGGAGGGATCATTCCTGCGCTGGCACAAGTGCTTGCACTGCGTCGGCCGGGGAAAGCTGCAGCTGCAGAGTCAAACGGATCCGCAATAAGCCAGGCTAGATCTTACCAATCTTCAGAAGAATCTGAGGCCTGTCTCCAGGCAATTCTCATTGTTGGAAGTTTGGCACAAGGTACGTTTTCCAACTGATGCTTCCACATATCAGCATCTGACCGTATCAAACCAGGTGGCCCAACCTTCCTTGCTCCAATCTTCGCCAGCGACATTATTCCAACTCTCCTAACTATCCTATCTTCTCCGGATTGCCCGTCGACCTTCTCTCTTCCGATTCTTCGACTCCTGAACACAATTGCTGACAGATTGCCCTTGCAGAGTCAAGAGCAATGGCCTCGAGACACCCGCCTGGCAGACATGGTCTTGTCGCCGGAGAACATCGGCGCTTTGAGACGGATTGTGGCCCAAGAGTACAGCACTACGCGCAGCCAGACCTGCATTGAACTAGCAGCTTCCTTGATTGGGAAGTTATGCACGGAAGAGATTCATAAGACGGATTTGGCGGAATGTGGGGTACTGGATGCTCTAGCTGTCAAAATTGCCTCCTTCGTCGTGGCCCAAGGCTTCGTTCTACCTGGCGCCGAGGATCATCTGCAGGAGCCGGGTGCATTGGGGGATATCCCACCACCTGCCCCAGCATCTGCGCGGCTAGCACCCATTCTTCGTGCCGTGACGGTGATTATTGAACAGTCCAAGTGGAGAGCTGAGCATTTCCTCTCCTCTCCAGGAATTGTGACCGTTTTCCCGAAACAGGTCCCTGGGTTTGCTTCCGTTGATATCAAGAAAGGCCCCTGGGGGTCTACCTACTTCTCGGGATCTGCAGTGCCGCGCCACCACGGTGGAAACCCAGTCGATAGCCTGCTACCCTCGGTGCCTCTTGCGCACGTCAAATCATCCCCCAGCTCGGCCAACTTTCCACCTCTTGGCAACGCAGGCTCACAACGCCGTAGCAGCCACTCTTTCCCAACACCGTTTTCGCTGGCCGAAACACCTGCTCCGGAAGAAGATGAAAACTCGATTGTGCCATGGCTGCTGTGCATTATTCGCTCGGAAGGTGGCATGGTGCGACTGATGGCTGCTCGTCTGGTGACAGTCCTCTTCCGCCTGGGACTCGCGAAAAAGCACCGTGTTCCTATGTTCAGTTACCTGCTCGTTCCAATCCTCATTCGGATGCTGGACAAGGACTTTCAATTGCCGCAAGAGAACGGTACCAGTGAAGATGGGCTTATCACGGCGACTCAGCACTTGAAGGAGGAGGCCCCGGCTGTGCTCGCCAACTTGGTGATGGATGACCAAGAGCTACAGAGGCATGCGGTGGAAGGAAGTGCGCTCAAGCGACTATCGCAACTTCTCAAGGAGACCTACAATCCGGTTCCAGAAAGCTCCCGGCCGATGTGGTACCCGGAGGGAGACAGCCCAGCCCTTGATCCTGAGTCAATGGCGCCTGAGTGCCGGCTCGGACCACCTGGGTACTCTCCCATATTGTGCCATGTTATGCGATACCGTGAAAGTATTCTGAAGGCCCTGGCGGCCCTGGTGCCGTTCAAAGATGAATATCGCAAAGCGGTCTGTGAGAACGGTGTGGTTCCTTACATCATTGACTCCCTCAAGCCACGACCAAGTGATGCACCGGCTGATGCCGTGTTGATGCCCAAGAACACAGCTGCCGACGGTAATCCAACTCCGACACTCTTGGCTGCCTGTGGCGCAGCTCGGATGTTGACGCGATCGGTTAGCGTCTTGAGGACCAGTCTCATTGATGCTGGAGTCGCTCAGCCGCTGTTCGTACTGATTCGGCACCACGACCTTGAAGTGCAGATTGCGGCTACGGCAGCGATTTGTAACTTGGCGTTGGATTTCAGTCCCATGAAAGAGGCAAGTCGGCTTGTATTTCTTTTGATATCAAACTTACTCTAACTCTATCCAGGCAATCATCTCAGCCGACATCATTCCAACGCTGTGCGAGCATGCTCAGTCATCCAACACCAAGCTGAGAATTGAATCATTATGGGCGCTCAAGCATGTTGTTTACAACACACCAAACGACATCAAAATGAAAGTCGTCGAGGCACTGGGTCCCTCGTGGATCCGCCAGGTCATCACCCAAGACCCAGTCATCGCCTTGACCAGACGTGGAATGGAAGATGAAGCAGACCAAGCCTCGGGAATTGCCATGGGTCGGGTCAATTCTGCTGGCGAACAGGTTGACATCCTCAACCCCATGGAGGACGTCGGTGAGCCGTCAGAAGATTTCAAAATGACCGATACCATGCCACCATCGAAGATGAGCCTGGACATGTTCCTCCCAGACGCAAGGCGTCGACGTAGATTAGTTCTACATGGCAACTTGGAACAGTCCACCCAGTCTCGCCAAGACGACATCGCCGTCCAAGAACAGACCTTCGACTTGTTGCGCAACATCATTTGCGGCGGGGGCGCAAACGAGATGATCGACTATCTCTTCAAGGAACTTGGAGAAACCGAGCTACTGGATGCGCTAGCCAACAAACTGCGCCCGCGCACAATCCAACTCCAGCACCGCCGCGAATCTCCCACTCTGTCTCTGAGCGTGCCCAATGAGATCCTGATCTCGGCCAGTGCAATGATCATCCACATAGCCGCAGGTCTTCCGCGGCACCGAGCAGTACTCATGTCCCACGATAATTTACTGCGATCGCTCACGAACTACTTCAATCACTCCCACCGGGATGTGCGAGCCAACTGCGTCTGGGTGGTGATTAACCTGATCTACGAAGAGGACCAGAGCGACCACGAGGGATGCCGGGCACGAGCCTCGAGACTCAAAACACTCGGGGTCACTGACAAGTTGGCTAGTCTCCAAGATGACTCGGATCTGGATATCAAGGAGCGCACCAAGACGGCAGTGCATCTGCTGAACTCGCTGTTGGCGCCATAGTATGGGGATATGATTTTGCGTGTCGTGTGTGAATTGGGCGGGGCGTCTTTATTTGAAATGAATGTGCATAAGCCATGTCCGGGTTCGACCATAATTTCAAAACGACTGTTTAGATAGCGAGTCTCGCATCTTCACACTCCTTTAGATCTCCTCCACTCTCCTCACCCTCTAGTCCCACCGAAGCTCCTTATCGGAGCTTATCGCCAAAATGGTGGAGAAATAACGTCACAGGCCCGCGAACAATCCTGTTAAGCTCACATCCCTATATATGAATAAAACACACTTCTAAATCCAACACACTTTTCCAGCACAAAAGAACCAAACCAAAATGTCCCCTGTTCCAGAAGCCATCCTCCGCGCCCTCTCCCTGCCAGATCCATCCAAAGTCCAACTCTCCGGCCTAGGCTCCGGCTTCACAAGCACAGGCGCAATCCGCGCGCAAGTCCCAAGCAAAAACGGAACCCCAGAAGAACGGCGCTACTTCGTGAAAACCTCCGCAAATGGCCAAGTCGCTTCAGAAATGTTCCGAGGCGAATACATATCCCTAAACGCAATCGCCTCCTCCGTGCCCGGCTTCTGTCCGCGCGCTTTAGCCTGGGGCGCCGTCGACGAAGAAAGCAGCAAACCAAAGAACTTCTTTCTGGTAACCGAGTTCCTTGATCTCGGTGGTGCGATGGGTCGGAGTAGCGGCGACGAAACTACACCCACGAGCTTGGCGCATCGTCTGGGCAAATTACATACTACACCTGCGCCTGCGGATCCGGAGACGGGACGGCGCAGATTCGGGTTCCCTGTTCCGACGTTCTGTGGTGATACGAAACAACCTAACAAGTTTCATGATAGCTGGGCCGATTTCTACGCGAATGAGCGTCTACTTACTATTCTCGCGACGAGTGAGAAGCGGAATGGGCGCGACGCGGGCTTGCGGGAGCTCGTTGAGAAGACGGCGGGTCAAGTTGTGCCGCGATTGCTCGGTGATGATCATCTAGGATATAACTCGCGCGGCGAAGGGGAGGGAATTGTTCCTGTGGTCGTGCATGGGGATCTATGGGGTGGGAACGCAGATCGGGGCAGAATTGTGGGTAATGGAGGTGATGAGAAGCCTGGAGACGTGGTTTATGATGCCTGTGCAGTTTATGGGCATAGTGAGTTTGAGTTGGGCATCATGCATATGTTTGGTGGGTTTGGGTCGAGGTTTTTCGAACAGTATCATCGTATTGTGCCGAAGACTGAGCCTGTGGAGGAGTATGATGATCGGGTGCGATTGTATGAGCTGTGAGTTTCCCCTGCGCTAGACCTGGGTTGTTTGTGTTGGAAAGGAATGGCGGGCTAATTGGGTTCTAGGTATCATCATTTGAATCATCATGCTATCTTTGGCGGTGGGTATCGCTCGGGCGCGATGTCGATTATGCAGAAATTGGTAAGGAAATACGGGGATGGGAAGTAAATGCCAAATTAGACTAGAGTGCATATGCAGCCATAGTCAAGTATTCCAAAATTCAAGGTTTGTACACTGAATGTTGATTTACAAGCAAATGATGTCACGTCAAGCTCGCGGAGATATCTACAATGGTTCTCCACCTGGGCTTTGTTTCCAACACTTCAAGTTTCCCACATCTTCCCCTCCCACTTAGTCCGATCACGACTAAAATGCCCGCTCATCCAGACGCTAATCTTCATCCCGAGGCAACGGGTACCGCCAAGGCATTGGTTGAGAAGCACAGTGCAGAGCAACCGTTGAAGTTGTATGCGGGGTGGTTCTGTCCGTGAGTAACACCAGCACAATGATTTTCGCCCATGTTAACCCGCCACAGATTTGGTGCGTCCAAGAACAACATTAAACTCATACATGCAGACAAACTAACCGCCGTCAAGTCCAGCGAGTCTGGCTCGCTCTAGAAGAGAAACAGATCCCCTACGAATACATTGAGGTCAATCCATACAACAAACCAGACTCACTACTGTCTCTCAACCCACGCGGTCTAGTCCCAACCCTCTCATGCCCAACAAAGCCGAATCCCCAACCACTTTACGAATCCACCGTTATCCTGGAATACCTGGAAGAAGCATACCCCACACACAGTCCGAGTTTCCTCCCAAAAGACCCATACGAGCGCGCCCGCGCCCGCACCTGGATTGACTACGTAACCTCTCGCATCATTCCATCATTCCACCGATTCCTGCAGTACCAGCCGGAAGGAACCGCTTCAAACGACCCGGGATTAGACCAGGCCCGGCAGGATTTTCTAACCCACCTAAAGGCATGGACAATGGAGATGCACCCTGAGGGCCCATTCTTCCTTGGTTCAGAGCTATCTTTGCCGGATCTTGTGCTGGCACCGTGGGCTGTGCGGTTGTGGGTGTTTGACGAGTTTAAGGATGAGGTTGGTATTCCGGCTGATGGAGCTGGTGGGGCGGATGAGGGAGTGTGGAAGAGATTTAGGAAGTGGTTTAGTGCTATCGAGAGTCGAAAGAGTGTGAGGGAGACGACGAGTGAGACGGAGTTTTATTTGCCTATTTACAAGCGGTATGCGGATAATGTTGCGCAGAGTGAATTGGCCAAGGCTACTCGGTCGGGACGGGGTGTTCCGTGAACTACCATTATTCAGCCTTTTGCTATCGATTTGAGTATCTTATCTTATTGATTATAATTTATTTTTCATTTCTCTTCGATATCAAAGGTGTTTGAACGATCATGACCTACTTCGTTTCTATACATCCGGATCAACTAATCTCCGCCTATCACACGTGATCCCTTATCGATATCGAAACCCATTCAGCTGCAACTTCGCATCCTGCGACTTCCCAGGGCAATTGCATTGACGTTTCTCCTCGATCACATCGGGTCCCCCGTTCCGGCAATGTCACACGAGAAAGAAGAACGGGCAGGGTCACGCCTGGACTCGGACTCGGTCGCGCCGGAGCTCCCAGCCATCCACCCGTCATTCATCAAGGTGGCCAGGCCTTATGTCTTTGAGCAGACAATCCAGGACAGCATCCAGGCCTTGGGTGTGAACCCTATGCGCGAGGAGTCATTGCGTTTGCAGGGTGTCTCATGGATTGATAACGTGCGCAAGGTGCTCCACCTGTATGTTCATGTCCGCTTGAGAGAATGCGGGAATGATACTAATCGAGAACACAGTCCTGTTCGCACCTTTAATACAGCTGTGATTTACTACCACCGGTTTCGGCTGTCGCATGCGGACAGTGAGTACAACTTCATGGTATGTTGACTTTACCCGTGGTTCTGGATGTTTGTTCTGACATTGTGCAGGATGCTGCGGCGGCGGCTCTGTTCACCGCTTGCAAGATTGAGGATACTCTGAAAAAGTCGAGGGATATTGTGTGTGCGGCGTACAATCTGAAGTTACCGCCCTCGGAGCACCTGTCTCCTGATAGTCCGGTATGTCATGACACTCAAGTGTGAACTCTCCAGGAACTGGCGGCTAACTTCCATGTCAGGTATTTGAAACCAATGCGCGGGGAATTATCGGCCTCGAAAGACTCATGCTCGAAGCGTCTGGCTTTGACTTCCGTACCCGCCACCCACAAAAGACTCTGGCCAAGCTTGCTCAGCATTACAAGCTGTCGAAAGAGTCCGAAGTGTCAGATCTGGCCTACCTTATCTCACTGGATCTCTACCGGACATTTGCACCAATCAAGCAGACAACGTCAACAATGGCATTTAGCTGCCTCGAGCTTGCAGGACGGCTCATGGATCAGCGCATAGACGCGGTGGAGTCAGGAAGAGATTATGCCCACTGGGACACAAGCCGCCCCGAAGTCATGGGTAAGATATTCACGACCTGCATACTTGCAGCTCATACTAACAATCCAAACAGAAACCCTTTTCGACATCCTCGAACTTTACACTCATCATCGCTCCTCAACATCCGTGGGCCCGCGTTTCCCAGCAGACCGCTTCCTCACCGTCCGAATCCCACTCAACCAAGAAGCGAGCGAACACCGCATTCCGCGTTACGCGCATTGGATAGACCGCCCACGCCAGCCCTATAACGTTGGAAACGCACAAAATAGCACACGGCCCAATGATGCAGATACTCCACGACTTCACCACCCATTGACGCCAACCGCAGCTAATGGAGATCGACACCAAACATCTGACCGTGGTAAGGACGCGGCCGTACGATTCATGCTTGATCACGACATCGCGGACTGCGAGAAGAGGCAAGTTGCAGAGTACTTCAGAGTGGAGATGGAAGAGTATGAGGTGGATGCATGAACATGGCTTGGTTTATGGATTTGCATGCTACGCTCTACATGGAGTCATATGGGGCCAGGTGGCATGGCTGGTTTAATGCTTATTTCGTGATACCCTTCCATTTTGTTCATAAAGAATAGATAATTCAATCTAGTTTTACCTAGACTGGGCAATGCGTCACTCCGACCTCCTTTGATGGTCAACACAAAGCTCCGTTACTGAGCAGTCTAATAAACTGACCGTCAGTAGTGATGGGGTCATTTAGACAATAGTGGTCAATTGACCGGAGGACCAACAGGCAATTCAAAACGATTAACAGAGCAATTTCAGGGTGTTCTTATGGCGGCCCGGATCCATTAAACTTGCTCTACATGCCACAGCTTCTTGCCAAGTCTGATCCCATGCATGGCCGTATTGATACAATGCAGGCTTATTCAATTATGCTCACACACGGTGTCGTTCCTTGCCGATCTTGTCAGCTACAGTAGTGAGGTGTTCGTGTTTAAGGGATGCACCAAGAAGCGCAAGAAAAACAATTCACTTGAGATAATTTCACTCCCAGCCTGCATACTTGCTTCACTGCACCAATTGTATCTCTCAACCAAGTTCCTCCGTCGGCTTTCCACCACGCGATTCTTGGCATTACTTCCTCCTTTCAGAGCGCGCGTCAGTCCGAACACCGAACGCCCTCTTTATTTTTATTTTAAATGATAAAACTGTACCCAACTATTACTCTCTTCGGGCCCGACGGACCAGACGGACACTGTCGTATTTCCGCGCTCTCAGCAAGTTCCAGCCCGTTAAGTCCGCTTATCGCCGATGGCCTTGGGAACCGAACCAGCCGTTCTTTTCGAAAGACTATAAAGGCGTGAAGACAAGATGCAAAGATTGATTAACAAAATTTATCAACGTCGAAAAGATTCCTCATCAACATGTCTTATACGGCGTCCCTCCCAAACCTCAACACCAAAGAGGCCATCACCGACGCCCTATACCGTGCCGCTATCGGCTTCGACCGCAATGACATCTCCATCTTCGACTCCACATTCACCGGAGAAGACTTCGTCTTCGAGCTAAAATTGGGCACAGACGAAAAAAGGACCATCAATGGTCTGCCTGCATTCAAAGCACAAGTCCTTAACCACGTCGGACCAATGGACACCACCCATATGATTAGCAACGTCCGAGTCAATCACAACGAAGGAGAGGATACTGCGTCCCTGACTGCATATGCATTGGCTCAGCACTGTCCGCCTGGCAGGGGCAAGGAGCCGGATGGACCAAAGTACATTTCCGGTGGGGAGTACGCGGTTGATCTTGTGAAGGACCTTGGCGATGGAATGTGGAAGATTAAGAAGTGGGTTTTGGATGTTATTTGGACACAGGGGGATCGCTCGGTGATGGGGGGTGCCTAGTTCTGAATAAAGGTCTTTTGTTTCTGTATACAGGAAGTTATAGGTTGAGTGAAATCTAATTGTGAAGTACTGTAACTCAGAAAGGGAAAGTGAGATAACGTTTATACAAGCTTTTTCAAGGTCCGAGATGGTGGGGAAAAAATACCTTTGTTTGCGATATTCCTCGGCTTCGTGATGACGAAATGCACATTGGCTTCTTCCCTGTCCTCTTTTAAATGATCATCTCCTCCGTACCTTGTATGATACTTCCCCAGGGATATAAGCTCAATCGACATGACCCTTTAAAATGTAAGGTTCTGGTTTATCATTAGTTGCGCCTGGGGCCTAATAGCGTTGGGAGTAGTAATCAGGCTATTCCTCACTTCCATATATAACACTTGGATTCGACACTGAGTCTCAGTTCAATGTTTGGTCCAGCAAATTGAAAAGTAGATTTCCCTAAAGACACCCATGCAGTGTTTCTCCGCCCAGTCTCTGAAATCACCCCAGTCTGTATTTGGCTGTCTTAAGTCGCCTTATTCTTAAACTTAGATCACTTTATCTATAGAGCGATGGTGTGACGTACTGTATAACGCCGTATCATACATGAAAGGCCTACAACGTCTGCGACCTCAATACATCTCCCATGCCCATTGACCTTTTCCATTCCACCCATTCCTCTGTTTGTTCACTATATAGAACCATTTAAACTACGATAGAAGCAATTCAACACAACGGCATGATGTGTGGTAATCACGGCGTTAGCCTTACGCCTTTCCATTCATAGGGAATTCGCTGTACTACCCCAGGCATATCATCCTCGTATTTTCCAAGAAAAGGCTTCAATTCGTGAGTAATGAGTGTACAATCCAAAAAGGATATCCCGAAATTGTGGCACTTTCACAGAAGCTTCAAGTACCATAGTGAAATGGACAGAGAGGTAGGGTGAATGGCAGCTGCCGCTAATCACAATAACTCTCATGATCCTAGGTCTGCTGCAAGCTAGCCGATGATGATTCTAACCCACGGGTAGACTCTTTGCAAGGCTATAGCAATGCCGTTGGATTCGAAAGACCCCGCATTATACACTTTTGTGGTCCTAACAGCATCCCTAGGAGGATTCACGACAATTTTCCCTTCCCCAGTCAGACGAGTAGGGCTGATCAACTCCTCATTGGCAACGATGCTGTTTTCGAAAATCCCCTCGGTTTTGCGACTCCCAGCCTTAAGGTACGCCTTCTCGCCTTTATGGTAAAACCATGTCGTGCAGCGGAAGAAGTATTTTCTTTTGTAGACGAAAATACTGGATTTGGCTGGGATGACGTAAGTATCTTCAATGCGTTTGATTTGCGAGGTTTCCGACGAGGTGAAAGTTTTGGACTCGGTTGACCCGTTGACAGTCGCCGAAAAGCCGAAACCGCTAAAACCGGCACTAGCTGAGACCGATTCAGAGACCTCTCTCCCTTCAGTAACAACCATTCCGAGCTCAGTAGACTCCATTTTCGTCCGCGTGCCTTCGCTCTCGTTCTCAATGCTGAACTGGAAAGCCCATTCGCACTTGTAGAGCTCCACATCTGTAATCGCGACCCAGTCCCAGCCGAAGTCTTCCCTCAGTTGCCCAACAAGCCGATCTCCCTCCACCACATCGCGCTCGTTTCTCTTTAAGCCGTTGCGTTCATTGGGGTTATAAACGATTCTGTGGGCAAGAGGGGATGGCTGCTGATGCGAGGTTTCGGACATAATGCTGGGGATGTAGGGGTAATATTGCAAGAATGAGCAGGTTGCCTTGTAAATAAGAACGAAAGGGTTTTAGAGACTTTGAGTGTAAAAATAATTATCGAATCTGTCCTACTTGTAGAACTGACACCCTCCTATTTATACCAACTCACGACTTTGATAAGCGACTCGTCGTTTCTTGATCTAGGCGTCTATATTATACGTACAAAACAGCGGTGAAATCAATTTGTATAGATGACGGGACTTTAAAGCTGAAGACACGTATGTGAAGATGTAGGACACCTAGATAGGTATTCATGATGTTCAGAATTCTGGGCGTGAATGCAGTGTAACTGTTGTGCTACCGACGCTATAAAAGCGAGGCATCCGTTTTGGCAAGTACTTGACAATGCTGGTCCTAGATGCCTTAACAGATTGGTCTGTTGGGGTCGTTCTGACCGCTAGCTTTTGCAGGGATAGGTAGACCTCGCCCAAACCCGCGGGTAGACGGGTTGGACCCGACCCGTACCCGTTTCTTGGCGGGTTTTGGGTCGAGGGTATGGACCCGAAGGTCGGGTACGGGTTGAGATATTAAACCCGCGGGTTACCCGCGGGTTACCCACGGGTTGGTAAACAATACAAACATGAAGAACCTCGTGATATGTATATATTATGCATTTATGGGCTGTATTTATAGGTATCTAGCTTATAGGTAGTGTATTCCTGCAGAAATAAGGTCAAGGATAAGTATGAATGTCTTCAATTCTAGAACCAAACTAATAAACTATGAACTGATCATCATTATGCCGCGGCCGCTTCCTAGATCTTCCTGAGACACGCTATTATGTCTCTGGTAGAGGAATATCTTCCTCCTCGTTACTATCCTTATAGCCTTTAGTGTCTGGTTTAGATGCAACACTCTTTCTTCTCTTTCCAAGAGCACGTTTCGAGGGACCTTCCGTTGTTGATTGCGTTTGAACAAGGACTAAACCTACCTATATATCGTCCTTATTACTCTCCTCATTATCACTAATTAGGTCGATAGTACCCTCTTGTTGTTGGGCATCTTTCTCTTTATGATCCGCTTCTATCTCCCCTGCAGAAAGATACTCCTTCCGAAAAGCGATTTCGTCCTCTTCGACTTTAAATTGCGTCGTACATCTATACAATATAATCTCCTAGATTATTATAGTATTTAGTGAGCCTCGACGATAGTGATAGATATCCCGAGTAGTATTAAATAGCCGCTCAACGCTAGCGCTAGTTATAGGAATTGAGAGTATATCACGCGCGAGCTTTGTAAGCGCAAGGAATGTAATCTAGTTCTCCTTCCAGAACGCTCGTATTAGAATACTAGAAACAATAGCTAAGGTATATATATTAGTATAAGCCTAGTGATTAATAAAATAAGGATACTTACTACTATCGAGATATCTTATAAGCTTGTCCTGCTAGCTAGCTTAGATAGTCTGATCTAGACTAATCATCCGATCAAGGTCTATGCCTACACTCTACGTAGAAGATCCTTTACCGTTCTCTATCTATTCCTCTAATAGACGTTACTTATATAGTTCAAAGTAGTCCACGAGGCTTTACCTATATCTAGTAAGCCACTTAGGGCCCCAATCTTTACTCTAGAAGAACTAGAGCTTATATTATGGTGCGAGCATTATACTAATAGCAAAGAGATCACTAGGAATATCATCTATCTTACTATAGTACTGCCTAAGCTTTTCCTCCGCCGTATAGAGAGCGGTAAGCATAAGCTTCTTCTAGGCTATCTTCTTTCTTGTAAGCTGCTTAATCGACTTCTTAAGATAGTCGAAGAGCTTATTATAGATAGCAAAGATAAGGTAGACGGTGACATCTTTGGTTTTCGATAGCGTAGTGGTGAACTGGAAGAACGGCTATATAATCTAGAGTAAATAGTTAATCTGACGCTATTGCTCTTAGTCAAGTATAAGATATAGATAGCCGTACTTTGAGCAAAACTTATCTAAGATGGATTACAGTCGTTTAGCACGACGAAGTATTAGAAACGTCGAATTCCACCGCGTACGAATGTCTTGTATCGGAATAAGAGCTATAGAATCTGTCTGGAGGCTATAGAAAGCTTCACGGCGCTATAGGCTTACGTTGATAAAGATAGCTAAGCTTCGAAGCTATAAAAATAGATTAGAAGTAGGTTTTTAATAGGTTTAATAGTGACGAGCCTTATTTAAAGTGTTAATGATCTCCCGTTTTTGTTGTCTAGAACGAATTGATTAGTCCTAGGATTTAGTCTATTATATTTGAGTAGTGTCGTTCTTTGGATTTACCTTTATCTAACCTAGGAGTTGCTTCAAGCTTAGTTAGATAATATAGGCAATATATAGAACGCGAATGATTACGGTATTATCGCTAAGATTAAGGGACTAGATAGTCTCTTAGATGCTTACTACTAAAGTGTTATTGTTCGATGTATTATCGATAGTGATTGTAAGTACTCGATCAGTTAAATTATACTTCTGTAGAAGCTAGAACAGAATAGCGCTAAGGTTAATACCTAAGTGTGTTCTATAAAGAGGCTCAAATCCTAGAAGTAGCTCCCGATAATTCTAGTCTTTATTAAGGAAGTAGCCCGTAACTACCATAAATGCCTACTGGAAAGGAGATATCCAACAGTCAAGGGTAATAGAAATCTTTCTATCTTTAGGAAGTTTCTACAGTATATTCTAATGGCGTTCGAGCACCGTACTTCGTAGCTAGCGCTATACTACCTTTGCAGATGGAATATTAAGCTGTCTTGGGGCATTTTGGGCTATAGATATTATATCACGGAACCCTAGATGCTCTAGAAGCTAGAAGGGTAGCCTCAATTCAGTAATAAATCGAAGAAGACTTAATTCCCATTTTTCCTAGCTAAATAGAGTATCGACTAGAGGGCTCCGCGCCTATAGAAGTAGTCGAAATCAGTATATATCTTATAGACTATTAGGCTAGCTTACCGCTTATATAAATTGCCTAATATTTTGGCTTTTTGGCTTCCTACTATAGCTAGTAGTATATTTCTTCATCGTGGAAGTTCCATTTCTAAGCCCTAGGTAATCAAGGATAGCCTTATAATACTTATATATAACCTTCGGCGCGCCATCACTAGCCCTAGCCACCTAATTAAAGTGGTGCTAAACGTCGGAAGAGTGTCGCGAGTCCTAGCGTATACGCTTCTTCCTTCCGAAGTCCGTTTGTAGCCACTATTATATATAGTCATCACTCATTATTTTAGAGTAGACCACGTATATAGTGATACGATTAGGTCGAACGCTCTCGAGGGAACTAGGCACTAAGGGCGAAGGTAATCCTAGTAGGATAAAATCAGTATCGCCTATAGAGCTCGCGACACAAGCGAAGTTTTATTGGCTAATCGATAGATTAAGGGTTAGATTACCTAATAGGAGGAGTTGAAGGTTATCTAAAAGGTCTATATTATATAAAGATAATACGTAGGTATTAGTGAATTGAGACATCTAGTGATATAATAATTAACGAGCACTTAGCTAAGGATAGTTAAAAGTCTTACAAAAGAATTTCAACGCGTAAGCGTAGATTCTAGGGCCTCGTAGTACCCTATTCTTCTAAAGTGAAAAATATAATATATCAACAAAGGCCTATATAGGTAGATAAAAGCTATGCTTATTAGCTTATAGCCTATATATATAATAGGTAACCCGTGGGTAACCCGCTTATAACCCGTAAACCCATAGGTAACCCGTTTTCCTTAAATAATTTCCTTCTAAGTCTTCAATCAAGGTAAAATCAATCCACTTTTTCGCATTTAATAGCTTAAATAAGATAAAAGAGCATTCGATTAGTTAACGTATAGCTTAATGAATATATGCTAATTGTTGTGAGATCAAAAATTCCTTATAAGCTATAGGATTGCAAGGATAATATAGAATTATATTGTCCTTGCAAAAATATACGTACTGCATTCTATAGTTTATATATATTTCCGCACTTCTAATGATAGTTTTGATGAATATTAGTTTTTACAACCCCAATAATATTATATAGTCCTCAAAGCGAAATATATAAGATTACTGCTATTTATTAATTAGAAAATAGACTAATTTCTTAATCTTTTATAAGGGAAAGAGGGTTTTGTTAATTAGAACCACAGAGGTGACCGAAACAGATGTAAATAACGGTATTTTATTGAGGTTAATCAGCAGTTTTGTGCGTCTTGGCGTAGACTAAATTAGGATATTTATGCCAAAACGGGTTCTTGGCGGGTAACCCGCGGTTACCCGCTAAGAACCCACGGGTCTACGGGTATGGGTTTTGGGTATTGGGTATGAACCCGACCCGCGGGTACGGGTCCTGAAGTTGGACCCAAACCCGACCCGAAGCGAGGTCTAGTCCTTATTTATCTTCTTTAAGACAGTGCTTAATAGGACTCTTCCAGCGCGGATATTAATAGATTCCTATTTAAATCGAAGGTCGTAGTCCTTCGAGGGTTCCTTAATAGTGCCGTCAAGGATACTCATTAGGCTATCCTATTCGAGGGCTACGGAGATATTTTCTCGCCATTAACGATAGGTAGGCGCGCTAATAAGTCTCTCTACCTATACGTAGTCTCCACTACGCTTAATAGCACGGAATGCGTACTTAATACGCTTCTTGCTATCCTCGGGGATGTCGCTACCTAGGATAGGCGACTAACTCTTTAGACGGCGTGCTGAGGATATACCGCGGGCACTAGAGGCCCTTAGAGGATCGTTATCCTTAGAGCCGTCTCTTTCTTTAGCATCGCTATCGTTGCCGTCGTCTTTATTATCCTCGGAGGACGGGTCATCGTCGTCGAAGGGTCCATTAGGCTACTATTGAGTGCTATCCAGTGTATACGGCTACTTATAAGCCGTTTCGCGCGATATCTACGCGCTTAGTCCATCGTCTTCAGGTTCCACGAGCGTTCTCAACGACGTCTATAGAACTAGGTGTTACGGAAATACTCCAGCGACAGCGGTTGTGGCTATAGCATTAGCCGTCTTAGCACGGGTCGATGATGGTATAATGCTATACTATCTATACGACCAAAGGGCCTCTCAGAGGTGAGGTAAACTAGGCGGGTATCCGGTGTCTATGGTTCAGACAACCGGGCTTATAACCTATTAAGAATTAGGGGGTAGATAATTAGACGAAAAGAAGATAGATAGGTAATTGATGGTAAATTCTGATTGTCTTTTCTACTCGTTCTCAGGGGGATATTTATATCCTACCCCTGAGAACTATTTTCTAAGAGAAATGCATACAAAAATGTTCTCCTACACCGCTGCCCGGTGTCCATGGGGAAACCCCCTAAAAAGAAGCAAAGAAGGCGATATAGATAAGGAACCTGCATATACGGGCGCCCATTTCCAATAACCTCATGGGCCTAGCTGACCAATCAGCAGCCATCGGGGCAGAGAGATGCCGACCGATATTGGCGCCTTAGGATGAGGGCTCCAATTTCCAACACCTTGATGCATGATGTTTGGATTGATGGGAATATGCAGAAGATTTATACGTATTGTGAGTTCAGCAAGGCTGAGATGGTACAGTTGGCGAGAAATGCAGTCGATATGTGCTGGGCACAGGATCATGTCAAAGGGGCGATTTACAAAGAGCTTGATGAGATTGATACCCAAGGATAGGGTACAGCAGTTTACTTCATATAAGTACAGGAATTACATGGAAAGTCCGAGGACCATGAAAATAGGCCTCCCAGTCATATCCCCATAGCCCACTTCAGCCGCTCATAGACCAAAAAGCTCGTGGCGACCATTGGCACCACCTTGATGTATCCAATTGTCATGCCAACATAAAAGCCCCGGAATCCTTTCTCGGACCAGATCTTGCGACATGTCTCGGCCATTCCAAGACGATTGCCACCGACCTGCATCCGACGACGCAGGACCTCTAGAGGATAGGAAGCAGTCTGAGCAATCACACCAGCGAGTCCACCGGCAAATAGTTCTGCAGCGGTTACAAGTTGCGGTCGTTCTGGGTGTTTAGATGACCGTTTTTCTGACACTGTATACGGTGCGAATACAGGGCGGCGCAACCAATCACCAATGATCTCATGGGTGAAAAATGACATTCCCGCGTAGGGGATCATTCCGAGGATTGTAGGGCCAAATCCGCGATAAAAGTTCGTAATTCCTAATTGCGGCAAGAAACCTTTCAAATGCCGGGGGCGCAGAGGGGCGTCATGTTCGTGGTATATCTGAAGACAAATATCTTTCCAGCTGGGTCGATGCGTTCGAGTCTCGATGGCTAATCGAACCCGGATGAGATCTAGCGGGTACGTGAATAGAATCGATGCGCTTCCCGCTAAACTTCCGGATAAGAGTTGTCGTAGTGGTGTCTTTTTATCTGGCGTTGGGATGATTATTGCTCGAATCTGTTCATATGCAAGGAAGTTGATAGCGGCGTATGGAAATTTCTGGAGTAAGGTGGCTGAGTGACCTTTATAGAGCCCTCTGAAGCCTTCTTTATGTCTGATTGCCGTAATAGCGGACATAAAGCCCGCCCAGCTACCGGTGTATCTGGCAAATTCTGGAGTGGAAGTCTGGAAAAGTATTTTGACGCGATCAAGTGGTGCAACAAGGGATTTTGCCTATCCCGTGTTATTATTTTTGGGAAGAAGCCAAAAGCAAATCGCACTTACAGCACATCCCGCCAGTCCTCCGGCCAGACCGCTCTTTATTATGTATTGGAAACTCCGCGTCTGTGCTGCTGGTTCATAGCTCTTCTGTGGCTTGGCCACCGATTCTGTACTGGGTATTTTGAGTTCGCCTGCACTATCTGGGATAGTACGCGGCGGTGCCATCTTTACGTACCACCACCCATAAGAAGATAGGATTGCGGCCTTAATCGGTGAATGTCAAACCAAAAGGAACGTGGATAGACGTCTTCTGCAATAAGACTTTCCACACCGCCTACTTAAAGAGTCTCAGTCGATCAATACGTGTAGCCGCACCACACCTCTTCGTTACTCTAGAATCCCCTATCTTAAAGCTATAGGGGAAATTACTTCAAGCCAGCCATTAAATCGGGTCGGTCCATTATTCAAAACCTGACGGCGGATCATTGACCAACAATGGGTTTCCCGCTTCCCCTTCTTTTGGTGCGCCAATAAAGTCCAACAGGGAAAAGGCATTAGCAATTTGACACGCAAACCCTCAGACATCTGGCTATCTACGTCGAGAGTGGCTAAAGACGCATAAAGATTCTCCAGATAAGGTCCGGGATGAGCTCTATATAGAGGAATAGTAGAGGTAGGAGAAGGATAAGCGCAAAGGCGGTAAAATTCTAGGGCGTGGAGCGTGGAACCCACCTATTAACAGCGTGTTCTCCCGTCCCACCCTATTAGCTGCGCCCGTCCCCCATAGCACAGGCAGGCACAGCAAGCATAGCCTCAATTCCCACCGTATCATGCGCCCCGTCCGACACTGTTAAATAAGCGGCGAGATTTCCTGTTACTACGTACCTACTACTCTCACCATCACGTACATAATCTAAACGGCTTCTATCCATCTATCAACTATAACGCCCCGCGCAGTTGGTTCCCTTAGTGATTCCTTCACTCAACACAAGGATATTGTTGACACACGCAGGACAAATGTAATCAAAAACCCTATCGCATCAACATCTAGCGACAATGTTCGAATGGCTCAAGAGCTTCTTCGCTGGCAATGCGTCCACTAACTGGAGACGTAAGCGGGGCGCCAGGGCCTACCAGAAACGAGTGCGGGCCCTGGAACGCAACTTACGGCGGCAAGCAAATAATGAAGACATCGAGGACCGTTATTTCTATTTCAGCCCAAATACTACCTTACATCCACCGGGTGAATCGGTTAAGGAATACCGCAGGAAACATCCTCGCCCTGCATAAAGTACACTTAAGTGCGTTGAATATGGCGATATTAGGGAGGGTGAATTTGGGTGAGGGTGATTCGTGATACACAGTATGGCTTCCTTTGCGCTTATTTTTCTCCCTATTCTGTTTCTCTTGCTGCAGTTATGATTAGTAATGCATTGGTACCATACACACGAGGCACCAACGTGGTCGGCATATCTTCACTACAAATTAGTGGAATCTCGGATAATTTAACCCTTCTGTATATGAACCTATTCAGAACCAAGCCGCAGGAAAGCGCCTATATACGCTTGTCTATATATGCAAATTTGCTTCATGTACGAAGTTATCAGCGGGGGATTCCATCTCTTTATCTCAATGGCTCTTCTGTATATAATTATGCAGATCTCAGATAGTGCTAATTTCTATATCTGTTCAGTCTTCATGGGTACTATTTACTACAGACCCAAGGATGGGTGTGAATAGCGGCCATTAGATCCACTAGATGGAAACTTTTCATCTCTCTCGGTCATTTCGACGCTTGCGGACCTCCTGCGGTTCCGGTAGGTATCTCGCCGTAACGGATAAACCAGAAGCAAGCACGACCAGGAGTACCCAGATGGCATAACCTCCCAATAGCTGAGTTCTCGCTCCAATCGCAAAGAGAGTGGTGAAGAGAGCTGGACAGAAAGCCCTCAAAACGCTGATGCTGGTCAAGGCCAGAGCATTGAGCGTGCCCAGGAACCTCGGCGAGGGTGAAATGTCGTTAATGGCCAGCTGGATTGCCGTGAAACTCATGCTAACTCCACAACCGATAGCCAGCGTCGTCGGCGCGAAGACCCAGAAAGCTTTGACGGATGTATCCGTCCCTATCCGCAGGAGGGAACTGGAAAGGGGGCAGCACAGGAAGAAAAACGGATAAGCAAGGGCACAGATGCGTATCACCCCCTTCGTTCCGATTCTTCGCTGTAATACTGGGAAGACAAGGAGAAGCCAGGCAGCTTGCGCGGCGCCGTTCAGACCCATCATCAGGGAGATTTGCAGAGGCGTGAAACCGCATCCTCCGAGGCGCACAGGCGTGAACCACCAGACAGGAACAATGGCCGTATAGGCAAAGGCGAGCATCATGATGTGCGCGTATATGTAGAGAACTATGGCCACCCCGGGGGATTTCGAAAGTTCCCATGTCGTGAGATTGCCGCGCTGGGCTGCCGCGTCAGATCCTGCTTCTTCGCCATCCTCGGCCGGCTCCTTCTTCAACGTCTCTTGAACAAACAAAGCGGTAGATACAGCTGCGGTGGCTCCAACCAGCGCTACCACCAGACTGGACAGCGCGTAGGGATAGTCCTTGAAGAAATGGACGCCTCCAAAGGCACCTGGGTACTGGCTCGCCGGATCGGCAAGGGCACCGCCTAGAAGGGGACCGAGGAAGATACCAACGTTTCCGCTGAAGGCGAACCAACTGAATGCTCTCGCCTGGGTCTTGGCCGTGCTGTGCTCGGCCACCATAGTGCGAATAGTGACGATGGACCCAGCAAAGATACCAGCAAGGCATCTTAACAAGATCATCTGCGGAATAGTCTTTGCCATGCCAAAGAGACCCGTCGCAAAGGTCACGCCGAAAAGTGAGAAGACCAAGACCGGCTTGCGCCCCAAACGATCGGCTGCTCGACCCCAGAAGATCATGACGATAGCCTGCGTCAGAGAGAATAATGATTCAATCAATCCACTATAGAAGCCTACATCCGAGTCCGCAACACTCCCGTTGTCCTGGATCATTTGGTTGACATAAGGGAAGATGGAGAAGAAGGCCAGAGGCTCAATCACCCGGGCGTAGCAGAGGAGCAGGACCTGGACCTTGGGCAGGGGCTTTTCCTCATCATCACTGTCTGAGCCGTCTCCATCGCTGCTTGGCACTGTCGAGCCGTTTGGAGGGTCCGTTTTGCGTACATCACCATGTGTAGCGGTGCCGGAGGCCAGCAGAGCTGTAGTCTCATCTACATATTCGCTTTCCTCGTGTCGGGAAGTGGCGGCATTCCGGCAAAGGTGATGTCTGTCTGCCCCAGGAGTAGTGGCGACCATGTCTGGACAGATAAACCGACGGCGTTTGGTAAAGGTCAAGATTACAAGTCTTGATCGAATAGGATCTTTTTGTCCAAGGTCCCCGAAGCCCCACTCCGCGTTGGATAATCGGAGTTATGTAAACCCGATTAGGTATTACATACCATACAATACTACGTTCACTCTTTGAAGCCGTGTAATATATGGTAATCTGTGAAATTATCCGTCATGTCGATTGGGTAAACTCAACTCATTTCTATACTTCTCCTGTATGTCATTTTTATCTCTAGCGTGAGTGGCATGCCCTTCGCCAGGAGATCAATCAATTTGGTCCGTATCCAAAAACTTGATAAGAGCGAATCCCACACCTGAACCCCACAGTATTCAAGCCCAGGCCCCAACAATACTCATGCAAAATGCACCCAGAAAAACCAGAATGCAAGCATAAACTCTCCGTCTCCCATAAAGAACGCGCCAACTCTCATCGCTGAGGAAATCCTCGGACATCAATTCCACAAGCGAGGCAAAAATCAATAGCCCGGCAGAAATAGCATTCATGACGCCCACTAGGAGCAGGCCGACCTCCGAGTCCGGGCTGTATAGCGTATGGGTTGCGAGGCCGATGGCTTGTCCGATTGGGGTCCTGAGCCAGTATCAATATTTCCATTCTTGAATGAGTGGGCATGAAGCCTAACGTACGTGCAGCCGTATGCAAATGACATGATCCAAGGTTGGAGTTGTCTGTCGGACCAAGGGAGTGAGGCGATTCGTGATCCTAGCGCCAGGCCTTCGAAAGTTTCTATAGGGTGTGGTCAGTTTGATCAAGCAGTTCGGACCAAAGGTATAAAAGCTCACGGTGAAAGACGATGGCAATCAAGAGAATCACAAATTCATTCCCAACTGACACACTTAGTGACATGCCGATGAACACACTGTGAAACAGAATTCCCATCTCGAGAAGATAGACCTGCATCGTTTCTTTGTTCTGTTTCTGCTCCGGGGTCAAGTCGAAATGGTCTTCGCGTCGCTCGATATCTGGCTGGATTGCTCCGTTCTCTTTTTTGTGATGGGTTTGAGTTTCGGGGGCCGATGCAACACGAATGATTTCCTCTGAGCCTTCGCCCATGCGATTCATGGCTCTGCTGATACTCGACGACCTTCCAATTAGTGGACCCATGTCTCTAAGATGAGGTCGCCCTTCCAGTGCAGGCGAATCCGATCTTTGAGACTGAGGCTGATTGGGATATCCTGTCTCATTCATTTTCTCCGCTGGGGGCTGTCTCTCGTCATAACGGAGCGAGGATGCCCTCTCAGCTTTGTGTTGCCTCCCTCCACGGCAAATATTCTGAGCTGGACTAAACACCATCTCAATAACAGTGACAAGAAAGATACCGCCTAGTGCAATAGCACCTGGCATAGCCGGGTAGTCCTTTGTCCAGAAATCCGACAGACATGGGTCACCCAGGGAAGTAAACGCTGTTGGTAGAAGATGCACGAATGCAGTAGCGATAAGCACCCCGGTTCCGAAATGACTGACGAAAAATAGAAACGAGGTTGGGATATGCAGGCGAGGGAATCGAGTGGCGAGAATAGGGAACGCACAAGCAACAGTCGATGTGCCCAGGATAATAAAAAGGGCTGCAACATGCAATGGGAGGTTGTACGCATCACCGCCGACACCTCCATTTGCGCACTTTGATCGTTTGACCGGCGCTGTATACTGTTTCTCGATAGATTGTTCAACAATAAATTGTTGTTTCGAGGTAAAATACCCGCCCAATTTACTAGACGAGATAAGTATTGCGACACAGAGCACTGAGAAGAGCCACAATGCCCAATCTTTGATGGTCTGGAACGATGGGTATGTATTGTTTAAAGTTGGGTTTCTTGGGGCAGCTAGAGTGCCCGGCTTGGTGGGCCCGAGGTGCTCTGCTCAGACAGTCAGAAACCAAAAGGGCCCTCTATAAAGATAATATTCCTACCTGACAGGGTCAGAGACACCCCGCGGCCCGCGCCCGAGGAGTATTTCTCCGTATCAGATTCCTCTATATGCGGAACATATCCCCAACTCAGACCACCGTGAGGCCCAGTGGTACCCTTTTCTTCAGACTTGTTCTCGCGAATATTCGCAATTCCATTGAGATCTTGGCGGGTGGTCAGATCAGGGGCGAAGAGCGGCGGGTTCTGGTTCCATTCATCGTGCAGCAGAGTATCGTCGGTCCGGGATGGGCAATTCATGGCGCCAAGACGTTGTTGATTTTTCTCGACAGAATTCTTGGGTATTTCAAGAGTATTCACAAGTTAAGGAACACAACAGGAATTTCTAGCCACAAATCCCCAGGCAGCATCGATTCCTCTGTCTTGGCGTGAGGTGGGCTCTGGGCCAAGTTGCTTGGCAGCGGACCCTCAACTTCCGCCGTGATTCGCCATGAGGAATAAATCGGGTAGGTATTTTTAAATCTCGGTGCTTGTACACTAAAGACGGATAATCTGACGTTCTCAGCCTTGTAGTAGTGGGGCATGATGTTAAGGAGCGTCAAATCTGCTGCAATTTCCATGCAGATAGCCCGAGCGATGGAAACCATCTCGCACGAAGTGATTTATTTGGAGGGAGCCTTTTTCTCCCCCCTTCCATCAGGGGAGTTGATTTTAGCTCAAGTAAATCTAGATGGGCGATACAGGATGGCGTCGGAGACTCGGTTGGGTGTAGCGCGAAGCCCGAAGCAGAGAGGAATTCGATTCTCATTCTCGGGCCGTGGATCTCGGGGTCAATTATCGATCCTGGCTGATAAACTGGATAATTAGCATCGAGTATATTCGAGTTCCTTTCCCTAATATTCGAGGCAGTCCTCGCTCTTGCCTATACACTCTGTATCCCCACGAGACATCTTACATCTCATTCTGACTTCATCCAAGTCCTTACGATGGGATTGTGGAAATCGTCATGGTTCCAACATAATCAGGACCAGGATACACGACCCAGGTTCACAGAACTGAGGTCCTCAAAATGGTTCATCATATTTTGTCGTCTCCTTCGCCTCCGCAACAGATATCTTCATGTACGGGTTGATCGTACCGGTGACACCCACCGCACTACGAGACAGAGTGGGAATTTCTCAAGAGAACATACAAGCCTGGACCTCAATTCTCCTAGCTTTATTCTCAGCTTCCATGCTGGCCTTCTCGCCCGTTGTCGGGTACATTACAGATCGATTCGGAGTCACGGAAATGGCCTTTGGAATAACGAACATGAGGTTCTCCGCTGGCAGTCTTATTGGACCATTCTTTGCTGGCTTTATTCGTCAAAGCGCTGGCTGGAAAGCCATGACGTGGGCGTTAGGATTGATGGCCGGGATGTCGGCTATCCCAATCTTGCTCTTTATGGCCGGCTGGATTTTCAGTGATCCTGCAAGGTTGGGAGATGAGGATCAAGACACAGATGTCGTTTCTAATCCTTAAGCTAGGTAAGCTTGCAAAGAACTCTGTGTTCAACATCTGACTGGTTGGTTGGCAAAAGTGATACCTGGCTACATAGTAGTAAAGCTTCCGATACTCTCAAACAACTCTCTCAGATCAGACCCGATGACTTTCCACGCATCGGGTATTAAATGCCATGAAGATAAAAGATCAGCTTCAGCATTTGAATAGAAGCTATGTACACATTTTACACCCCATATCCGCTGCGAAATATCTAAGCAGAGAGCAAAGTTATCGCAGAAAAAGCAAGCCTAGCCATCCCCCATCAGGTATTGCCCTTCCATATCTGCATGCACTGAGGAGACTTCGTATTCTCTCCGCATCCATGGGGTATCTCAGCAACCCCAGGCCTCGTCAGTAATCGAAAGCATAGTCATCAAGTCGAGGATCAATCCAGACCCCAGATCCAATAGGAAAAGAACATAAAAAGAAAATAGCGGACCAAAAAGGTAACCAAAAACAGCCATGAATGAATAAAGATCATCCCCGTGCCTTAAGCGAACCTAAAGCATAAGACAAGTTCAATTGAAGGTCTTGCCAGTCGTCATGGTTTTGGTACAATGGGTTTATTGCGGTGATGAAAGGCGGAGTAGACGGTTAAATATCATATCATGCATAGGCATGCATGAGTTGCATTCATGCATGTCACTCGGGAAAGACGCAGGGGCATCCCGGAGAAGCAAGTGGAGAAGGGATGATCGCCATGGCAGAATCCATCAGGAAAATTAAGTGAGGCGAGAAACACAAGTTGAATGGCCGTCCTCGGGATGGAGGGTGAAAGAAAAAAGTAAGGGAAGTCGTGATTTTTGTTTAATGGGGTCTGGGCCGAGGCAACTTATCGGCGCTTGAGCTCAGTAGCAAGGCAGTCAAGGAGCTGTGAAAAATTAGTGACTGATGAAGAGGTAAAAAAGAAAGACAAAACATACCGATTCCGTAGCAGCGCCTTGGTTCACCAGGTACTTGCTGAGGCCCCGAACAACATCGATTTGCTCCTCGGGGGTCAGGCCGTTGATGGCAACCTCGATCACGTCACCCACAGTGGCCTTGTACACAGCAATGAAGCTGTGGTAGTACATGAAGGCGAAGAATCCCATGATGAATTGGCAGTCCATGCGATCGGTGATACCACCGTGGCCCGGGATCGACTCGCCGAAGTCCTTGATCTTGAAAGTACGCTTCAGACCGGAAGCAAAGAATCCACCGAAGGGAGCGATAAGAGAGGCGAATGTAGCGAAGCAAAGAATGTGGAACTGGATAGGGGCGACGAAGAAAGTCTTGTCCAGGCCGAACATATCGAGCGAGTAGGGCTGGGGGATGAACACCTTGTTGGGCACGCACTCGAGGCCCGTCAGGACATTTGCTCCCAGGTCATTGACAGGGCAGATGAAGTACTTGTACCGCATCAGCCAGTTAGTCAAGAAATAACCGAAGATGATGGTGCACATCCACGCGCCAAGGAAACCCTCAACGGTTTTCTTGGGAGACAGCTGGATCAGCTGAGTACGTCCAAATGTAATACCACAGACATAGGCGAAGATATCGTTGGTGATGACCAGCGCAGCGGGGAGGAAGAACCAGATCATGCCCTCGAAAATGTTGTTCATCACAAAGTGAGCCTGGACAACAATCAGGTACAGCGCCATGTGAGTCCAAGCAAACTGGGTGAACTGGAACCGATAGTGTCCTTTTTGCAGCGATCCGACGAAGAACACGAAGCCTGACTGTCTCAGTACAAAAGTTCAAAATCGAAGATAGCTGGGGTCACTACTTACCCATGACGTAGAGAGTAAAGCTGATAAAGCGGTGATGAGTTGCCAAAGGCAGCAAAACCTTATCCACGAGCAGAATGTGCTTGAAATAGTAGATGACGCTCTCCCCGTATAGGAAGTACATGGTCGTCGCGAGGAAGTACCAGTTCAGGGACTTGGTGAAGCGGAGGTTCTTCTGCCTGCTAGGGACGTTGGCGATAGCAATAACTTCCTTGAACGAGACGATCTGGATGGCAGTTACAAGCCCGATGATGTAGATGTGACCAGAGAACATAGCGATGAAAAAGCCGGCAATCATCACGAAGGTCCATATCGTGCGGGTAATGAAGGTCTGTTTCTTTTTCTCGTATTCGGATTGAGCAGATTTCTGCGAAATCAACGGAATGGGTTAGAGATCAGTTCCGATTCACAAGTCCAGCAAGACTCAAGCTCACCTCTTCGGGGATTGTGGTCGGCTGAGAGACGCGGCCGTTGCTGGCGATGGAGGGTTCCGAGGCTACATCGCTGACCTCGGAGGACACGCTCGCCCGCCGCTCACCTTTTTGGTGATTGAACCTAATATTGCGACGAGGCATGATGGATAAAGACTTGGAGGGGGGTCGTTGAAACTCTCAAAAGAAGAGAAGGAATGGAGCGGAGCGAACTGAGCTTGTCAATCCGAAAGCGGTCAGCTCCGTCAACACGGTTGGGATTTGTTGAACGCGCCTCGACAGCTGCGCCTCGTCTGATTCCTCTCCACAATATGGTCCCTGCGCTAAAATTCAGGCCTGTTCTTTAACTCCACTCGTGAATTTGTACTCCATTCATGGCGGGGGCATGGACAACGACGATGACTACTTCTCCGACGACTTCGATTCCCTACCTCCAAGTACCTTGTATCAGCTAGAGCAGCACGCCTTCCAGGCCACGCAGGCGCCCGCGACACAGCAACATGATCAGCCGACCGTGATTGAGCCCGTTCAAGCGGGCGCGTCTGCGCCCGCATTCGCAACCTTGAAACCGCCGCCGCGTCTACACACAGGGTTGACAAATGACTACAATACACTGGAGGTGGGAGAATTGGAGGCGGAGATCCACGACAATGCGGATGGACAGTCAGTACTTTCGCAAGGCCATCATGCCCTGGCTGCGGACAATGGATGGCCCACCAATGGCGGGCTGGGCGATGTGATGGAGGTGGATGACGAGTACGGCCAGGCAAATGCCTACGAGCTGAATGCTCGCCTAGAACAGGTAGAGAGAGTCCTGCAACCCTTCCAATTGGATTTAACGGCTGATGTTAGCCTTTTAGATGGAACGAGAACGAGAGCAAATGCGACGCGAGCTTGCCGAGGCCAAAATGCTGGCAGAAACGAAAGCCGGAGAAATCGCAATTATCCGGTCGAAACAGACAAGAATGATAGAGGAGTACGACCGACAATTGGTGGCTTTACGAAAGTCCATGACAGATGAGGCCAGCAAACACAGGGAAGAAGTGGAGGCAGCAATGTCAGAGGGGAAAATGTTGGCGACAGAGAACATCTTCCTCCAGCACGACCTGGCCGAGGAAGCCCATCAGCTGCGCAACTATAAAACCAAGCATCGAGCTGAGGAGAAGGCTGCCCCTGTGACCCCTAGGAAGTCCCGAGTATTACCGTTCCGTGATGGATTCGACGATGACGAGATTGCCGCCTTGTCGCCCACCAAGTCAGCGGCACGATCGAAGAGAGCCACACCCACAGTACCCGGGAAACGGAAGCGACAAGCAAGTGTGGATAGCCCGGTCCCACTACAATTGAGTCCTGCAGGAGAAACGATGATAGTCGACGCACCTGGGGGTACTGCTGCGTCTTCCTTTGAAGCAGAGCACGAGTTATCAGGGACGGATAGCCGTGATAATCAAGTCATGAAACGACTTCTCAATCACCGCATGTTCCCTGGCCAACAGACCGACCTCGAAGCATTGACCAAATTTGCCTTCCCTTCAGAGCCGCACCGGCCTCTGTCTAGCATCGTCATGGACGAGTTAGCCAAGCTCGACCTCGGCAGCTACGTGTTGGAATACATGTACATTATCGGACCTCTCTGGCAGCGTGCATTAACGGAGCGGTTCTACGACCCGGTATCTCGATTCGCGTCTATTACCAAATACGTCTTCATGATGGATGATGTTCCTCTTTTGGACCTGATTGCACCTTTGGCCGGTGTCCTTCAAGACTCGGTCGAGGTCAACGCGGTCCCTCGGTTCCGCTACTCACCAGCTGCACGAGAAAAAGCACGAGTGGTACGACAAACACCACAAGCCGATCTCCAACCGGTCGATTCTACCGAGGCTCTCGGCTTGCTTTACCATATGGCGTGTGGACTATTGCATGTCAAAGGCGCACTTGAGAGTCTCTGGAAACATATAAGGCATACATTCATCCTAGTGATGTTGCACGGCTCTCAGCCACTGAAGGACATCATGCTCATTCTGCAGCTACTATCAACCAGCATTCGCCCGGAGTCATTCGGCCCCATCATGTCCTCCGAGCAAGAGCAGACAGATGTCCAACGGTACATCGTCGACCGTCTCACGCACATGTTGAGTGAATCCGCACAGCCAGACGAGGGCATGGAGCCTTACACCCCTTACGACATCTGCGCCATGCGGTTGGATGTCTTACTATTGCTGGAGTCGTTGTCATTTAACCCCGCAGCCCCAGGTCAAGAGCATGGCAGCAGCATCATCGCCGCCCATCCCAACGCACTGCCCCGGCTGTTCCGGTCAATGCACGACGAGCTAGACGCACTGTACTCGTTCCCGCCAGAGCGCGACTTGCGGGTAGCCTTGGTCAATGGACTGATGCGGCTGATTTTCGGTGTGATGCGGCGCCACGGGCGGTTCATCAACATGCAAGAGAAGCTTGCCTGCGTGCCAGGAACTAAGCAGAAGCACCTGGTGGTGCTGACCCGCCTAGCCTTCTGCGATGGGGCTATTCTCGAGGCCGGCATTGATGATGAGACTATTGATATGGCACATGAGCTGCTAGAGGAGTGGACGAATCCGCAGGAGGCGGAGTCGCTGGCTGAAGCGTTTCCGAGCTCGCGGCGAGATTAGGGAAGCATTTGTATGAGATATTCGCATATTTGGCGTGGCGCATTTATGGACTTTGGAGTTGACACAGCATGTTCCTATGAAGTTTACGAGTCTGAGATACCATTATTAAAATCAATTTTCTCGCGGTCCAGATGGGACAGAATTACAAGGCTGATACCATTCGTAACAAATATGTGATGATGTAGGTGGTGTGAGTGGCATCCTAAATCGCAACCACAATTGAGTATGTTCATTTCGAACTTCATGAATTTCACGTATACTTCCAGCTGTGGAAATGGATACATAGCCGGAATCGACAACCTATTGATTTTAAGAAATGCGAGTCAGCAATGTGCTGTTAGGCGGCAATAGTAGTGGCACCACAGACGACCAGCCACGCGCGAGAAAACAGCGTTGGAGTATGAATTACCCAACAATAGCCAAAGCAAACAAGAAACAGTCGAGTTCAAATCTAAAGGGAAGATGGCGAACTGGGACTTTTCCGGCATTGCCTACGGTTGCTATTCAAAGCCGAGTTCGTATTGGCATATGCGCTAAATCTCGGGTACAAGGTGTTTGGACCCTCGCTTCAATGAGTCTCGCAGCGGAATGAGCCGCTGGGACAATCGTGTGACTATTCAAGCCAAGCCCGTATAAGCATATGTGCTGCATCTCGGGTACAGGGTGCCTGGACCCTCGCTTCAATGAGTCTCGCAGCGGAATGAGCCGCTGGGACAATCGTCACTTTTTCACTCGTTAGTTCACGAGTGGCGCCCGCTAGCCTCATCGCAGTGATGGATCTCTGCAAACTCGGTATAGCGGCATAAAACCCCGGCACTGGAGCCTACCCACTATTGTTCTAGGACAAGGCCAAAAGCTCGCGCAAATTTGCAGACATTGACCCTAGTTCTCTGTAACACGACAATGTAGGCTATATTTGAACTAGGAAAAGCACCGAGAAAACCTCATGGAAGATCTTTCTAATTCATACCTTGAAATATTCTACGGTTTTTGATCGATCTCTAGTTTTTTTTTTTTTTCAAAGCAAAGGGATTTTCTTAGCGAATGGAAACATGGCACGTAGTGGTTTTTTGAAGTTTTTTATATCTGCGATTCATTCCCTTCCCCGCCACGGCGAGTGGGTCAGCCTTTCACTGTTGAGTCATGGGGTGCAGTTACGCCGCGAGGGTCTGATCGTCTACCTAGTTTCAGTCAGCATATTTATAGGGCACCACTAGAGGCATTTCAGTATAGCGTAACTACTACCAAGGGGAAGGCAACAATGTTATCATTTGCCCGAGGAGCACTATAAAGTCTCTCACCGGCTACAGACCGGTACATATGTAGCTTCACATTATTTATCAAATTTTTCATTTTGGAAATTATATTGTCTCAATACTTGACCTGCTCTTCATTCAGTCGAAATGCCCCTCTGCGAAGACTGTGACACGTGGGACCTGGAGATGAAGGGTATATTTGGTGTCAACTTGGGCACATATAGTGACCTACTCGTGAAAGCGGAAAAAGGGTGCGACTCGTGCAAATTCTTCTGTGCGATTCTTCAAAACTCAGACCGCTACAAACATCAACTTGATAAATTATCCGAGAAAGTTGTAGCTTTCTGCAACATGCGTCTAGATGCAAGAGAGCCGGGAGAAATTGGTATGACGATGTCTTGGGACGACCTGTGTTTAGACATGTGCGTTGCCAGTGATTATGATGGTCTGTCTGCTCGAACTCTTGTAAAGTGATTGAAGGCTAATTGTAATGTGCTAGGCCCACCTGTTGACGGGCTTGATCGCCTTCGGCATATTCCAATCAATTCCCAGGACGAAAGGTGTTTGAGTCAGATTTCGTCCTGGATATCTGAATGCGCAGAGCATAAGGAGTGCCGTCAATCAAATTCCGTCTCTTTGCCTGAGAGGGTCATTGAGATTTCCCCCGATCAAACGGTGGCTCCACGTATCATATCTTCTGACGGACAAAACGGATCCTATGTCATATTGAGCCATCATTATTCCGGGGAATCTAAGATTCCGAATGCTTCAGAGCTATTAGAAAACGGCCTGCCCGTCACGCTGGACGTAATCGGCTTTCCTAAGGCTATAGCTGATGCCATTGATATCACCCGGAAATTGGGCTATCGGTATCTCTGGGTTAGAGAGATTTGCATGACAGCAAGCACATTCTCTGAGAACTCCTTGCGCTTTGTGAGCGTCTATGCCCAAGCAGCATTGATGCTTACAGCATCTGCTGGGCCAGAAGCGAGCCACGGAATATTCCACGATAGGAAAGTTCTCTGTTCGCCAGGTCTTGGAACTGGAAAAGACAGATATTTCCGCCCACGAGCCCTACGTTGGATGTCAAATATCGAAGAATCACCACTTGCTGGGCGCGGTTGGAATACAGTGGAGAGAATGCTCGCTCCGCGCATCGTTCATTTCACAAAATGGCAGATGGTCTGGGAATGTGCATCTGGCTGTCAATTTGAAGCTGCAAAAATTACGGATGATCAAGGTTCTGGCCCATCCATCAACGCCTATGAGAAAGGTGCTTTTCAGCAATATGTGCAGGATGCACTCCAACAATCCTCCCTCGAGCTCGATACCAGCACCAATGATACAAGCGAAAAATCCACGGCTCGGCTACAGACCTGGACCAAAAGTGTTAATGCACTATCCTGGGGCGATTTCGACAGTCCGTCTGACAAATTCCCTGTGATAGGAAAAATAGCGCAGATCATGAGCAACTATTCAATGGGAGACTATCTGGCCGGGATCTGGAGCAACCACATCATATCTGGACTCACCTGGGGCCGAATGTTTTCTCTTCTGACTCCGGTGCCAGAATACGTAGCTCCGACCTGGAGCTGGGCCAGTGTGAATGGTCCCGTGGCCATAGACAATGTTCAGCCAGGTAGTGCTATGGAATCTTTGTGGATTCAAAAGTACAACCCAGTTCTCGTCTCGCACCACATTCTACTCAGCGACCCTTCGAACCCCTATGGTCGTGTCTTAGAAGGGTCGCATATTGTTCTCGATGCGGCCTGTATTGGCTTCAAAAAGCTAACAGATGGTGTCATGGGGCAGGAGGGGGCATTTCAAGTAAGACCAATTCTGGATAGCTCGTTGATGTTTGATTGCGGCTGCTGCAGACCCAGACCCACAGAGGTCCAAGAGTCGGACTCAAGCAAATTCAACAAAGAGATTGAGCATCATTTCTGCGTTATCCTCAAGGTTAGTGACTGGAGTACGGAGAGTGAAGGAGGCGGCTCGTGTATGTGTCTCATAGTGAAAGCTTCCGAGAAGGGCGATTCTTTCACTAGGGTTGGAGTCTTGACGGTCGGACCCAATTTTTTGGGTAAGCCAGTGAATCCTAATGGCACCTTCGATGCATTGGGCTGGGAAAGACGTAGGATGAAGTTGATCTGAATAGCACGGGTACATGGTCGAGCGAGAGAATAAATACTTATATCCTTGCGACAGCCAAGATATGTATATAGAGAGAGAGAGAGAGAGAGAGTTGCATTATCCCCGAATATAGCTCCCGTCTGCGGGGCTCTTCCTGGGTCGCCAACGGCCGTGAGGCCGGAAAATGAGTAGTTTTACATCGGTCTTAAGCCTGTTTTTACCCCGCCAGTTACCCCCGTTTTATCTTTGCCAAACTTCTATCATCCTTGTAGTCCTATTGCCAAACTCATTCCGCCATCCGTCATCGCTTCTATAGGCGTTCCATACGGCCTATTCACTACTTATCCCCCGTCCTCGTAGCTCGCATTAGCATTTCGTTGTCCGTGATGGTTAATGGATAGTTGTCTATAGAAAAAGTGAAGAATCGATATAAATTGCTCTAATATGCAATTAGTCCCCCGTATAGTGCCAGCTATACGGTTGATTCGCCTGCTACTATAGTCGGAGATCACTCGCTGTCCGCGCGGGGTAGCGGTGTAGGTAATAGATACTAGAGGCGGCTAGTATTTAGTAGGAATCTCGTAGTCTTCCGCGCGTGCTCTATTATCGCTAGCGCCTACTCGGCGCTCCGTGGGGTTAACTAGGGGTAACCCTAAGTCTACGCCCGAAGGTTAGAGTTAGACTGCGCCAAAACCCGCGCCAACCCGAACCCAACCCAACCCGAACCCGCAAATGGGTTGGGTTCGGGTCGACTTCTTTGACCCGCACGCGGGTTTTGGGTCGAGGTAGATAACCCAACCCGAACCCGCATAACCCGAACCCAACCCATTTAGGTGGGTCCTCATCTTAGCATTATTTATGAAGTATTAGTCTATATTTTTAGGTATTTGACTTACAAGAAAGGCCTCTTTCTATGACTATAGTGTGTGATGTAGGGCTAATGAATTCCTGAAGCTATAGCACTAATTTCTAACGGCCGTCAGAAAATAGGGTTATTAAGCTATAGTACTGGCTTTTTTGACGGCCGTCAGAAATTGAGGTTCAATTGGTTTATAATATTGATTACTAATGATATACCTATTACTTATCCTCCTGCCGAGGACGCTTGCGCGATCTTTTAGATGCGCGGCGTGCCTGAGTGCTTTCTAATTGAGGGAGATCTACCTCATCGTTATCACTATTACCTAGCTACGGAAGCTCCTCTTCGTCCTGATCCTCGCCCTCTTATGTATCCTGTTCTTTATTATCACTAATTAGATCTAGCTTAAACTAATCAGGCGTATACTCTCTCTCTTCTTCTTTACCCGCTTCAATTTCATTAAGAGTGAAAAACTCTTTCAAAAATATAAAAGAGTCTTCCTAGAGGTCGAACCTTGATATATAAAGATATATCATTAGTTCCTAGATTATTGTGCTATTTAAGCGTTCTCGGCGATAATAATAGATATCCTACGCCGTATTAAATAGACGTTCAACTCTAGCACTAGTTGCTAGGATTAAAAGGATATCCTAGGCAAGGGTAGCAATAGCTGGAAAGCGATGTTGATTCTCCTTCTAAAATAGGAGGGGTGAGATATTAATAGTATCTATTATTGATTAGGAAGAGGAGAAAGCGAGAGAAGATAAAGAGATACACCGCTATTAAGATATTAAACTACCTCGTCCTTAGGCGACGATAGTTAGCGTTTGCTTCCACTAAGCATTAAATTAAGATGTGAGCCTACTTAGGTTGACGCCTGAGAGATAGGGAGGCCTTACTGAGAATAAAGACGCTCTTAGTATAGAGATAGAGCCGTCTTAAAGCTCTTTCGATATTAATCGCGCTATTAATCGTCCTAATCGTTTATAATAAAGAACTAAAACTTATTTACTAGCGCGAGCATTATTCTAACCGTATAAAGATCCCCTTAGATTATATCCGTCTGCTAATAATAGCTAGCGAGCTTCTTACGCGTAGCCTTAAGCGCCTTGCGTATTGTCTTTTTCTAGGGAACTTTTTTCCGTGTAAGCTAGTCTATTAACCGCTTAAGGTGTTCAAAAAGCTTATTATAAATTCGAAACACATAATAAGTGGTAGCGTCCTTTGTCTTTAATAGCTTAAGGGTAAAATTAAAGAATGGCTACATAATCTATAGAAGGTAGTCAATCTAACGCTATTTATCCACATTAAGCACTAGGTTAGTCCGATCATATTTAATATAAAAGGGATTAAATATCGATTGGAGCCACTTTGCTCGTCGAAGCATTAGAAATATAGAGTTCTAGCGTGTTTTGACATCCTATAAGGGCACAAGCTTAGTTGCTTTAGTCTAGAGCTTAGAAAATGCATTACGGCGCTAAGGGCTTATATTAATATAGATCGTAAGGTTGCGAACCTATTTAAGATAGATAATTAGTATAGTGAGAGAAGTGAGAGAAAAGTGAGAGTTATTTACCTTATTCAATATCTAAGTAATATCCCGCTTCTTTATCTTTGCATTTGTATAGGCAAGCTAAGATCGCTTAGTCGTCTAACGTATCTTGGTTATATCGTTCGTAGGCTCCGCTTTCATCTATCTAAGTAGCTTATTCAAGCTTAGTTAGATAATATATGCGAGGCACGGAACTCAAATAATAGTGGTTGTATCTAACAGCGACTGCTATAAGGCATTAACTAAGGTATTATTATTCGATGCATTATCGGCCGTTATTATAAGTATTTAATCCTAAATCTAATGCTGCATAAGCATATCTAGGAGTATAGCGCTAAGGTTCTCACTAGAGTGCGTTCCGGAAAGTGGTTGAAAGCTAAGTAGAACCTCTTAATACTGCCAATCTTCGTCGATAAAATAGTCGGTGATAGCTATAAATACTTAAGAAAAAGGAGATATCCAATAATCAAGGGCGATTAATATCTTTACATAATTAGGGAGCTTTCGTAGGATACTTTAGTGCCGTTCCTTTACTATAGTTTATAGGCGACGACGAATAGTCTTTACGGAAGGGATCTCAAGGCTAGAAGGGGCGCGTTAAGCCATTTGAATTAGGTTATAGAACTTAGGATACTTAATAAGCCGAAAGGGAAGACGTGCGACCGTAAGGAAGATAAGTAGCTTCTCTTCCTAGGCCTCTTAGGTGAACTATTCATTTATAGGTTAGGTATACTTCTATTCAAAGTATTATATTTATTAGCGATTTCTAAGGTTATATCTTTAAATATAATAGAACTTACTGTATCCTATAGAAATCTAGTAATACTAGCCCTTTATTGAATATTCCTCGCGCGCTATTAATATATAGTGGTGTAAAGATGCTTTATCAACGTAGATATACTATATCGATTTGTGCCACTAGGAGTCCTAGTAGAAGATAGATACTTAAGGATTAGACCGCAGCGCTTATATATAACCTTAGGCTAGCTATTAGAACTCTCTACTACTTAATTAAAGTGCTACTATAAGTCCGCTAAATAGCTAGCATCCTAGCGGATTTTGCTAGTCTTTCTATAGTTAGTCTCAATCCACTAGTCCACCCACTCAGTATACATTATACGATCGTAAAGTACGTAGTTCTTCCTTCGATTAGGGCTAACGCGCTTTAAAGCGGATGGAATTAATAGGCGAGGCTACGGCCGGATAAAGTCTCGATTAAAAGGGTCGAATGTTCGCTAACTGCTAGAAGGCTCAGGGGTAAATAGCTATAGGGGATCCAATGCGAGGTACGGAACACTATCTATATTATTATAGAGAGATGACAAAAATATATCAGAATTCTAACTTTAAGACATAATATCACGAGGTAGGGGAACAGTAAGGGATAAGTGAGAGTAGAAGTGAAGGCTTACTAAAGGACATTTATAGAAGTCAAGCGCTAGATATAGTAGACTCATCATTTTATTACTATCTTAGACTAGAAGAGTCCTATAATTAGTGAATAGTAGGAATATTAAGTGGAGTATAACCCACAGAACCTATTCAAAACCCACGAAACCCACCAATAACCCGCAAAACCCATCCAGAACCCGCACATAACCCGCAAAACCCATCTAGAACCCGCACATAACCCACGAAACCTATCTAGAACCTATATATAACCTATGCCCAACCCGCGAAAGTATATTTAGCCCTCAAAATTTTACAACTTGATTCTAACTTACTACGTTTAATCCTATTTTATAGACACCACACCTAAATAAATTACGAATAGACTTATATTTATAATAAAACAAAGCATAAGGACTAATTTAATAGGAGGAAATAATAAAATTAAAGGTATATATAAGATAAAATAATAAAAGCAAGACGTTTCCTCCAAAAGGTACACCACCTTTATTATATGTCAGATATATATTTCTATAGAATAGAAAGGCCATTCTAACATTCTCACGCTTCCACCGTAACCCTTTAGACGGATCCTACTAAATATATGTAAATAACTAATTACTGATATTAATTAATTAATATACAGAGGAATTTCATTTTATTTCAAGTGATTAGAGCCAAAGTCAATAACTTAGGAGGATTATGACCAGAACATATGTAAATAACAGTATTTAATTAAGATGAATCAGCCAAATTATACACGCCAAGACCAGGATTTTATGTAAATTCGGGTCAAGATGGGTTATTTGCGGGTTTTCAAATCTAAATTTGTAACCCGCTGGGTTGGGTTCGGGTTACAACTCATAACCCGAACCCGCAGCGGGTTCGGGTGCGGGTTGAAGGTCTTGACCCGCATTGCGGGTTATGGCGCAGTCTAGTTAGAGTAGTTAGGATAGTTGATTAAGACGTAACGTACTATTTCTGAGGCCTCGCTGCACTATAGGCAATGCGCTATATTAGCCTAATTTACGCTATAGAGGAAGGTATTTAGGCTAATCTTCTCTATATAGGCTTAAATAAGCGCGCTGCGCTTCGCGGGGGTGAGGTCTTAGTATAGCGCGAGCGTCTTGCGAGTGATTTTAGGTTAGAGTCGTCGTAATATACTACTATAGACTATATAGGTTATAGGGGTAGGTTATTAAGGAACGTAGCGTAGTAGCT